AACACCCTAACACCCTAACGACCCTAACACCCAACACCCTAACACCCTAACACCCTAACACCCTAACACCCTAACACCCTAACACCCTAACACCCTAACACCCTAACACCCTAACACCCTAACACCCTAACACCCTAACACCCTAACACCCTAACACCCTAACACCCTAACACCCTAACACCCTAACACCCTAACACCCTAACACCCTAACACCCTAACACCCTAACACCCTAACACCCTAACACCCTAACACCCTAACACCCTAACACCCTAACACCCTAACACCCCTAACACCCTAACACCCTAACACCCTAACACCCTAACACCCTAACACCCTAACACCCTAACACCCTAACACCCTAACACCCTAACACCCTAACACCCTAACACCCTAACACCCTAACACCCTAACACCCTAACACCCTAACACCCTAACACCCTAACACCCTAACACCCTAACACCCTAACACCCTAACACCCTAACACCCTAACACCCTAACACCCTAACACCCTAACACCCTAACACCCTAACACCCTAACACCCTAACACCCTAACACCCTAACACCCTAACACCCTAACACCCTAACACCCTAACACCCTAACACCCTAACACCCTAACACCCTAACACCCTAACACCCTAACACCCTAACACCCTAACACCCTAACACCCTAACACCCTAACACCCTAACACCCTAACACCCTAACACCCTAACACCCTAACACCCTAACACCCTAACACCCTAACACCCTAACACCCTAACACCCTAACACCCTAACACCCTAACACCCTAACACCCTAACACCCTAACACCCTAACACCCTAACACCCTAACACCCTAACACCCTAACACCCTAACACCCTAACACCCTAACACCCTAACACCCTAACACCCTAACACCCTAACACCCTAACACCCTAACACCCTAACACCCTAACACCCTAACACCCTAACACCCTAACACCCTAACACCCTAACACCCTAACACCCTAACACCCTAACACCCTAACACCCTAACACCCTAACACCCTAACACCCTAACACCCTAACACCCTAACACCCTAACACCCTAACACCCTAACACCCTAACACCCTAACACCCTAACACCCTAACACCCTAACACCCTAACACCCTAACACCCTAACACCCTAACACCCTAACACCCTAACACCCTAACACCCTAACACCCTAACACCCTAACACCCTAACACCCTAACACCCTAACACCCTAACACCCTAACACCCTAACACCCTAACACCCTAACACCCTAACACCCTAACACCCTAACACCCTAACACCCTAACACCCTAACACCCTAACACCCTAACACCCTAACACCCTAACACCCTAACACCCTAACACCCTAACACCCTAACACCCTAACACCCTAACACCCTAACACCCTAACACCCTAACACCCTAACACCCTAACACCCTAACACCCTAACACCCTAACACCCTAACACCCTAACACCCTAACACCCTAACACCCTAACACCCTAACACCCTAACACCCTAACACCCTAACACCCTAACACCCTAACACCCTAACACCCTAACACCCTAACACCCTAACACCCTAACACCCTAACACCCTAACACCCTAACACCCTAACACCCTAACACCCTAACACCCTAACACCCTAACACCCTAACACCCTAACACCCTAACACCCTAACACCCTAACACCCTAACACCCTAACACCCTAACACCCTAACACCCTAACACCCTAACACCCTAACACCCTAACACCCTAACACCCTAACACCCTAACACCCTAACACCCTAACACCCTAACACCCTAACACCCTAACACCCTAACACCCTAACACCCTAACACCCTAACACCCTAACACCCTAACACCCTAACACCCTAACACCCTAACACCCTAACACCCTAACACCCTAACACCCTAACACCCTAACACCCTAACACCCTAACACCCTAACACCCTAACACCCTAACACCCTAACACCCTAACACCCTAACACCCTAACACCCTAACACCCTAACACCCTAACACCCTAACACCCTAACACCCTAACACCCTAACACCCTAACACCCTAACACCCTAACACCCTAACACCCTAACACCCTAACACCCTAACACCCTAACACCCTAACACCCTAACACCCTAACACCCTAACACCCTAACACCCTAACACCCTAACACCCTAACACCCTAACACCCTAACACCCTAACACCCTAACACCCTAACACCCTAACACCCTAACACCCTAACACCCTAACACCCTAACACCCTAACACCCTAACACCCTAACACCCTAACACCCTAACACCCTAACACCCTAACACCCTAACACCCTAACACCCTAACACCCTAACACCCTAACACCCTAACACCCTAACACCCTAACACCCTAACACCCTAACACCCTAACACCCTAACACCCTAACACCCTAACACCCTAACACCCTAACACCCTAACACCCTAACACCCTAACACCCTAACACCCTAACACCCTAACACCCTAACACCCTAACACCCTAACACCCTAACACCCTAACACCCTAACACCCTAACACCCTAACACCCTAACACCCTAACACCCTAACACCCTAACACCCTAACACCCTAACACCCTAACACCCTAACACCCTAACACCCTAACACCCTAACACCCTAACACCCTAACACCCTAACACCCTAACACCCTAACACCCTAACACCCTAACACCCTAACACCCTAACACCCTAACACCCTAACACCCTAACACCCTAACACCCTAACACCCTAACACCCTAACACCCTAACACCCTAACACCCTAACACCCTAACACCCTAACACCCTAACACCCTAACACCCTAACACCCTAACACCCTAACACCCTAACACCCTAACACCCTAACACCCTAACACCCTAACACCCTAACACCCTAACACCCTAACACCCTAACACCCTAACACCCTAACACCCTAACACCCTAACACCCTAACACCCTAACACCCTAACACCCTAACACCCTAACACCCTAACACCCTAACACCCTAACACCCTAACACCCTAACACCCTAACACCCTAACACCCTAACACCCTAACACCCTAACACCCTAACACCCTAACACCCTAACACCCTAACACCCTAACACCCTAACACCCTAACACCCTAACACCCTAACACCCTAACACCCTAACACCCTAACACCCTAACACCCTAACACCCTAACACCCTAACACCCTAACACCCTAACACCCTAACACCCTAACACCCTAACACCCTAACACCCTAACACCCTAACACCCTAACACCCTAACACCCTAACACCCTAACACCCTAACACCCTAACACCCTAACACCCTAACACCCTAACACCCTAACACCCTAACACCCTAACACCCTAACACCCTAACACCCTAACACCCTAACACCCTAACACCCTAACACCCTAACACCCTAACACCCTAACACCCTAACACCCTAACACCCTAACACCCTAACACCCTAACACCCTAACACCCTAACACCCTAACACCCTAACACCCTAACACCCTAACACCCTAACACCCTAACACCCTAACACCCTAACACCCTAACACCCTAACACCCTAACACCCTAACACCCTAACACCCTAACACCCTAACACCCTAACACCCTAACACCCTAACACCCTAACACCCTAACACCCTAACACCCTAACACCCTAACACCCTAACACCCTAACACCCTAACACCCTAACACCCTAACACCCTAACACCCTAACACCCTAACACCCTAACACCCTAACACCCTAACACCCTAACACCCTAACACCCTAACACCCTAACACCCTAACACCCTAACACCCTAACACCCTAACACCCTAACACCCTAACACCCTAACACCCTAACACCCTAACACCCTAACACCCTAACACCCTAACACCCTAACACCCTAACACCCTAACACCCTAACACCCTAACACCCTAACACCCTAACACCCTAACACCCTAACACCCTAACACCCTAACACCCTAACACCCTAACACCCTAACACCCTAACACCCTAACACCCTAACACCCTAACACCCTAACACCCTAACACCCTAACACCCTAACACCCTAACACCCTAACACCCTAACACCCTAACACCCTAACACCCTAACACCCTAACACCCTAACACCCTAACACCCTAACACCCTAACACCCTAACACCCTAACACCCTAACACCCTAACACCCTAACACCCTAACACCCTAACACCCTAACACCCTAACTAATTTACTTTATTAAAGATCAATTTTTACAAATGTAGACTTTTATTTGAGTTGCAATAATAAAATAATGGCAAACTAACCTTAAGAAATAACTCAGCTGAGCTAGAGATGGATTCCAGAGCAGCTTGCTCAGCGCCTCAAATAAATCCTAGTCTTTATGACCCACCACTAATGCTAGCTTGCCAAGATTATCTTAATGCTTGCCAGCACGGAACATCTCTTAACAAAAAAACTAATTTAATTATCTATACACTGAAACTGAAACCCAAGAAGTCAAAACCTTGCAGACTCCACAACCACTAGACTCAAGAACTTGCATAGCTCAACTTTCAATTTTAAGCTTTTCCGTTTTGGTAATCAATGACTTTCTAAAATTACAGTTCTAATTGATAAAAATGGTAGAGTCGAAGTGCTGCCATCTGGAACTCTGTGTAGATTCTCATCATGCATCTATTTCAACAACAGCGTCTATTGCTATGGAGGTTATAAAAAGGTATTTTGACTCTATCTAGTAGATTTGATTTGATTCGAAGTCAATGAATTCAATTAATTCCAATGCCAAAAGCTGACTGTTATGCCATAGTATAATGTTTAATAAAAATATTTTGATTTCTGGAAGGAATAGTAGAAATTTTTTGTTATACTCAATTGATATTGACTCTTTCTCGATAATTCCTCATGAGTTTACAGAAACAAGAAAGATCCTGATAAATGCAAAGAGGATGTATTTGCTATTGTGGAAAAAATATTATGAATTTACTTGAGTATAATTTGACTAAAAAATTTAGAAATTTACTTTGTGTTGAATAATAGACGTAATGGCAGACCTAACCTTAAGAAATAAATCAGCTGAGATTTTGAGCAGACCAAAAAATCCAGAACTAGAGATGGATTTCAGAGCAACTTGCTCAACGAGTCAAATCAATCTTAGTCTTTATGACCCACCACTAATGCAAACTTGCCAAGATTATCTTAATGCTTGTCAACAAGGAGCATCTCTTTATAATCTTAGAGAAGATAACAGAAGAACTGATTTAATTATTTATAACACTGAAACTGAGACCCAAGAAGTCAAAACCTTGCAGTCTCCAAAACCACTAGACTCAAGCACTTGCATAACTCAACTTCCAAATGGCAAGCTATTCTGTTTTGGTAATTTTATACATTCTGGAATTACAGTGCTAATTGATGCAAATGGTGGAGTCGAAGTGCTGCTGTCTGGAACTCCTTGTGCATGATCATCATGCATTTATTTCAACAAAAGTGTCTATTGTTTTGGAGGATATAGTAACAGAAGCTTATGTACTCTATCTAGTAGATTTGATTTAGATCAGAATCGATGAATTAAATTAACTCCAATGCCAAAAGCTGATGCCCAGTGCAATAGTATAATATTTAATGGAAATATTTTGATTTCTGGATTAAGAAATAAAAATCTTTTGTTATACTCAATCGATATTGACTCTTTCTCGACAATTCCTTATGAGTTTGCAAAAGGGAAAAGAAAGATCCTGATAAATGCAGGTAGACTTTATTTGATTGAATGCGAAGAAGGAGTTATCTATGAAAGTGAAATTGGAAGTTACACGAATTGGAGACCAGCAGAATGAAGATCAACAATCAATTTCTATACTTCTCAAGTGTATTGTTCATATAATGAAGGATTTATATACATTGGAATGGAGGGATCTGACTACTTCAAGTTTGACTTGAATGAAAAGAGCTTAATTGCATTAAAAAAGTCATAAAATAATTATTAAAAGTGAAGTGAATATCGCTGCTCATCTTTTAGCATTTTTCGTTATACCTATAATTGGCTTGGTGAATTTCATTATGAGTTTCATATAAATTCATCATCTCTTGTTCATTTTCTGCCTAAGAGCAAGCATTGATTAATTTTGTTTTTAAGTCACCATATATTTTTTAAGGATCTTCAATCCCTTGAAAAGTTTCAAAATTTTGCTCGTAGTCTTGCTTTAGGCTCTTCAGTAATTCTTCAATAGAGTTGATTTCTATAATTTTCTATGTAATTCTTTAATCAAATCATCACTTCATGCTCTCTTAATGGGCTTCATATATGAATTATATAGCCAGTAGCTCTTAAAGTGGGTTAAAAGCAAAGAAGGTGAATTTAATCTTATCTCAAAAATCCACATAACTATACAAGGAGATCTTGAGTGGTGCGAACTTTATATTAGATCTATATATTAATACACAACTAATTCATATGACGAGAATAAACTTATTATGTTTGATTCTGGGACTAATTTAGAAATAATGATCAAGCTCAAAATTGTGCTCGATTTTATAAATTCACTTGCATTATTCCAATTTGCAACTATGAAATATTTTATAAGAGTGATCTTAATTGTCATGCTTGCAACTTTAAAATACAAAAAGTTTTAAAAATCATCCATTTAATAATTATTGTATGATGGCAAAGAAATGTTTCGAGTCAGAATGCACGAATGAGGTTGAGTATTCATGCACATGCTCTTCTCCTAAGACTTTATCTTGTGAAGTACACATTGGGGAGCATGTAAGCTTTCCTGATAGAGCCCATAACATTGAATCAATGTTTATCCAGCCTTGTGAAGGGACAAAAGAAGCAATTCTTGAATTCCTTACAATGGAAAATTCAAAATACAGCGAGCTGAGAAGAAAAATTATAGATTCCCTTAGCAAGTGCCCATTTAATTTAAAGAGAAATTTAAGAGATTTCAGAAAAAAATTGAATGATTGCTCAGATGAAATAAATGATTTCTTTGCAAAAATTTTCCAAGTTAAAACAATATCAAAGTTAGAGCAAGATCCAATATTAGAATTATTGGTTTTACCGCCTGGAGAAGCTGTTGAGAAAGTAAAATCGATTACTATAGCTATGAAGGATAGATACAACAGTGCAAAATTCTTTTATCTAATTATTGAAAAGTTATTGAACTTAAATAGATCCTTTGTTAAAGAAAAATGCGATGCAAATCGAGAAAATATTAATATGCAAAATGCTCCAGAAGTGCATAATAAAACTATAGAGTCAGCAAACGTTAAGGATTCAATTTCCTTGATAATAAATGAGAGCAGTGAGCCTGAAAACGTAAGCAAGCCAATTAAAAAAAGCCTAGAAAACGAGACGAACTTGCTTAATTCTCATATAAGTACTATTTCTAATGATCTCAATAAACTCAAGGAAACAGAAAGCGCTTTAAAAGTCATAGACACCTTAAGAAATAAAACTGCTGAGATTTTGAGTAGACCAAACAATCCAGAATTCGATATAGATTTCAGAACGACCTGCTCAGCAATTCAGACCAATTCTAGTTTTTATGATCCACCACTAATGGAAGCTTACCAAGATTATCTTAAAGCTTATCAACAAAGAACATCTCTTTATAATATTAAATGAGATTATGTAAACAAGAGAACTGGTTTGCATATTTATAACACTGAAACTGAAACACAAGAAGACATCAAAACCTTGCAGACTCCAGAACCACTAGACTCAAAAACTTGCATAACTCATCTTCCAAATGGCAAGTTATTCTGTTTTGGTAATAAGCCACGTTCTGGAAGAACATTGCTGATTGATGTAAATGGTGGAATCGAAAAATTACCATCTGGAACTCCTTGCTATTGATCATCATGTACCTATTTCAAAAACAGCGTCTACTGCTTTGGAGGATATGTCCACAATGATAATGATAAGGAGAGTAATAAATTAGGTGATTGTGATGTTGAGGCTTTACATTTATCTAATAGATTTGATTTGGATCAAAATCGATGAATTGAATTAATTCCAATGCCACAAGCAGATTACTTGTGCAGTAGCATAACATTTAATGGAAATATTTTGATTTCTGGACATTGATATAGAAATCTTTTGCTATATTCAATTGATATTGACTCTTTCTCAACAATTCCTTGTAAGTTTGCAAAACGGAAAAGAAAGATCCTGATAAATGTAGAAAGATTATATTTGATTGAATGCAGTGGATCAATCTATGAAAGCGAAATTGGAAGTTACTCGAATTGGAGACGAATAGGAAAATCAGCAATCAATAGCGATCCTGTGCAAGTATATTGTTCGTATAATAAAGGAGGAATATACATCTCAACTATTCCCGCCTCTGATTATCATTCGGCCAGAGAATATTATTATTTTAATTTAGATCAAAAAATTATTATTGATGTCGCTTACTATAATGAGCCTGTCTCACTTAGAAGAGTAGGCCAAAAGATTGAAGCAATAAAATGAAATAACCAGAATTTTAATCTCGATCCTTCTCTTCTGGATGAATGAAATCTAAAAGGCAAAGCTCTAAACACTTTAGGAGAAAATCTAAAAGCAATCGAATACTATGACGAAGCAATCAAACTCAATCCAAAAGAAGTTTATTTATACCTGAATAAAGGCTACACTTTTTGTCATTTGGAAAGATATTTAGAAGCAATCGAATGCTATGACGAAGCAATCAAACTCAATCCAAAAGATGATTGTTTATACAATATTAAAGGCAATGCTTTTTATGCCTTGAAAAGATATCTAGAAGCAATCGAATGCTATGACGAAGCAATCAAACTCAATCCAAAAGCTGCTTATTTATACAATATTAAAGGCAGTGCTTTTTATGCCTTGAAAAGATATCTAGAAGCAATTGAATGCTATGACGAAGCAATCAAACTCGATCCAGACGATGCTGGTTTTCACTATTTTAGAGGTAATGCTTTAAATGAATTAAGAAGATATCCAGAAGTAGTAGAAAGCGTTGACAAAGCAATCAAAATCAATCCAAATAGTGCCAGATTTTATAATCGTAAAGGCAATGCTCTTTATGCTTTATAGAGATATCAAGAAGTAATACAATGCTATGACAAGGCAATCAAACTTAAACCCAATAATCCTTTGTATTTCTGCCACCGAGCTAGAGCATTTAATAATCTCAGACAAGAAGAAGCAGCTTTGCAGGACTTTAATACGGCTTATAATTTAAGGGAAGAAAATCAAATCAATGGTGTTTTCACTGGGGATGAATGGAAACTTTCTGAAAAAGCTATCAATTTTATTGACGACGTATTAGGCCGAGACCGTATTGAACTACTCCAAAAAATGCAGATTTAGAATAAAATTTGGTTTTAATAAGAAGTCATTATAATAATTGCATATACCCCGAGCCTTCATTTGGTTCGGGCTATAGATCATATGAAATGCTTTGAGTTAGGGCACAACCTTGAGTTAATTGAATATGCATGCCTGTGGGCCTCTCCTTTAACTTTAACCTGTGAACTGCACTTCGGGAAACATTTCAAGCTTTCTGATAAGGTTTATACCATTGAAAGAATTTTTTTAAAGCCGTTTAAAGGGACAAAAAAACAATTCTTAGAATTTTTGCAAAAGAGTAGTTTAAAAAATAGCAAGCTGAAGGAAAAAGTCCTAGCATCCTTTCGCCAAGAACGGCGCTAAAGAGCTTTAGGTATCTGTTTTAGATGAACTAGGCTTGCAGCTTATTTGAAATCTTTTATATATCGGCATCTTCAGGAACATGAGAGCTAATAAACTGTTACTGCTGTAAAGTTCTGATAGCATCATTAACATGATGATTTTTCAAGTAATCATCATCTTTTATATTTAACTTGGTATTAATATTTTGCTTGAAAACCCTAATTCTGAGATAATTCATATTATCGCTAAACATTATATTTATCTTATTATGGATATATTTTTCACAAAATCTTAATTTTAAAAAATGTATCTAGAGATATTCAAAGAGCTTTACTATAATTATTTTTTAATTTTAAAGATAAAATAAGATTTTCTTGAAGAGATTTTATTAGAATTTACCTCTCTATTTAATTTTTAGCTCTAATTCATCTTTAATAAGTTTACTTGTGTTCTTTATTTCCTTAAGTACTTCCATTATTCGCTTTTTTTTAATATCAAGTATTTCTCTTTTTAATAAGTGAGCCATAGCATATATCTCACTCTCTATAATTATTAATAAGGTGGAGGTGACTAATTTACCACTGGATGCAATTTTCTACCATATACATGGGCAAAGGTTTTTACTGAGTCTCAAAGTAGTTAATCTTTAGGGTACTATGATTTACCTAAAGATCTTTATAAAAAAGATAGGGCCAGCAATAATTCTAATGATGCCAAAGGTGTCCGAGCCTATAGGCCATAAAAATCAAGAAATATAACGTTCAGATGTTGGCCTTTTCTACTTTACCACCGGTAAGCATTGGCAATTAACCAATTAATATCCCAGATTATGAGCTCTATCAAAAAATTTAATCTATATATCTGTTTCCTTTTATTTTATTTAATTTTCAAATGGCGAGAAAGATTTATCGATAATCGATTTTTTATATTTCTATAATATAAACGGTTATTTATAATAAATTAGAAGCAAAACATAAACTAAAGAAATGTATATGCTTTTATTATCTCATTCGTGGTACCGACTTCGAATCATTTGTTTTGATGTTTGATAGCATTTTATTCAGACTTGGACGATACTGCGATTGGCCTAATTTTATGGATGGCTTTGATATTTCTTTGAGCAACTGCTCTCTTCTTTCTGGATATGTTTGATCTCCATATAAGACATTTCTTACAGATGGCTTATTAAGAAAACTTTTTTTCAAAATAGTTTTCGAAGCACTGTCTTGAGCAAGCTCATTAATTTCTTGGCAATATTCAGCCAATCTCGATTGGAGTGAAAAAGTGTCAGGCTGGGTCAAAATTTTTGCACTTGAGCCTGATTTTTCGTTGCTTTTCAAGGCAATATTTACATGAGGCTGTGATTGCATTTCTTCACTGTTGGTTCCTGTTCTATCTGTAAGTGATTCAGGGGATAAACCTTTAAATTGAAATTCAGCAATATTCATTCTTGGCTTGAGCTTATTTTCTGTGTTATTAGAAAAGCCGCTCTTTGAGTTCCTTCGAGGTGGCGTTTTGCTGTGACTTTGCAGACTTTCTCGTAACGGCCCCTTAATAGAGCTGAAGACGCTTGGTGTTGGCTCCTGACTTGAAGAGAATATTGGACTTTCATTTGATTTTATTGGGCTGGGACTAATTCTTTGCAAAGGCTTAATATTGCTAAGCCTATTCAAATAGTTCTGCTGATAATTATTTCTCTCTATAACAGGAGATTTCGGGGTTTCTCTCTTTTCTGTTGACGAATTTTTAGAAGAATTATTATCTTGATGCCTTTTCGATGGAACAGGAGAGCCAATAGCTTTTCTCTTTTCACTGGAAATATATTTCTTTTGATGAAGTCTATCTGTTGAAGCCGATGAATTTTGTGTATTTTCAGAGTTAGTATTTTCTAAGATAAGTTTCTCTGTATTCAATTTCGGTATTGCATTTTCCAATAATTTGATTGTAGGATTAATCTCAAGTCTTTTAGCAGGGGCTGGAGAAATGCTCTTTTGAGAACTTGCTTGTAGTTTACTTGAAGCAGAAGTTTGAATTTTTTTGGGGGTTTGAATGAATAATTTTGTGTATTTATCTGTTTTTAAATCTCCCTTGATTATTACAAGACTTTGAGATTTTTAATTAAATTTTTTTCTCATTATTTAAATATATTATTTTCATTTTAAATAATCTTTTTCTAGATGATTTTATTTTCCCCGAGAAGTAGGATTTTCCAATGGATTGCTTTATAGCCAAGTGGAGTAAGAGTTTTTTCTGGTTCAATTCATTTGCTGCACTTGCTAATGGAGAAGCACTATCTCGAGATGGTCTCGTTATTTTAGATCTCAATGGCGATGATAATTGCTTTTCAGGTATCAAGTGCACCGAAGTTTTTGAATCTTCCAGCTTTTGTGTGTCTTCATTTGTCCTTGAAGTTTTTTGCATTGTAGATGGAGAGCTTAAATTAGGAGGAACTGATTTAATAGCAGAATTTTTGGTTGTATGAATTGTTTCACTACTTTTCGATGCTAATACGCTGTCATGCGTTTTCTTTACCATTTTCGGAGAGATTGATTTTACCGCTAAAGTTTTGTCTTGCTTTGTAAGAGATCTTATTATCTTTGGCCTACTTGCATTAAGTAGCGAGCCTTCCAAATCATTTTTAAAGGATGATTCATCTTTTAAAGGACTGGGACATTCTTCCTTGGAATTTTCTTTTAAAATAATTGGGGCTTGCAATTTAGATAATGGAGAAGCAATTTCTGTGGCAAAATTGCTGGCAAAGGAAGGAATTTCTGAAATTTCGTTACTCCCCCCCCCCCCTCCGTGAGCGAACAAAATTTTTTTGTTCGCTCACGAGGGGGGGTTAATTTTTTTTTTTTAAAAAAAATTTATATATAAATTTTATAAAAAATATTTTTTTCGAAATTTAAAAAAATCCTAATTTGCAAAAATTGGGAAGCAAATATTAATTTAATTTGCAAAATTTATGTTTTAAAACGCATTTTTGTTTAAAATTAAACAGAATTAGCTCTAGATTTCATTATACTAATTATCACTTATATATCAAAATTTTTTTCCATTAAAATTTTTTCTATTATTAAAAAAATTTTTGTTCACTCACGGAGGGTGGGTTTTTGGTCAAAAAATGGCGATTTTTCTAATGGTTTTGTTCGCTCACGGAGGGGGGGGGGGAGTTAGTGATATTTATCGCTGCTTCTAAATCAGTAGAAGGAAAATTTGCTTTCAAATCTTGCTGGGTCTCCACAGATTCATGAACTTCACTTTTAGAATCTGAAGCTTCAAGAATTTCTTTCTGACTATTTTTAATATCAGCTTTTTCAGAACTGCTAAAAGGGAAGTAATTACCCTCGCTTTTTTGGTTTTCTTCTTTAAGATTATTTGAGATTTGAGAATCTGCTTCATTTACCTTTGGAATATCAAACCCATTGAGATTTGGGTACAGATTTGAAATTGCCGTGGACGATTGAAGAAAATTTATTGGTGATTTTCTGATTAAATTGGAATATGCTAAATCTATGTCGTGAATTTCTCCAATTTCTTCAACCTTTAGGACTAACTTTTCCTCTTTATTAGGCTTTATTTCATCATGGATATTTATGATTTCTATCAAAGATTCTAAGACAGATGCTTCATTTGACTTTTCCATAAGACTTTCATGCATTGGGACAGCGTCTTCATAAAAGCTTTTAGTGATATCAAGGGTTTGGCTCCTGATTGTGTTTGAGAGGTCTTTATTTGCAGAGAAGCTGCTATCTGCAGATCTATCATCATTAATTCAAGTTCTTTCCAATACTCTTTCCGTATATACTTCTATTTCTCCTGGATTGGTCATATAAGACTTATCAGCAGATGTATATACTGATAGATCTTGATGAGCAGTTCTATAAACTTTCGAGCTTTCATCTGGCAGCTCCTCTTCCAGAAAAGATCTTTTAGGAGGAGGAGTCAAGCTTCTTTGTTTTTCCTGAAGTATGCTAGTTTCAACTGCTTCTTCTATTTCAAAAGATATGACCTCGTTGGTTATATTTGAGTTCTCAAGCTTGATCATCCCACTATTTGCTTCAAAAGCGTCTGCACCTTCCAGAGAGAATGAAGGAATGCGATTATGCGCAGTCAAAATTGGTTTTTCTGGGCAAGTTTCAGTTAGCTTAGGAGGAGCCTGGCTTTTGCTTCGAGTTCTTGTCCTCGCATGGCCGAATTTCTTTCGCAAGTCAGGGTCAGTTGGCACGAATAGCGATTTTATTACCTTGCATCAGTCGTCGTGAGATTTTTTCGTTTCTGCATATAAGATGTAAATTCGTTCAATTGTGTCAATTTCAAACGGAAAATTCCAATCACATCTGTCTTTTGGCTTTGGGCTTGGATCAAAGCCAATAATCTCCCTAATCTTATACGACTTCTCAGCAGTTGCTTTTGAATGATTGTCAGTATAATAAAATAAACCATGGATTAAATCAAGCACAAACCATCGTTTTGTGAAGTTTGAGACAAACCAAGTCACTTTCGGGTCTTGCTTTAGCTTTTTTAAATAGCTCTGCACAATCTTCGGGCCCTAATTTTTTCTTACTTTGTAATTGGGATCAACATTAAAACATTCAGTCATCTTTATTAATAAGAGACATAAGAATCGCAAGTTTGGTGAATTATTTAATTTCATAGAAGTAATACATTAATAGTTCTTGCTATAGGTTATTTAAATCATAATAATGATTATGCATTTGCTTCAGGAAGTTGCTACTTAGAAACACTTATTTTGGCCCAATTAATGATATAGATGCTATGGATTTGAGCAATTAATCTTAATAGTGGAAATTTTTTTTAGGAAAATCATTAATATTTGCACTATGCCGGAAGTAGTGATAAAAAAGTTATTAATGTGGATAAACTTTTCATTATTAATTGCTCAATTTTAGTCTTCGTCTTGCTCCGCAGGATGCTAGCTGTGGTCATCCTTTTAATTCCAAGGACTTCGCGGTTATTCGGACTTCGGCCAATTTTATTGAGTGGAGGCAATGAATCTTCTACGTACTGCAAGCTAGCCAGGAAAGCTCATAGGATGTATCTGCCTATGAGTTAACATCTGTGCGCTTTTGACTCTAAGGGTCTCTTTCCTCTGAGAGCCAAGGGTGAAAACCTAACTCCTCCACCTCCCTCCGTGAGTGAACAAAACCATTGGAAAAATCTCTATTTTTGACCAAAAAACCACCCTCTGTTAGTCATTAATGAAAAATTATATTGATATATATGTAATATCATTATAAATTTTTACAAATAGATTAATGTTTGCTTTAAAAATTATTTCGAATATGGATTTTTAAATTTTGAAAAAAAAAATGCTATAAAATTTATATATAAATTTTTATAAAATATCTTATCCTATGTAGAAAGGCCGCTCCTGACATTGTGGATCAAGATTCATAGCAAAATCGAATTTCATAATAATAATAATAAAGTGCCAAAGATCGAAATTGCTTATTCCAATCTCACCATTTATAATGTGGATAAACGTAATAAAAAGAAGAGTTTATCATTCAAAATCTAAAGATTTAGTGCAAGCGTAATTTATACCATATATTCAGCAAACTAACCTCTCTTTTAAGCCTATTTTAAGTTCAAAGAGTTTAAGTTGAATACCTTATCTGTAACACTATTTCAGCCGAATAATATTAAATCCCAATAAACCATTATTATCGGAGTGTTATACACTGCAGAATGGTCTATCACCTTCAGATTACAAAAGAAACCGTTGCAATCAATCTTTTTGAATTTAAGTTAAAATATGAAAATATAAGCATATTATTCTCTTTTAAGGAGTAATTAAACTTAATAATTTAAAGGGAATGTTGAAGATATATTATTTAAGTTGCTCGCAATTGATCGGATTAAGAATAAAACTTACATTAAAAAAACAGATTTTATATCTCAGAAATCAAATATACAGTTTATGAAGACTTAAAGTGCTAATGTGATATGAAATAAAATTATTGGATCTTGATTTGTATAAGTAAGCTATTGAATCAATAAAGTGTAATAAATTTTAAATAAAATATTTAAAGTTCATTTCAGAAACAATTCTAATGCCAATACAAGCAGTTTATCTATATATTTATATTAATATTTTCTAAAAATCTACTATAAAATTATCATAGATGCAATCTAATTCCATATAAATAATTTATAGAAAATGAGTAGAAAAGCTCATTCAAACAGCTCAAAGTATCTTGATTCCTCTTATAGTGAAGATTTGAAGGAAATTTATAGTGAACGCATAAAAAGTCAACATGAATATCAGTCTGTTTCTGATTCACAAGAATGAATGTTGATAAAGAGCTGTCTTAATCCAGAGGCTTTTCCTATATTAAGTGCCTATCATCATATTGAAAATAGCGAAAATGGTTATTTTATTTCTAAACATCGAGATAGCCCTGATAATTCAATTTCGATATTTACCTTTGGCAGTCAATCTGCAAATAAAATTGATTACATTGTGCAAACTAATGGGCAAACTACCTACTCTTATGCAAGCACAAAGAATCCAGGATACAATGGAAATAGAGTTTCTTTTGAATTTAAAGCTGATGAAAATAGGTATGTTGATGGCCACTGCATAGACCATGGGGACACACCATCTGAAACTTTAAACCTTTATGGGAAATTATCGACTGAACATAGCGCAAACCATATACCAGAGCCATGAGATACTTATTGAGGCTTGCATTATAGAAATTGGCTAGTTCGTAATTTAAGAAAAAGTTCTTTATCTTACAGCCAATTAGTATTCTATTCTGACACCCCGATTGTAACTAATTTAGGATCCCATGTTCCTACAGGAGTTCTCTTTTTTTCTCATAGTCATGAAGGAAATTTGGAAGAAGGGTGGTCCATACCATGAGATAGTGAGATACATAGAAGATGCAAAGATCGAGAAAATTTTCAAAGGATGGGATTAAGAGAATATTCGTTAAATGCTCTCAATTCCCTCTTTAAATTAGAACAAAAATAGGTAAAAATCCATTTTAGGGTAAATTAACCGGAAAATTTATAGGTAAATATTTAATTTTTATATTAATAATTTTAATCTAATTTAATGGAGGGACTGCAAGTAGAATGCTATTCAGACAGTTGGTAAGTTGAATTGATTAAATAGTTTAATTTAATTTTATATAAAAATAAATTAATATTCTTTATCAAAAATTAGCTACCTTTAAATTTGAAAAGTATTTTTTGTTCCAATTTAAAAGGGAAGCTAGCAAGCTCAAATCTAAAAGATATATTTTTGGAAGAAATATATCTCCAAAATCTTTTTCTCATATATCAGGCAACCTAGCTCACCCACCTCTCTGTTCGCGAAAAAAAAAAGTTTGTTCATTATATAGAGGATTTAATTTTTTTTTAAATTAAATATATAAAATTTCATAGTAAATATTTTTTTAGAATTTAAAAAGCATCCAAATTTGAAATAATTTGAAGCAAATATTACTTTAATTTGTAAAATTTATGTTTTAAAATGCAAACTTTTTAATATTAAACAGATTTCATTATACTAATTATAACTTATACATCAAAATATTTTTCATAAAAAATTTTCATATTGAAAAAATTGTTGTTTCACTCATGGAGGGTGTTTTTGAGCAAAAATAGGAATTTTTCAATGGTTTTGTTCGGCCATGGAGGGTGGGTTTTAGGCAAAATAGGGAATTTCCCAATGGTTTGTTCGCTCATGGAGTGTGAGGAGTAAGCAGCAATTTTTCTAATGCTTTGATTATGCCCAGTGTTTTGAAAGATCCTTATGATTACTTTTCGCTGTATCGTATGGAAGTACTCGCTGAGAGCGAGCACATTCCCATGTGATCCCTTACTCCCCCCTTCTATGAGCGAATAAAACCATTGGAAATTCCTATTTTTTAAGTAAAAACCCATCTTCTGTGATCGAACAAAAATGTTTTTAATATCAAAATTTTTTTTGAAAAAGCTATTTAGGTATATAAGTGATAACTATTATAACGAAATTCAATTGAATTTTAAACGCTTGCATTTTAAAACATGAAATTTTGCAAATTAAATTAATTTCTCCATATCAAAAATTGCGAAAAAGGATTTTTTAAATTCGAAAATGAAAGTTTTACTATAAAATTTATATCTAAATTCTTTAAAAACAAAAGTCCGTTAGCATACAAAATATTTTATTCGCTCACTGAGGGAAGCTAGAACTGCTGATTTTCTCTTACTCTCTCCTTCTTTAAATTGAAACAAAAAATCCTGTTTCCAATTTAAAAGTGGGGTTATTTTTGTTTTTAAAACGTAAATTTTATATTCAAATTTAAATGTGGCTAAAGTACCAAAAAAATGCAAATTTTGCAGATGTGTTTTCTTCTTATTTAAAAGGGGAGCTAGATTGCAATTCTATCTCTCAAAGGTCTCGTCTATTTGAAAAATTAGGATATTGGACAAAACGAACCTTTAATTATATTGAAGCCTTGCAAAGTAGCACTATTGACACTGGGATTAATTACAAAATGCTGATGCAGATTTGAAAAAAAGTAAAGGAAAAAGAGGATTTTGATAGAAATGGAATAATCCAAGACCAATTAAGACAAATAATAATTGGGAGTAAGGATGATGCAACTTTTGCGAGTATGATTAATAAAACTCTCAACAGTATGGGATTGGCAGAAGAAAGAAAGGATATTCAACTTCCTGATAATTCTCATGAGCCTCCAATTCTTACAATCACTATTGGTCAAGGCAAAGGCTCTATTAATAAGCTCAAAACTCCATTATCAGAAGAAAACTTAAGTGGTCCAGCTACACTTGAGTTTAAGTTCATGGTTAAGGACAAAAATTCGCCTTTGCAAAAACTCCGTACATTTTTAAACGTTAACAAATCACTATTGCAAAAGGATAAGGGATAATAATTAAATGGCATCATCGGATTTAGTTCTCTTCGAGAACTATTCCATTCTCAGGCAATTTTATTATGGGGTAATTATGCTAGAATGCTCTCCACATCTGGGAGAGACTTTGGAATTTGGGTTTAGGAAGCAGTAAAAATATTAGACTAAATGTCCTGAGGATGGAACTCTTAGGCGAAATATTAGCTAGGAGAAATAATCGCGTTCCATGAAGCTAGGCTATTAGGAGTGCTTTTTGCTTCCGAACAAAAGGGTGGCGTGGAGCAATGCACATGGCTTAGTTAGGGTCCTATATGGCTATGCAACACACTCTCTGCAGAATCAGATGACAAATACCAATTAAGTAATAACAAAAAAATAAGGAAAGCATTGTCGAAGTCATAATTTCAGGCAATACCCAGTTTTTAACGGCTAGATCTAAAGCTTTGCTAAGCGATTTCTTCAGCGAAAAAAAAATTCATATCATTTGCAGTAGCGAAAATCCAAACAGTTAAATTCATAAGAAATAAACTTCTGTAATGATAAAAATATAAAATCTTTATAGTGCTTGAAGAGCAGATTAATGTTATAACTGTCCAGATTTTCGTTAATTATTGTTTCTTTGCTCTCATGTTTTTGACTTTGAGCATTTCCTCTCTGTAAATCACATGCCTATCAACTTTTTTGTGATGCTCTTTATCCAGCAGATCTTTGTTGTGAAGAACAAAGCCTGACTCATTGGAGAAGTCAACTGTCTCATGAAAAGATGAATCAATCGTTGTTGTGAATTCTTTTACTCTTGGCGAATATTGAGGGAATATCGTGTTAAATGTATTTCTTCCTTTCATTGAGTGATTGAGTGTAGGGTCAATTACAGTTTTTGTCTCCATTTATTATAACTGCGAGCATTGATTCTGGCTCTTTGTAAAGGCAATATGATTAGAAATAAAGAATGGATTTTCATATGTAATGAATATGAAATAACAAATTTAAGTCATTTCTTATTAAATAAGTCACTTATTAAGTTTATTTCTTCCTATCTAAGAGAAATCTGTCTGCCATTCTGCGTTTGCTGGAGATGCTCTTGGCCTAACAACTCCATCATCTCCTCTAAAGACATGCGGTCTTCCACCTACAGAAGCTTGTCTGCCTGCGTTATCTCCTCCCATTTGAGGGAAGTTGAAGTTAATCTTAGGCATGGAAATGTTGTTCCACAAATAATAGCAGCAAACTCCTAGCAAGATTACAATTGCAACAGCCAAAATGACCATGCCAAGCCACATCAAGACCAGCCAAAGGCCTATTAAAACAATAAAAACCATAGTATTTGCCTAAATTCGAACTAATAAATCTATGGAAAAAGATCTCAGCAAATCATAGACAATAAGAATCCATTATTACCTGTAAATAATATCTCATAAGTAAATTTACTATAAATTTTAACGGTAAAATTTGGTTATATCTACAATAGCAATGCAAATTCCTAAAATAGAAATCTGTGAGTATATGAAAAAGTGTCTAAATATAATGCAAGTTGAAGCCATAGATATGCTTCTTTTCGCGTTCTATATACTTATAAATAGAAATTAACATTGCCAAATTTTAAGAATTAATTTATTTATTAAAAAGAACAAAAATGAATAATGATAAATAATAGATAAATTATCATTTTCATACTAAATAAAAATAATAAATAATAAATCAATAAAATAAATATATTTTAAATGAATACTAATTTTTAAATTTTGGTAATATTAATAAACCCTGTTTGTTTTTCTATAAAATGACTGAAAAAAGATTTAATAATACTAAATTGATGAAACAATATGTCATTTTTACCTGCTAGTCAGGGTTTGCATTTTTACTTCTATTGAAAAACAGATTTTTTTTTATTACTCACAGATTTCTAATTAAGGAAATTGCATAGTTATTACTAGGTATGAGAAAAAAAAAATTTTACCATTAAGTTTTATATCATCTGTTACACAGATTTCTTAATTTGCAAGGCATGTGGGAAATTTCCCGACATGCTAAAAAATATTTCACATGTGAAGCCGGCATTTATGCAACACTTCACTTGTGGAATTTTTTTTTGACATGTGAGGAAATTTCTCACATGCCTTGCACAATAGGAAATATATGCAACAGATTATAGTAAATTTACTCATTAGATTGATTATTTGTAGCAATAGTGGATTCATTTGACTATTATATGCTGAGACCTTTCCATAGATTTATTAAGTTCGAATTTTAGGCAATTCCTATGGTTTCGATCCACATATAGCGCCCCAGCCAAAGCCCAGTTGCAGTTCCTTTAAAGGTGTATGAGCCGGCCTTGAAGAAATCTTGCCCATTAAGAGCGATTTCTACATTGACTGAATCTTCATGCAAGTCCTTTCTGTTTATTTTTGTTTCTGGAGTAACACATTTAATGGAAGTTTTAGATACATAGACTGCCGGTACAGTTCCGTATTTTCCAAAGCGACACACTATGGCATGCAGTACGTCCAGTTCTCCTGAGCTCTTCCATCCAGTGATTGCTGGGAAAAATCCTTGTTTTTCGTCAGCTGTAATGTTCAGCTCGTATCTTTGATCTACCCAGCCGTATGAAGGAACAATAGAAAGGACCTTAGGGTTGTCATAAAATCTGAATTTGTTATCAGTGTGGGTCCATGGGTGATATTTAGCCTCGCTAAAGCCGATTTCTAAAGGAACATCTAATGGCAATTGAGAGCCATCTGGGATCTTGAAGCTGGCTGGAGACACGCAAATCATGTGGGAATCATCAACAACTTTTCCTTGGACTACCAAGTTGACACTATCAATGCCAAATCTGCATCTTGGGTCAGTGTTCTTAAATCCATATCCTCTAAGCATCACCTCAGTACCTCCTGCAATTGGACCTCCTTTAGGAGCTGAGTCCAAGAGGCCGTAGACTGAATAAGTATGGTTGCTTGGAGCGTAATCTTGGCCATTTATAGCGACGCTGACTATAAGCTGAGTGCCATTCTTAGGTCTTTCCATTTGAGGAGTAAGACATTGTACAACATTTTCACTTAGTTTCGTAGCATGGCTTGCAAATTCTCCTATCCTACAGGTCAAATTGGCTTGCTCGAAATCTGATTTGAATGGACCACCATAAATAGTAATCAAAGACCCTCCAGAAACTGGTCCATTGTCAGGCTCAACACTTGAGACATTTGCTTGTCTGTAATATCGGAATCCATGCTCGAATTTTCTATAATCAACCCCATTCATAGTGATTTCGAAAGTTACTTCGCCTAAAAAGTCGTCCTTCATTGAAGCTGGCATTGGGCAGATCATGTAATTCCAGGAAATTGCAATTGGTCTGTATTCTTTATAGTCTAGAACGCAGGCTGCATTAGGATTTGGAATAAAGCCAGAGCCAAAAATGGTGATTCCTTTGTTTGAGCCTGTATTTGGCCCACTCAGAGGTCTTGCGCCATCTACTTGGAAGAAGAAAAATGAAGAATTGCTGGTGGTATAGTCTATACCATTAAAGGTAATATCAACCCTAGCTTCAGTGCCTGAGCCCCAGCCACCTGGTGAGGTGCAGTAAATTAAGGACTCGTTCTTGTAAAAGGCGTGGATGAACTTGTCTGGAGCGTTGATACTTACTGCTCTGAATCTGCACATGAACTCGTCTGGATTCGCTTGGCCAGTGAAATTGGACCCGTAAACTCCTATCATAGTGCCTCCAGTACTTGGCCCAGATACTGGCAAAATGTGGCTGATGAAAGGAACGTTATAGTACACAAAGATTTGTTCGCCATTTGTCCAATCAACTCCATTGAAGCTGACATCAAGAGGAACTGCTGCTGCAAGACCAGGCTGAGCTGGAGAAATGCACTTAACTCTTACGGTTGAGATGAACTCTCCTGGAACCACTTTTTCGCCAAATCTGCAGAGTGGAGTGCAGCCCATAGAAGGATAATTGATGTACCAAGCTCCTGCAAGAGTGACTTCAGTGCCTCCTGTGTTTGGACCACCATGTGGGAATATGTATTTAATGACTGGCTCCTTGTAGTAGAAATAAAGCAGTTTATTAGAAGTGTAGTCCCCATAGAATGTATAATTTTGCCCATAATTGTCCTCAAGATCGATATTATGGCCGATTTCGACATAAACAAAGCCACCATGCGTGTTTTTGGTTGGGGTTGGTGCTGAGTACCCAGTCATAACTCCTGATGATGGGGAAAATAGCGTTTCTAAGTTCGCAGGTCTGGACTCAGTGCCCCACTTAAGATGCAAGTTCGTTAAATCGTTGAAGCCTGTGCCTAGAATAGTGATCTTGGTTTCTCCGCCATTAATCCCGCAAGCTGGTGTGATTTTCATTCCTTCAAGCTTCTCTTCGTATTTAAAGGTGAAGTTGCCCGAGTAATCTTTCCCATTAATAGTCAAGTCAATTTTCACATCTTCAATGCCAGACCATGGAGGACTGAGACAAGTAATTGCATTAGAAAGACCATGGGAGTGGAATGGATAAGTGATGATGTTTCCTTCTACAGTGACAGTTTGATTTTTCCCTGTGAACCTGCACTTGACGATGACGTATTTTTCAATGAATTCTTTTTTGTTTCCGTCAGTGTTGTTCTCAGATCTCCAATGGAAATCAGTCTCAGTCACAATGTAGCTTCCACCGCTAGATGAGCCGCGATCTGGATTGATGCTCTTATATGTAGGCTCTTTGAAGTATCTGAATTTGTTATGAGAGTTAGTGAACTTTCTGTCTCTAACAGCTACTTCGATATCAAAACCTTCATCTCCAACTGGCTCCCCAGTGCTCTTGTAGACGATATCACTCTGTGCGAAAGTGGTGCATTGGACTTCGGTATCACTAATAAACTTTGCTTTGACAATGCAATCCTTGAATTTGCATAATAGAGGATTTTCCTTGCTTCCAAATCTGCATTCCAGCTCTGAGCCAGTGTCAGCAAAGCCAAATCCCATGGCACTCACATTGGTGCCTCCTTCCCTCTTGCCAAACTTAGGCACCACATCGAGCACAAAGGCATCATAATAGGTATAGAACTTGTGATCGTTAGTGTAATCGTTGCCGTTCAACGTGATTTCGACTTCTACTGCTTCAGGTCTGCTTAGGTTAGGGATTTCACAGATAATGTGCTTGTCGTCTTTAAGGTAGCCTTTAGTGTAAATTGGGTAAGGTTTTGTCCCATATCTGCAAGCTAGCTCGTCACAGTTTGTGCTGAGGCACTTGAAGTTTGTGCCGTTCACTGTGAGGTTTCTAGGTTCGTCATATTTGACTGGGCCAAACTTAGGATCAATGTCAATTATGACAGGAGCTTCGTAAAATAGATAAGTGTCATCATCAGCAGTGCTGCCTGTATTTCTGATCTTTAGGTAGTTGACGCCGTTTTTAGTTATTTCCAAGTATGCCTTAGTCCCAGCCTTTGCAGCAGGAGTCCAACATTTTGCTTGATTAAGCTGCACATCATAACAGACTCCTGTGCCGATGTAGGTTCCGTTTGTATAGTTGAATCTCAGTAAGACATGGAGATCATCTGGGCTCTCCTCTGCATCTAAAAACCCAGCTCCATAAACTACAACAGTAGCATTTCCAGTCTTTGGCCCTTGCTTAGGCTTGAAATCAGTGACTAAAGGATCTTGATAGAAATAGAAGCCGAGCACCCCTTCATCAAATTTGCTTCCTCCGATATTTTTCGTGCCTTCCTGATCCGTAAACTGTTGACCATTAAGTGAAAGCTGGACAATAGCATCTCCAGGAACTTTAACTGAAGGACTCATAGCAACTGCCACAGTGTCAGTATGGTTGAATGTCAAAACCTCAGTCGTTCCAAACCTCACAGTCACATTGCAAACTCCAGGCTGGGCAAAGTGCTCTCCATGCAGAACAGCCGTAGTATTTCCTGTGATTGGTCCACTAGTAGGAGTCATTGAGAATAGTTTATGGAACTGATAGAAGCTGAAAATGATAGGCTTTTTCGATTGACTTCTGTCCTTGCCATTCAAAGTGACTGATACATTAAAGAATATCTGCTTTACCAGCTTATCATCTAGGTGGATGTCTGGGGAGTCACATTTAATTTCAGTCTCACTCATAACAGTTGCTGGGGTGAAAATATTATCACCAAATATGCAAAACACAAGATTGGGACCCGTGAAGACAAAGTTTTTGCCAGTCACTGTGATTTGAGTATATCCAGTTGTAGGTCCACACATGGGCTGAATTGAATCAATCCAAGGAGTTGCGTAGTATAAATACTTGACTGATTGTCCAAAGTTGTCTTCAATAAGTGAAACACTCAAGTCTACAAGTCCTGGGTTGTCGACGGCTGGACTTAAACATAAAATTTCATTGACACTTAGGAATCTGCCGCTGACCACTTTGCTTCCGAATCTACACTTAATAGAGCCAGTGTCATTAAAGTTTGATCCTGAGACGTAAACGCTGGTATTGCCGCTTGTTGGGCCAACCCTTGGGTTGCAATCATACACGTAAGCAGGAGCATAGTATGTATAAGGCAAATGATCATCGGTCCAGCTTCCAGGGTTGAGGATCATGTCTGCATTATTTAATGTAACATCAACTAAAACTGTCCTAATAATTGGGCTTGGAGGTGCAACACAGGATATCAAAATATCTGAATAAATTGTTGCTGGGGTAAGAAAATCGTTCCCAAACCTACAGTAAGTGTCGTTATGGTTGTTGACTTGAGAAAGCACATCATTGAAAGGGTCTAAGTCTTGGCCTTCGATCATAACCACAGTGCCTCCTGTTGTTGGTCCTTTGTCTGGGGTCAGCTTCATGATTGCTGGCTCTGGGTAGTAATAATACTTAATATCATCCTTGGTGTTCTGTTGGTCATTCAAGGTAATTCTGAATGGCATTCCTGCGACGACTGTATCAGAAAAAGGACTGACACAATACATCATTGTAGGACTGATATAAATTCCAGGCACGGCCTTAGTACCAAAAGAGCATCTGAGGTATTGGTCGAAATCAATGAAATTTTCCCCATAAACTGTCACCACTGTGCCTCCATTTTTAGGTCCGTAGATAGGGACGATGTAGTTGACCTTAGGTGGTGGGTAGTATTGGAATTCAGCTGAGTTTTCGACATCTGTGAAGTCTCCAGTGATCGAGACACTAAATGGGACCATATCAGATACCGGCGATTCTGGGCTTGGGTCGCATTCAATGCAGTGAGCTGTCTTTTCTGCTGTTGTTGGCTCTGGCTCGTCTGGACGTCTTGGGATGGGTGTGCAGGTGACATAGGTGGCCTTAACAATGTTCTTCTTGGAGCCAAACTTGCACTTAGGAGAAGGATGATCCTCTCTGGGCTCCAGATGGGTTCCTCTAACTAAGACACGGGTATTGCCTGTGGTAGGACCGATATTGGGAACTATGCTAGTAATGAATATTCGCTCTGCGGCAGCAAGGGCTACAAGTAAAGTGAGAAGCCACGCTGACATATTACAATTATCATCCATTCATGATTCAATTTTTCAAGTTTAAAATTAGGGAATTGCTTATCATAAAGAAACTCGAAGACCAAGACAAGTTTGCCGAAGAAATTGGCGCAGCCAAAAACCAAAAATGAGAAGACTTTTTAAATTGATTTTACTGTAATTATGAGACTAATCAGGGAATTGATTAGTGAGAGCTTATGTTATAAGGCTTTAATAGAGGATCAGATAGCATTTGTTGTCTTGATTTAGTTGCTTGTCTTGGAGATCCTCGAGCTCACAAATGTATTCTAGAGCTAGTCTTCGATACAAGTCATAGTAAACTACCGTTATCCCTCCAATTAGCATTAATGCTGGGAAGTGATATGATCCTGCTTATAATTGCTATAAAGAAGAGACGTTCGAATTGCTTTGTTATATAATAGTTTAGCAAAGAATCCGCTGCTTGCACCGAGCCAAAATAAGCCCATTTATTATGTATGAAAGGATTCATAATCAAAAAGTGGTATCTCTTGAATTTTCTCAATTAAATATTTTATTTTCATGCTTTACATCACCCAATTATTTTCCTGACTGAAGAATAAAGACCCAGTGATGCACAGTACTGGACGGCCATTGAGGAACTGAGCATTGGTAGAAGTTGCCGCATTAGTGATCAAAATAAGTCAGTTTGGAAATAGTTGGCACTGGTGTGACTTTTATTGGAGAAAGCGCAGACAAAAGATATGGCATATAGATGTTAAACTTAATACTAATCATTAAATAAGTACGAAAGGAGTTAGGGATGATTTATTTAATCAAATGCTTTATTATTTAATAGCTCCGATTATGAACTAACGAGTAATTTAGTTTGTTTTGAATTATAAATTAATATATATATTATAATTAATTTGGATAAATAAATTTATGATATCAAATAGGGGGTAAAGAGACAATGCATATAATCAAAGCTTTGTTTAAAAGCCTTAGCTCTTTTATTAAATAACTATTGCTTATAATTAGTGAATGAAGTTCAGTTAGTTTTAAGTCTAAAAGGAAAACACAATTTCTTGAGTTAGATCTAAAATAAAGAGCATAAGAAGCATGAAAATATAATAAAAGATTATAAAGCCCAGTCTAAATCAAAAGGCCGGTAGCAATTCTAAAATAAAACTTTAATAGTAAATTGGTATAAAGCATGGATAGTTCTTTTTGACTGGCGACATATTTATTAAAGATATAAACTAGCCATTTAAATTTAATGAAATGATATGTATACTGATCATATTTTTGACTATTTTAAAAATAAAAAAAATTGAATAATTTCACTGTAAGCTTATTTAAACAAAATATTAGAAAGTCACGCAGCGTATGCAAGGTCCTTCATGAATACTGATGTAGACGCTATTTTGAGAGATATTGACTGATTCCACCACTTTTCTGCTGCTGCTTTGTAATCTTGCACTTCTATTAGTAGACCCCTTTCTAGAAATGCTTGAATTGTCTTTGTTCTGGCTGCTTTCGGTCCCGAGAGATATGATTCCACTGGAATCTATGCTTGTAAAACTTTTATCTGTCATATTTGTTATAATTAGATTTCTGAGTGCAAAAAATAACGATTATCGCATTCACATTTCTCTATTTAAATAAAAATCATGTTTCATAATAAGCCAATAATTTTTTAAACATAAAAGAATAATTTATTTTAAAATACCCTATATAAATATTTTTTTCAGCAAGCAAATAATCTATAAATTAGTTTATTCCGCTAAAATCATTTATTTAATCACTAACTCTCCTTTAACTAATTATAGGCTTTCATTAATAAAATTTCTGACAATTTTTAAAAATCATTAATTTGACTGCAGTTGGAATTAATCTTTTAATATAAATATAAAACCTTATTTTATTTCAATTGCAATCTAAAAATTTTATAAAAAAGTAAATTAAAAGTCTTATAACACTACAAACAAATTATATTTTTATAATGAGAGATAAGAGTTTTATTGCGAAATTGCTTTTAAATTTTTTTGTTTAAATAGCTGTTTTTAATTAATCGTCACTTTGCATAAATCAGTTTTTATAGGAGGATCACCATGTTTCTTTGAATAAGTAAAAAAGCATTTAATAAAGCTCTAGGGAAAAGTTATTTAACTAGAAATTATGAACTGCAAACTAGGGCTAGTGCAGTTATAGCAACGATTTAAAAACGACTTTGAATGTATTGGATTTAAATATAAATTATTGACATTCCAAATCAAAAAGGAAGATTTCAAAATTCAGCTGAAAATCTGCTATTTTTTATTTTTCTTCACAATTCTTATGAAAGTTACAACAATCTTAACAGAAGCTGACTCAAGGAAAGTGAAGGCAAAGAAGAGTGGAGTGGCTCACTTTTGGAGTCTGCAAGTCTTCAGGCCTTTTCATAAATAAAACTTACTAAGTGTCACTAGCTCAAAAGTAACAGGCTCAATGTTTGACAGCGAATAGTTTAAGTATGAATGTTCAAGTAGAAATGCATAATAATGCAAGCTTTAGGAATGTCGGAACTGTATTCACGATTGATAAAATTAGCTCTGACACCCTAGGATTTCTAGTGCATTGTTTGCAAAGGTATATCAGCATTGAAACATTAAAATTGTGGGATAGAATATTGGGTGTAAAATGGATTATAGAAAAGATTGATAGATATAAGACCTGAGAAGTAATCCTAGTTCGAATAATAATACTTCATAGTGAAGTCATCGATTTATAATGACAAAAGAATTTTAAGAGTTAAACAGCATAAAAAATGGAAGACCGGGGTATCGATCCCCGTGCCTCTTGCATGCTAAGCAAGCGCTCTACCATTTGAGCTAGACTCCCAGTTGCAACCTTAACCTAAAATCCATTTAAATATATATCCATTTATGATTTGCTTAATAAATATATAACTCAATTGCCAGCAGCCTTGCTTATTTCTTTTTGCACATACAAGTTCTCGTGTCTGCTCCACAGTCAAAACAAAAAATATAACTACACTGGCACCTCATCACGTTTGTCTTTTCCTCTTTTTCTACCCATCGTCGGCAGTGAGGACAGGCTTTCAATTTTAGTCCTGGATAATATTGTTCTTGCTGGTTATTTAAATAATTTCTTCACAATTAAAAATGGAATGTATGAGTTAGGGGTCTCATCCCCTATACTCGTCCTAGTGAGGGAAGTTTCAAGCTTTCTGAAGGAAATTAGCGTTGGGACTGCTCCGGCAGCCCCAAGTGAGCTTGAATCACATTCAAGCCATGAAGAGAGACTCGTCCGGGCCATAGGCAACTGTAACGGTTCGATGGTTAGGCCGATTCCACCTACCGTTGTTCAGAGCTGTTAGCTAGTGGATGGAATTCATGAAGGAAGAGCTTGTTTAGATTGACCCTAAGCTAAGTGGGGGTCTACAAAGAGTTATCGCAATCTTAATCTTAAATAATTTCTTCCCCACTGGTCGCATGAATACCCTTTATGATAGTCACACCTACAAATCAAGCAGTATTCTCTTTTGCACATCGGGCATTGATAATACCCCTGGTCAGTATCAAGTATAAACATATTCCTGCAGTTGGGATTCGGACAGCTGCACAAATCAGTAGAGTTTTGGTCGATATAGTGTTTGAATGAGTTTTCTTCATAAGTTTTGAACTGGTCTCGAGTCAGCCGCGATTTTAAGTCTGCTAATGCTACTTCCACTTTGCAGTTTTGGCTGGGGCAAACCAATGGAAATTTGTATTCGTAAATGGAATTTTCTAAGTAGTCGACCAGGCACAGCTTGTGGTGCAAGTGGCCGCAAGTCTCGAGCGGGTTTACCTCTTCTTCTGGGATGACCTCTTTGCAGATCCCGCATTTCAGAGCTTCCAGCTTTTTCTTTCTATCCTGTTCTTCTTTGTTCTTCTTTTCTTGCTGCTCTTTGGCTTCTCTTTCAGCTTCTAGTCGCTTTTGTTCTTGAAGTTTTCTCTTTCTTAAGACATCCTCTTCTTCTTCAATCTTTAGCTTTTTAATGACATCTAAGAGTTTTTGCTCTATTTCAGCTACTTGGGCATTGGAAAGTTTACTTTCTGGCTCAATTTTCATTGAATTACCTTCTTGTTTCTGCACAGACTGTGGCTTGGGTGGTTCTTCTTCATTTTTGGAGCTTGTCTTTTGGAATTTTTTAAGCTGCTCAGTCGCTTTATCAATTTTTCCCTGATAGATGTGGAATTCTATGATGGCTTTATTTGTATCGTTGAGCTTATTCCCTTCATACTTAGCTTGTATAAAAGCGAGGATTTTTAATATTTTTGCAAGCGGGGTGCTTGATTTTGCTTTAGCGACTCCAGCTATATAGAGTCCTTGGGGGGAAAGTCTTGACGAGTATTCTTCAATTGCGTTCAGATCTTCTGTGTATTCAGTTAAGGAGTCTCCCATTGATTTCTGTTTCTTATATTATATATAGACATATTGAGAATAGAATTCGGAACTGTGAATAGAAATATATGCATTATTAAGACATGTCTTATGTAGGAGAGCGTATTGCGAAAGTTATGGCATCTCGAGGCTTGTGCTCCAGACGAGAAGCTGAAAAATGGATAACTCAGGGCAGAGTTAAAGTTAATGGTGCTACTCTTGTCTCCCCTGCTTTAAATGTTACAGATGCAGACACAATTTTGATTGATGATAAGCCGATTCCTAAACAAGATTTACTCCGCTTATGAAAATTCCACAAGCCAAAAGGCTACATCACTACTCACAGAGATCCGCAGAAAAGGCCCACTTTGTTTTCTCTTTTACCGAAAGATTTTCCTAGAGTAGTTTCTATAGGGAGACTTGATATGGATTCTGAAGGTCTTATTCTGTTAACAAACAGTGGAGAAATCGAGCATAAATGAGAACTGCCTTTATATGGGTGGATTCGATCTTATAGAGCAAAAGTATTAGGCTCCGTTGATCAAAAAAAGCTAGAAAGTTTGAGAGACGGCATTACTATTGATAATTTTCATTATAAATCAGCTATTGCAAAAATTGAGTCACAAGATGAAAAGTTCGCCTGGTTAAATGTGCAGTTGACAGAGGGAAAGAACAGAGAAGTAAGAAGAATTTTTGATTACTTAGGCTGGCCTGTTCAGCAGCTGATTAGAATTGGATTCGGACCTTTTGAATTAGGCAATTTGCAGAGTGGAAAATTCGAAGAAATTGATCTAACTTCATTAGAAAAAATATTTTTGGGAAAATAATCTCAATAGCTCTAAATTTTAAATAGTTTTTGGATACAAAAACATAAATGATATAAAAGAAATTAGATTTTTCATGAAATCTCGGTTTTAGGATCGATAAAAAATTGTTTCATTAAGCTTTAAAAAAATTATCGAAAAAAAAAATATTTCTCTAATCTTACCGGGATTAGTAAGCAACTATAAATACTTACTTTAACTATTCCTGTTTAAATAAAGTTTTTAATATTCACGATAGCGCAATGTTCAGCCCTTCGAAATTATTACTAAAGCAACCTAAAAGCTTAATATATTTTTATTAACATATTTGACTTACTCCCCAAAATTGCACTTATATCAGAGGGTTTTAGCACAAAAATTGCATTACTAGATTTATATGAGAAGACCAAAATTTGCTTATTATTAGAGGAAAATGTCAAAATTAAATTTTTTCTTATATTTTTGGGCATTCACCCGATCCTCACAAATTTCGATACTCATATAAAATTTTTCTATTTGTAATTTTTGTGTCAAATACCCTATAATAAGGCAAATTTAGCAAGGGAGCTACTTACACTTCAAACACGTAACCATTTTTCAATAAAATGTATTCTCGAGTTACTTCCTTTACTCGACAATTTTGAAGAAGTCTCAAAGTCCCTCCTCAGCCTTCTCAAAGCCCTTCTTCTAACTTTTCTCTCTACCACACATTATTTGCAATATCTGGCCTTTATCTTGCATATGACTATCATAAACAATTTCTTGAAAGCTGTGGGATTGTTGGGTATATCGGAAAAGAGCCCAAAGCAATTGAAGTCATTCTTAATGGACTCAATGAAGTCCAAAACCGTGGCTACGACTCAGCTGGAGTTGCAACATATCATGAAAATGAAGGAATGCGCGTCACAAAATATGCAAGCGGCAAAGACACGATTTCTGATTCAATTTCCAAGCTTTCAAAGGAAGCAGCTATAACTCATAAAGGCAGCAGGTTGGGAATTGGCCACACCCGTTGGGCAACACATGGAGGAGTTACAGACCAAAACGCCCATCCTCACTCAGATCACAAAAACAGGGTCTTTGTAATTCACAATGGGACCATTTCAAACACCCACGAAATTGAGGAAATATTAAAGCATAAAGGTATCCCAATCAAAACAGAAACTGACACAGAACTTATAGCACTGCTAATTGGCATGTATCTCGATGAAGGACATTCATTTAGAATTTCCACCAAGCTGGCATTGGAAAGGCTTGTCGGAACCTGGGGACTTGCCGCAATTTGTAGTGAAAGCCCAAATGAAATTATTGTCGCGAGAAAAGGCAGTCCGATCCTTGTAGGGATTGGTGAGCATGAGCTGTTTGTAGGGAGCGAACAATTAGCGTTCAGTAAGTATACAAATAAATATATTGCACTAGACGATGACGAGATCTGGACTTTAGACCCTGTTAAGATGGAGGTGGAAAAAGATAGAATTCAAACGGTCGCAGAAATCTCCAATGTGTCTTTAGGTCACTATACACATTGGACTTTGAAAGAAATTGAAGAACAGCCTGAGTCAGCAGCCAGAGCTTTGAATTATGGGGCTAGATTAACTCAGGACAGTGCAAGGCTGAAAGGGCTGGATGAGATTGAAGACGAATTCTTAAAGGTGAGAAACTTATTACTAGTAGGCTGTGGAACTTCACTGCATGCAGCTCAGTTTGGAGCTCAGCTGATAAGATATATGGGGATTTTAAACACTGTGCAGGCAATTGATGGGTCAGAATTAACCTCTTATGATATCCCAAGTGACCACCCTGGTGTCATAGCTATCAGCCAATCTGGCGAGACTAGAGATGTTGTTGGGCCTGTAGAAAAATTGGTCAACCAAGGAATTCTGACACTTTCTCTAGTAAATGTGGTTGGCTCCCAGCTAGCCAGACTTACAAAGCACGGAGTTTACTTGAATTCAGGAAGAGAAATAGCTGTGGCCTCCACAAAAAGCTTCATGAACTCTTGTATAGTTTTAGCTGAAATTTCCTTGTGGATGTCTAAACATCTGAAGCCCAACGACACAGAAAAAAGAAAGCAGCTGGTCCAAGCTTTGCTGGAATTTCCCATGCAGGTCGGATCAGTGATAGCACAGAATAAAGAAGCCATGAAAGAGCTTGCTGAAGAAATCAAAGACGAGCAGCATATGTTTATTCTTGGACGAGGCCTTGGGGAGTCTATTGCTAAAGAAGGGGCATTGAAAATTAAAGAACTCTCAAGACTTCATGCTGAAGGCTACCCTGGAGGAGCGCTAAAGCACGGACCTTTTGCATTGATAGGAGATGGGACACCAATAAAATGGCTTTCGCTCGAGCGAAGTTAGCTCTGCTAACTTTCTCTCACTCAAGCAATTTTATTTATAGGGTTGGGTTTTTACCTCAAGAACTTCTGCACAGCAACAGCGGTTTAAATTTGGGGATAACCCAAAGGAACTGCTCCTCAGTGCGCTCAAGATCTGGAGTTTTACCCCTCAGCACATCCCAAGGGAGATGGACCCTCAGGCGGAACACGCGCAGGAGCTGAGTCGAACAAACCGTGGCGGCAGTAAAGCCCGTCGAAGCCGGAACGCCTTATTTGCTCGTGCCCTGGCGAATCAAAAGGGATCGGCCCAGCGGTCTCTGGGCCCGACACGTGTACAAATATGGTGGTAGCTCTGGAAGCGGCAACCCCGTAGGAGACGTTAAACGTTAATAGATAATTAGATAGATAGATAGGAGATGGGACACCAATATTTTGATTATCCTTGATGATGAAAATAAAGACATGATGAACCTTGCACTTGCAGAAGTCACAGGTAGAGGAGCCAAAACAATTGTGATTACACCAGATCCATCATTAATTACTGCTTCGAAAAAGCCTCACAAAATAGTAAAAATTGATAAAACTGGGCCATTATCAGCTTTGCTTGCAATTATTCCGATGCAACTGTTGGGATATTATTTAAGTATTAAGAGAGACTTGGATCCTGATCACCCTCGCGGATTAGCTAAAGTCGTAACTGTAAGCTAATTCTTTATTTTATAGAAAAATCTTATCATCACAATTGATAATTTAAATTCTTGCTTTCTTTACTCCTCTCCCTAGCAAAATAATTATTCGCTTAAAAAGGGTAATTTTTAACAATTTTATATAAAAAAATAAGATTGAAGCTAGAAATTTATCTGATTAAAAAATTGTTTAGAATTGACATCTCTATCATATAGATATATGGTTTTAAATAAATCTAACTTATTATTAACTCTATCAGCTCATTATGGGTCCTGGCTAGAACTAGTATCCAAGTCCAATTGCAGGAAAATTAAATTTAATTCTTTTTACCTTTATATGGAAGCTATTTTTTGTAAAGATTAATAATTACCTAAGTATTTAAAAGAAAGATAAATAGATTTATAATTGCTTGCGCAATTGCTTTGCTCTTTAAGATCATAATCATAAAATCCATATAAGGCGAGTTATTTTCAGTGATTTTTATTGATTTGAATTTTAAACCGAATCGAAATTATTTAGAGATCGTAAGATAGTCAAAGCTCACCGCGCTAGGCCTAAAGGCAATTATTATCCACACAGGCGGTGACGAGACGGCTTATCATCGAATCTCTAATCAATTGTCTTCCTCAGAGCACCGTCTTCAATACGATTTGGCCAATTGACTTGCATCTTCTCGGATGGAGCCGGATGAGCTGCAGACTTGCTTTTATCTTGCCTCAGACAATCCACCTCTCAGCCGACTTTGAATCATGCAGAGACTTGTGCAGCCTAAGCTGCCCAGTCTTCCTTCCACACGTCTTGATGTCGGTCCATCTCGACAGCCATCTTATCCTATGAGCCCAAGGCCCATTGACCGATGATAGAGCTTATATTTGAGGAAAAGCTCTTTAAACTAGTAAAAACCTCACCTGGTTAAAATTAACTCAATAAAAGACACTTCTTGGTCAGTCGAGCAGCTAAAATTTTTCACGATTTGCATTTTAAAACTTAAAGAACTTAGCAGACTGATCGGGAAAAGAGTAAATATAAGAAATCAGATAATATATAAGCTAATAATTAATAGAATTAAATAAAAAGAAGTTACTTCAACTTCAGCTTCTAGTGGTTTGTTTTTAATATAATCTGATGCCCAAATTTAACTCTCTCCCAACTAGAACTCATAAGTTTGCTCTCGTCAATGAAGTTTTAAGCATTCTACTTGTTTATATACTTTCATAGAAGAGTTATAAATTTATAAAAGCAGGTCCTATCTATTAAAATTAATCTTTTGCATAAGCTGAAACTCAGCTTAAAATCATTCTAGGGTACAAGGAGTTACCCATTTTTTAATATAGCAGTGAATGAGATTTTTATGAATCTCTAATTAGCACCATAAACTTAATTTAGTTTTTTTATCAAAAATGGGTTGTATATCTAGTAAAAAGAAAACAAAGCCAGAAGCACTACCAACTCAAGCAGAATACTCAACCGCCCAAAGTCGAGTCCTGAAGAAAGAAGAGCTAAAGATTGAAGCGTCAAATTTCGTATGAAAAGGAAAAGGCTCTATCAAAGACCACTACCGAATGGAAGAGCAACTAGGAAAAGGCGCTTTTGGTTTTGTTCGGCTCGCGACACATATTCCTACTGGTCAAAAGCGGGCAATTAAGACTATTCACAAGAGCTCTATAATAAACGAGGCTGCAGAAAGAAATAAATTCATAACTGCCCACCTCCGTTAGCGAACAAAATTTTTTTTGTTCACTCACGGAGGGGGTGTTATTTTTTTTGTTAAAAAAATTTATATATAAATCTTATTATAATAATTTTTTTTTCAAAATTTAAAAAAACCAATTCGCAAAATTGGAAAACAAATATTATTTAATTTGTAGAATTTATGTTTTAAAATGCAATTTGTTAAAATTAAACAGAATTAGCTAGATATTTCATTATAATAATTATCACTTATATATCAATTTTTTTCATAAACAATTTTTGTTCGCTCAGGGAGGGGGGAGTAAGCGAAATTGAAATTTTGCGAAAAGCAGATCACCCAAACATCGTAAAACTGTACGAGTTTTTCGAAGATGAAGAACACTACCACTTAGTTACAGAACACGTTAAGGGCGGAGAGCTCTTCGATTACATTATTAAAACCAAAATGCTTTCAGAAAAAATAGCAGCTCATTTCATGATTCAGTTATTGAGCGCTGTCCTTTATTGCCACACAAACAATATCGTGCATAGGGACCTTAAGCCCGAAAACTTGCTATTGGAGACCCAAGACCACGACGCGAATTTAAAAGTCATTGATTTTGGTACCTCTGCAATTTTTGAGCCTTGTAAAAATTTGACTCAAAAATATGGGACTGCATACTATATCGCCCCAGAGGTTTTGAGGAAGGACTACAACGAAAAATGTGATATTTGGAGCTGTGGGGTAATTTTGTACATACTATTAAGTGGCAAACCTCCTTTTTATGGAAGAAATGACCGGGATGTCATTAGAAGAGTGGAAAAAGGGGAGTTCTCAATGAAAGGGAAAGAGTGGGAAGATATCTCACCGCAAGCCAAACAACTAATCAGCAAAATGCTGGATTTTAACCCGCAGACGAGAATTTCTGCAAGTGAAGCGATTCAGGATGAGTGGATTTGTAAGTACACAGATAAGTCAGATCTCACAGAAACTCAAGAGCTCAGGTCTCTTGAAGTCCTCAGGACTTTTCGGGCAGAAGAAAAGCTGCAGTATGCAGTTCTTTCTTTTATTTCTTATCAGCTTGTCAACAGAGAAGAGTCGAAACAGCTGACCGAGATGTTCAGGTCTCTTGACATAAACGGAGACGGGAAAATCAGTAAAGAAGAGCTGCTAGAGGCCTACTCAAAATCGCTCGGAAGATCAGCAGCAATTGATCAGGTTGAACAAATCATGGCAAAAGTTGACGCAAATAACTCAGGATATATTGACTACTCTGAGTTTATTATGGCTGCAACTGCTTTGGAGACACTGATTAGCAAAGAAAACTTGAAATCAGCCTTCATGGCTTTTGATGCTGATGGGAATGGCAAAATCTGTGCGAAAGAGCTAAAGATGTTTTTGGGGAATGATATTAAAGTAAGTGACGTTGTGTGGAAAGATATGATTTCACAGGTCGATTTAGACGGCGACGGAGAAGTGGATATTAAAGAGTTCGAAACTATGATGATACAGCTCAGCCGGACCTCTGCTTTGTAAATTTATATTTATACAGAATTATTTAATAAAGTTTTCTTTAAGAATTTCTTTTCCATTTTCAGATATTGCAGGAGAAACTGCTCTGGAAGACCGAGGTGGCTTCCCTGGGTCAGTGAACTCTCTCTTATGTTTTCTTTGTGAGAGGGCGTCTTCATTGTTTCGGTCGCTCACTAAATTTCCCTTTAAATTGGAACAGAAAATTTTGTTCGGATTTAGAGGGGGTTAATGGTTTTTTTTAAAAAAATATAAATTGAGTGCAATATTCAATTTTTATGAAGAATTAATTCAAAAAAATTATTGGTTGAGTGTGTAAACTGTTTAAATAATATTCATAATAAAGGCAATTAAACTCCTGAATTCCTTTTACCTCATCCAAAATTCATTATTATGGGGCTAGGTTTTTTGCATGTAGACTTCTGCGCAAGAGAAGAAATGGGCCAAGAATTTTATATTTTGCCTAAACTTGTGTATAGTGTTTTGCCATTTACCCTGATGATATAAAAGGCATGACCCTTAGGCCGAAGAACAGGCACTGGAGGAAAGTGAGATAGAGCGAGGTAACGTGCAAAGCCGCTAGTGCTTCACAGAGACAAGGAGCTTGAACCGACTGAGAAGCCTGTCTTGAGTTCGAGTGTAGCAACAAGACGGAGAAAAAGGCGTCTCACCCACCCTGCGCAAATAGAGACCCAACTAGAGCTAGTTAAATAAAATTAATGTATCTGTTTAAATAACATTCTAATTAAGTTAAAACTAATTTTTAAAAATATTATTTTACTTATAAAAATTTCTTTAAACAAATTATTTATTGGTTTAAATGGTCAAAGTACCCAAAAAATGGGAATTTCACCTATATTTTTGTTCCAATCTAAAAAGGGGATTAAGAGTTCACCAGCATGCCTTAATAGATCTCGATCTGTCTTTTTATGGTTTCTGATTTTTCGAAGTCTGGGTGGCTTGGGACTGCAGTCTCTTTTTTCATCTGAAACTGACCCTCCAAAGTCAGGGTCAAAATTTTCTGATTCCCCAACTGGTGTTTTAGAAATCCTTGGGAAATCTTCTGATTTGATTTGCTTCTTTTTATGGTGGCTTGAGATTAATGACAAGATATTTTTCTTTTTCACTGAAATAGGAGGTAAAGAATCGATAATTTCTTTTCCTAGTCCCAAGCTTAGCTGTTGCTCATTGCATGATTCATCAATATTTATGGTGGTTGATGTGACACCTTTTTCATCAGAATAAGCTGTTCCCCATTCCGAAACCTGTCCAGAAGCTTGTAAATTCTTTTTATGGCATGAAATTATTTCTTCTTCCTCCTGGTATGGATTGTTTGCTATTTCCAATAGTGAATCAAAAAAAGCTGTTGGCTGCTCTACCATAAGTGGAGATTTCGGAGTCTCAGGGATTATTTGTGACTTTTTTTTGCCTGAGCATGAATGAAGCCTTAGTGACAAAATTTTGGAGATTGAGTTTTTTCTTTTATCTGGGCTTTGATTTTTCTTAGGGGAAGGAGATTTAAAACAGATTTGTTTTGAAGGTTTTGGTGTTGAAGGGAAGTTTTCAGGGTACAAAATGAGCTCATCTTCAGAAAACTCATTGTGAGTTGCGATGGTTTCTTCGTCTGAAAGTTTTCTTTTAGTGTTTTCGCTTTCTATGCAGCTATCGTTCAAGCCTTCATCAATGAAATTATTTTGGCTGATATTGACTAAGAAATCGTCATAGTTTTTTAAGAATTCGCGGTTCTGTTGAGGCTTTTGGAAAAGTTTAGGCAACTCAGGAGATTTTTCTTGAATTTCTTCTGGGACTTTTGACTCTTCCTCTTCAATTTGGCTACTGCTGTTGAAGGCTGACTCATTGTCAAAAGATTGAGAGCAAAGCGAAGGGTTGATTATCCCTTCATTTTTTGGTTTTTGAGGAGAGCTCGGATCAGCTTCTTCATAGCTTATTTCCTCTTCAACTAGCTTCAATGGTCTTTTTTTATAGCTTGGCAGTTCTTTTGGCAATATGTTGATACAATACGGCACATATTTCCCTTCATAGCTCTTAAAAATCCCTGCCCTTTTGCCAATTCCACAGATAAAGACCCTCAACGGAGCATCCAAGCCAATCCCAACCGCAAACTGAATTGCTGCATTTTTCATGATCTCGCTTCCATTAACTTGGACAATCATCATACACCAAAACGTACAAATACCTAGCACCATAGCAGAGCACAATACTATTCGTTCTAATAAAAGCTCAAGTGTGTTTTTTAAGCTTCTCTGTTCTGCAGTAAACGATCTTTCAAGCAATAAATCAGGAAACTCACTTATATCCTGGCGACGATTCTGCTCATTTTTTATTCGAAAGTTAAAACTTGAAATAAATGCAGTCTGCGTTAAAGCAGTAAAAGTCATAGAAAAAATCGTTAAAAATATTGCAATTGCAATAGAAACAGGGATTGAGTACTCATTCGTGATATATGCGCAAGTGACATTTGTAAACCAGTTAAAAATAATATAGCACAGTAATAAAAATATATGACAAGCAGGTGGTAAATCATATTGGATATGGCTATATTTGAAAACTCCATAGTAAGGAATATATCTTGAAAGAAGCTGCCTATATGTGATCCGTTGAGTATTAGGCAGCTGCTGTGTAGGGTGAATAGAGAATACTTGATGAAGAAAGATGTCTCTGAGGATTTTTGAAGTCTTTAATGTTGAGAATAACGATGCTCCAGCAATAAAAAGCAAAGATACGGATGCAATCACTGCTATCTCTGACATTTAAATTTGATATGAATTTACTTAATCCATTTTCTAAATCATTTATTTTTTTTATTTAAAAATTATATGAAAAATAAAAAGTTGAACTATTCTAAATAGGTGATTATTGAATAAGATAAGATAAATGAAAGTTAGTAAAACTGAATTTAAATTTCCGATTATTTAGCTATGAAACATTTTTCTTTCAAATTTAATTAAGAAAAATTTCCATAATTATTAGTTTCAATTTTCATATCAAGATCTTCTTTCCTTTGGCACGTCCTAAAAGGAATTCCTGTAAACACAGGCTTATGGTCTCTCCAAATAGCCCCAGCAACTGGTCCGATATCTTGCTTAGTCCTTCCATTGACATAAGCACAAAAAATTCCATCTTCGTCGTTCATTTCGATTTCTTCTAAATTCACGCCCATGAGTTTCAATCTTTCCGTTAGCTCTTTTCTTCTATTTTCCTTTTGAGTATCACTTAGTTCTAGTTTTGGCTTTTTCAGCGGAATGATTACATCTGCTTCAGGTAGCGGCATTTCTTCTTCATCGTCGTCCAATTCTGCGATTTTTGCTTTTGCCTGCTCATATTTTTTCTTCATTGTTGCTACGATTTTCTCAACTGGCCTTCGGGATTTGCCTTGTATGTAGCTATAGCAAGCAGTGCCTTCTGTGTATATACATTCATCTATATACCTGTCGCTCAGATTTTCTTGCTTTAATAAATATATTAATTCTGTTTTCCTTTTATCTTCCAGCTCCCTCTTTTGTGCAGAATTTGGAGCTCTTGGGTCTGATTTCGCCCTGGAGATTTTTAAAATGTCATCTAGATAATAAACAAGCATATATTTCCCAGGGTGGAAAGGATCAGGGACTTTGAGGCCTTCAATTTCATGTTTGTTCAAATCGGCCTTTGTAACTGAATAGTCAATTTCTGCATTTTCATGACTAATCATTTCGTAGCGAGGCAGTTTTGCACAGGTGTAGCATATAGAACGACGTAAGATTGGCAAAAATCGAAGCTTGTTTTCAGGACTTGCGCATTCAAAGCAAGTTTTAAATAGTAAATGTGCGTAAATAAAGCGATACCGAAATCCTTGCTTTTGGCGCTCAGTAAGCTCATTTGGCAGCGGGCTGCCTACAATTCCAGCTAAATCTTCTTCATTTCTGTACTGTGACATATTCTTAATCCTTTTGTATTCTTTTTCGAGGAGCTTGATTTTCCCTTCAGCAAGTTCTCCGAGAGCTTTCATTCTGTCAGGGTGCTTGAATCAGTTGCACAAATCCAGCCACAAAGAAGGATCCCAGACTACATTATACCAAGATTTGCAGACAGGGGCTAGCTTGATAATATCAAGACCATGCATATATGTGAGAGGCTTCAATAAAACGTCTTCAGATTTTCCTGAGACTTTTAGCCGAGGCATAAGCACATCTGGAGCCAGTCGGATTTTGTGAGTGGATTGTCCGTATTTGTAGTCCCACATAAAAATTATGGGGGGTTCCTTCAACTAAATAATTTTTTGTTTATTAATGCAAAATGGTATTATGAAATTTGTTGAGAAATTGCTATTGAAAAATCTTCGACAATTTGCTGATAAATAATGTTTCTTATTTTTTACAAATTTAAATTGGAATTAAACATGACTAGTTTCAAAATTCCATTAGAGAATCTTGCTAAGAATTCTTATAAGTACTCTTATGCAAGGTCGCAGTCGGCTCGCTGTCGATCGGCATCACTACGAAACCCTATTCTGCAATCTGACGAGCCTGATATCACTCCTAGATCACTGAGAGGAAAGGTTCCTGGATACATGGATTCTAGTCGATGGCTTAACGACCGACCAAAAGGTAAAGCTCTTGCTAAGCCCTCCACAAGCAGCACTTACAATATCTTAAGTTCTCAAGACCTTGCTACTTATAAGCCTACAAAGCGTATTTTCGCTCAAGAAAACCGAATCCCTGCAACTGAGCGTTCTTGTATTCGCTTAAGACCTCCAAGCCCAGCGAAGAATCCAATATTGCAGGCTGATAAATCATTCGAAAACATTGAAAAGCCATCAATAAAGATCCTTGATTCGCGACCTTCTCAAATAACTGAATATTCAAACATGAGGAAGTCACTTACTTCATCAGAGCTAGGACTAAAGAAAAATCTTTTGTAATTTATATTCAGCGCGCAGAGGAATCCAAGCAGGATATTCGACCAAGAAGGAGTTTGTGATCCTTTTGGCTCACATAGGAAAATGGTTGATAACAGCAAGCAAAGCTCAGTTTCTGACTTGCTTTCGTATAAATATGCATTACAATATAGGGAAAACAAAGTCACAGGAAAAATCTAGTTTTAAATAAATCATTATTGTTTATAGTTATATTAAATCTAATTGATTTTATATCATGATTATAAGCAAAATCCTAATCCTGTATTTTCATTAATAAGATTCCCAAGTGACGCTTATTTTCTTATGTCTTTTGAGTCTCCGAGTAAATAGCAACTTAAGCTCCGCGTTGGCTTTTCTCATCATATGCATAATTTATGACTTAGCCATAAATTTAAATTCACATTCAAATGAACGAGGGCTCCAAAACTCCGAGCAGATACGTAAGATCCATCTAGGATACTCTAATGCTGATTGACTGGGTAAACTCGCTAGACATTTCTTCATGTACTTTGGTCGACGCTCTCGAAGACTTGAAATCTGGTGCAGTTGTGGGGGATATAATTGCATGAATGAAAAACATCCCTTGCATCAGAGGAATTGAGCGAGTTCTAGTCTCCCAGAATGAAGCAATAAACAACTGGGTTATTGTTTTGAAAGAACTTGAAGGAATTCTGCCTAGATCTTTCCAAGAAATCGACCCTCAAGATTTATATGAAGTAAGGTTTATGAAGGATGACGTCGCTTTGATGCATTTTTTGAGATTCCTGTCTAATCTTGATAATAAAGAAGAAGAAAAAATACAAAAAGATATGCCTATGGCTCAGAATTTCAGGCCAGAAACTCCAGCGAGCACAATTCATGTGAGAAATGACTCTGCGGTCACAAACAGGTATCAGGAATCCCCGAGAAATAGTGAAGCAACCACTCCAAGTCGTGTGTCTTCAGTCCCTGCCAAAAATAATGAAAAAACTCCTCACTCCCCCTCCGTTAGCGAATAAAAAAATTTTGTTCGCTTATGGAAGGGGTTAAATTTTTTTTGGAAATTTAAAAAAATCCGAATTGGAAAGTAAATATTAATTTAATTTATGTTTTAAAATGCAAGCAGCTTAAAAAATTAAACAGAATTAGCTAGAGATTTTATTATACTAATTATCATATATATATCAAATATTTTATATTAAAATATTTTTTGTTCGCTCACGGAGGGGGCTTTTAGGCAAAAACAAATTTTTTTCCAATGGTTTTGTTCGTTCACAGAGGGGGAATCAGAAAAATATGGGCAAGCCACCCATTCCTCCATCTGTAAATACCCCTATAAGAAAATCCACAGGCAATTTGCAGGTGAAAATTGAAGATAATTCTGATAATGAAAAGCATGTGGAGAAAGCAGCTAAATCAGAAGATTAGATTAGCTTAGATTAAAGTTAGAAGGGACATCGGGGCTTATTTCAGCGCTCTCCACCTTCACCGACTTCTGACTTCCCTCCCGAAGCATCGGGTTGCATTTATGCCCTTTTGTGTTGACGCCACTAAAAAATGATTCCGAGTATGTGGGTAAGGACAGGTCGGATAAGTCACCATTTTATTTCTGTTAGACCAGAAGAAGAAATAGAAAACCCTCAAGAGCCAGTTCCTCGGCAGCATATAAACTCATATTTTTCAAAGAAAAAAGAAGACTCCCACATCTCAGATACCCCACTGAAGCCTCCAGAACAAAGCATATGTGATGCCCAGCCAGTCCCAGAAATAGTCCAAGAAGCTGTTATAGAATGGCTTGAAAGCTTACAACTAGTCCGCAAAGGGTCTTTAAATTATCAGCTCTTGCCAAATGTATGCAGGACAGGGGTGCTGTTCTGTGATGTCATCAATAGACTTGAAGGCCGTAAAGAAGCAATTAAAGGTGTTGAGAGAGCTCCAAAAAACCGTACACAAGCTTTAACGAATGTTAATAAAGTCCTTGAATTTTTAAGAACCCACCCCAAAATGAACTCGCGCTATTTATGATCAGGGAAAAATATCCTTGAAGGGGATGAGTATATAATTTGGGGTCTTCTAGAAGACATCAAAACCTACTATACAATTGCACCGAGGGTCAATAATAACAATAAATCAAGAAATGAGGTAAAATCAAGAACTTCTCCAAATACTTCGCTTGTCATTTCTCCACCGTTTACAGCACAGCAAAGCACAATTTTAAGCATTCCTCAGAGCTCACCCCAAAACAGAAACACTTCAGCACCTCATAAAACACAAATCTCAAGCCAGTCACCCCAAGAATTAGCCATCCCAAAGTCATTTTTACAAGAAAAAAGCAAAAATTTAAGATCATATGCAGCTTCAGCGAGGTCAAGGACTCCAGGCTCACGGTCGACACCCACTTCTCATACCCCCAGGACTAACTCTCCTCGTTCTATGAGGCCTCCTTCTGCTTATTCCTCAAAGAAAAATTCCTTTTCGGCCCAGCATTTTATTCCTGAAGAAGCCAAAAAACAAATAAGACTGTGATTATTTGCTTTGGACATTGACTACGACGAAATTTACGACAATAAATACTCAGATCCCCTGAGAAATGGCTTACTGCTATGCGAGCTGATGAAGGTCCTTGAAAATGTTCAAATAAAAATAAACCCAAACCCTAGGAACGAAAAAGCAATTAAAGAAAACTTCGAAAAAGCATTAACAGTGATGCAAGAAAAAAGAACAGAAATCCCAGAATTTATTTATAGTGATTGTGAGATTTTGCTTAAAAATGTTGACGCTATATGAAGTTTGTTGTTTTCCTTAATGTCTGCGTACCCACAAGCTGTTTCTGTTGCTTATCAGCCTTGCTCTTTACCATATGGTGCGCTAGGTGTAAAAAAATTGGAGACTGCAATAGTAAATTGGCTAAACTCATTAAGCATTTTTAACCCTGAAAATCAGCCGAACTCATTTTTTGAAATTCTTTATGACCTAAAAACAGGAGTTTTGCTATGTGTTTTAATATCCAAGCTTTGTGGCTGAAAAATTCAAAACGTGATAAAAAATCCCAAAACTGAGCAGACTTGTTTAAATAATATTAGAAAAGCACTGGAGGTGTTGAGGAAGATGCCAAAAATGTCTCAGAAATTCACATGAAGCGAAAAAGAGATATTAAAAGGGAACTGCAGCGTCATTTTAGGGCTGCTTGAAGATATTTACAGGTGCTACGACGGGCTGCCTACCAGGAAAGCTGGATCAGAATATCATGCAGATGGGCCTTATTTAGGCAAAGAGCAGCTTTACGCTACCAACGAGTCAAAAATCCCCAAAGACCTCCAACACATAAGAACCCCTTCATGGAAAGCCAAACAAGAGGATTCTTTTACTGGGACTTTTGGGTCTAACGACACCCCTCGAGAGCAGAACCCCAAAAAGCGAGTTTCCTATAGCGAAAAAAACCTCTCGCCAAGTCACCATATCATTGAGTCACATTAATTTAATTTTAATATGTATTTTCCATCATAAAAATCATTATAATTATTACCTATATGTTATAAGGAGCCAATCTTGATGTGTCTAAATCTGCAAAGTAAGGGTGTAGCAGCGCTGCTTTGGCTGAAATCCTTTTCGCTGGGTCATAGCAGACCATTTTTGATAATAAATCAATACCGTTTTCATCCAAATTCGGGACAAGTCTAGCTACTCCTGTCGTTCTTCACTTGGGAAAAGTAGGCTTGAAATCAGGGAAACCAGTTACACCAGGGAAGTTGTCCTCGTTAGGAGTTCCCAGGCATCTGAAAATAGTGAAAAGTTGGTCGATTTCTGAGTCACCCATAAATAAGGCCCTTTTCTGAGCCATTTCAGCAAAAATACACCCAACGCTCCAAATATCAATTGGGGTTGAGTACTGCCTTGCTCCCAGTAACACTTCTGGAGCTCGATACCACAATGTGACAATTTCATGGGTATATGTTTTAATAGGGAGCCCAAAAGCCCTTGCAAGCCCAAAATCAGCCAATCTGATCTGTCCTTCACGGTCAATCAGGATATTCTGAGGCTTTAAATCTCTATGCAGAATTCTGTGTGTATGGCAATACGCGAGAGATGAGAGAATCTGATAGAGAAAGTTCTTTACAGACATCGGAGGAAGCGCTGAGGATTGGGCGTTCATGAACTTTTTAAGGTCATGGTCCACAAACTCGAATAAAAGGTAAAGCTTTTGCTCTGTGTGGACGACATCTTTGAGCTTCACGACGTTGGGATGTTGAAGAGTTTTCAACAAAGAAATTTCGCGTATTGCGGTTGATGGGACTCCTTCATCTTCTGATTCGAGTCTGATTTTCTTGAGAGCCAGGATATCTCCTGTGTTTCGGTCTCTTGCTTTGTATACAACGCCGTAGGTTCCTTCTCCGACTTTTTCGATCTTTTGGTATCTCTCTAAGACTACCCTGTCCATTTCAAATTTAAAATTCGTTAAATATGAAAATCAGGGTTTCCCTCTTATTTTTTGAGTAAAAGTTTTGAATAAGAATTTGTGTGTTTTTGAATTTGGAGAGGGTTGATAGAAGGATTTGATTTTATGGTGACAAATTAGAAAGAAAACGCAAAATAAGGAAAATTAGGACATCATTAGAATGAGAAATTATTGATAAAATTTAGTATAAGAATAGAATTTTTTTATCTGATATTTTTAATGTATAAAATAATTACTTGACTTCAAAGGAAAATTCATACAAAATATTTGTACTATTATTTTTTGAAGGAATCTAGAGCTGATTTTAATTAATTTTATTAAATATAAGAGGAATTGATATGCGATTACTACTAATTGATATTTTGGTACTCCATACAGGTTTATGGCTTGGCACACCTCCAAATATTTAAAGCATTTAATGTGATTAAATTGCATAAATATGGGAAGACTTACTCTTCATTTATTATAAACCATTTTCATAATTGCTAAAAAAAACCCCTTTGTTTAATTAAATAAACTTAATCAGTGATTTAGCTCTTTTTATTTTATAGTCGCGACCATACTCCTTTCAAGTGCTAAAACAGTCATGCACAAGGTATTTCCTATACCTCAAGAATTCGAAGAAGGAGAAGATATTCTATATATCGACCCGTGCCTTTTCGAAATAGCTCACAACCAAAATTTTGCACCAATCGACATTACCCCAATCCTTACTATTTACAAGATAATTAAGATGGCGGTGGTGATAAATATGTCCTTGCCATGACGCAACACTTTGGCTTTATCGCCTAAGCCAAGGTTCAGGCAATTTGATTTTAAACCTAGACTTGTTGGATAACGGACGTTGGGATGGGAGATTTTGGGAGTAAGCTGGTGGCCATTACAGTCCAGTATAAGCTGTTCGAATTGTTTTTGGACCAAGGATTCTTTCTCTGCTGGTTACAGAGGACCTTTATTCTTTTTCCCTGTATCACCTCTCCCGAAGATGACCGACAGGAGGTATCGAGCTAACATTAACTCCATAGAACACGGCGGCGTACAGACAGGGCGCCTTCCTAACCCGTCGAAACTCTTGGGATCATAATAAAAGCCCTGATACTAGAAAAAAATCATTGTTCCAAATAGCAGCTGAATTACCGCCCTGCAAGCATAGCGTTGGTCGAAAGCGTGCGGAGGTATCAAATGTGGAAGGTGTTAAGATTCTTTAATTTTAATTTTTACTATTTATAAATCTCGAATTTTTGGCGAAAAACTCAACCAATGCCCATCACCTAGCAATAACTCCTTATCCCCGAAGCATATTCTCAACATCCATATTTCCTCACCAATATCCGAATACTTCCCATCAAAAATAGAGTCCACTGATGAAAGTTACTCTTTAGAAATCACCCAGGACTCAACCACTATTAAAGCTAGTCAGTACTCTGGCCTGGTTCACGCTCTAGAAACATTTTCAAGACTTATTGAGCCATCTAAGAAAATAAAGAATCATTACGAAATTGAAAATATTCCCATTACTTTGCAAGACTCCCCAAGGTTCGCTTATCGAGGAATCATGATTGACACCTCGAGACACTTTTTACAAGTAAGCACTTTAATGAGAGTCATCGATGGGATGGTCATGGCCAAAATGAGTGTCCTGCATTGGCATATTGTAGATGACGACTCATTTCCAATGCAATCCCTCTCTTATCCGACTCTGACGAACTATGCAGCTTTTTCTTCCTCACAAATTTATAACTCAACCCAGATCCAGAATCTCGTAAAATATGCCAATATTCGGGCCATAAGGATTATTCCTGAATTCGACAATCCAGGCCATGTCCGTGCTATAGGCTTAAGTCCTACATTTTTGCCTTTGGTGACTTGCTTTAATAAGCAGTGGGAGTATCAAATGCCAAACGGCCCTTTGATTTATGGAGGACCTCCTACAGGTGCTTTGGATCCTTCTAATTCTCAGACTTATACCTTTATCCAAGGGATTTTCCAAGATTTAAACGCATATTTCCCTGACTCTTATGTCCACCTTGGTGGCGATGAAGTCCTTTTCTACTGCTGGAGCTCAGTACCTGCAATAGTCAATTTTATGAAAAACAATAACATACCGAGCTATAGTGCGCTAACTAATTATTACATAAACAGAGCTAGAGGAGTTTTAACTGCAGTAAATAGTACCAAAACTGCAATTTATTGGCTCAATGAAGCCACTTTCTATTTGCAAGTGAAGCCTACAGACATTTTGGAATTCTGGGGTTTTACATCAAATCTCACACAATTGGCGACACTTTACCCAAATAATAAAATTATTGTAGCGACTGGGGATAGATACTATTTGGATTGTGGAATGGGCAATAAGTATGGAGGTGAGTCGTGGTGTGACCCATTTCATACATGGTGGGAAATTTATATATTGGAGCCAACAGACTATTTAAGCGCAGACCAAATTTTGGGAGGAGAAGTCACTATGTTTGCAGAGCTTGTTAATGACTTTGTGCTTGATTGGAAAATCTGGCCTCGAGCTGCAGCTATGGCACAGCGATATTGGAACCAAAATTTGCCTTTAAATTTAACAGGGCTAGTATCAAGTTTGAACGCTCTGGTAAATACAATGAATTCTCAAGGTATTGGAGCAGGGCCAATTGATAGTAATTTTTGCAATTTGAATACCAATCTCTGCTTTGGGTCTCCATAAATTAATAAAAATAATAAAGAAAATTAGCTTACATTTGGTGTGGAATAAAAATTGCTAATAAAAATGGGTAAGGGATGGAATTTTGTACTGATTTCTGCAATCCTTTGCATTGCGAACGCTGAAAGTGTAAGACATAAGATATTTCCAACTCCGCAAGAATTCAGCGAGGGAGAAAACGTGCTTACTTTTGACGCTTGCGAGTTTGATATTAAGCATAACCAAGAAAAAGCTCCAATTGATGTAAATCCAATCATAAAAAAATACAAATCACGAATATTTGGGAAAATTTTAGACTGCCCATCGTATTTTCTATCAAAAAGAGTCTTAGAAATTCAGATTCCTACTCTAATTCAAGAGTATTTCCCAGCAAAAATTGAAGACACTGATGAGAGTTATTCATTAAAAATAACAGAAACTGAAATTATTTTGAGCGCAAACCAGTACTCAGGGTTAGTTCATGGTCTCGAAACGTTTTCAAGGCTTATAAAGCCTTCAGATAATGGAAAATATGTGATAGAAAATGTGCCAATTACTATCCAGGATATACCGAGATTTAGTTATAGAGGGATTATGATAGACACAGCCAGGCACTTTATAGGCGCCCAGTCCATAATGAGGGTTATTGATGGGATGGCGATGGCTAAGCTGAATGTTCTCCATTGGCATATAGTAGATGACGACTCTTTCCCAATGGAGTCTCTTTCTTTCCCTAGTCTGGCAAACTACACAGCTTTTTCACTCCTCCAAACCTACTTAAAAGAAGAAATCCAAAGCATCGTTTCCTATGCAAATACCAACGCTATAAGGATAATTCCAGAATTTGACAATCCAGGACACACAAGATCTTTAGGCCTTGACCCTTCATTTAATCCTTTAGTAACTTGCTTTAATACTCATTGGCCTTACTCAATGCCAAGTGGTCCTAAAATTCAAGGAGGCCCTCCTACAGGTGCTTTGGACCCTTCAAATAGCACGACTTACTCCTTGATTGCTGGAATTTTCCAAGACCTGAACTTCTATTTTCCTGACTCTTACGTACATTTAGGTGGCGATGAAGTCATTTTTTCATGCTGGAGCTCAGTTCCTGCGATAGTCCAATTTATGCAGCAAAACAAGATCCAGACCTACCAAGCCCTAATGAACTATTACATAAACAAAGCTCGAGGTGTGCTAACTTCAGTAAATTCTATGGTTGAGGCGGAAAAAAATATATTGATGTTTATTTTGATTTTCCTAAGCCTAGCTAAAGTTGAAATTCTTAGCCCACTTAATACGGCCTTGACTGGAATTTCATATTTAAGGAATAATAGTAATTGTTTGCAGCATTATTTTTCGTTTTCTAAATAAACCCACATTTTAATTTTTGAGCACTTAAGATTATATAAATATCAGCGATTTCAAATTAAGATTTTTTATTCAAAATATTATCAATTTTAATTTCATTTAGATGTTTGAGATCTAGCACTTGCTACGCTTAATATATTAAGCCAATTTATACGAAACAGACTAGCACTTGATTACATTTTACAAATATTGGCTTAGATTTTTATTATATTTAATATTAATTATTATTAAAAATATTTTTAAAATTATACCCTTTGATAATTTAAAACTAATGGATTTTATTTAAAGCCTGAGTATTATTCTAAATAGCGAAGGGTTTCGCCTAAGATGTGCAAGAATGAAGTCTATTGGAACAGTTGCATTTTCAATTATGACGATATACACCATAGCATGAGCTATATGAAGCAGAACTTGTATTATTTTTATGATAATTTTATAATAGTCCACCATCAAAACACAGAGTGATTTTTCACCTGCTTTTTTGCGCCTTTTTTTTGAGCACCAGAAAAATAGTGGAAGTTTTTATACCAATTTTTTATGTGAAGTTTTTTATACTAATTTTTACTTTTTTTTTAAATGCGATGTTTTTTATACTAATTTTTTAATTTTTTTTAAATGCGATGTTTTTAATTTTTATATACCCTTTGTATCTAATTTTAATTTCATAAATAGCTATTCATAAGTTTATTTCATGTACTTATGATCATAGATCTTTAATTACTCAATATGCTATGTTTCATATTTTATCTTTTTCACTGTGTAGATTTTTCATACTATTTAAAATTAATTTTCGATAAAAAATATAGAGGTTTCCTCTATATAGCGCTAAAAGCGCAGACATTTTCCCAGGAGCTTTCCAAGTTCGTCGGACCAAATCGCTTTTTGGTCCGACCAAGGCATTGATTTGGTGCAACCTACCGATAAATTCCGATCAGAATTTATCGGCCTTACAGCGCCAAACATAGGAAACTTCTATATATCATATGTGCTATACTATTTGTGCTTTCATTTAGAGATGCCTTATTTAAATTTAGTGAGAAGACAACGAGTGTATTGATATATTTGATGTTAGCCTGCTATCTCATTGTTTAATATAGTTAGTGACACTGACTATATAAATTGCTCCTGAAGGTATTTTTTTTCTATACCGTTTTTTTACCTGTTTTTTGGCAAAAACGTACTGTTATGCTTTTCAGCCCTCACTTTGCAGTCTTTTTTCTTTATCAGCGCAATGCGTTTAATACTGAAAATTTTTTTTGAAATTTTCAGTCATTTTTGACTAAAAAAAAAACAGGCGGAAATTCATCAACGTAATGTTTCTACCTCACTCAAATTCTACTAAAACTGCATTATATTGGCTTAACGAAGCAACGTTTTATTTGCAAGTAAAATCAACAGATATCTTAGAATATTGGGGATTATCAGCAAACATATCAAAATTAGCAACTTTATACCCTAATAACAAAATAGTGATTGCACCAAGCGACGTGTATTATATGGACTGTGGTATGGGAAATCCATACGGAGGTATATCTTGGTGCGACCCTTATCATAGCTGGTGGAGTATCTATCTTTTAGAACCAACCCAGTATTTAAGTGCTAACCAAATTTTGGGAGGAGAAGTCCCCATGTGGGCTGAACTGGTTAATGATTGGAATATTGATGGAAAAATCTGGCCGAGGGCTGCTGGTTTAGCTGAGAGATATTGGAGCCAAAATTCGAAAGTAAATGTGCCTTCACTTGTAACGAGTTTGAATTCACTGATTGTAGCAATGAATGCTCAAGGGATAGGTGCGAGTCCGATTACTGGGCACTATTGTGAAATCAATGGGAGCTTTTGCTTTTCAACACCATCCTAAATTAAATAAAAATTAAATATCATTGCATATCTAATAGTGCCATATAAATGATAAATATGTACACTAAGCTGCATATAATTTAGGCTGTTATCTTTCTTTTACCTTTGTGATGGTCATTTATTTAAGCTTAAAACATGGTGTAAATAATTAGAAATTATGCACTTAGAAATAAATTGTGAAGATATAAATGAAGTGTAGGATTATTTTTCATATATTTTAAGCTATTAGAATTATTGACAAAAAAGAAATATGCCAAATAAATATATTTACATTTGATTAAATAAGGACTCAATAAATGCTTCATTGTCCGTACAATTGCTTGGAAATTCATCTTGACTGAAGCTTATATGATAAGTAGAAGAGCTTTCTTTTACGGTAGAGTCATGAGGAAAATAATTGTAGAGGTCATTTGAGCCATAGTCATAGAAAACGAACCAAAGATCTGAGCCTGGCTGGCATTTTCTCGAGAGTTCTTGTGCACCGAAATTTTTAAATCACTCTTGAAAGTATTTTACAAATGAAGGATGGGAGAATAAATAATTTTTATACTTGCGACCATAAGATAAAAACTTGTTCCCTTTATCTGGCTTACCTTTTGAAGACACGTAACTTGCTCAAAAAGAGTTGTCTTCTGCAGTGAGTTTTGTTTTGAAGTGATGGTAATTATTGGAAATATAAGAGCGGAAGCTTCTAAGCCAGAATTTGTCCTTTTCTTCTGTTTTCTTTTTGATAGGATCATTGGGCCTTATAGCCAAGCGCCTCATTTCCATTGCCCTAGGCTATAGCATGCCTTCTAGCTGGTCGAGCTGGCTTGGCAAGCAACACAGTTCTACAAGCTGAAAAATGCAAATATATTTTCAATTTGTAAGGATGATTGCGGCTATACTTTGCCAAGCCAACTCTACTAGTTGGAATAATTCGTTTTCGCCCACGCAATCTAAAGAGGCTCAAAGCTATATCGGCTTTCTTCCTCTTTTCCTTCGGGAATGATTAGGAGCTGTATCACAATCAAGGAATTTTTGATTTCATGACCCATTCAGGCTTTCATCAAGATCTAAATTTAAAGCTGACTTCAAAGGAAATTCAGCAATATGGTCGTATTTGGTCTCTTCTATAAAAAATTCCTCCTCAATTCTGCTATTTTGTGCTTCCTGGCTGAATCTGGTTTCAAAATTCAAAAAATCGATATTGATCTTATCCATTTACTTCGCCTATATTTTAACTGACTCCCCTCCCTAAGCGATAAAAAAAAAATTTTTGTTCGCTCACAAAGGGATTAACTTTTGTTTTTAAAAAATTTAAAATAATCCAAATTCGCAAAAATTGGAAAGCAAACATTAATTTAATTTGGAAAATTTATGTTTTAAAACGCAATTTGTTTTAAATTACACAGAATTAGCTCGAGATTTCATTATAATAATTATCACTTATATATCACAACTTTTTTCATAAAAAAATTTTATTTGATCTCGGAGGGTGGGTTTTTGGGCAAAAATAGGGATTTTTTCCCAATAGTTTTTGTTCACTCACGGAAGGGGGGAGTGAGGAAATTAGTTAATATCCAGATAATTTATATAATATTCGCATATTATCTTTTGCCTATATTGCTTATATAGGCTGGCGCACCAAAATTTTCTCCAACTTTTGGAGAAAATTTCCACATGTGAATTCTCTATATTTTCACTTGTGAAAATTTTAACATGCCAGCCTAGATAAGTAATTTAGGCAACGCATAATAAAAGAAATAAAAAGATAAATTAATGTAATAATTTTAATTGGATGAGACCAACACTTTTAGGATTTCGTAGCCCTAAAGAGCAGACTCCGGACCCTTACTATACAACAGTCACATATGAAGGAAGATCATTGTCATTCAGTCCTCCAAAAGGAGACATCAAACGTACAAGCTTCTCTAAAGAAAAACGCTTTGGGGTTTACTCTCAAAATGCAAAAAAGCTAGGCTATCTGTTAGGGCCAGGCACCCACAGTCCTGAAAACCTGACAATTGGAAAAGAAAAGATCGCTGGAGGGCACCTTTATAAAGGCTTCCATGGTGGAAAATCCAATAAAAACGAAGGATACTTCATGGTAGGAAATCATCTAGTATTTAGTGCGCACTATATGACGCCCAGCAAGCGGCACTCAGTCACCGACATGGACTGCAAGCTGGATAGTAGCTACTACACGAATTCCAGATCAAGAAGGCCGTTTTCCAGCATGTCCTCAGAAAGAACGACCACAAGCGACCAACGCAACGTTTCCACAGCTTCTTCCGGCTACCGAAGGAAACTTATTTCTTCCTTAAAAAAAGACTTGTTTGGGGTAAAGCCTCAGAAAACTAGGAAAAACCACTCAGAATTGATTGGCGACAAAAAAGAGAAAAAGCTTAAAAAATACAACAGTAGCTCGACGAAATATAGGAAGCTTGTGAGGAAACTGCTATCGTCAAGGTATGATAGATCTTTTTGTTAATTTTTATCGATAAATTTTAACTGAAAATGTAAAATTAAAGGGGAGATCTGGGAATTTTGTCTCGTGATACAAAGGCGTAGGTGAACTCGCCGGTGCCTTGAGGAGTCATGAGAGCAGGCTCTGCCTTGGCTGGAGCTTCTTTAGGTGGTTGAGGGGTAGGCTGTTGAGCTGTAGGTTGCTGAGGAGAATTTTGCTGGGGGATTTGCTTTTTCTGCTCAGGGACTTTTTGTTCTTCAATTTTGACTGGCTCTCTAACCCCAGTGTCTGGGGTTCTTGGTATTTTGGGCTTAGACTTCATTTCTGTAGGGACTTTTTTATCGGCTGGCTGTGCTGGTGTTACAGGTCTACTAGGTGGTTTGCCTGGATCATTTAAATTGACCTTACTGCTGTTTCCCCCCATTTTTGCCATGTATTTAGCATTAAGCAAGTCTTCTCCTACCAAAACTCCACTTTCTTTAATAATGTCGTCCATATCTTCATCTTCTGCTATAAAATCATCAATTTCGCTTTCTTCTTCATCTCTGTCTTCTACATCATCATCATTGTCATCAGACAAGCAGTCTTCTTCCTGCTCATTATAAAGCTGGTCCAGTATATACTGAATTTGTCGCTTAAAATGCTCATCAGAGTTTTGCATTAGATATTTTAAGGCATCTTCCATGCCAAGCTGTAATGCATGCTCTTTGAGCTTTTTTCGGGTTAAAATACTATATAAGGTGCCATTCACATAAGTTCTTACCTGAGTATTTTAAGAAATAAAAAAAAAAATATTTAAAAATTAGCTATTTTTTTATTTTTTTTGGGTATAACCAGTATATTTTCATGCTCTAATAAATTATTTAAAATTGCTATAATATCAAGCTGGCTTTTTTCTATATTGTTTTTCCCAGCAGTTCTTAATGAAAGATTCATCAATAGAGCTGTAGCATACTCAAGCGAATAATAAGAAATTGAATCGACTTCATGCTTAAGCAATCGGGCTAGCCAGTCTATCATATTCAGCTCAATCATCGTAGATTGCGCTTGTCTTCTTAGCGACAGCTTCTGCAGCGTCCCCAATGCGTTTTGCCTCAAAATTGAGTCTTCTTTTTCTTCAAATAAAATAGCTGACAAAATTTCAATGACATTTTCTTTGGTCAATAAATAAGTTCTCCCTGAGCATTCTGAAGCAATTACATTAAGAAATCTGACTGTATATTCTTTAACCCTTTTATTCCAGCTCAATAACTTATCAAGCAAGATGTCATGTGGCTTTGCAGTGCATAAAATATTGTATACAAGTTGCCCGATGATGGCGATCAATGCGCCATCATAGGGCAACTAAAGTTCAGGGTCCACATAGGAAATGGGTTCCACGTGTGGAGCCTTTCTGGCACGTGAAAGGTGAGGATTCTCCACGTGTCAAAAAAGGTTTGACACATGGAACCTATTTCCAGTGTGGACTTTTAAAACAAGTTGCCCGATGATGGCACATTGAGCGCCATCATCGGGAATTTCCTATATTTTATATAAGCACTCAGCATTTCTTTCCGAAGAAGACTTTGAGATCTTGACAAGCGCCATCTTAAAGCTTGCAAAAGGGCACAGACTTGTAAATCGTCTTGCAGGGAGCTTAAGTCTCTTATAACAATTGCATAATTTAGCTGAGGGAGGTTAGCATAGCCTTTTACCATAGGCTTTTCAGACCTCATTGGAGCAAGGGAAGATTCACTTACATCTGCACGTCTTGGGGAAGGCGTGAAATCAGAATTGCTATGATCAGCTTGTGAATATGAAAACGAGGCGCCACCTGAAAGCTCATCATTGGAAATATTCAAGAAATTGTCATACCTCACAATCTTGTCAAAAATCGCCTCCAAAAGAGACTGATTAGGATTTTGGCCTCTTTTGCAAGCTTCGACGACTCGGTAAAGCTCTTTGGTCATATTCAAAATGTCTTTAGAAAAGTTTGTCCATTTAGTCTGGCTTTCCAAAAGGGTGTTTCTAGCATATTCTTCTCGCTTCTGCAAAATGATATATTGGTTGTTCAAATCTTCCAGCTCTTGTTTGGCGACCGCAAACTGGGCTTCAAGCTCCTCAAATGCAGCGTTGCTTTCTCTGCCTGTTTTTCCTCTCGGCTGGACCCTTTTTCCTTTATCCTGATTATAAGCTTTATACATTTGGACAAGAAGAGGCTCCTGGTTTTGCCCTGAGTGTGCCTTATAAAATTTAGAAACCCTTTCTTTAAGTTCTGTGGCCCAGCCTCTTGTAAATAAAATCTTAAAAGAAGGGTGCTCAGCTGGATTCGGTATATATGGCAATGCATAAAAATGCAAAAACTCTTCAGTCTTAGACAGTTCTGCACCTTTGGTGTTTAAAAACTCTTTGAAGCTTTCCATGCGGTTTTTGTATTCATTTCCATCATCTTTTTTCTGCCGGTTCAATGGGTGAATTGGAAAAACCGAAAAATAAACATGGGCATAAAAATCCAATTTTTGGCCTTCTGTAGACTTTGAGGCATTTAAAGGCACGAACCGGGACCAGAGCCTGAAAAAACTGTCCTTGTCTCCTGTATCCAAACTTTTAATTATCAATGATAATGCTTGAGAATCTTCTGATTTATTTCTCGCAGCTGTCATCTCATGCTGAAACACCTCCAGGGTATTTAAAAACCCGCTTTTCAGCAAGTATTCGTGAATCACTTGCAATAAATTTTCGCCAGAGTTCCCCTGTTTTCCTTGGGCTTTCATTTAATATATTAGAGAATTCATTAATTAGTTAATTCAAAGAAATGGGGACACGAATATAAGAAAAGCTGAACCAATGACGAATTCTGGACAATTTGCACGTGGGGTTTCAAGGACTCCTCAACCGGAAAATGTACGTCAAGCCTGCAGATTTTTGGGATTTTTATTTGTGAGAAAATATTTTGTGCCATTTCAACATAAATCTCATTAGAAGTTGGAGAAATTTCGACCCTTGCTGAAGAAAAAGGAGTGTAATTATCTTGATAGGAGCTGAGGAAACATATGTGCTTAAACCAGCCTAAGCCAACTTGAGAACTTAATTTATATATATAAGTGTCCCAAGGGTTGTGAGCATCTGTCATTGTGCACTGTAAGAGGCAGTCGCTTTTAAGCAAGGTTTTCATGCACGCCCCAGCGTCTATAAGCTTGCTTGAGTTTTCCATGTATCCGAGATGAGGAGAGGAAAGAGACAAGAAAAATTGCATTTTTGAGGAATAGTGGGAAAGGTGGGGAAGGGCTGAACGGATGATGAGAGAACCTAAGGAGTATCCGATAAAGGATATTTTTCTCAAGCCTTTGGGACAATATTCGTGGATATAGCTGACGATTTCGTCTGAGAGCTTTCTGCCCATTTCTTCTAGACTGATTTTTGTGTCTTCTTCATTGGAAACTGAGCTTAAAATCATAGTGTCAGGTCTATAAAGCCCTATATAGTTTTTCCATAGTTTTACATCAGAGGAGTTCCCTTGAAATCCATGGACTATTATAACTAGATGAATACCGTGTTTTCTCATAGGCAGATTTGGGAGGCAGCTTAACCATTCAGGATCCCATGGATTAGTTTCGCTAGAAATCCTGCTTTTTGTGTGGGTGTTGCAAATTAAGACTGGCTTTTGTGACAAAAACAAAGGAGCTTGTATACGAAAATTTTGAAAATCTTGGGGGTGATTAAGAATTGTGTCGACAATTTGTTGGTGGTGCTCAGCTAATGATTCATCAAAACTCATAGAAAAATCATTAAGTGTAGCACTTTCATAAGAAATATAGCGGTTTCAATACTCTTTTGATGCTTGATTATATAAAATTTCTAATGATCTTGATATTTCTGTTGAATGATTTTTTAGACAATCTAAAAATTGGATATTCATATAGCAAATTTTAGCAGCGATGGTCTGAATGTCTTCTATAACTTTCTTTATCACTTTTTCTTTCCCGATACCCACATCAGGAATTTGGACTTTTTCATCAATTTCTCCTCCTTGGCTATCCCATTCTAGTATAAATTTTTTGTTGTTTTCACATGCATTTTCCAATATTTTTACATAAATATTATATATTTCACTCATATCTTCCTGCAAAATTATATCTTTTCGCTTAAAAAATATTTCCCCTATAGCTTGAATTAGATCTTCTTCTGAATACGAAATGTGATGGCTACTTTCTTTATTATCGTCCTCTATTTTGGAGCTTCTCAGTCTAAAATCAATTGGTGCCGCATGAATTGTAGCAGATGTCACACAAAAATGCTCATCATCAAAGACAAATGGGAAATAATTATTTATCCCGCTAATGATTGACTTTACTTCAATTTCTATTGACGAGACAGCTTGGAATTCTCTAATCCTCCTCACGTCAGTATTTAAAACTTCTTCATCTTCTTGATTTTCAGTATTTAAATACATCAAATTCGCCCTGATCTTAATTTCTCCAAGATTTTTTCCTCTTTCATAGTCAATCTCAGTCCGGAAGACAGCAATTTCATTAAAAATGATTTCTTCATCGTTATATCGGATTCAGAAGCTTCTGGTTTTGAACTTCATGTCATCAATATTTGGCTCAAGAATCCTACACTCGTCTTTTGGCTCTTCGTTCATTATCAAATTATAAGGCGACGCATAGATTTCTGTATCTTTAATCTTCTGAAACACAGAAAATTCTATATGATAAAGCCCAGATTGATATAAATCAATGTTCCTGAAACTTTCAACGTTGATGATGATATCAGCAATAGCCCTAAAAGACATTATTTATTTCCATTTTTAATCAACAAATTAGTGGGTTTCCATGTTGAAGAAAATAAATTATTTAAAATCTGGGCGGCCGTTTACAATTGGCTTTATGACATTTATTTCTGTTTATTTAATTATACAAATTATTTAAAAAAGCTTTTATAGCTGGTCGGGTAACTTTTCTGTGACAATAAATCTGTATATTGTGTCTCCAAATAAGACCTTATTGAGTCAAAATTAGTAGAGGTATCTACATATCGTGACACCCTAAACTCTTTTCCTGAGCATTCCCTCGTCTTGTTTCTTTTTCTTGTTAAATCTCCTAGTTTTTCATAGCCTTCCACATAAGGCTCTCCATACACATAAGAGTCCATCCTCTTCCATGCTGAGCCATTATCAACCTTTATATTCAGTGTAGAAGGGCTTTTATTATCTTCCCTTCATTTCGGCAAGTGAAATTTATTTACATCAAGAGCTTCATAATCAAATAAGTCAGGAACTCTTATTTCTCGCTTAAAAACCTTGACCTTACGCTTCACTTCAGTTGGCCTCATTCAATCGCTGCTGTTGTGAGGCGAATGATTGTTGTATTTATCCGTTTCCAGGTGGGAGCTTTTAAACTCGTCAGAGCAGCGTTGGGCTCTTTCTGCGCTTTTCATATATTTCCTAATATACATATTTCCAGCCTTTTCCAGGTGCTTTTTTCTAGTTCGGAATTCATGGCTTGATGGATGTTTTATCATGACAGCTCCCTCTTGTAAGGTTTTTATAGCCCCTGGAGAAGCAGATCGGCCTCAATCAAGGATTCTTTTGTAAGACTGCACTGAGCTGATGGCTCTTCTTTTTTTGACTGGTCTTGGACTTTGTGACTTCTTGTACTTGAATAAGTTAAACATGACCTAAATTATTTATACAATTTTTGGCTTTATATTAATATTAATATAACTGGCAATATAATTTCTTATAAAATAAGGGTATTATCTGTATAGAAAAATAAATTTCTGGCTTAAATGAGTATAATTAGTGTCTATACACTTCTATTTAACTCTGATTCACTCTTATTTAGCTCTTCATCAATATCATCTAGACTTGGGTCTCCAAATAATAAAACAGAAGGATTCATCTGGATTCTTTCAAGCAGCACTCCCTTAATACTTTCCCATCGCTCTATTTCTTCAAGCTCCAGATTGGCTTTGCAGATTTGGCATCTGTCTTCAATTTCCATATTCGAGGTGCATGCGCAGATCTGTTGAAAAATCAAATTTATAGCAAATTGGTCAGAAACCTTTTTGCTGCTTTTGAACTTGTAGGGATCAATTTCCAGTTTTGGGAAAACTGAAACTCCACCATAAGCATTTTAATTTTTTTGAAAAAAAATATATTGCCTTGCGATCAAATAATTTATTTTTGTATATAAATCAGCTGTTGATTATTTCACTGATTGTTTTGCAATGCTTAATATAACTGGATATAAAAAATAATATAATTATAATTGAAATTGGAGAAGCACCATAAGCTGTAAATCCTGTGTTGAAGGAAAACCTACAAATTCTCTTATACTTAATAGCACCTCAATGTGACAGTTTGCAAAGAATATCTCCTTGCAAGAGAAGCTCTTTATCAACTACTGCAATTTCATGCAATTGCAATTCTTCCCAGGAATCCTGGAAAGTTTTCTGTCGATCTCTATTGCTTTCTCTACTGGAGTACACCAACTGGTTATTTCGATACATATTCCTCTTAAACAAAACAATCCTATTATTTTTTTATATAAAAAATAAAGCATTTTTACCATCATCCCCAATATCAATAAAAGGCTTTGACGAATTTCCATTCACATGAGGCGCAGTTCTCAGCTGGACCCTTGAAAGCTGCACCACAAGCGGGCCTTTGACCCTGCCATGAAAAATCTCTGCAAAATACCCTACATACCTGACTTGTGAAGGCTGGGTAACCCCTCCACCTTGCACAAATCGCTTTCTTTTATAATACAGCAAAGATTGGTTGGGGTCTGAAATCCTTCCTGAGTAAATTAAGTAGCAGCATATAAGAGTTCCTGTCCGGCCCTTCCCTGCGCGACAATTAACTGCAATTACGTTTTGGGGATCTAAACTGAGTCAAAGATGAATATCTTTGCAAGCTTTAAAAAGGAGTTCTACAGGAGGAGGGTAATGGTCAGGCCACGGGAACTCTTTGACACTGTCCCCGAATTTTCTGTAGTCGTATTGGATGCCGCTTAGATTGAGAATGCGATATTTCCCATTATGTCTGTCGTTTAGAAATTTAGAGACTGAATCAAGCGAATTTCTATAAATTTTGGACAAACCTTCCCCTGGGATTGACATTGCAATTACTCTGGGCGTTATATAACTTAAATCCAAATTAAATCCGTCCTCTTTAAGTCTTTTCTTTTTGCCTGAAACAATTGCTCTAAGATAGTCCACCATAATATATGATTAATCAGACAATATTTCAGTTGTGCTTTCAAAATTTATCATTTTTCCCAATTTAAAGCTTTAAAAATAAATTATCATTCTAATAAGAATCCAACAGAAATCGCGGAATTCCATTATCTCACCAATTTTTTACCTTATTTATATCTATTTTTATCAAACCCAGGATTCCTCTAAAGCTACTAAAGCCTGCTTATTTTCCTGAATAAGTTTTCATAAAATTTTCCCCTCCAATCTCACAATTTTCCAATAATTTTTTCTCAAATTTTGCCTCAGCCTATATACTTTCTGCTTATCCTCTACAAATTAAAATATGGCGTCTCAACTTGGCTTGGCCTCTCGGCCAAGCAGTATCGAGCCCTATTTTAATTATATCCGGCAAGGTTTTGCTAGCGAAGAATGGACAGCTATGCTAGATAACTAGCCCTAGTCTATTTTCCGAGTTAGATTTTACCTCGAGGGAAGGGAGACTTGGAGTTGGAAAGGGGAAGCCCCAGCAAAGCCTTTCTAGGCCATTCGGGCAACTCCCTAGCGAGAAACCAGGAGTTTCGCCCTAGGCTACAAGTTTTACCCTTTTTCCGAAAGTCGGCCAGAAATTCCATTTTTTGAAATTTCTGTGCAGGCAACCTTCGTTGGCATACGGCATGATGACCCAAACTTTCCGACTACGGGGCGTATGTGCAGGCCCATATCCGTAGGAGCGAGACTTTGAAGGCCGTGAGACGGTTGTTGGCGAGCAGGCGAGTGGAGTATTATGGAAGGGAATAAGGATCTGCGGGTCCTGACAGGAAGCTTTTCGATAAATCTTAATTAACATTAACATTAGCTTATCCTCTACAGTCTTTAAAGCACTTATTGCCCTTAAATCCTATTGCAAGCCTCTTAAAACACCTGAACTCCTCTTTGTTTAATGGTTATAATCAGTGGTAATGGAGTCCGAAGATAACACCATCAAAGTCAGTGCAAAGTCTAACCCTGGCAGCTATATTTTTGAAGGCAAAGAAAAGCTCAAAAGCAAAGGAAGTGTCGCTTTCCACGCAATTGGTGGATCCATAGTGAATGCAGTGAGAGCATCAGAAAGATTAATTGACCTTGGCTATGCCACCCTTACAAAGTTCGAGACTTCTTGCATTGACGAGAAAGATTTTAACGGACAGCCGAGAAAAGTATATAAAGTTGTTCTTCAGCTTGCCAGAACTCCAGACTTTGACAGTATCTATGATGAATTTGAAAAGAAAAGAGCAACTAAAAACTAATCTTAAAAACATAGATTCACCAGCTTAATTGAGCTAAAATATATTAGTTATTGTAATTTTTATGGGTGACATAATTTGGCTATTATTTGTTTCCTGAAGATTCTTAAAAAATATAAAGAGAGAGAACACAAATAACCAAAGAAAAAGCTAATTTACACTTAAACAATCAATCCTAATATCATCAAATTTACCAAATATAATTGGCAGCGAGTAAGGGTAAGCATGCTATTGCAAAAATATAAAAAATCAATAGGATTTCTATATTCATAGAAAGGCTTTTGATCAAAATTATAAGCTAAAATGATTTATATGCTTAAAAGCTCATATAAGCAAAATTATTGGAAAGATTGATTTGGATAGGAAAAACAAAGGTTTAAATTTTATATTAATTTGATATGAATTTAGTTTGAGGCAAAACTGGAGCATAAAAATTTTATATAAAAAGGACCTATGCAGTTAGACTCAAAATATTATGGCAAGTTTTAAGAGGATAAACATTTCTCAGCAAAAATTATTTTCCTGGTAAAATCTCTTTATCGAAGCTTCAATAATTTGTTTAAGCAATTTATCACTGTTGATTGGATAAGCCAACGATTTCCTTCTGCGACTGAAATTTTCGAGCTCATTCAATTTTTAAGCTAAATTCTCTCTAACTAAGCCTATTAAATAACAAAAATGTGCAAAGTAGTGTGTTAATCATTTTTATTAATTAGTAGAAATAAATATCATATTTAAGTTATGTTTTAAGTACTTCATTTAGGATATTTAAAATTAATAAATTTGTAAAATGAAATATTCAAAGTACAAATTTTAGAATAATAAGTTTAAATGGGCAGATATAAATTCAACTTTATTGATAAAAGCTTGATTCTATTGAACAATTAATAAACTTTATTTTACTATAAGAGATATTATTAGCCCAAATAATGATTAAATATTAATATAAAAGTATTAAATATAAAAAGATGGCTTATCAGACTTCTCTGAGTCTATTTTAGACGGTTTGAAATAGAGTAAAATTAATTTAAGTTCTCAAGGCTATTGCAATTAACAGAATAAAATTGTTATTAATTGTCAATTTTCCAGCTTGATGCTTTGAATAAGCTTAGAATTTTTGATGAGATTTTTTAATATTTGGTATATCAAAAACACAATAAAAACAATTTTTTAGATAAAGACAGATAAGGTATAGCCTATTTCTTTTTACACAATTCTCTAAGGTTCATAGAATCGAAAGAAAAAATAAATTCTTTCGGCCAAAAATTTCTTAACTTTATGTTCGAGATATATTACAATTAACTTTATGAGTTTTTTCTCGATTTATGTTGACAAATTTCTTATGTTCCATAATTCTTCTTCAACGCTAAGCCTCTTCCATTTTTAAATGACGCCTTCTCAGGTTGATTAGAACATTCCATTTATAAACAATGGCTGGTAAGCTGCAACAGGATGGCGAGACTGAACCAAAGCAATTCCCTATGACCGAGCTTTTCAGGTCACTAATTGGCAAAGGAAAAATGCAATTGATATTTTTCCTCATCTTTTTGCTGTTTTTCCCCTTCTTGGCTCCCTTCTTAAAGGATTTCAACGACACCTTACAATGAAGAATTGCTAGTAACCCCAACTACCCATGGCCAAAGTACGACGATTTGTGGTTGGCTTGCTATTCTTGTATAATTCTTATAGGCTTAATGCTTCTGTTTAAATTTTCTCTAAAGCCTCTTGCTGAAAGAATCATTGTGCCAAGATACACAGGGAAAGAAAGAACGACCAGGGCAGAAAAACTTGTAGAGTCTTTGTTTAAGGCCCTTTACTTTACCTTTTCTGTTGTCTTTGGGTATTGGGTTGCAAAGGACTCTTATTTTTTGTCTTGGAAGTTGGGTGGGAAAGGTGATGTGAATTTGATGTGGACCGATTTTCCACTGGAAAACATTAAAAAATGTAAAAAAAATAATTTTTTTAAAAAATATGTAAATTTATCGGAGTCATTTTCCATTCCAAAGCACTGAAACTTTTCCTTATATCAGGGAATACTTAATGATCCAGCTCGGATATCATACTCAATCCTTTATAGTGCACATTTTAAGTAAGCCTAGAAATGATTTCATGGAAATGCTTCTGCATCATTCGCTTACTATTTGCCTATTGACGTCAGGATATTTAATGAACTACGTCGTTATGTCTCATTTAGTTCTTTTCGTTCATGATATACCTGACTTGTTTGTGTACTTGACTAGAATATTTATGGATACAAAACATAAAAATATTACATTTTTATCGTATATAGGAATTATGATTTCTTGGGCGTATTTGAGATTGTATATTTACCCATTTGATCTAATAAGAATGGGGAGCTTTTATGATAACCCAGTAAGCCACGAAATTTATGGGATGGGAATCTTGTCAGGGATGGTCCATGTGTTGCTGCTTATGCATATTTATTGGTATGTTCTTTTAATCCCCCCAATCCCATCCGTGAGCGAACAAAATCATTCGAAAAATCCTTATTTTTTGCATAAAAACTCATCCTCTGTGAGCGATAAAAAATTTTAATATAAATTAATTTTATTTAAAAAAATTCATATATCAGTGCAAAAAAATTTACCTCTCACAAAAAGTTTTTTTTCGCTCACAGATCACAGAGGGAAGCAGTTAGTAAAAATGGGATTTAAATTCGTAATGACTGGAGTACCAGCTGACACTCAAAAGAAGCTTAATGAGGAATAAAATAATCAAATAATTATAAAAAATAATATAGAAGTTAATCAAGTGATGGCTCTTCATCTGGCTTATTGGGAGCGTTCAACATATGAGTCAGAATATCATTGGTGTATTTCAGTCTTTTAGTCATCTCATGATTTGTGCTTTCTTGGGCTATGTCTAATGGATAAGTAGTTCTTTCTCCATTTTGATTAACATAGGTAACAATTCTTGTTTTGTTACTTACTCCCCCCTTCGTGAGTGAACAAAACCATTAGAAAAATCGCTATTTCTTGCCCAAAAATCGACCCTCCGTGAGCGAACAAAGATTTTTTTAATAGAACAATTTTTTTATGGAAAAAATTTTGATATGTAAGTGATAATTAGTATAATGAAATCTAAAGCTAAATCTGGTTAATTTTAAACACAAATTGCTTTTTAAAAAACATAAATTTTATAAATTATAATTAATATTTGCCTCCCAATTTTGCAAATTAGGATTTTTTTAAATTTCGAAAAAAAAATTTTCTATAAAATTTATATATAAATGTTTTTAAAACAAAATTAACCCCCTCCGTGAGTGAACAAAATTTTTTGGTTCACTTTAGGAGAGGGGAGTTAGTATAATTTCAGTATGATCCTGGAAATTGACCTGGATAATTTTATTTGACAGTCTGAACATAATCGCATGATTAGTCCTCATCCATTTTTTGACGTAGACTGGGTTCGCCATTGTATTCTCATCCTCAACCCCTGTTTCTTCTTTTATGTCTCGCTCTAAATAACTTATATGATCTATAAAATGCTGCAATAGAGTGACCTTTTCCTGAAGCTCTTTAGGATACTCAGTTAACGTATGATTTGCTACCATATATTGCTTTTCAGGCATTTTTCTTTCGATATAATTAAAAAGATGTCCATCTGGCCCTAAAATTACTTTAGTGGTGTCATTGAATAATATACCAGCTGAGCCATTACTTAGCAAATAGCCTAGTCCGTACTCTGAAGAATAATCTACCCACTTTTTAACCAAAACTTCAGGAGCGTTTGCCATCCCTTGTGAAGAATTCGCTATCATCGGAAGCTGCTTACTCTCCGCTCCATGAGCTAACAAAACCATTGGAAAAAATCCCCATTTTTTTCCCCAAAAGCCCACCTCTGTGACAAAACAAAATTTCTTTTGATATATAAGCGATAATTAATATAATAAAATATCTAGCTAATTCTATTCGGTTTTAAGACATAAATTTTATAAGCTAAATTAAGGGGAGGGGAATTAGTTTCTTCTTTTGCACTAGAAATTCTTTCAGTGCTTACCAATGAAGACTGCTCTAAAATATTTGGTGCAGTTTCTGTTAGCCTCTCGGTTGAATAAACCTGAGGATTTGTAGCACCTGGTTGAAATTGTCTAAGAAATGATGAAGATGGTGGACACGCCAGCGTAGACGGAGGAAGCAGCTTAGGTATAGAATTTCCTTGATGGAAAAACTCATGATCCAGCATCTCATCAATTGACGGCCGTTTCGAAGGGTCATTAACCAGTATCCTCGTAATAAGACTTTTGCTTTGCTCGCTAAGCGGCACATGGTCAGGAAATGAATAATCATTCATGCGGATTCTTCTATAAGTGTTTTTTACATCAGAAGTTTCAAATGGAGGCTTTCCTACCAAAAGTGTATAAGCCACAATCCCTAAGCTCCAGATGTCAACTTCATAAGAATACCCTTGCTTCCCATCCAAAATTTCTGGTGCAATATAATTTGGTGTCCCACAGATCGTCTTTTTCCTTTCCCCATCATGATCCAGCTTGGTCGCCGTACCAAAATCCCCAATTTTTACCTCCATTTTTTCAGACAGGAAAAAATTGCCTAATTTCAAGCCTCTATGGATAACTCGGTGACTGTGTAGATATTTCATTCCTGATATAATTTGCATCAAATAGCATTGAACTTCTAGCTCTGTAAGTCTTTTTCTACGTCTCAGAAGTTCGTTCATCGTTTGATTTATACAGAGCTCAAATAAAATGTAAACATTTTCATTGTCTTCGAAGAAATGTTCAAAACTTACTATATTTGGATGGTGCAAGGAGCGGTGGATTTCAATTTCTGACAATAATCATTCATTCGCTCTTGCTTTAACTAATGATGCTTTTGGGATAATTTTGGCTGTTGCTACTTTTAGGTTTTCCAAATTTGTAAACTCATAATATTTTGCAAAGCCGCTTCCTCCGAGAAATCGGCCTTTATTGTACCTTCTTATTTCGATATCTCCGTCCACTTTTGAAACTTTTTCTTCGACAATGCTTGCAGTGTCACTTACTTCTTGATTTCTGCTTGATTCGAGAGCCATATTTTTAATATCTGATATAGTTTAAATAAGCTTAATGAGGAATAAAATAATCAATAAATTATAAAAAATAATAAAGAAGTTAATCAAGAGGTGGCTCTTCACCTGGCTTATTTGGAGCGTTCAGCATATGAGTCAGAATGTCTTTGGTGTATTTCAATCTTTTAGTCATCTCATGATTTGTGCTTTCTTGGGCTGTGGCTAATGGATAAGTAGTTCTTTCTCCTTTTTTATTCACATAAGTAACAACTCTTGTTTCGCTACTCAGTATAATTTCAGTATGATCCTGGAAATTGACCTGGACAATTTTATTTGACAGTCTGAACATAATCGCATGCCTAGTCCTCATCCATTTTTTGACGTAGACTGGGTTTGCCATTGTATTCTCATCCTCAACTCCTGTTTCTTGTTTTATGTCTCCTTCTAACTTCCCCTCTTAGTGAGTGAGCAGAACCATATGAAAAATCCCTATTTTTTGCACCCTCCATGAGCGAACAAAAATTTTTTATTATAAAAATTTGTTTATATATAAGTGATTATTACTATAATGCAATCTCCAGCTAAGCTAATTCTGTTTAATTTTTAAACAAATTAGATTTTTAAACATAAATTTTACAAATTATACTAGTTTTAAATTTTGATAAAAAAATTATATAGAATTATATTTATCAAATTTTTAAAAAATATACCTCTCCGTAAGTGAACAAAAGTTATTGTTTGCTCACGGAGGAGGGATTAAATAACTTCTAAAATGTTGCAATAGAGTGACCTTTTTCTGAAGCTCTTTAGGATACTCAGTTAGCGTATGACTTGTTACCATGTCTTGCTTTTCAGGTCCTTTTCTTTCCATATAATTAAAACGATGTCCAGCTGGTCCTAAAATTACTTTAGTGGCGTCATTGAAAAATACACCAGTTGAGCCATTACTTACTCCCAACACTTCCGTGAGTGTGAACAAAATTATTGGAAAATTCCCTATTTTTTGCCACCCTTCTGAGGGAAAAAATTTTTTAATAGAAAAATATTTATAGAAAAAAATTGATATATAACTGATAATTAGTATAATGAAATCTCGAGCTAATTTTGTCCAATTTTTAAACAAATTGCATTTTAAAACATAAATTAAATAAATATTTGCTTTCTGATTTGAGAATTGGATTTTTAAATTTCGTATAAAACATGGCTATATAATTTTTTTTTCGCTCATGGAGGGGAGGGAGCTAGCAAATAGCCTAGACCGTACTTTGATGAATAATCTACCCACTTTTTAACCCAAACTTCAGGAGCGTTTGCCATCCCTTGTGAAGAATTCGCTATCGTTGGAAGCTGCTTAGTTTCTTCTTTTACCCTAGAAATTCTTTCAGTGTTTACTAGCTCTGGTCTAGATGTCCTCGAAGACTGCTTTGAAATATTTGGTGCTGTTTCTGTCAGCCTCTGAGTTGAAGAAACCTGAGGATTTGTAGCACCTGGTTGAAATTGTCTAAGAAATGATGAAGATGGTGGACACGCCAGCGTAGACGGAGGAAGCAGCTTAGGTATAGAATTTCCTTGATGGAAAAACTCATGATCCAGCATCTCATCAAGCGACGGCCGTTTCGAAGGGTCATTAACCAGTATCCTCGTAATAAGACTTTTGCTTTGCTCGCTAAGCGGTACATGGTCAGGAAACGAATAGGCATTCATGCGGATTCTTCTATAAGTCGTTTTTACATCAGAAGTTTCAAATGGAGGCTTTCCTACCAAAAGTGTATAAGCCACAACCACTTTTTATTTGTATAAATGGAGGAGAAAAACATCTGCTGTGTTAAACTGAGAGGAAGCTGCTTTTGCTTACAGCCAAAGATCGTGCAGAATCAGGAAGTAACTAGATAATGCTGACTTTGATGATATATCGCCATTTTACGATTGCGAGTTCTAAAATGAAATAGATGAGATAGTTGATGACGAGGAAGCTGATAATAGCAAATGGGAGCTTGAGGAAGATTCTATAATGACTGGAGACTACGAAGAATGGTATCTAGGAACACTGAGAACTGAAGGGAAGATACTGAATTAACCAATAAAGCACCGGAGCATAAGGTGGTGAAATTGAAGATAAAGATTGATTAATAAAAGCTCATAAGAGCTGCGTTAGGCTAGGGCTAATAAAAGTAAGTAAGTAAGTAAGTATAAGCCACAACCCCTAAGCTCCAGACGTCAACTTCATAAGAATGCCCTTGCTTCCCATCCAAAACTTCTGGCGCAATATAATTCGGTGTCCCACAGATCGTCCTTTTCCTTTCCCCATCATGCTCCAGCTTAGTCGCTAGGCCAAAATCTCCAATTTTTACCTCCATTTTGTCAGACAGGAAAAAATTGCCTAATTTCAAGTCTCTATGGATAACTCGGTGACTGTGCAGATATTTCATTCCTGATATAATTTGCATCAAATAGCATTGAACTTCTAGCTCTGTAAGTCTTTTTCTACGTCTCAGAAGTTCGTTCATAGTTTGATTTGTACAGAGCTCTAGTAAAATGTAAACATTTTCATTGTCTTCGAAGAAATGTTCAAAACTTACTATATTTGGATGGTGCAAGGAGCGGTGGATTTTTATTTCTGACATTAATTTTTGTTTTGCCCTTGCTTTAGCTAATGATGCTTTTGGGACGACTTTGGCTGCTGCTATTTTTCGGGTTTCCAGACTTGTGAACTCATAGCATCTGGCAAATCCTCCTTTTCCGAGAAATCGGCCTTTATTGTACCTTCTTATTGCGATATCTCCGTTTACTTTTACAACTTTTTCTTCGACAACGCCTGCAGTGTCGCTTTCTTCTTGATTTCTGCTTGATTTAAGAGCCATATTTTTAAAATACTGAAAAGTTTAAATTTAAGGCAAATAGATTTGCTGAACTTTCTTTGAAAACAGAAAAGTAATAAACAGATTAAAATGCTTATAGCCCCGTTCCCAGCTATAAAGCTTGATTTAAATAAATATTGTTGGTATTGAAAAATGCCCATTTTAAGATAAGCTATAATGATATTGAGACTTCTAACTCCCCCCCGTGAGTGAGCAAAACCATTGGAAAAATCCTTAATTTTTGCCCAAAAATACCAACTTTCCTGAGAGAACAAAATTATTTTGCATATAAGTGATAATTATTATGACTAAATTTATAACTAGTTCTGCTTTAATTGTATATTAAAAAACATATTTTGCAAATTAAATTAATATTTGCTTTTACGAATTAAAATTTTTAATATTTCAAAGAAAAAAATTAACCCCTCTTCTCCGAGCGGATAAAACTTATTTGTTCGTTCATGGAGGGGGGAGTAAGAGCAATATAATTCAAGCCTATAATTATATAATTGCTTGATTTTAAAAATTAATTTCCTTTCTCCATTCTACATTTTTAAGTTTAATTTGATTATTTGATCTCTCTAGGTCAGAGAAAAATCTGTATTTTAAATTATTTCTTAAAAAATATCAGGAATATTTGGATAATGGCCCTGGGCTTTGCATTCCCAATATCCTCCTGTATATCTCCATTCATCATCGTTTTCTAAAGCAAACCACCTTGGGAAATACATATCGCGGCTTTCTTCAAGCTTTTTTCTTGCTGCTCTTTGCTTTTCTTCGAGCCTATGCTTTTCTGAGTTAGCAAGCTTTAGGTCTCCATTTTCTAGAGCACGCTGGTCAGGTCTATATCTTGAGTCAGTCAATGCAATTCCAGGGACTAATTCCGGTACAGTATTTTTTATTTATATTATAAAAATGATACTTTTTAAATAAAATTTTGACGAAATATACAAATTTTATATTAGAATATAAAAAATTTTTTAGCCATTAAATTTTATTATCATACTTTTAATGAATAATATCTATACTGTACTTGATTTAATTGCAAAGTAAAGTCACTAAAGAAATAGCACCAATCGAAATCCTTAGGAAATGGATAAACTCTTCAGGCTTCAGAAACCTCTCCTGTTCGATTATTCACAATATCTACTCCTTTATTCCAGGTTCCTTCTAATTTATAATGTTCACTTCCATAACAATCATACACACTTCCAGATACTTCTGTAGCTTTCTTAGAAAATCACCCAGTTCTTTTTCAATTAACTTTTGCAAAGGTTGAGGGATTTTTGCACACATTTCTATATAAAAATCAAAAAATACAAAAATAAATGTCTTTTGCAAAATCACCATTTTCAAGATTTTTTACGTCAACGACTCCATTATGCTCAACCCAAATTTTTCCAAAAATAATATTATGGACACGAGTTTGAGGCTTATTCCAAACAAAATGATCATTATGAGGTTTTAATATCAAATGATACTTAGCTTGAGGCTCGACCAATAGATGTGTAGCCTTAAAAGTAGTTCTTACCTGAACACTTGCCCAAAAAATATACTTTTCATGCTCGCAATGCAAAGCTGATATAGGAGGATGATGGCTTACTTGTTCCAATAACAAACGAAAACCATAAAAAATAATTTACAAAAATTAAAAAAATAAGAAAATAATTTTTTTTTTTATTTTTTACGAAAACCATCCTGCTCTAATTCAAATGTTTCTCCTAATAAAGGGTTAAAAGGCTTCATAGTACGTCATTCACTTGTAGTATAAGAAGTTATAGCAAAGCTTGAAACTAAAGCAAGCCTATATCTAGGATCTGGATGATCTGCGGCTCTCAATAAAATTTCATTATAAGTTAGATCTTCAGCCCATCTTTGGATAAAGCTTAAAGGCTCGTTAAAATATACGGGAACTGTAATTTTGCTTAATTCCTGTCCTATAGATTCTTTAACAACTTTCCAAATATTGATTTTTTCATTTGGGTCTCTGAGATGTGGCAGTCTATCTCTATGGACCATAATGCTTGAAGTTATAGGAGCTTCTATTGGCATGATGACTTCTATTTGTTTAAATTCTTCGAATTTATCTTCAGATATATGGCTTTGGGCGTCTTCGAAATTATAATTTTCTTCTTCAACGGGGAAGCTTGCCATAACTTTTTTTTTGTCTTCTTTCACTATACTAAATAAATATAATATCAATATAAAATAATGCCTTATTTATTTAAAAATAAATAAATTATCTTAAAATACAACAGAATAACTCTTTGTAATACAGAATAATTCTACTGAATTATCAACTTGTGCGTCCTTTGCAAAATCAAATGTATTATCTGCCATTCCTTGACTTTTTACCGGAGATCATGTTTTTCTATTAAAATCCTCATCAATTTCCATATACTGTAGTACTTCAGTGGCCAGAATTTTCATTTCTTCACACAGTGATACAATTTTTTCTATCCCTGGGGTCGTTTTTATCACATTTTTTGGTATCAAGTCAATAGTCGCCTGCATTTGTGCATGGACACTTCACATTTCGCCTATTTTTCCATGAATTATTTGGTTAGATGAGCTTTCAACTGTTGCGATGCTTAATCTGGGCTCATCAGTAAAAGTCCTTCTTTTGACGTCAGTTTGGTTAGCTTTTAAAGCATTCATCCAGTCAATAGCTTCTCCTGGAGTGTAAGCTTTTAAATGAATTTGGGTACAACCTGTATCTATGAAAAAACGACATGGCTTGTAAGGGTGTTTACGAATTTGAGAAATTTCAAGGTGAATCATGCCACGCTGAGGAGAGCCTTTTTCTTTGCAATAGTGGAGGACACCATTGTAAAGGATGAAATACCTGCGCTGCCATCCGAAAATATAATTTGTCCACTTAAGCAAGTAGCCTTCCATTGGATTTTTTATTTTATTTTTAAAAATTTGGAGTTATAGTAAATATTCGGTGATTTAAGAATGATACAGTTAAATAAATCAATGGAGAACTTTGCAAAGCTTAGAAATGATTAAATTTATTTTGCTCTGGCTAAATAAATTGATACCAAAAAAGTTTATTCAAAAAACTTATTAAGATGATAGAGTTGATAGTATTTTAATTATTTAATATTAAATAATATAAATTATTCGCATTGAAATCTCATAAAAGTAAATAATCTAAATAATTTTTCATTAAACCCAGCTAATTTTTTGCGTTTTTGACAAGTTAACTATTTGTAAAATTTCTCGAGTATTATTCTCAGTTTAATGAATTATATTAGAAAGTCAATTTTAAGCTTAACAAGAATTTAATTAAATTTATTTCTGTATGCTCGCCTTTCCCTAGTTGACATTACTGATGAAATCCTTCTAGGATTACTATCAGAATCAATGCTACTTGATAGCATTTTTAGCCTCCTGTTTCCTTTAATATATCGATATTGGCTGTCTTCTTCATTGATTTTTGCTTCTAGCTCATCAGATCCCATGCTTTCCGCTACATTTTTAGGTGTTTTAAAATGCATGGTATTACTAATCAAAGGCATCATGGATACATCAATTGTTTTTAATGGAGAAAATTCTGAGGTAAGTGACTCAATTAGTTTAAGTAAAGTATTATGAGATCTCATACGTGAATTTTCTTCAGACCTAAGGCGAGCTTCAAGCGTAAAAAGCCTTGCTTCAGTCCCTGACATCCCATCAAGATGACGAAGATTTATAGGTAGCCAGGACAATTTTTCTGATAGCTCAATAATATTATTATGAATAATTTCTTTACTTTTATTGAAATTTTTTTCAATTTGTTTTGCAGTGTCTTGCAATTTTGTATTGAATTTCTCTTCTTGTGAATTTATCACGTTGAGGATTTCTTGCTTTAGGGAAAATAATTGTTCTTGGAATTCGTCTGGGAAAGGCGAAGAAGAAATTTCAAGCTTGAGTTCTTCAGCTTTGGAAGGAGAAGGCTTAATTGTGGGGGATTTTGTGATTTTTCGATTAAATTTTTTTAATTTTGAAATTTCGCCATGAATTTCATCAATAATCCCTTGAAAATTATCTATTTCATCTTTTATTTTGTCAACGTAATTATTAGTTTTCATATCTTTTTCATCAAAAACTTCTCTCATAATTCTAATCTTTTTCCTTAATTTCTTCTTTTTCTCAGCAAGATTAAAAATTTTCGCTTCAATTTCATTAGATTTTTCGATTATTTTTTCTTCCAAAATTTTCTTATTTTCCACTACAAATTCATTTGATTCGCTCAATATTTTTTCTTCCATTGCCATAAGCCTATCTTATATATTAAAATGGCGAACTAGCTCTTAATTCCTGCTATTGGACCCAGGGACCTCGAGGTTTGGAGATGGTATCCGTAAATCTGTATCCGACCAAGTTATAGTTATTTTAGTGAAGCACAGTGTCGGTTATAAACTGCACACTTTACTATAGATCAAGGCTTTTCTGCCACAGAGGGAAATGGAGCCAAGTATTGGAGAGAAGCCCCCTGTAGGATAAAGAGTATTTTTCATGGCCAATCAGATTTGCTTTCCAGCTTGAAACTAGGAGCTACACCTTGGGCTTCGGATTTCCATTTTGGGAAAAGAATCAATCAGAAATTCAACCATCTTGAATGTCCAATGGTGGGTAATCTTTATTGGCGCTCAGCACAGTGGTGAAAGACCCATCCGACAACGGCATAGTGAGTGCAGGCCTTTATCTTGCAGAAAGCGATTTTCGCGATATTGTGAAACCATACTTGAGAGCAATTGAGGAAGCCTAAGGAAAAGAGTTAGTTCCACTGAACTTTTTCATTATATATAATTTAGCTAAAGCCTATCTTCAAAATTTCTATTTAAATTTTACGATCTGACTATATTAATTTGTCTGTTAACTTGCTGTATTTCAGGATTCACTAAATTTTCTCTTATTTCAAGTCTAATTTTGTCACGTAAATTATCACAACTTGTTTTGATTTTTGTTTCTATTTGTTGTAGCGTAGGTCAGGTATTGGTATGTCTTTCAGACGTATGCAATCTTTCATCAAAAGACAAAATTTTGTTAGAGAGTCAGTTCGTCTTGGTATCAAGATCTTTTGCTAATTGGTCTTGTAGTATTTTATTTTTCTCAAGAAATGAAGTTTCTAATTCTGAAATTATTGTTGAGATTTTGTCTTCAGTCAATTTTATATAGGAATTATTATATATTTTTTTTAATTAAATTAATATAATTTTTCTAAAATTTATTAATATAATTAATACAGTACAATAGAGCATATCTTTTGTTGATTTTAAAACTTTTTTATGCTTGATAGTGAATTTTTCCTGGAGATCTTTTAGTTGAAATGATAAATTGTTAGAAATTTTTGATTGATAGCAAATTGAATTTTTTATTGTGTTGAATGCTGAAATAATAGGCTGAGGAATATTAAGCCATTCTGTAGTATCTAATTTTTCCAGTTCTTCAATATAATTAATACCTTCGTTAGATTCCATTTACTAGTCGAATATAATAGTTTTTAGTTATCAAAATACTAAAATTATAAAAACTTTATCATAAGTTTACAGTCCTTCTAAAAACGTAATTTATAAAGAAAACTTTATTCCTTTCCTGACCGAAATAATTCAAATCAATTAGTGATATTACTCATTTCTCGCTTTCATGCATTAATTTGCAATATTCTAAAGCTATAAAATCAATCAAGACTTGTCCATATGTAGCTTAGTTCAATCATTTAAAGAAACATACCATATAAATCAATAGTTTTTTAAATTAATTATTAACAATAAAATAATTGATTTAAGGAGAAACTTGCGCGATATTGGAATTTCCTTGATCTGTTTTCCCTAGATCTTGAGAATTACCAAATTTCTCTAAATCATGCACATTACTTGTTTTATCCCCTTCTTTTATATCATTAATTTTCCAAGGAGATATCGGGTTACTCGTTTTTTCGCTTGCATTATCCTTTTTTTGCTTTTCTTTAAAGGATTTCCATCTTTTAAGTCCAAAATCAGTCAAAAGTTGTCCAATTATAATAAATAGAACTTCAAGTGCAGCTTGTGGTAAAAGCACTAAATTTGCCATGGCAGGCCCAGGACAAAAACCAGTTAAACCCCATCCCATCCCAAAAAACGCAGGGCAATAATAATCCCATAATCAATTTGTTTATTTGTAGGAACTCCAAATTTTGCACTGCATAATGGTTTTTTTCTGTCTTAAAATCAAGTTAAATGCAACCACATTAATGCTTACTGCAACAGCCATCACAAATATCAAACTTGGATCCCAGCCATCAGCCATCGTTAAAAATGCGAGAATTTTAGTCCTTCTGCACATTCCTGACAGTAAAAGTCCTAAGCCGAACAAAGCTCCTGCAAAGCAAGAGACCCATAAGTCGAATTTCCCTATTTTTGTGGTTGCCTTGGATAGAGCGGTGATGATAGCTAGTATTAAAAAGCCAACGAAAACTGCTAAATAAACTCAGCCGCTTACTAATCTATAGATATCATAAGCATCACTGCTAACGTCCAAAGTGTCATCTAAAAATGGCTCATAATGCCTCAATGTGGCAGTTGCAATCCCAAAACCCAAAAATATACAAGTTGCTATAATAGATCTTGGAGAAAATCTAGGGACTCCACATACAGCATGACCACTTGTGCATCCATTTCCAAATTTTGTCCCGAAGCCCACAAATAGTCCTCCCACAATCCATCCAGCCACATCTAAATCATCTCCAGCCTCTTCGCCATCAAAAATCTTTTGTCCACTAACTTTATGGTCCACCCCCAGCCTAAAGCACACAATTATTCCAATTAGCCCAGTTATAAAACTTATTTTCCATATCAAGCCTTCTTTCTTATTCCATGTCGAGATTGTAAAAAGAATTCCACTCATCCCTGTGATTCTTCCCATCACATATAAGTTAATAATCGTTGAAAGTGCTATTAAAAAGCCTCCCAAGCAGGCAAAACCAACTGCTGTTCCATCCCAGTCGACTCCCATGATTTTTATTTGGAGTTGAAAACATGAATTTAAATTTATTAAGTATTCAGTGAAATGGAATACCGTATTGAAATATGGAAATATGGGTATTTATTTTATATTATTTTTATAATAGTTAAGTTATTTAAGAGCTAAGAAGGAGTTTTGCAATAAAAACTGATAAGAATTTTGCTAGAGCCAATAGACTGAGCTTTAATTTTAAACTTGCCCAATCTTAGTAACAATAATATGGATCCTCACAAAGAAATTCTGAAGAAAATTGAAGCACAAACCCTCAATATTGCCCAGCTTACATTTGAAAATTTACTTGAAGCAAGCTTTAAATCAATTACAACATTGACTGAAAGCATTAAATGAAACAGAAACCAAAGACTTGAATCTAATGAATATTTAGCAGAATCAGTTTTACAAAAACATGATATCATTGAGGAATTAAGCAATGTTACTAATACTCAGCAGCGTGAAATAGAATCACTCCAAAATGATATTGACCAAGCCGATGAGTTGATATATTACAAAACTGAAGAAAATAAGCACATCAACAAAAGGGTAGATCAGCTAAGCACAGAGGTTGTTTCACTAAAGAAAAATAATAAAAATATGAAGCTAATGGGTGCTGAAAAAGAAAAAGCAATAAAAGGTTTAGAAGCTAAACTTGATAAGGAAAGTGCAGAAAAGCAAAAAATAATCAAGAATTTAGAAGCAAGAATAAATCAACTAGAATCAAAATTAGATCAGGGGCAAGCAACAATCAAACATTTAGAGGAAAAACTGAATAAAGAAAATGCTGATAAGCAAGCAATAATCGAGCAATTGGATAAGGAAAAAGTAGATAAGGAAGCAATAATCGAAAAATTGGATAAGTGCAAAAAAAGAATCAAGCATTTAGAAGCGAAATTTGATATGGAAAATGCAGATCATCAAGCAAATATGAAGTCATTAGTGGAAAAAGATAAGAAAAAAGATATACAAATTTCCCACTTAGAAGCAAAGCTGAAAAAATCTAGTAAAAAATCCAAATCTCAAGATGAAAAAATCATTGATCAGCAAGCCCTAATAGTTAATCAGAATGCCAAAATCTCTGAGCTGCAAGCCCGAATGACTAAGCAGGATGATACTATAAATGAATTAGTTCAGGAAGTTCGAAGGACGAATCAAATATGACTAAAAAGTGAAGAAGAGAAAAGTCAAGGTGCCTTTCTTGCTCTTGCACCTCTAACTTTGAGGGAAACGTTTAGAACTCTAAAGAATTACTTATTGAAATTCTTTAATAGAAAATGCCAAACGACCATAGATGCACAATTGTCTTTCAATAGCTTATATGCTGTGAAACAGTTTTTATTGCAGCAAGGAAACGAAAATTCCTATCATCAATGGATGAATGAAGTGTTATCTCAATTTGATATTGATGAAGAGAAGTTCAATAACTGCAAGGGGTTAAACAAGGTGATGAATAAAGAAGTTCATTGGGAAGGTTTGCTAACATACAGAGCCTTATACGAAATTGGAGAAACCATAAAAATCCCAGCCGCAAAGAAGCTTTATGAAATATTAAAAGGTTTTATTCTGTTTCAGAAAGGAAAAGAAGAAGGCACTAATTAAAAGATTTTATATCTTTCATAAAACTAAAGAGTCAAATAAAAAATATATTTTATTATTTCTTAAAATTATGCATTCTATTTAAAATGATGTCATTTTTTTAAAAATTTTCAGATTGCTTAAAATCTCTCTTATATATTTATCTTCCTTTTTCCAATATCTCTAAAAGTATTTAATTAATTTTATTTAAAAAATGACCTTGGCTGCCTTGCACTGCTATTTCTTTTTCTTCTTTCTTCATCATTTCTCTGCATTTCTGCAAAAAATCATCTTCAAGCTCTTGTCTTTCTGCTGGAATCGAATAATGCAAAGGATGGCGAAGCTGCGTCAAGTTATGGACCCTTTAATTTAAAACCTGTGGGGCTGGGGACATATTTCTTTCATAGCTGATTCTTGGGGGTGTTGAATTTCTGCTAGGTCTTCCACTGCTGGCATCTTCTCTTTTTGGAGTGCTAGTTTCTTTGCTTTCTTCGACTTCTTGGTATATTTCAAAAGACCGCTGAGACGCTGGCGGGGTCTTGTCTTCTCTAGGCTCTTCTTGGGATTCCATATATTCTAACGGAGGGGTCGCAGGCTCTTCTTTATAATGATGAGAAGTCTCACCTGTAGACTGATGGAATAAGTTTTCAAAAGGGTCTGGGGAAGCATAATGGGTTTCTTTTGACTCTTCCAGTGACTTTTGGTAAGAATTCCATGCGCCTGTGCTCCCAACATCAGAAACCAGACGGTCAGTAGACTGTGGGTGAATATCTACTACAGGGGAATAAGAAGGCTCAGGCGGCTCAGCTGGAAATGACAAAGCTTCATAATTAAACGGCTCATATAAATTGTCATTTTCTAATTTTAATTGATTTAGCTGCAAGTCAAGCTGCTGGATTTCTTCGTCTTTGTCTTGGATTTCTAAATAAAGCATGTCACATTCTTGATGTAAAGCAGAAAGCTCATTACGAAGAGAAGAAATATCGGTTTGTAGCTCAGAAATTTGTGAGTCGAGAAATGAATTTTTAGGCTGATGAAGGCGGGCTGTGAGGATTTTTATGTCTTCTTCAAGTCTACTGGTTGCTTCGTGAGACTGAGTTTTATATCTTTTGTATTCTTCTGATACTCTTATGCTGTGGTCTCTTAGTTTTGTGCATTCGCTTGTATGGATTTCGATTTCTCTCTGCAAATTTTCAGCTTCACAGTTCCGATTGTCGATGTCTGCGTTAAGTTTCTCTATTTTTTGCTGGTCTTTTCGGACCTGACCTTCAGAATCAAGCTTACGCAATTTTCTTCTCAGGAAATGGATAAACTCTTCAGGCTTCAGAAACCTCTCCTGTTCGATTATTCACAATATCTACTCCTTTATTCCAGGTTCCTTCTAATTTATAATGTTCACTGCCATAACAATCATACACACTTCCAGATACTTCTGTAGCTTTCTTAGAAAATCACCCAGTTCTTTTTCAATTAACTTTTGCAAAGGTTGAGGAGATTTGCACACATTTCTATATAAAAATCAAAAAATACAAAAATAAATGTCTTTTGCAAAATCACCATTTTCAAGATTTTTTACGTCAACAACTCCATTATGCTCGACCCAAATTTTTCCAAAAATAATATTATGGACACGAGTTTGAGGCTTATTCCAAACAAAATGATCATTATGAGGTTTTAATATCAAATGATACTTAGTTTGAGACTCGACCAATAGATGTGTAGCCTTAAAAGTAGTTCTTACCTGAACACTTGCCCAAAAAATATACTCTTCATGCTCACAATGCAAAGCTGATATAGGAGGATGATGGCTTACTTGTTCCAATAACAAGCGAAAACCATAAAAAATAATTTACAAAATTAAAAAAAAATAAGAAAATAATTGATTTTTATTTTTTACGAAAACCATCCTGCTCTAATTCAAATGTTTCTCCTAATAAAGGGTTAAAAGGCTTCATAAGGATCGCCCCCCCCTCATTTGTCCGATTTTCTAGTTTTTTTTTATAGGATAAAAAAAAAATTCAGGACCTCACTTGTCCCAAAATCTAGTCAAATATGATTTGTCCCATTTTCTAGTCTTTTTTGGATTTTTTCAAATGTCCTAAATTTTAATTTTTTACTTTAAAAATACTAGAAAATGAGACAATTGAGGTCCTGAAAAATATTTTTTCCTATCAAAATTTTGACTAGAAAATTGGACAAATGAGGTGCTAAAAAAATTTTTTATTCATATAAAAAAAACTAGAAAAATGGACAAATGATAAAAAACTAGAAAATTGACAAATGAGGGGGGGATCCTTAGTACGCCATTCACTTGTAGTATAAGAAGTTATAGCAAAGCTTGAAACTAATGCAAGCCTATATCTAGGATCTGGATGGTCTGCTGCTCTTAATAAAAATTCATTATAAGTTAGATCTTCAGCCCATCTTTGGATAAAGCTTAAAGGCTCGTTAAAATATACAGGAACTGTAATTTTGCTTAATTCCTGTCCTATAGATTCTTTAACAACTTTCCAAATATTGATTTTTTCATTTGGGTCTCTGAGATGTGGCAGTCTATCTCTATGGACCATAATACTTGAAGTTATAGGAGCTTCTATTGGCATGATGACTTCTATTTGTTTAAATTCTTCGAATTTATCTTCAGATATATGGCTTTGGGCGTCTTCGAAATTATAATTTTCTTCTTCAGCGGGGAAGCTTGTCATAACTTTTTTTTTGTCTTCTTTCACTATACTAAATAAATATAATATCAATATAAAATAATGCCTTATTTATTTAAAAAATAAATAAATTATCTTAAAATACAACAGAATAACTCTTTGTAATACAGAATATATCGATATTGGCTGTCTTCTTCATTGATTTTTGCTTCTAGCTCATCAGATCCCATGCTTTCTGCTACATTTTTAGGTGTTTTAAAATGCATTGTATTACTAATCAAAGGCATCATGGCTACATCAATTGTTTTTAATGGAGAAAATTCTGAGGTAAGTGACTCAATTAATTTAAGTAAAGTATTATGAGATCTCATACGTGAATTTTCTTCAGACCTAAGGCGAGCTTCAAGTGTAAAAAGCCTTGCTTCAGTACCTGACATCCCATCAAGATGACGAAGATTTATAGGTAGCCAGGACAATTTTTCTGATAACTCAATAATATTGCTATGAATAATTTCTTTACTTTTATTGAAATTTTTTTCAATTTGTTTTGCGGTGTCTTGCAATTTTGTATTGAATTTCTCTTCTTGTGAATTTATCACGTTGAGGATTTCTTGCTTTAGGGAAAATAATTGTTCTTGGAATTCATCTGGGAAAGGCGAAGAAGAAATTTCAAGCTTGAGTTCTTCAGCTTTGGAAGGAGAAGGCTTAATTGTGGGGGATTTTGTGATTTTTCGATTAAATTTTTTTAATTTTGAAATTTCGCCATGAATTTCATCAATAATCCCTTGAAAATTATCTATTTCATCTTTTATTTTGTCAATGTAATTATTAGTTTTCATATCTTTTTCATCAAAAACTTCTCTCATAATTCTCATCTTTTTCCTTAATTTCTTCTTTTTCTCAGCAAGATTAAAAATTTTCTCTTCAATTTCATTAGATTTTTCGATTATTTTTTCTTCCAAAATTTTCTTATTTTCCATTACAAATTCATTTGATTCGCTCAATATTTTTTCTTCCATTGCCATAAGCCTATCTTATATATTAAAATGGCGAACTAGCTCTTAATTCCTGCTATTGGACCCAGGGACCTCGAGGTTTGGAGATGGTATCCGTAAATGTGTATCCGACCAGGTTATAGTTATTTTAGTTATCAACTGTACGCTTTACTACAGATCAAGTCTTTGCTGCCACAGAGGGAAATGGAACCAAGAATTGGAGAGAAGCTCCCTTGTAGGATAAAGAGTATGCTTAATGGCCAATCAGAATTGCTTTCCAGCTTGAAACTAGGAGCTACGCCTTGGGTTTCGGATTTCCATTTTGGAAAAGAATCAATCAGAAATTCAACCATCTTGAGTGTCCAATGGTGGGCAATTTTATTGACGCTCAGCATTGTGGTGAAAGACCCATCCGACTACCGCTTAGTGAGTGCAGGCCTTTATCTTGCAGAAGCGATTTTCGCGATATTGTGAAACCATACTAGAGAGCAATTGAGGAAGCCTTAGGAAAAGAGTTAGTTCCACTGAACTTTTCAATTATTATAATTTAGCTAAAGCCTATCTTCAAAATTTCTATTTAAATTTTACGATCTGACTATATTAATTTGTCTATTAACTTGCTGTATTTCAGGATTCACTAAATTTTCTCTTATTTCAAGCCTAATTTTGTCACGTAAATTATCACAACTTGTTTTGATTTTTGTTTCTATTTGTTGTAGCGTAGGTCAGGTATTGGTATGTCTTTCAGACTTATGCAATCTTTCATCAAAAGACAAAAGTTTGTTAGAGAGTCAGTTCGTCTTGGTATCAAGATCTTTTGCTAATTGGTCTTGTAGTATTTTATTTTTCTCAAGAAATGAAGTTTCTAATTCTGAAATTATTGTTGAGATTTTGTCTTCAGTCAATTTTATATAGGAATTATTATAATTTTTTTAATTAAATTAATATAATTTTTCTAAAATTTATTAATATAATTAATACAGTACAATAGAGCATATCTTTTGTTGATTTTAAAACTTTTTTATGCTTGATAGTGAATTTTTCCTGGAGATCTTTTAGTTGAAATGATAAATTGTTAGAAATTTTTGATTGATAGCAAATTGAATTTTTTATTGTGTTGAATGCTGAAATAATAGGCTGAGGAATATTAAGCCATTCTGCAGTATCTAATTTTTCCAGTTCTTCAATATAATTAATACCTTCGTTAGATTCCATTTACTAGTCGAATATAATAGTTTTTAGTTATCAAAATACTAAAATTATAAAAACTTTATCTTAAGTTTACAGTCCTTCTACAAACGTAATTTATAAAGAAAATTTTATTCCTTTCCTGACTGAAATAATTCAAATCAAATAGTGATATTACTCATTTTCTCATTTTCTCGCTTTCATGCATTAATTTACAATATTCTAAAGCTATAAAATCAATCAAGACTTGTCCATATGTAGCTTAGTTCAATCAATTAAAGAAACATACCATATAAATCAATAGTTTTTTAAATTAATTATTAACAATAAAACAATTGATTTAAGGAGAAACTTGCGCGATATTGGAATTTCCTTGATCTTGGTTATTATCTGTTTTCCCTAGATCTTGAGAATTACCAAATTTCTCTAAATCATGCACATTACTTGTTTTATCCCCTTCTTTTATATCATTAATTTTCCCAGGAGATATCGGATTACTCGTTTTTTCGCTTACATTATCTTTTTTTTGCTTTTCTTTAAAAGATTTCCATCTTTTAAGTCCAAAATCAGTCAAAAGTTGTCCAATTATAATAAATAGAACTTCAAGTGCAGCTTGTGGTAAAAGCACTAAATTTGCCATGGCAGGCCCAGGGCAAAAACCAGTTAAACCCCATCCCATCCCAAAAAACGCAGGGCCAATAATAATCCCATAATCAATTTGTTTATTTGTAGGAACTCCAAATTTTGCACTGCATAATGGTTTTTTCTGTCTTAAAATCAAGTTAAATGCAACCACATTAATGCTTACTGCAACAGCCATCACAAATATCAAACTTGGATCCCAGCCATCAGCCATCGTTAAAAATGCGAGAATTTTAGTCCTTCTGCACATTCCTGACAGTAAAAGTCCTAAGCCGAACAAAGCTCCTGCAAAGCAAGAGACCCATAAGTCGAATTTCCCTATTTTTGTGGTTGCCTTGGATAGAGCGGTGATGATAGCTAGTATTAAAAAGCCAACGAAAACTGCTAAATAAACTCAGCCGCTTACTAATCTATAGATATCATAAGCATCACTGCTAACGTCCAAAGTGTCATCTAAAAATGGCTCATAATGCCTCAATGTGGCAGTTGCAATCCCAAAACCCAAAAATATACAAGTTGCAATAATAGATCTTGGAGAAAATCTAGGGACTCCACATACAGCATGACCACTTGTGCATCCATTTCCAAATTTTGTCCCAAAGCCCACAAATAGTCCTCCCACAATCCATCCAGCCACATCTAAATCATCTCCAGCCTCTTCGCCATCAAAAATCTTTTGTCCACTAACTTTATGGTCCACCCCCAGCCTAAAGCACACAATTATTCCAATTAGCCCAGTTATAAAACTTATTTTCCATATCAAGCCTTCTTTCTTATTCCATGTCGAGATTGTAAAAAGAATTCCACTCATCCCTGTGATTCTTCCCATCACATATAAGTTAATAATCGTTGAAAGTGCTATTAAAAAGCCTCCCAAGCAGGCAAAACCAACTGCTGTTCCATCCCAGTCTACTCCCATGATTTTTATTTGGAGTCGAAAACATGAATTTAAATTTATTAAATATTCAGTGAAATGGAATACCGTATTGAAATATGGAAATATGGGTATTTATTTTATACGATTTTTATAATAGTTAAGCTATTTAAGAGCTAAGAAGGAGTTTTGCAATAAAAATTGGATAATATAGAAAAGGAAAATAAAGGCTTTTCTGCTTTTGAGAAAAATTTAAAAAATTATTATTTTTTAAATTTTTATGTTTTATTACTATTTTTTGCTTTTTCTTATGTTGATTAATTAAAAGATTTATAGGATAGCTTGGCAGCAATGCAATGCAATCCAATTAAATGGATATCATTTTTAGCACATAAAGTAGCTATGATCATTATCATTATCATTAGAATTTATATCGCTTAACGTCCACTACGGAGTTACAACCCCAGGTTTATCACTCGCCCTTTCGTCGCATCGGGCCCACAAAGTAGCTATGATCAATATAGTTCTAGATATAAATTAATTGAAGCAAGCTTAAAATTCATTTGCGATTTTAGTATCAGCTTCTTCAGATTATGAAGCCCATGAATTTCTTTATATTTTAATTTCTCAAGTTTTCTAAATAGATCATTTAGCTTATAAAATGTTTTTTATTATAACCAAAATCTATGCTTTGCATCTACTTAATTTCAAATTAAGTTATTTATCAAATTGCTTTATAAATGCAATTTTAAAATCATTAGCAACTGCCTAAAATGCTTTCCTCATTATATACTTTCAATTCGATTTTTCTACTTTCAGTCATATAAATTCCATATTGAAGCTTTTTAAAAAAATTAAAATTTCTTATAGTCTATTAAAATTTAAACACACCCAATCTTACTAGGAAGAAACCTAAAAATCCCAGCCGCAAAGAAGCTTTATGAAATATTAAAAGGTTTTATTCTGTTTAAGAAAGAAAAAGAAGAAGGCACTAATTAAAAGATTTTATATCTTTCATAAAACTAAAGAGTCAAATAAAGAATATATATATTTTATTATTTCTTAAAATTATGCATTCTATTTAAAATGATGTATATTTTTTAAAATTTCAGATTGCTTAAATCTCTCTTATATATTTATCTTCCTTTTTCCAATATCTCTAAAAGTATTTAATTAATTTTATTCAAAAAATGACCTTGGCTGCCTTGCACTGCTATTTCTTTTTCTTCTTTCTTCATCATTTCTCTGCATTTCTGCAAAAAAATCATCTTCAAGCTCTTGTCTTTCTGCTGGAATCGAATAATGCAAAGGATGGCGAAGCTGCGTCAAGTTATGGACCCTTTCATTTAAAACCTGTGGGGCTGGGGACATATTTCTTTCATAGCTGATTCTTGGGGGTGTTGAATTTCTACTAGGTCTTCCGCTGCTGGCATCTTCTCTTTTTGGGGTCCCAGTTTCTTTGCTTTCTTCGACTTCTTGGTATATTTCAAAAGATCGCTGAGATGCTGGCGGGGTCTTGTCTTCTCTAAGCTCTTCTTGGGATTCCATATATTCTAACGGAGGAGTTGCAGGCTCTTCTTTATAATGATGGGAGGTCTCACCTGTAGACTGATGGAATAAGTTCTCAAAAGGGTCTGGGGAAGCATAATGGGCTTCTTTTGACTCTTCCAATGACTTTTGGTAAGAATTCCATGCGCCTGTGCTCCCGACATCAGAAACCAGGCGGTCAGTAGATTGTGGGTGTATATCTACTACAGGAGAATAAGAAGGCTCAGGTGGCTCAGCTGGAAATGACAAAGCTTCATAATTAAACGGCTCATATAAATTGTCATTTTCTAATTTTAATTGATTTAGCTGCAAGTCAAGCTGCTGGATTTCTTCGTCTTTGTCTTGGATTTCTAAATAAAGCATGTCACATTCTTGATGTAAAGCAGAAAGCTCATTGCGAAGAGAAGAAATATCGGTTTGGAGCTCAGAAATTTGTGAGTCGAGAAATGAATTTTTAGGCTGATGAAGGCGGGCTGTGAGGATTTTTATGTCTTCTTCAAGTCTACTGGTTGCTTCGTGAGACTGAGTTTTATATCTTTTGTACTCTTCTGATACTCTTATGCTATGGTCTCTTAGTTTTGTGCATTCCCTTGTATGGATTTCGATTTCTCTCTGCAAATTTTCAGCTTCACAGTTCCGATTGTCGATGTCTGCATTAAGTTTCTCTATTTTTTGCTGGTCTTTTCTGACCTGGCCTTCAGAATCAAGCTTGCGCAATTTTCCTCTCAGCTCTTTTAGTTCTTCTTCCATTAACTTTCCTTTGTTTTTCTCATTTTCTAGTTCCATTTCTAATGTCAAGCATTGGACTTTAGCTGATTCAGCTTCTTTTTGCTTTGTGGTTAGCTGCTTTGTAAGTGATGATAAGTCTTCCCACTGCAATGAGTCACTTTGAATAGAAGAAGTGTCAATTGATTTAAATGTAAACTCTGAGCCTTCTGATTGCTGAATTTCTGTGGCAGGAGGAGAAGCCGAGAGTTGCTTAATATGTGCTTTTTCTTCTATAATTTCTGGGTTTTCAGGGATTACTTGGGTTTTTATAGGCTCAATAGGCACTTCTTGAGAATGTGGTTGGGATGAAATAGGCTGAGGAGGAAGAGATCGATTAACTGGACGATTTAAGCGGCGATTCCCCGTTTTTTGTCGAAATTCTCTGAACTCTTTAAGCTTTGAGTCTCTGATTGGAAGTTACCTAATAAGTTTTGCCTGATTGGGGTTCATTTATATAAACTTATAATTATGAGTTTATATAACTAGGTGCACTTATAGCAGGCCGAAGCTATAATTGTAACAAGATTTTCTATAAAAGTATCAGTGATTCATTTGAAAATTAGATTTTAATGAGATTTCAACAAATATTTTGATAATTTTATTTATCTGAAGCTATTTAAGTAAAAGGATGAAATATATAGCAATAAATCAGATTGTGATATAATAAAATATTAAAATCGCATAAAATATTTATCAATCGAGTTCCTTAATTTTCCTCTGTGAAAATAAATATTTAGATTTTAGAAACTAACATAATGAAACATCCAGGCTATTTATTCCATCAAATAATCAAAATTTATTATTAAAATAATTCATAACTTGCGCCAAAGGGTTTTTTATTAATATATCATCCTTTATTAAAAGTTAAATTTAAGAGTTTCTAAAGCAGAATTTATAAAAAAAAAATTAAAATATTAGACATTAAAATCTTAATAAGTTATATTAGTGATCTCATATCAAATTTCTTAAAATAAATTCCGACATGATTTCACCTTTAATTTTATATTTTCTTATCACTAAAAATCAGAAGAATTCTTATAAATCAAGAGGAAAATAAATATTGCATCATACTCTTATTTCTGACAAAACGGCTTTGCTAATTTAAAATATCTCAATTCTTGCAATTATAATAATACTCAAAATATATATAATGCTTTTCAAAGTGATGAATATACTTACACTAGGGTGGTGTCTCAATCTTCTCATAGTTGATAACAAAGAAGCTAACTCCTACTCTCTGTGAGCAAGCAAAAACATTGGAAAAGTCTATTTTTTGAAGACAAATAGAAAAAAATTTGCTCGTTCACGAAGAGGGAGTAAAACGAATTTTGACTCACTTGAAGACTCATACACAAACATTTACATTGAGCACAAAACCCTTGAAGAACTTTTAAAATTAGAGTATGAAATTGATAGAAATACTATTATTATTGATTTATCCTCAAATATTCAGTCTCATTTTTTATTATCTCAACTCGCTTCAAGACAAAGAATTCTTCATATCATAAACGATGATTTTAATAATGGATATACCTCTTGGACTTTTACGCTAAAACCAAATCAGGGTAAATATATAAACTCCTTACTCCCCCTCCATGAGTCAACAAAAATATTGGAAAATTCTCTTATTTTTATGGAAAAAACTGCCCTCTGTGAACAACATAAAATATTATATAAGAGAATAATTAATATAATGAAATTTCTAACTATTTCGTTTAAGTTTTACAAAGATATAAATTTTAAATTTAATTAATATTTTATTTCCAATTGGGATTAATTTTAATTTTCGAAAAAAATGACTGTGAAATTTATATAGCCCCAGCCATGAGCGACAAAATTTTCGTTCACTCACAGAGGGTTAGTAAATGTTTGCAAAAAATTTAACTGAAACTCAGGAATTGTTTTTCTCTCCTATAAAAATTCAGGCATGCAACGTAAAATTAACGAAATATTTGATAATGATTTTCATTATATCATTGTTGAGAGAAAAACAGATATTTCTCAAGTAATTAACAGAGAAGTTTTTAGACTTGGAAGTTACTTATATTATTTATTCACAGAAAGTAATATATCTGAGGATATTATCCAAAACCTCATAAGGACAAATTTATTATTAAAAGACAGCGGAATATTATTAAGCCAGGAAAGTAGTTATAATACAAATTTTAATGGCGCTTTAATTCTAGCTTCAAAAGGCCAAGAAAATACAAAATCATATGAACAAGAAACTGTCCAAAGTTTAAAAAATTTATTTTCTCAGATTCTTGGAGCTCAAAATTTTAATAATACAGGAAATGACATTAATTTTATTATGAAAGATATTCTTATGTCTATCTGTGAAAGCCATTTTTGTACAAATTCTTTTAATTTAGTAAATATTCAGTCTGGAAATAGGGTTATTATTGGAGATTCTTTGCCTTTCTCTATAAAAAACTCAATAATTTTCCCAGGCAATTCTTCAGTAATCCCTGAATCTCGCAAAAAAATTATAAAAGTTAGCATAAGTAATGGCTCTAAAAACCCAACAACCGCTCCTATGAATAATACCTACACAAATTACTATGGCTGCTATACAGCCATAAAGCAAGTAAATACTGGCCAGGATTTAATAGAAAATTTTATGCTATCCCCTACAACTTTTGATTGTGGACAATCTGAGTATAATTCTACTTTTATGTATAATTGTTTTTCTAAAAAATTCGATGATATCGGTGTCATGCATTTTCCATCAAGCTTTACACCAGTAGTATCAGGAACAATGGCGACGCTCTCCAAGCTAAATCATAGTATTCCGCTCATCGCAGGCATGTCTAATGATGATGCGCTGACAATTACGCAGAAATACCCATTTTTCTCTAGGACAAGTTTTGATTATGTTTACGTAGCTGCACAGTTTGTAAAGGTACTCTATACTTTGGGTTGGAAAAATTGCGCAATTTTATATAGAGGTTTCCTCTATATAGCGCTGAAAGCGCAGACATTTTCCAGGAGCTTTCCAAGTTCGTCGGACCAAATCGCTTTTTGGTCCGACCAAGGCATTGATTTGGTGCAACCAACCGATAAATTCCGATCAGAATTTATCGGCCTTACAGCGCCAAACATAGGAAACTTCTATATCAGACTAAACCTTTGTATACAGCCATGCACAATCAGTTTGTAGAAACAGCTGAAAAGTATAATTTGAAGATTCTCAATAGAGAAAGCCTTCGTGCAATACCAGGAGACGTCAATAGTTATGAAGCCTTACTAAATCACACAGAGATTGTTCAAGAAGTCATAAATAGCAACGCTCGGCTATTGATAATGATTATGCTCGCTGACATTTCTATTGCAACGATGGACTTGCTTTACGATTTAGGCATAAGAAAAGGCGATTTAATAGTATTATGAGCAGCGCCAGCTTGGATCAATGCTGTATATTTTCCTAGACCAGGCGGCTTAGATAGAACTAAAACTAATGAGCTTTCGCTTCCTTCAATTGCATTAGACCAACCTAGCTATACAGGAGAGGTAGGAAACTGGGTCGAAAAACAAATAGCCAGCACATATGGAGGAAACCCCTCTCAAAGTAACCTAGGCTCATGCTGGAATTATGACGCAGCAAGACTAGGAAGCTATGCATTGGATTTCATGATTGATAGAGGTCTTGATTACACAAATGGGACTTTATTAATGGAAGCGGTCAGAAAACAAATTTTTACAGGCTGCTCTGGGACAGTGAGAATTGAGCCTGATACAAATAATAGATTTATTAATTTCCTGATATTGAAAAATGCGTTGTGAAATCCTGCAACTAATTCTGTACAAGTTTCTGATGCGGCATATTGAAATCCTACTGGGAGTGACGTTTTAACGATTCTTCAGCCATTAAAATACGCTGGAAATACCACGATAAAGCCTAGCGATTTTAGAGTTGAGCTAAATAATTGCCCATTTCCTGAAAAAGAAATTAGGACTTTTGATAAAGGCAGGTATTTATCCCCCCAATTTAAATTAAAACATAACTAACATTTCTTTTTTTTTGTACATTTATCCCTTTTAATTTGGATCAACTTTTTTCATAGGTAAAATGCTAATTTTTTTTAAAATTAGTTTTAACCTAATTTAAAGATATATATATTAATATTTTAAATCTGAATCGATTTAAAAATTTTGTGTTCAATTTATATATTTTTAATTTTTAACATTTTTAACCTTCTTTAAATAGGAAGAGATTTTTTTATTTAAAGAGAATAGGATTAGTATTTGGAATTTGCATAGCAGTAGCGGTGGCGACTGCAGGGGTTACTATCGTTATATGGAAAAAATGATGGAATATAAGAGCTGAAGATTTAAAAGAAAGGAAAGAAATGTCAATCGAAGATTTCATTATGGCTGCCACCATTGTAATTGAATTTTTCCAATTGTTAGCTATGGGTCCAGATATTACTCCTATAAATTCTTTAATTTCTGATATAGGAAAATCGTTTTCACTGGATTTTGAAAGCTTGATACAGGTGAGAAATGACGTTTTTTGGATTTTTCTTGATGTAGTTTTTGGGTCAATTATATTGTGGGTGATTTTATCTGTGATTGTTTTGTTTAGATTGGACGAAATTTTTAATAGGGTCGCGATTATTCGATATCTCAATTCACTTTCGGATTATTCAATACTAAACTGATTTTAAAAAAATGAAAAAATCATGATTTTATATAGGAATCACCTAATTATGATGAATTTTACTATTTTCAGCATATTTAATGCCTGTGCTTGGGAATTTATTGTTTATCCCGTTTATGTCAGGCTTATTAGACGTTTTTGTATGTGATAAATCAATTGGAGATGATTTCACTCAAAGTTTTATGTATAAAGATTGCAACCAATTTTGCTGGAAAAATGACCATATAATATATGCAACTTTTGCCTTCATTGGTATTATTTTATATGAACCTTTAGCAATATTCTGTAGACCTCTCTGGCAAGAATTTCAACCTTTGGCACATGTAAAATACTCTCCTAGACATCTTATGCTGAAAACTATATTCCAAATAACCCTTATTGTTATGAATAAAACAGTAAAAAGAGCTCAAGACATCGCCCATGGAGCGATTTTTACGTTTTTTGTGCTAGTTTTTGCAGTTTTTATACATAGAGACAAACCTTATAATTATCCTAGATTCAGCTGGTGACTGACTTTAAGCTTATTTGGAATTGTGTGAGAGTCATTTTTAACTACAATTAATATAGGAATTGGGAATAGTGATTCTCTTGTATGAGTTGCTATATTAATAGCTGGATGGGGTATAATAGGAATTATAGGATTATGGGTACAAAAGAAAAAATATCCGAGTTTGCTTTTTAGAAGTAAAGGAAAAGATACTTCAAATTTATTCAAATTTGCATTTACATTGGGCAGAAGGAAATCTCAAGCAATTTCATTGAAGATGAGTTAAAAAATTATTAAAAATAATTAGCTTTATTTAAGCCTTATTTCAAAAAAATTAGGGAGTAAAACTTCAATATATTTTCTGACTTCTTTTAACTATGTTGATCTTTAAACTCTTCGTACTAACTTTATGGACTCTCTGCGATTTTGATCAGTCGGAGGGAATCTCTAATTCTCAGGTAGTCTGGGATATCGTCTACCGATAAACTGATTAGGTTTAGGCTTAAAAATCCTGTTTCTTTTTTCTTGTCCGGCTTTTTTAAATTTTTCTTCTTCTTAAACGAATTCATTAATAGCATAGCTATAAGCTATCACTTTTTTGATGTCTTCTAGAGGAGCTTCTCTTATAGTTTCTGAAGTAACGATATGTCCGATATTTCATAAATGATCTAAATCTGCAAGAATAAATACCAAGATTTTTAGATATAAAAATAGCAATAATAAAATCATAATGATTTTTATTCCCTCTTATAGTATAGACTTCTAATTCAAAATAATTCATTTTCTGTGCCAAATATGGGCATTTTATAAATAAATCACCCTATTGGTTTTTTATTAAAAAGTTAAATTCAATATAGTATTCCTCTTATCGAATGAGTCAATAAGCACAATTTATAAAAAAATAATTCCGAAATATTAAATAATTAAAAAACTTAATAAATTGTATGAGTAGTCTGATATAAAATTTTCTAAAATTAATTCTGGCATGCCTTTGCCTTCAATTTTGATATTTTTTTATATTTAAAGATCAGAGCTCTTTTAAGGACCCACTATTCACATAAAAACAATATTTCATAATTCTCTGGTTTATGACGCAACGGCTTTGGTCGTTCAAAATATCTTAATTAATGGACGGCTCTTGCAAATGAAATAATAAACAATATAAATAATGCTTTTCAAAATAGTTGCTATACTTACACTAGGATGGTGTCTCAATCTTCTCATAGTTGACGAAAAAGAACCTAAAGAGATTTTTGACTCTCTTGAAGAGTCATATATAAATATTTACATTGAGTACAAAATTCTGGAAGAACTTATAAAAATAGAGTATGAAATTGATAGAGATACTATCATAATAGATTTATCCTCAAATATACAGTCTCATTTTTGAATATCTCAGCTTGCCTCAAGGCAAAGAATTCTTCATATTATAAATGATGATTTTAATAAGGGATATAGCACTTGGACTTTTTCACTAAAACCATATCCGGATAGATATATAAATTCCTTAGTAAATGTTCTAAAAAATTTTAACTGAAGCTCAGGAATTGTTTTTCTCTCTGATAAAAATTCATGAATGAAAGAAAAAATTAGCAAAATATTTGATAATGATTTTCATTATATTATTGTTGAGAGCAAAACTGATATTTCTCAAGTAATAGATAGAGAAGTTTTTAGACTTGGCAGCTACTTATATTATTTATTTACAGAAAGTAATATATCTGAGGATATTATCCAAAACCTCATAAGGACAAATTTATTATTAAAAGACAGCGGAATATTATTAAGCCAGGAAAGTAGTTATAATACAAATTTTAATGGCGCTTTAATTCTAGCTTCAAAAGGCCAAGAAAATACAAAATCATATGAACAAGAAACTGTCCAAAGCTTAAAAAATTTATTTTCTCAAATGTTTGCAGCTCAAAATTTTAATAATACAGGGAATGACATTAATTTTATTATGAAAGATATTCTTATGTCTATCTGTGAAAGCCATTTTTGTGCAAATTCTTTTAATTTAGTAAATATCCAGTCTGGAAATAGGGTCATCATTGGCGATTCTTTGTCTTTCTCTATAAACGACTCAATAATTTTCCCATGTAATTCTTTACTAATTCCTGAGCCTTGCAAAAAAATTATAAAAGTTAGCATAAGTAATGGCTCTATTAATCCAACAACCCCTCCTATGCCTTTTACCCACACAAATTACTATGGCTGTTATACAGCCATAAATCAAATAAATACTGGCCAGGATTTAATAGAAAATTTTATGCTTTCTCCATCAACTTTTGATTGTGGTGTATCTGAGTATAATTCTACTTTTATGTACAATTGTTTTTCTAAAAAATTTGATGACATTGGCGTCATGCATTTCCCCTCAAGCTTTACACCAGTCGTATCAGGAACAATGTTGACGCTCCCCAAGCTAAATCATAGTATTCCGCTCATTGCAGGTATGTCTAATGATGATGTCCTTACGTTGCCTCAGAAATACCCATTTTTCTCTCGGACAAGTTTCGATTACGTATATGTGGCTGCACAGTTTATTAAGGTACTCTATACGATGGGCTGGAAAAATTGCGCAGTTTTATATCAGGTTGAACCTTTGTATACAGCCATGTACCAGCAGTTTGTAGAAACAGCTGAAAAGTATAACATGAATATCCTCAATAGAGAATATTTACGTGCAATACCAGGAGATGTCAATAATTATGAAGCCTTATTAAATCACACAGAGATTGTTCAAGAAGTCATCAACAGTAACGCTCGGCTATTAATAATGATTATGCTTGCTGACATTTCTATTGCAACGATGGATTTATTTTACGATTTAGGCTTAAGAAATGGCGATTTAATAGTATTATGAGCAATGCCAGCTTGGATCAATACTATATATGTCCCGAGGTCAGGTGGCTTAGCTGGCTATCGACGGATATGAAACTTGTATCCCAGGACGTAACTCTAGGGACCGCGCTGGGAAAGTGAGCAAATGGTCAAGCGAGCGCCCTCTAGCCTTGCTGGGCTGTCCCTTTCTGCTTACAAGTCTCGTCATCCCTTGGAATAAAATATTGCATAGATTTGAGCCTGCTGTCGGTCAGCCCGATATTGCACTCCATCAGACCAAGCTAGAGCTGACCAAATACACTCACCGCACTCTGCTTTCCCTTCCACAAGGTCCCCAGATCCCATCTGGCTGCAAGTGCTAAGGGAAGAGGTAGGCTCTCCACGCAATTTTTATATGTTTAATGGAAGCTGTAAGAAAACAAATTTTTACAGGCTGCTCTGGGACAGTGAGAGTTGAGCCTGACACAAATAATAGGTTTATTAATTTCCTGGTATTGAAAAATGCGTTGTGAAATCCTGCGACTAATTCTGTACAGGTTTCTAATGCGGCGTATTGAAATCCTACTGGGAGTGACGTTTTAACGATTCTTCAGCCATTAAAATACGCTGGAAATACCACGATAAAGCCTAGCGATTTTAGAGTTGTGCTGAATAATTGCCCATTTCCTGAAAAAGAAATTAGGACTTTTGATAAAGGTAGGTATTTACCCCCCAATTAAATTAGAACAAAAAAATAATAAAATTTCATTTTGGTATTTTAACATCTCTTAAATTGGAACATAATTTTTTTAAAACAAAAATTATAGGTTTTATAAATTAGTTTTATCTAGTTTAATTATAAAACCCAGGTAGATATTATTTAAATAATTAAAACTGAATAGGTTAATTTTTTTTAATTAATTATTCATAATATTTTTTTATTTTTAAAAAAATGTTATTAATTTTTTTAAAGTTAAAAATAAAGTTAATTTTTATTAAAACATTAGCCTTCTTTAAATAGGAACAGAATTTATTTTTTAAAGGGAATAGGATTAGTATTTGGAATTTGCATAGCAGTAGCGGTGGCGACTGCAGGGGTTACTATCGTTATATGGAAAAAATGATGGAATATAAGAGCTGAAGATTTAAAAGAAAGGAAAGAAATTTCAGTTCCTGACGCTATTATGGCTGCTACCATTGTAATTGAATTTTTCCAATTGTTAGCTATGGGTCCAGATATTACTCCTATAAATTCTTTAATTTCTGATATAGGGAAATCGTTTTCACTGGATTTTGAAAGCTTGATACAGGTGAGAAATGACGTTTTTTTGATTTTTCTTGATGTAGTTTTTGGGTCAATTATATTGTGGGTGATTTTATCTGTGATTGTTTTGTTTAGATTGGACGAAATTTTTAATAGGGTCGCGATTATTCGGCATCTCAGCTCACTCTCGGATTATTCTATAGTAAACTGATTTTAAAAATATTAAAATAATCATGATTTTATATAGGAAGCACCTGATTATGATGAATTTTACTATTTTCAGCATATTTAATGCCTGTGCTTGGGAATTTATTGTTTATTCCTTTTATGTCAGGCTTATTAGATGTTTTTGTATGTGATAAATCAATTGGAGATGATTTCACTCAGAGTTTTATGTATAAAGACTGCAACCAATTTTGTTGGGAAAATGACCATATAATATATGTAACTTTTGCCTTTATTGGTATTATTTTATATGAGCCTCTAGCAATATTTTGTAGACCTCTCTGGCAAGAATTTCAATCTTTGGCGCATGTAAAATACTCTCCTAGACATCTTATGCTGAAAACTATATTCCAAATAACCCTTATTGTTATGAATAAAACAGTAAAAAGAGCTCAAGACATTGCCCATGGAGCGATTTTTACGTTTTTTGTGCTAGTTTTTGCAGTTTTTACACATGGACATAAAGCTTATAATTATCCTAGATTCAGCTGGTGACTGACTTTAAGCTTATTTGGAATTGTGTGAGAGTCATTTTTAACTACAATTAATATAGGAATTGGGAATAGTGATTCTCTTGTATGAGTTTTTATATTAATAGCTGGATGGGGTATAATAGGAATTATAGGATTATGGGTACAAAAGAAAAAATACCCGAGTTTGCTTTTTAGAAGTAAAGGAAAAGATATGGACATTGAAGGGTTTTAGACAAATATTTTTGTGAAGAAAATCAATTGACATGCAAAATTTGATATTTATTTTCCTAAAAATTAAATGCATAAAGAAGAGGGGTGAAAATGCTAAATCTATTATACTTCTAATTTATTCAAATTTGCATTTACATTGACGAGAGGCAAAAGTAAAGTAATATCATTTAAATAAATTATTTTATTAAATGGAAAAGAAAACTATTAAAATAATTAAGTTTATTTAGTCTTTATTTATTAGAATAAAGAACTGGAATATACTCTTTTACATTGGTCTGATTTTTGAACTTATTCCAACTAACTTAATGCGCAATTTTGATCAGTTAGATGGAAATCTCTAATTCTCAGGTATTCTGTAGCTTCTTCCCTACTGATTATATCTTCCTCAGTTAGGCTCCAAAAATCCTTTTAATTTTTTTCTTAATTCAATTTTTATTAGTGTCTTTTTGAAATTTTTCTTAATCTTGAATAAGCATAGCAATTGAAATAAATTTTGCAAAGAATACCATAATAGGCATCCAGAAAACTACTCATTTTTTTATTCTTCCAAATGCTCATCATCCAACGTGTCATGCTCTCTCTCCTTTATATCAAGCTACTCAATAATATTTCTTTTCTTAGCTTACTTTGTATATATTGTAGCTTTTGATATCTATCAAGGAGCTCTCTTATAATATCTGAAGTAACGATAAGTACGATTCCCATAAAGGATCTAAGTCTGCAATCTTGGGCTGCAATCACCAAACAAGTAAAGAAATTTCTCAAAAAACAGATTCTGTGAGTGAAGATCTCAAAATTTTATTTCTTAAAGCCTAATTCAACGCAATCCTTACTCTCATCTCGGAAAGGGTTATTTCTGCTTAAATTATCTAGTTCGGTTAGTCCTTTTGCTAGATTTAAATTCATATCCTTATCTTTTATATATATAATGCCTCACTTGATAGGCAATTAATGACATGAAATTGGTGTTTAAGGAAGTTTTACTGAGCCAGCTTAAAGGGTTTCATGCTATTAATTTCTGAGCTTCTTCTGTAGATTTGCATTAGTTTTCTTCTCAATAAAGAGCAGACAAGGCCTTCCATTTTGTTTTTCTTAATTTATTCTTGATGTATTATTATGGGTTATTTAGGCCACTTTTATTTTAGGCAAAATAATTGATTATTCAAAATAATGAATTAAATTCTAGATGAAAATCTGTAAATATTTATAAATTTATTTTTGGGTATATTTAAAAATGAATTACCTTTACAAATTAAGCAAAAAGATAGGTATTAAATTAATGCTTAAATATGCTTAGAAGCCATATATTATAAGCAAGTATAAAATCATTTCTTTGCCCATATTAGGATATAAACTTCAGATCTCTTGGAATTTCTATATAGAACTTGCATTTCTGACTTTTTAATTAATATTGGAGAGTGCGTCTTACGATAATTTTTTCTAATTAGTTATTTTTTTACCTGTACATGACTTTTAATATAAATGAAATTCTGGCAGATTTTTATATTTATAACTCTAGGTTTATCAATAGACGTTTTTCTCGTCTACGACAACGCAACCAGCTTAAATATGCCTCTTTTCAAAAGCAACCTAGAATCAAGTTGAAACAAAACCTCAGAATTTAATGCATTATTTACTGATTATACAATATTTACACAAATTTTAAAGGAAAATCCAGAAAATATTCAAATTGTTATTGACCTTACCTCAGATTTCAAGTCACATTTTTGGATTTCAAGACAAGCTTTAGAGAACCATTTTATTCACATAACCCAGAAAAATTATAATGAAGCCTATTCTGACTGGTCTTTTTCTTTGAATTCAGATATAAATGTTTATTCAAAAGCAATAAAAAATGTTTGAGATAATCTTAATTGAATGACTGGTGTTGTTTTCCTTTCCCTAAAGAGTTTATTAATAAGAGATAAAGTGTATACCACTTTAGACAATGACTTCCATTATGTAATAATTGAAAGCAAGTCTGGAATTACTGAAGTTATTAATAGAGATGTATTTAAACTAGGGAGAAATTTATATTTCGTGTTTACAGAGAGCGATATTTCTGAGGAAATTATAAGTAATTTGGTGCAAACCAAGCTTTTGGGCAAGGGTTGCGGTCTATTTCTTAGCCAGGAGAGTGGCTATAAAGCCCCAATAGACGGATCATTAATATTAGCGTCTAGAGGACAAGAGCAAACTACTTCTTTTCAAGAATCTTTACAAGCAAATATTGTCAATTTATTCATCTCACTTCTTGATTTTTTGCAAAACAATAATTTTTATATTGACAGTCCCACTGTCTTAAAAAACGCCTTTATCTCCTTATGTGAAAACCATTTTTGCACAAATTCTTTCAGTTTAGTGAATATTCAGTCAGGTAAACGAGTTTTAATAGGCGATGCTTATTCTAAAAACTTTTCCTCAATAATTTTCCCAGGTGGACAAATTTCAATTCCTTATGTTCAGAAAAAAAAAATTAATATGAGCATAAGTAACGGTATTCACAATCCTTTTACTAATCTTACGATGCCTTATTTCCAGGTGCAATACTTCGGAGTTTATATAGCAATCGACCAAGTTAACAGTGGAGAAGACTTAATTTCAAATTTTATTATGGAGCCAACAACTTTTGACAGTGGGAATTCAATATATGATTTTGAGTTTTCTTATAATTCCTTTAGTGAGAATATTAAAAAAATTGGTGTCATGCATATACCACAAAGCTTCACCCCTGTAGTTATAGGAACAATGAAAACTTTAAGCGCATTAAACATATAGAAATTGCCGATGATGGCGCATTGAGCGCCATCATCGGGCAACTTTTTTCAGGGTCCACAATGGAAAAGGGTTACGTGTGGAACCCTTTTTAACACGTGGAGAATCCTCACTTCCACGCGTCAAAAAGGGTTCCACACGTGGAACCCATTTCACGTGTGGACCCTTAAAAGACGTTGCCCGATGATGGTGCATTGAGCGCCATCATCGGGCAATCAGTATATCAATCCCAGTTATAGCAGGACTATCTAATGACGCCTCTTTATCATTTTCCGATACTTTTCCTTATTTTTCAAGAACCACATTTGACGGTACCTATGTCGCCAGCCAATCTTTAAAGCTCCTTTATACCTTAGGCTGACGAAACTGCGCAATTTTATACCAAGACGAAATTTTTATGACTTCGGTTTACAACGAATTTGTAAAAACAGCCAAAGAGTATCGTTTTAATATTTTAAACAGAGAAGATCTTAGACTTATTCCCAGTTCTGTAAAAAACTATACCAGCCTTTTAAAATATACCCATGCAATGCAAGAAGTAATTGATTCCAATGCGAAGCTGCTAATTATCGTTATGACTGGCTCTATAAATCATTATATAATGGACATTTTTTATGATTTAGGAATCAGAAAAGGAGACTTTGTTGTGTTTTGAGCAATAACCGCATGAATTAATAGTATGTATATTCCTCGTGGTGATAATTTAACAAAATCCATAGAGGTCTCGCTGCCTTCTATATCATTAGACCAGCCAGCATTTGTAGGAGAAATTGGTAAATGAGTAAATATTGAACTGACTTCGAAATATCAGACAGAAAATAATATTGCTTCATGCTGGTCTTATGATGCTGCAAGACTAGGAATTAATGCCCTTGATTATATGACTAACAGAGGTCTAGACTATACAAATGGGAGCTTATTTATGAGTTATATAAGAAAGCAGAATTTTGTAGGGTGCTCAGGAAATATTAGGATTGAGCCAAATAGTAATAACAGATTTATTGATTCTCTTGTATTAAAAAATGCTATATGAGATGAAAACAGTAAGAATGTGATTTTAGAAGAAGTTGGGAACTGGAGTCCTATAGGAAATAAACTGCTGACTATGAAAAAGTCTATTATTTATTATGGAAATTCAACAAATAAGCCTGATGATTTTAGAGTTGTATTAGATGGCTGCCCATTTCCTCAGTCAGCAGTTAAAACTTTTGAGAAAGGCAGGTATTTAATTTTTGGGATAGGAATTGCGACTGTAATATGAAGTTTTTTTAATATTTTTTTTATTTGGAAGCAATGGAGTCAAATAGTCGTCCCTGATCTAACAAGCCGAGAAGAAGTGTCATACGAAGACTTTATTATGGGTTCTACAATTGTTATTGAGTTTTTCCAATTTTTAGCTATGGGGCCAGGAATGAAGCCAGTCAGCTCTTTTCTAAATTATATAGGTAATGCTTTGTCTTTTGACTTTGATGATTTTTTTTCACCGAAAAATGGTGCATTTTGGATTATAATTGATTTGGTATTTGTTGGTGTACTCTTATGGGTAGTTCTTTCACTAGTGGTGCTTCTTAATCTGGGGGAAAGAAAATTTTATGGTAAATGAATAGCTGAAAAGCTTAACAGTTATGCTGACAATTTAATGCCCTTTTTAGGTAATTGATGCTTTATTCCATTTATTTCAATATTGTTGGATGTTTTTTGTATGTGATGAATATTATCTTATCTTATTAAATTTATAATGTTTAACGTCCACTAAGGGGTAGCCTTTCCAGAGCTGCCACCATATTTGTCAACATGTCGGGTCCATTAACCTCTGGATCGATCCACTTTGTTGCACCAGGACACAGGTCGATACTGCATTCCGGCTTCAACAGGCTGCGTTGCCTCGTCTCCTTGGCTCAGCTCCTGCGCGTGTTCCGCCTAAGGGTCGCCTTCCTCGGGTGTGTTGAGAGGCAAAAACTTCAAGTCTCTTGATGCACTTGGAGCGGCGCCCTGGCTTATCCGCCAAAGTACAAATGCTATTGCTGTGCAGAAGTTTCCCTAAAGAAAGCCGAAACCCATAAATAAAATTGCTTGGGGGAGAGGAAATTAGCGGAGCTCATTTCACTCGAACCGAATGTCATTTTATTTAAGTATGTGATCAATCAATAGGTGATAATTTTACAGATAGTTTTATGATGAAGGATTGCTACCAATTCTGCTGAAAAGATGAACATTTAGTATATTCTATCTTCTCTGGGATTGCCATTATTTTGTATGAGCCACTTGCTATTTCTTGCAGACCACTGTGGCAAGAAATGCAGAATTTAGCTCACGTGAAATCTATTCCCCTACACCTGATGGAAAAGACGATAATTCAAGTTATTTTTATTGTCCTTAATAAAACAATAAAAAGAATACAAAGACTAGCCCATGGCCTCATATTTACGATTGTTATGCTATGTTTTGCAATTTTTACATTAAAATACAAAGCTTATAATTATGAAAGATTTAGCTGATGGCTATCATTAAGTCTATTTGGAGTCTCTTGAGGGTCATTTTTAGCTACAATTGATAATGAATTAGGCGACGGGTCCTTTTTCTGAATTCTTCTTTTGATTATTGGCTGATCTATATTAATATGTATTGGAGTTATAGTGCAAAGAGTGAAATATCCTAGCTTATTATACCGACCTCAAAAAATAAACACTGAAAAATTATACCATTTTGCTTTTGCTTTTAGTTCTAGAATTGATGATTATGATGAGGTTGGGAGTGTTAATTTCTTACAATAAATATGCAGTACAATTTATCTCTCAAAATACGAATTTTACCTAAAAAGGAATTTTTTTAGCTTAGTAAAGAATATATTTTGACTTTATAATTCATTTATATGATATAATCTATTTTAAATTCAACCTTAAATTAGCTTTGAATATTTTCAAATTTTTTAATAAATACAGCTCTATACTTAATCATTAGATAAACATACTCAAAAAATTTTTATTTCTTTTCTTATTTAGCTAAGCTACAATTTGGAATTATATTTAAAAAGTGCCTTTTTTTATATTTTTTAAATCCTCAATTGATCTATTATTCTAATCAAAATATTTAAAAAATTTGAAACAGATATAGTCTTCTGATAATTCTAAAGCTATTATTTTTATTTTCCACCTACCAAATATCACTTTCTGATTTCTTAATAAGGCTGAATTACTTAAACCCAAAGCCTCAAAAAATAATAAAACAAATTTAATAGCTGTTAAAAGATATTCTTAATAAAAGGTAAATTTTATCAGTTTCGCTACAAAAAGGGATCAATATTCGTCGCTAAAAATAATTTAAGAAATCTCAATGAATTATAAAATCTTTTTTATTATTTTCATAAGCCTTATCAGTAAAATAAAGATTTATCATGTTTCAGCCAATTTTTAGAAAAGCAAAATATGAGAAAGATTTCCAATTCATAAATATAAAGCTTTTTTAATATAAATGAAGCTCTGGCTGTTTTTCCTATTTATAGCTCTATTGACATCAATAGATGTATTCGTAGTCTATGACGATTATACAAGTATTAATATACCCCTTTTCAAGAGTAGCTTATTGTCAAGCTGATCTTTATCAAAAGAAATTAATGCAGAATTTATTGATTTTCCATCATTTCTCAACGAAAATCCTGAAAATATTCAAATTGTAATTGATCTTACCTCAAGTTTCCAGTCTCACTTTTACATTTCACAGCTTGCTTGGAGAAGCCATTTTATACATTTAACTCGAGAAAATTATAGTAAGGCTTATACTGACTGGTCTTTTTCTTTAAATCTGAATGTTGGTGAGTATTTTATAGCTATGAAGAATGTGTGACAAAATCTCAATTGAATGAAAGGTGCTGTATTTCTTTCATTGGAATCTTTATTACTTAGAGATTCATTACACGATCAAATAGTCAATAATTTTTATTATGCTATTATAGAAAGCAGATCAGGAATTTCTGAAGTTATTAATAGAGAAGTATACAATTTAGGACAAAATTTATATTTTCTGTTTACAGGGAATGAAGTTTCTGAAGAAATCGTCAAAAAATTAGTAGAAACTAAACTTTTAAGTGCAGGAAGTGGCTTGTTTCTTACACAAGAATCTGGATACCAAGTAACGCTTGATGGATCTTTGATATTAACCCCTAGAGGACAAGAATATACAACATCAGCCCAGGAATCTTTAATAGCAAACATTATCAATTTATTTGACCTATTACTCGAATATTTAAACAAAGGCGACAATTATATGGACTGCGAAATTTCATTAAAAAACGCATTTATTTCGTTATGTGAAAATCATTTCTGTACTCATTTTTACAGTTTAGTGAATATTCAGTCAGGAAAAAGGGTGTATATAGCCGACGCTTTCTCTTCAAATTTTTCATCAATAATTTTCCCAGAAGGAAATACTATAGTGCCTTACCCTGAGAAAAAAAAAATTAGTTTCAGCATAAGCAGCGGAATTTATGACTCTGATAGCAGTATTGCAGCTCTTCTTTTCCTCTTACAAAATTGAGGTGTCTTCACAGCAGTAGCCCAAGTAAACGGAGGGACTGATTTAATTCCTAATTTTTCTATTGAAACGACCATAATTAACTGCTGAGGAGAATCATATGAATTCCAATACTCCTATAAATGTTTTGGGCAAAATATTGCAGAGATTGGCGTCATGCACATCCCAACGACTCTTACTGAGCTTGTCCTTGGGACAATTAATATTTTTGACTCCTTAAATATTACAATTCCTATAATTCCAGGGCTTTCTAATGACAATTCATTATCCTCTTCTGAGCTGTACCCTTATTTTTCTCGAACTACCTATGACTGGACTTATGTGATTAATCAGTCCTTAAAACTTATATACACCCTTGGCTGGCGAAACTGCGCCGTTGTATATCAAAATGAATCATTTTTAGCCTCAGTCTACAGTGAATTTATAAAAACAGCTAAAGAGTACAATGTTAATATTTTAAACAGAGAAGATTTAAGAGCTATTCCTCAAGATCTAATGGATTATAATAGTCTTTTGAACTATTCTTATATCATGCAAGAAGTGATTGATTCTAATGCATAAATAAAATGGCATTCGGTTCGAGAGAAATTAGCTCTGCTAATTTTCTCTCCCTCATGGAATTTTATTTATGGGGTTGGGTTTTCTCTCGAGAACTTCCGCACAGCAATAGCTGTTTAAACTTTGGAGATAACCAAAGGAATAGCTCCTCAGTGCACTCAAGATTTCGGAGTTTTACCTCTCAGCACATCCCCAAGGGAGGATGACCCTCAGGCGGAACACGCGCAGGAGCTGAGTCGAGGCAAGGGCGACGGCATCGCGCCGGGTGAGACGTGCGGCGAAGATGGGCGAAGTGCAGGTGAAGGCTTGGCCGGTGGGCTAACCATCGCGATTCCAAGATGCCCGGCGACGTCATCAATTTTCGCTATAACTCCATTTTTATGGGGTGCGGCACTAGACACCTTAAACACCAGGCAGTTAAGTTAAGTTAAGATTCTAATGCAAAATTGGTAGTCATTATTATTTTTAGTCCTATTAATATCTATATTATGGATGTTTTTTATGATCTTGGAATCAGAAAAGGGGATTTTGTCATATTTTGGGCAACCACTGCGTGGATTAATTATATATATCAGTTTCCTGATCAAAATTTGACAAAAACAAAAGAAGTTTCACTTCCTTCTTTGTCATTAGACCAGCCTGCATTTGTAGGTGAAGTCGGAAACTGGGTAAATAGCCAGCTTTTATTAGCTTACGAGATCCCGTATAATTGTCTTTCATGCTGGTCTTATGACTCTACAAGACTCGTAATTAATGCTCTTGACTATATGATTAATCGAGGCTTAGACTATTCAAATGGAACCCTATTAATGAGCGCCATAAGAAAACAGAACTTTTCTGGCTGCTCAGGGAGTATTAGAATCGAGCCAGACAACAATAACCGGTTTATTAATTCCCTTGTAGTCAAAAATGCTATATTAAATGAAAGCAGTGGGCAAGTCATATTAGAAGAAATCGGCAATTGAGCCCCTTCAGGAAATACCTTACTTATTATGAATAAGCCTATAGTTTACTATGGAAATTCCTCACTCCCCCCCTTTAATTGAACAAAAATATAGGTAAAATTTCCATTGTTTTGTTAAATTAACTCCCTTTAAATTTTGAAAAATTCAATTTTATAATAAATAATTTTATAGATAAAAATCATCATTTTTGTGTAAAAAGTTTTGATATAAGTTAAATGTTTCTTCTTAATTAAAATTAAAAATTTAGTTATATCTTGCTCTTATTTAAAGAAGAGAGTATTAAGAGCGTCTTATTTAAAAATAAATTTATTATCCTTAATTGCTAAATTATTTTTAAAAAAAAATTTATTTTTTCGATAAAAAAATATATTTTTTATTTAAATAATTTTGATATAATTACATGCGAATTCTTTGCAAAAATTGAAAATTTACTTATTTCTTGTTTTATTTTAAAGAATAGAGTATAAATAATATCTTATTTAACAAAATTAGCACATTGATCGATAAATTTTCTAAATTTTTTTATATTATTATTAAAAAAATAATAATTTTTGTGTGTAATAGTTTTTGATACCAATTAATAGTGGCGCATTAACTAATAATTAAAATTTAGTTATATCTTGCTTTGTTTTAATGTATAAAGAATTAATAGCATTTTATTAAACAAATTTATGAATCTAATTCGATAAATTTTTGAAATTTTTTTTTATAAAAAATGTTATATTGATATTTTTTTTAAAAAAAAAATTAACCCCCCTTTAAATTGGAACAAAATTTTTTGTTCCAATTTAAAGGGGGGCAGTCAGGCAAGCCAAATGACTTTAGAATTGTATTAAATAATTGTAATTTTAGGGAATCACAAATAAAACCATTCATGAAAGGGCGATATTTGATGAGTGGTATAGGGATTATTGTCGTCGTTTGGACGTGCTTTATCACATTTTGTGCTTGAAAAAGGTGAAGCCAGGTTGTAATCCCTGAGCTTGTATCTCAAGAAGAAGCCTCAATCCAAGATTTTATTATGGGCGCTACCATTATCATTGAATTTTTTCAACTTTTAATGCTAGGACCTAGCATTAAGCCAATTAGCCCTTTTTTATATTCAATAGGAGATGCCTTATCTTTAAATTTTGACGAATTTATTACAGTGAAAAACGGAATTTTTTGGATTATTATTGACTTTGTTTTTGGTGGGGTATTTATATGGGTAGTTTTATCAGTAATTGTGCTGCTTAATCTTGGGGAGAAAAAGTTTTGAGGAGACCGAGTAATTAGAAAGCTGAATGATTATGCTGAAGATTTGATTCCGATTTTAGGAAATTTATGCTTTATTCCTTTTATTTCGTTACTAATGGATGTATTTGTGTGTGATAAAGCTATTGGTGACAGATTTACTGATAGCTTTATGATGAAAGACTGCTATCAGTTTTGTTGAAAAGACGAGCATTTGATATACTCCATCTTTTCTGGAATTGCCATCATTTTATATGAGCCACTTGCTGTTTTCTTCAGACCTCTATGACAAGAAATGCATACTTTAGCCCATGTAAAGTATCTCCCTATACACCTAATGGAAAAATCATTATTTCAGATAATTTTTATTGTGCTGAATAAAACAGTAAAACGTGCCCAAAGCTTGGCTTATGGGATCATATTTACTATTATTTCTGCATCATATGCAATCTTTACTCTAAAATACAAGGCTTATAATTATGAAAGGTTCAGTTGGTGGCTGTCTTTAAGCTTATTTGGAGTATCTTGAGGATCGATTTTAGCTATTCTGTGTAGCCATAATTATTTTTTTTATAATTATTGCATTCTTGGAATACCAATTTATTATAAAAAGATATACTATAAAAAATGAAACAGGGGACAATTCTTTTATATGGGTCATTCTTTTACTTATAGGCTGATCTCTTATAATAGGTGTAGGCATAACAGTGCAGCAAGTAAAATATCCAAGCTTTTTATATCGAGCTCAAAGCATAAATACCGAAAAACTCTACCAATTTGCTTTTTCTTTTACTACAAAAAACATATTTGAATTAGATGTAGCGGATGTTAATTTTTTGACATAATTTTAAATTTTTTTATATTTAACTATCCAAGCCTACAGAAAAAATATTTAATTTCTATTTTACTGAGCATAAATATTCATAAATAATCTAAATTATCCTATATTAAATAGCTTATCTCTAATTCATTGAAATCAGACCCAATACTAGCAGCCAAATCCAAGAGAAGATCAGATCCATTGACCCTGACTTGCTTTCACACATATTCGTGGTTGGGTTAAACTTCCCCTTTGCACAAGAACAAGTCCCGTTTCCATTATTAACCGTTGCAGATGCATCTTGACAGGTTATACATACATTTGCAGCACTACAAGTAGCACAGCTAACATCACAAGGAGAACAAGTATTCGAATTTTCTACCAAATAGTAACCATTCTTGCATACACATGCTTCTTCTTGGGTATTAAATTCTTTCAAAGTATCATAACATGTGCATGACCCATCAGCGTTTAAGCTCATATTATTCTGGTCAAAACAAATTTTGCAGGTATTCTGATCACTGCATTGAGAACAGCCTGTATCACAAGCTGTGCAGACATTGGTTAAGCTGTTATAATACCCAGGGTTGCATGCACAAGTCACAGCTCCTGGGAAGATTGACGCATTTTTGTCATTGCATTTACAAACTCCATTCACAACTGCAGCATTTTGAGTGTCGTAACAACTTGTGCAGCTATTTGGATCTCCACAAGCAGAGCATCCATTTCCACATGAAGAGCAGGAATTTCCATTAGAGTAATATCCTTGGTTGCAGCCACATATTTGCCTTTGGGAGTTAAAAACAGCATTTGGATCACTACAAACACAGACCCCAGAACTAATAACTGTATGTGAAGGATCAAAACAAACAGAGCAGGACGTCTGGGACACACATTTTTGGCATGTAGATGGGCATGGGATACAAGCGCCACCACTGTTCCAATACCCGTCGTCACAAACACAAAGCTTCTGGGAGTTATCAAAATTGGCATCAGGGTCATCACAGAAGCAAGCTCCTGAAGTAGAAATTGAGGTATGGGCTTGGTCATAGCAGGTTACACAGTTTGTTGGGCTTGTACAGGTCTGGCAGCCTGCCCCACATGCAGCACATACACCATTCTTCCCTTTATAATACCCTGGGGCACATTGACATACATTGGTATTTGTGCTGAAAACGGCATTTTTGTCAATACAGGAGCAAGATCCATTGCTATTGTTAATTGTATTTATAGGATCATAGCAGGCAGAACAAGAAGAAGCACTCGCACAAAATGCACAGCCAGAGGAGCATAATAAGCATTTATTGTAAGAACTGTTGAAATAGTACCCATTATTGCAGACACATTTATTAGAACTTGTACTGAAAGTAGCATTTGGGTCTGTGCAAGTGCAGACACCATTGGAAAGGGTTGAATAGTTTGGGTCAACGCAGGCTGTACAAAAAGTAGCTTGATTTATGCATTGGGCACATGGAGCGGTGCATGGAGAGCAGACTGTGTTGGAGCTGTAGTAATAGCCGGAGTTACAGGAACAGACATTGTTGGCTAAGGTAGAATAGTTTGGACAGGCACAAGTTGGAGCGGCTGACATGTGGGTGGCGTCAACACAGGTGAGACAGTTGGTAGAGGAGGTAGTGCAAGTTGAACATTGGATGCTACATGCAGAGCACATAGTATTGCTGCTGTAATAGAAACCAGGGTTACATACACAGTTGCCATTAGTTAAAGTACTGCTGGTTGGGCAGGAACAGGCTGGAGCTGCTGACATATGAGTGGTATCAACACATGTAGAACAAGCTGCAGCTGAGGTAGAGCAAGTGGCACATTGAGCATTGCAAGCTGAACAAGTGGTTGCGGATGAATAGTAATATCCAGGGCTACAGACACAATTGCCATTCGTAAGGGCTGAATTAGTAGGGCAGGAGCATTGAGGAGCTGCGGACATATGAGTAGTATCAGCACAGGTCTGGCAGTTAGTGTTTGATGTCTGGCAAGTCCCACATTGAGGTGCACATTGAGCGCATACAGTATTGCTGCTGTAATAGTACCCATTATTACATACACAAGTATTTCCTACCAATGTGCTCAATGCTGGGCAATAGCACTGACTCCCCCAGGTAAATTTTCATTTTTTGGTACTTTAACACGTAAAATGGTTATAGAAAAAAGATTGTATTGAAAATATTATAAAATTAGTTTTGACCAAATTTAATAGGAAAGAGTGCAATTAAAATGCTATTTTAAACAGTTTTCGCACTAAATCGATTAAGTTTTATAATTATTTTTCATAAAAATAAGTTAAAATTTAATGCATTGTCTTCATTTTATACTTTTTTTAAATTTTTAAAATTTAAACCCCCTTTAATTGAAATCGGATTTTTTGTAAAATTTAAAGGAGGAGTGAGGAGGGTTCCCCATATGGACAGCATCAGTGCAGGTAACACAATTTAAGGCAGAATTCACACAAGATGCGCAGTTTGTGGCACATTGGGTACATGTAGTAGGATTGCTATAGAAAAAGCCTGTATTGCAGACACATTGACTGTTAGTAAACGTTGAGCTTGTAGGACAAGTGCAGGTAGGTATGCCATTGGTATGAACAGAATCAGTACAAGCAGTACAAGTATTTAAAGCAGAGCAAGTTTGGCATTGCCCAGCACAAGGCGAGCAGACTGAGTTGCTAGAATAATAATACCCATCATTGCAGACACATTGTCCATTAGTAAGGGTCGAAAATGCAGGACATGCACAAACAGGGGCTGCAGTCATATGCGTGGTGTCTGAACAGGTCAAACAATTTGCTTGGGTATTCGCACAGGTTCCGCAGTTTCCAGCACATTGAGAGCACACAGTATTTGAAGAGTAAAAATACCCAGCATTGCAAACACAGGTATTACCAACTAATGTAGCTTGGGCAGGACAGTTGCAGCCTGGAGCATTTGACATATGAGTCGTATCAGTGCAGCTTTCACAGTTAGTAGAAGACTGAGAACAGGTCGCACATTGTCCTGAACATTGAGAACAGGTAGTAGCTGAGCTGTAATAGTAACCAGGATTGCAGACACAAGCACCTGTAGTAAAGGTAGACTGAGCTGGACACTGACAAGCAGGAGCTGCTGTCATGTGAATTGAGTCTATACAAGTATCACAAGTATTAGGGTTTGTATCACAAGTAGCACAGTTAGTGTTGCAGGCTAGACAGGTTGTAGGGGTGCTGTAATAGTACCCAGGGTTGCATTGGCAAGTGTTTCCGTTTAGGAATCCATTTGTAGGGCAAGAACATGTAGGGGCAGCTGACATATGAGTAGTATCAACACAAGCATTGCAATTGGCAGCTGTATTTGTGCATCCTGCACAATTTGTACTGCAAGGAGAACAGACACTGGCAGAGCTGAAATAATAGCCTGCATTACAGACACAAAGTCCATTAACTAAGGAGCTTAAAGCAGGACAAGCACATGCAGGAGCAGCTGTCATATGAACTGTATCAATGCAGGTTGCACAATTCGCCGCTGAACCAGTACAGCTTTGGCAGTTATTCTGACATGCTGAGCATACAGTATTTGAGCTATAAAAGTACCCAGTATTACAAACACAAGTAGTCCCGGTCAGAGCTGAATTGGTAGGACATGCACAACTAGGAGCAGCTGACATATGAGTTGTGTCTTTGCAGGTATCACATGTATTAGGATTTAAGTCACAACTGGCACAATTAGGTAAACAAGCAGAACAAACTGTAGCGGAACTGTAATAATAACCTATATTGCAGGCACAAATGTTGCCGACTAGACTTCCATTTGCAGGGCAAGCACAAGCTGGGGCTGCAGTCATATGAGTATTATCCACACAAGATCCACAATTGGTATTGGTGTTAGTGCAGCTAACGCATTGTGGAGCACAAGCAGCACAAACGGTATTTGAGCTGAAGTAATAACCTGTGTTACAAGTGCAGGTTCCAGCAACCAAAGCTGAAAAGTTTGGACAAGAGCAGGTTGGAGGATTTCCCATATGGACAGTATCAATACAAGCTGAACAGGTAGAGTCTGACACAGAACAGGCAGAACACTGAGTAGCACAAGGGCTACATTGGCCATTAGCAGAGAAATAATACCCAGTATTGCAAATACACTGTCCACCAGCGTTGACAGAGTTTGCTGGACAAGCACAAGCAGGAGCAGCTGTCATATGAGTGGTATCAGTACAAGTCAAACAGTTCCCAGCTGTATTAGAACAGGTCGCACAGTTTGTACTGCAAGCAGTACAGGTCGTCGCTGTCCCAGAACTATAGAAAAACCCAGCATTGCAGGTACATACATTATTGGCGAGGAGTGAGTTAGTTGGGCAAGCACATGTAGGGGCTGCTGACATATGGACTGTATCAATGCAGGTTGAGCAACTAGTTCCAGTGGTACAAGTGGCACAGTTAATAGCACAAGCAGAGCAGAGAGTATTAGAAGAATAATAAAAGCCTGGGTTACACACACATGCCCCTCCAGTAAGTGTTGAAGAAGCAGGGCAGGCACAGGTAGGTGGAGCGCTCATATGAGTGGTATCAATGCAGGCAATACAGGCTGCTGCAGTATTTTGGCAACTCGCACAGTTACCATTGCATGCAGAACAGGTGGTAGAGGAGCTGAAATAGAATCCTGCATTACAAACACATTGTCCTTGAGAGACTGTAGAGGAGGCTGGGCAGTTACATGTAGGAATTGCCATATGGGTGGTATCAGTGCAGGAATCACAAACAGTTGGGCTTGTATTGCAGGTTGCACAGTTGCCTTGGCATGGAGAACAAGTGTTTGCATTAGAAAAGTAATAGCCTGTATTGCACACACAGGTAGTTCCTTGCTGAGAAGAGTTCGCTGGACATTGGCAGTTAGGAGCTGCTGTCATATGAGTGGGATCAGCGCAGGTTAAACAAGCAGTTCCAGAACTACAAGTTGCACAGTTAGTTTGACATGCAGTGCATACAGTAGCTGCTGAAAAATAGTATCCAGCGTTGCATACACAAGCGCCTGCAGTCAGCTGAGAATTTGCTGGGCAGTAACAATTAGGTGCTCCTAAGCTGTGAGTTTGGTCAGTGCATGAAGAACATACGCTAGCATCTACAGTGCAAGCAGCATGACCTAATATTTTTTAAGTAAAAAAATAACTACTATTTTTTTCTTTAAAAGTAATTAAAATAAAAACTCAACCCAAAGCAGCACACTGAGGGCTGCAAGCTTGACATACATTATTAGTAGAATAATACCCAGGGCTGCAAACACAAAAAGTCCCTATAAGATTTGAATTCGCAGTACAAGCACAAGCTGGGGCAGCCGACATATGATTCGGATCCACACAAGTCACGCAATTATTCGCTGCTGTTGTACAGCTTCCACAATTTGAATTGCAAGCAGTGCAGGTTGTTGTATCACTATAAAAATACCCAGCATTACAAGCACAAGCTGTTCCAGATAGGGCTGAGTTTAGAGGACACCCACAGGTTGGTGCCGCACTCATATGGGTTATGTCAACGCAAGTTACGCAATTTGTATTAGAAACAGTGCATGATGAACATTGGGTGGCACATGCAGAACAGGCAGTGTTGGAGCTGAAGTAATAGCCTGCATTACAGACACAATTAGACCCTGATAAGGCTCCGTTAGTTGGGCAGGCACAAGTTGGAGGAGCTGTCATATGAGTGGTATCAGTGCAGGCAATGCAAGTGGTAGCGTCGCTACAGGTGGAACAAGGAGGAGCGCAAGCAGTGCATGTTGTGCCAGTTAGGTAATAGCCAGTTACACAGCTGGCACATTGGGCATCGTTTCCTACTACACAAGTGGCACAAGGTGCTACGCAATCTTTAAGGATTGGCTGATCTGTGAGAGCTTCTAAGCTTTCTTCAAGATCTTTGACAAATTTTTTGTTTTCTCCGTTGAAGACAGCTCTGATAATTCCTCTGCTTACTCCTGATGAAAAACTAATCGCTGAAGTAAAAGTTTTAATATTATTTGATAGTGAATATAATTATTATCAATAATCATAATATTTTTTTTTGAGAATTTAAAATGGAGAACCTGCTAAACTTGCACTAAATGGTGCTGAGAAACGCTAAATAGTTAGCAAAGGATTTATTTTTTTTTGCAAAGATTTGCTAAAACAAGCAAAAAGGTCAAAAAGGTCAAAAATTATCAAAATATGTAAAAATAGTTAACAGAGTCTGAAATAATAGTATCATTTTTTGGTCAAAAAATGTCAGATTTGTCTAAAATGTAAAAAAAAAAAGATAATCATTTTTTTATATTATGCTCTTATTTAGAGCTTATCAAAAACTCTAAATATAGAATCATATAGCAAGCCAAGGTTTTTTTATTTATTCAAGTGCAATAACCTTTATATTTGCTTAATATTAGTTATCACTGATTATATATTATTTTTCATAAGCATGCGTTTTTATATAGTCATATTAAATTATTTTACATTTTAGACCAATTTTGACACACTGTTAGCTATTTTAGCGAGCATGTGACACATTTTTGACACTTTTTTTGAAATTTAATGATATATTTTTGCTTATTTTAGCAAATCTTTGCAAAAAATATAATTCCCTTGTTAATTATTTATTGCTTATTAGCACCCTTTAGCGCATAAAGCATAAATTATAATTAAAATTAAAATAGCTCTAAATAATTCTAGATCATGGATGAGTTAGCAAGGTAACTTTTTTGTCTTCATTGAGCCCTTTATAAGTTTTTGGATCTACCTGAATTTCTACACTAATGAGCTGGTTTTCATTAGATACTTCACAGACCTTGAAGCTGGTAGAATTCTGCTTAAAGTTGTCACTTATGGTGAAAAATACGACCAAGTCTGCTTCAATCCCTCCAAGCTTCATGTAATTTTCTAGCTGGATGCCATCACAGCTATTTTTTTCGCCAAGCTTAAGAGGCTGGGCTATTGGCTTGACGAACAAGAATTGTGATAAGATTTCTGATGCTTTATAGGCTGAGTCTTCTAAATCTTCCAATAAATCATCCATATGTGGAGATATGGAATTAACTTCTATAAGGAATTTAAAAGACTAAATGCATTATTTAACTTTTAATAATTAAATTTTTTAAAGTTTTGAATAGTAAAAATAATGATTTTGGGATGGGAAAATGTGAATATATGAACTCGGGCTGGCCTATAAATTTCTTTAAATTGGCTTGATTCAGCTTGGATTCTGGGAAGAAACTGTGGAGTGTCCTTACTCCCACCCCCTCTGTGGGTGAATAAAAAATATTTTTAATATGAAAATTCTTTATAAAAAAAATATTTTGATATATAAGTGGTAATTTATTATAATGAAATCTCTAGCTAATCCTTTTTAATTTTAAACAACTTGCATTTTAAAACATAAATTTTGTAATTATATTATTTTTTTCTCATTTTTGCAAACTGGAAAATTTTTTAAATTTTACTATATAATAATATTTTAAAAAAAATATAAAGCCACTCCGTGTCAAGCAAAAATTGTTTTGTTTGCTCACAAGGGGGAAGTTAGGAGAAAACACAGAAGAAGCTGAAGAAAAACCAATTGCTAAGAGGATAAGCAAGGCGAAGGTGGGTTTCTTCACCATATTCATTATTACCACATCTTTGAGTTCAGATCATTAGCGGATATGGTGAAACAAAGATGACTGATAAACCTATGAGTGAGGAGGGAAATTAGGAAAATTGGGGATCTTCAGAAAGTAATAGGAAAGATAAGTAAATAGAAATTAAAAATTGAAAGAAAAATTTACGAAGAAAATTGTAAGAAATTCAGAAATTAAATAAGTTAATCTTGATTATTGAGAATTTATGACAGCGAGATTCTTTAGAAAATATGTTTTTAGAAATAATTTTAGGTAAATTTATAAATTAATGTAATTTAATGACAAAGCACAACTCAGATTGCTCATTAAGGACTCAGGGTTAACTTACATCATTTATTAGTTCTCTCATTTACTACAATTTCACATTGCTATACTAAAAAGAACTCCTTATCAAAATTAATTCAAGCATTCATCTAAACCTCATCAATTTTATTTACAGATTATATTTGCTTATGTGGCTGATAATTGATACTTCTAAGTGTGAGTCAACGAAATACTCAACAGTTTTATGCAATGCCATATGATTTCAGCAAGTCTTTATCTGCATGATAAACTCAAATGAAAGCAGAAATCTTCAGATTAAAAAGTATTTTTAAAATAATTATTGATTTTTATGATTTCACATGGATTTGGTAGGATAAAAGGAAAAACCATTAAGTTGGAGTTTTCTAAAAGATAATAGAGAAAACTTCCAAATAAATTTAATTGCTTCTTATATATGGTTCTCAGGAGAGCGAATTTAGTGAATTTTTGGTCTTTAAAGCTTGTTTAAAATAAAAATACTTTTAAACTTTTGGTCTTAGTTTGCCTTTCTTCAGTTTTATTATTCTTAAAATCTTGTTCAAGGCAAAGAAAAGCAGCCATGAAATATCAATACAAAATTCACTATGGCATTTATATTCTGATTAAAAATCAAGCAGGATCATACTAAATTGAAAATAAAATAATCACAGAGGATTATTAGTCGAAATGAGAAATAAAAAGACCATGGTTTGATTTTTTATCAGATTTTTAGCAATTCAAATTGAATGATAAATCATAGATCATTTCTTTCGTTTTATCTATCACATAAGATAAAGAATAAATCATTATATGAAATGACAAGGATTTAATTTTTAATATTTGAAAAATATTAAGCATTTTGATTAATCTCTGCCATGGTTCTCCTTCAGACACTTTAATTAGCAAATTCGAAGCACTGAATACAGAATTATCTGGCTTTTTCAATTTTCTATCCTCATGAATTGCATAATCAGATCCGCAAACTTAGTTTCGCTTGCAGAGTTTGTAAAAAAGCCTTGTCATTGCATCATTAAGAGAATCCAGGTCCATAACCATCCTATCATGTAGTCTTTATTACGTTTAAGCAATCCACAATATTATGGTAGGCTATTATTGATGGGCCAGTGCCGTCTCAATTTCATGCTTGAGTTTAAGGTTTGTTTTCTGCTGAGATGAGAAGTACGGAAAATTTAATCCTTAAGTACTTGCTTGATTTTTTGTCTTATTACCCCTAAGTGCTTCTAAAAGTAAATGCAAACAAAAACCCCTGCAAAGCTTCTTTGTTTAAATAAGCTTCTATTAATGCCTCTGATTCCTTCTTAAAGCTCAGCTCCATAAGGCCAAAGCTATTTTTGAAAGCATCTTTGACTCTTAAAGTCTGTCATTTTGTATTCTAATTAGATTTTTAAATACTTCAGCTGTTTGCTTCATTTGCTTATTTGTTTCTTTCTCTATATTCATGGACTTTTTATGATCTTTATCTTTTTATTTCAGCTTTCAAATTTTCGTTTTCTCTATTTCTTGTGTTCTGAAGTCCTCGAGCTTTTTTTGATTCATTTTATGTTCTTTTTATTTTCCTCTTTATTATTGACTTTTCTCTCTAAATCATCTATTAGCGAATTTTTGTACAAATCTCTGCCTTTAATTTCCTGCGACTCCTCTCTTTCCAATTTCAGGACATTGATCTTATCAGCGCTTCACTTTCTAGGCATTCTTTTAGCACCGTTAAATGAGAGTCTAGCTCACATCATCCTTTTAAGAAATAATTAAGCTCTTCTGCGCAGGATAGGCTCGCTTTTCCCATTATCTCGTTTATTCTCGTTCTGTAGTCTTCAATTGAGATGGAGTTTTGGCTTTCTTCCATTAATCTATTTAGAGATCCCCTAAAAACGTCTCCTAACCTAAATAAAGTTTCTGATTTTCAACTTTTTCGATCTTCATAAATTGCATAATCAGATTTGCAAATCCAAATCGTTTGCAGAGTTTGATAAAGGCTGACCTCATCGCTTCGTTAAAAAATTCAGGCCCATAACTGTTCATTCAGCATTTCACTACTTTTTATATAATCTCAAGCAATTCATCAATGCTAGCTTTTATATGATGGAGCCAGCACCATCTGACTTTCTTGTTGGAGTTGAGGATCTTTTCTGCTGAGCACGTAAAATCCTTAAATTTAATCTTGAAGTATTAGCTTGACTCTTTCTCTGAAAGTTATACAAATTTTATACTATTTTTTTTTTTAAAATTCAAAATAATTTTAAAATTTAAACAGAATTCGCTTTACATTTCGGTATAATAGTTATCAGTTATATATACCTTTAGTAGCTTATTACAATAAACAAAGGATTTGGAAAGAGAACATTTATATATGATTTAAAATAAATTTATTTATTAAAGTAAAATAGGTTATCGCATAAATCTAAATTAAAATTGTCTGTTATATTTATATTGTTTAGGATATATATTTTATTAATGCATTGAGATCAACTTGCTATTCAAATTTGGTATTCTCCTGAGAACAATAAATTATAACCTTGAGTGCATTGACAATTATAGAGGATCAATAAAAGAAGTTTAAGGATCATAATATCTACAATTAACTGCAATCCTATATAAAAATAAGCCAGCATAAATACTAAAAAAAGCAATTATAATAAATGAAATAAATTGTATTATGCACTATTACAAAACATCTTATGTTGAAACGATATGGAATATTAGTGCAAGTGATTTACTATTGTTTTTAACTATTAATTTCATTATTATAGATCTTTTTATTGATTCGCTATAATATATAAATCTATTATTTTTAATAATTTATTAATAATTAATATTTCACTAACTCCCCCCCCATCCTTGATCGAACGATTGACTGTAAAAATTCCTAAAAATTGGGGAAATTAACCTCCATCCTTGATCGAACGATTTTCATATCATGCAAATTTTTTATATATATAAAAATATATTAGTTATCAAAAGCTTAGGAAGATGCACCTAATGAAGTTGTTCTCAGAGACTTTGAGACGAAAAAAAGCTTTGGAATCAACCATACGAAGTGGTTTAGTCATCAACCTGGGCTTAAAAACTTAATAATCTAATAAAATATAGATTCTTTAAAATTTTTAAAAAAAACATTTAATTTAATAAGGAACAAATTAAAATTTATACAGTTTAAAGGGTAACTAATAAATCAAAATATTAAAAATTTGGTATTTTTATGAAATTAATTCAATTGTTTGCTATAAAAATAATTATTAAATACTCTTAACCCTCTTTTTTAAAAGTAAATAAAAAAAAATATATATATTTTTTATTTTATATATAAAAATTTTTTTTTAACCCCCATCCTTGATCGAACGATGGCGAGTCGTTCGATCAAGGATGGGGGGGGAGTAAGCTAAATAATTTATTAATAATTAATATTTAAATAAGCTAAATAATTTTATAAAGAGAAAAATTAAGTAACCACTAAAACAGAATATTATTTTTCGATTCTTTAGTAATAATCTAGATTATCTAAAGTATTTAGTTGATATTGGTGACGTTGATATAAGTATTATTGGTGAGATTGTTTATAACTGTTTCGCAAGAGCCTAGATTAGATTGGCAAGCTTTAGTCCAAGGATTAAAATCAAAATCAGAGTCTTTACATTTGCAAGAGCCTTTGGCTACATTTAAATCCATATTCGCAAAATCATTGCATTCTGTGCAAAAAGTTGCTGAAGGAGAGCACTGAGCGCAAGGGGGCATACAAATTTGGCATACTCCAGAACTTGACAAATAATAGCCTTGAATGCATTTGCAAGTTCTAGTGGTCTGATCAAAAGAAGCATAAGGATCCCAGCATCTACAAGTGCCTGTCACAGTATTTAAAAACGTATGCCTTCTTTTTCCTTTCATCTGGGCCATAAGATTTTGATGTACCAGCTTAATTTTAATTTTTTAAAAAAATAAAAATAAATCATCTATATTACAGATTTTATCGAAATTTCATATTATCATTAGGCCGATTCATGTAGAAATAAAAATTCTTAAGAGTCAACGCTAAATAGATAAAAAAAGAAGATCGGTGCATCTATTCTGCATTGTGACACTTGCTCAAAATTTTTTTCTGAGATATGCATGGTAATTCATTAGGTTTTTGTTCAGAGCAAATGCCTGACAAGGAAAATTTTTTGGTAAATTCTCCAAAAGTAAATGTCTGTTACGAGAAGTGTGGAGCTAATAACCTGCAGCCAAAAAAGATTATTGGCACGATCATTACACGCAGTGCAAAAATCATAGGAAGAGCATTGAGCACATTGTGGTGCGCAGTCAGTATCTATAGGAGAGCATGTTTTATCAGTGCTGAAGTAATATCCAGGATTGCAAAGACATGAAGTGCCTATCAAAGTAGCTTGTTCAGGACATTCGCAGCCTGGAGCACTTGACATATGAGTCGTATCTGAGCAACTTCCACAGTTAGTAGAAGACTGATAACAGGTCGTACATTGGCTTGAACATCTAGAACAAGTAGTAGCTGCGCTATAATAGTACCCATTGTTGCAGACACAAGCACCATTAACCAAGGTAGATCTAGCAGGACATTGACAATCAGGAGCAGATGACATATGAACTGAGTCTATACAAGTATCACAGGTACTATGGTCTGTATCACATGTTGCGCAATTATTTTTGCATGGAGAACACGTTGTAGGGCTGCTGTAGTAATAGCCAATGTTACATTGGCAAACATTGCCATTTTGGTATGCATAAGCTGGACAAGCACAAGCAGGGGCTTCTGACATACGAGTAGTATCAATACAGGCATTGCAGTTTTCAGCTGTATCAGTGCATCCGGCACAGTTAGTATTGCATGGAGAGCAAACGTAAGGAGAGCTGAAATAGTAACCTTCATTACAGACACAAGAATCACCTATTAAGGTACTTAACACTGGACAAGCGCATGAAGGAGCAGCTGACATATGAACAGTGTCAATACAGGTCAAACAGCTTTCAGCTGTATCAGAGCAGGTTTTGCAATTATTCTGGCATGCAGAACATACAGTATTTGAGCTATAAAAGTACCCAGAATTACAAACACAAGTATTAACTACAAGAGCTGAGTTGACAGGGCATGAACAATTAGGAGCAGCTGACATATGCAAAGTATCGAGACAGGTATCACAGGTATCAGGGTTTGAGTCGCAAGTAGCGCAATTAGCTTGGCATGACGAACAAACAGTAGTAGAGCTGAAATAATATCTTGTATTGCAGGTACAAGTCTTGTTGATCAAGCTTGCATTATTAGGGCAAGCGCATGTAGGAGCTTCTGACATGTGAACAATGTCTATACATGATCCACAGTTGCTTTCAGAGTCTGAGCAGGAAAGGCATTGTGGAGCACAAGTTGAACAAACAGTATTTGAGCTGAAATAAAGGCCTGTATTACAAGTGCAAACTCCTGAAATCAAAGTTGAAGAGGCTGACATGAGCAGGTTGGAGGATTTCCCATGTGGACTGTATCAATACAAGTGAGGCAAGTTGAGCTAGATACAGAACAGGTAGAACATTGAGGAGAGCAAGGGCTACATTGATGATTAGAAGTGTAAAAATATCCTGCATTGCAAACACATTGTCCAATAGAATTAATTGTAGAGTTTGGAGGACAAGCACAAGCAGGAGCAGCTGACATATGAACAGAATCAGAGTAAGTTAAACAATTTTCAGCTGCATCAGAGCAGGCTTTGCAATTGTTTTGGCATGGAGAGCATGTAGTATTTGAGCTATAATAGTATCCTGTATTGCATACACAACTATCCCCTGAAAGCGCTGAATTAGTAGGACACAAGCAATCAGGAACATCCGACATATGGACTTTATCTGCGCATGAGTCACATTTATCAAAACTCAAGTCACAAGTTTCACAGTTTTCTTGGCATGGAAAGCAAACCCTAGGAGAGCTGAAATAATACCCTGTATTGCATACACAAATATTATCTATCAAGCTCGCATAGCGAGGACATGCACAATTAGGAGCTGCTGACATATGAATAATATCAATACACGACCCACAATTAGTTTCAGTGCTTGCACAGGACGCACATTTTGGAGCGCATTTATCACAATAATAACTAGAAGCTACCCAATAAAAACCTGAGTCACATTGACAAATACCGCCTGATGGAGTTGCATGTAATGGATCTTTACAGCTTAAACAATTGTCTGATCCAGAACAAGCTGCACAGGTTTCATCACAAGATGAGCATACTGTATTTGAGCTGAAATAAAAACCTGGATCACAAGTGCAAGAGCCTGCAGTTAAAGTGGAATAGACTGGGCATAAACAGTTGGGAGGGCTACTCATGTGGATGGTATCAAAGCATGTTAAGCAAGCTGAGCTGGAATCTGAGCAGGTAGAGCACTGAGGAGAGCAAGGGCTGCATTGATGATCAGCCGAGTAAAAATATCCTGCATTGCAAACGCATTTTCAATTAGTGTTGACTTCAGAGTTTGTAGGACAGGCGCAAGCAGGAGCAGCTGACATATGAGCGGTATCAAAACAACTTAAACAATTTTCAGCTGTATCAGAGCAGGTTTGGCAATTTTCTTGGCATGGAGAACATGTAAAAGAGCCAGAAAAATAATAGCCAGTATTGCATGTACAGGAGCCTCCTTGCATAGAAGAATTTTCAGGGCATTGACAGCTAGGAGCTTCTGTCATATGAACTGTATCAAGACAAGTTAAGCAAGAAGTTTCAGAATTGCAAGTTGCACAGTTAGATGGGCATGCAGAGCATGCAGAACTTGATGAAAAATAGAATCCAGAGTAGCAAACACAGGAGCCTGCAGTAAGCTGAGAATTGGCTGAGCAGTAACAGTTAGGTGGGCTGGAGCTATGAATTGGGTCAATACATGAAGAGCATACGTTAGCATCTACAGTACAAGCAGCACATTGAGAACTACATGGACTGCACATTTTATTTGTGGAATAGTAATATCCAGTATTGCATATACAAAAGCCCCCAACAAGATTTGAATTTTCTGGGCAAGCACATGCAGGAGCTTCTGACATGTGAACAATGTCGATACATAATCCACAGTTACTTTCAGAATCTGAACAGGAAAGACATTGTGGAGCACAAGTTGAACAAACAGTGTTTAAGCTGAAATAAAGGCCAGTATTACAAGTGCAAACTCCTGCAGTTAAAGTTGAAGAGGCCGGACATGAGCAGGTTGGAGGATTTCCCATGTGGACTGTATCAATACAAGTGAGGCAAGTTGAGCTAGATACAGAGCAGGTAGAACATTGAGGAGAGCAAGGGCTACATTGATGATTAGAAGTGTAAAAATATCCTGCATTGCAAACACATTGCCCAATAGAGTTAATTGTAGAGTTTGGAGGACAAGCGCAAGCAGGAGCAGCTGACATATGAACAGAATCAGAGCAAGTTAAACAATTTTCAGCCGCATCAGAGCAGGCTTTGCAATTGTTTTGGCATGGAGAACATGTAGTAAAGTTAGAAAAGTAATATCCATCGTTACACACACAGGAGCCTCCTTGTATAAAAGAATTTTCAGGGCATTGACAGCTAGGAGCTTCTGTCATATGAACTGTATCAAGACAAGTTAAGCAAGAAGTTCCTGAATCGCAAGTCGCACAGCTAGACGGGCATGCAGAGCACACAGCGCTTGATGAAAAATAGAATCCAGAGTCGCAAACACAGGAACCTGCAGTAAGCTGAGAATTGGCTGGGCAGTAACAGTTAGGTGGGCTGGAGTTATGAATTGGGTCAATACATGAAGAGCATACATTATCATTCACCGTGCAAGTAGCACATTGAGGACTACATGGACTGCACTCTGAGCTTGAGGAAAAGTAAAATCCAGTATTGCACTTACAAAACCCCCCAGCAAGATTTGCATTTATAGGACAAGCACATTCAGGAGCAGCCGTCATATGATTTGTATCAGAACAAGTCAAACAATTTCCTATAGATGTTGTACAACTCCCACAGTTTTCATTACATGCAGAACAGGTTGTTAAGCTGCTATAAAAATACCCAGTGCTGCAGACACAACTTCCATTTATAAAAGCTGAATTTTGAGGGCATTCGCATGCTGGTGGAGTCATATGGACTGAATCAGTGCAGGTGTTGCAATCTATGCTTGAATGAGAACACGTAGCGCATTTATTAGCACATGGTGAACAAACAGAACTAGTGCTAAAATAGTAGCCTGGGTTACAGACACAAGCTGAATCTACAATTGTTGAATTATCTGGACAGGCACAAGTTGGTGAGCTTGACATATGAACACTATCAAGACAACTATCACATTTTGAATCAGAATCAGAGCATGTAGCACATTGAATGGAGCAGGCTGAGCAAACAGTGTTTGAGCTGAAATAGTAGCCTTTGTTGCAGATACAAGCAGACCCTACAAGTGCTGAGTTAGATGGGCATTCACAAGCTGGAGTTGACATATGAACTGTGTCAAGGCAAGTAGTACAATTTGATGAAGAAACAGAGCATACAGAGCATTGAGTGGCGCATGCTGAACAGACTTTATTGGAGGAAAAATAGTAGCCTTGATTGCATACGCAAGATGAGCCTATTAGTGATGAGTTAGTAGGGCATGTGCAATATAGGGGTGAGGTATGGACAGTGTCCAAACAAACAATGCAGGTTGTTGAGCTGCTACAGGTAGAGCATTGAGGTAGGCAAGCAATGCATGAAGATCCGCTAAGATAATAGCCTGTCACGCAAGATGTGCATGCGGTACTGGATCTTGGATTGCAGCCTAAGCAAGGAGAGGTGCATGTTTGGAGGAATCGTTGATTTGACTGAATTTTTAGACTTTCTTCTATATCCTTGACAAATTCCTCGTTTTCGCTATTAAAAATGGCACTAATCATCCCTCTGCTTAGCAAGCTAATTTTTTGGTCTTCATTGAGTACTTTATATGTTCTTGGTTTACCTGAATTTCTATGCTTTTAAGCAGGTTTTCATTGGAGACCTCACAGACCTTAAAGCTCGTAGAATTTTGTATGAAATTGTCGCTTAAAGAGAAAAATGCTGCTAAGTCTGCTTCAATTCCTTCATGTTTCATGTAATTTTCGAGCTGGATGCTGTTGCAAATATTTTTCTCGCCAAGCTTAAGAGGGTTGGGTTGTGGCTTTACAAATAAGATTTGTGATAAAATTTCTACTGCTTTATAGGCCGAGTCTTCTAAATCGTCCAATAAATCTTCCATATCTGAAGACGTGGGATTTATTTCTATACAGATCTTATAAAACTGCAAAAGCTTTATATATTAGAAGCAAAAGCAAAATAGAAATTGTTTCTTAAAAACCAAAATTAATCTGGTGCTATAACTTTTAAATTTTTAAATAAATAGGAAAAGCAGCCAAACTATTTCAAGTTCAAAATAATTTAAAATTTAAGGATTAGCCATTCTTAATATAGAAAAACTGCTAGCATATCTAGATTATCAAGGATTTGCAGCGAGTTTTGATTCTCAATCTTATTATAATTAATACTGCTTTGACATTGTAAATTTTCAGCTTTAAAATGATCTTATCACTCCGCAAATTTTTCAAAGATGCACATCTAGGTTTTAATGAATAATAATGAATAAGCAATGGAAATTTATCGTTATGAGCATCACTAAAAATAAGATTCCCTTGAACTTAATAGCCTTCATTTGTTAAGCAGACTATTCAAAGATTAAAGAAAATTGAGGAGGTTTTTATTGAAAATTGTAAAATTTATTAACAAAAGATAATCTTTTCGTGCTGTTAATTAAAGTATATTTATTATAAATACTTGCACTAAATATTGAGGTGGCAATAATAAATTTTTATGTGATCAATTAAGCAGGAATTTCATAATCTCTTTATAATGTAAATGCGAAATTGCAATTCCTCCAAAAAATGATTTATCGTCAAATGAATTTGTTTAAAAATTGTGGTCAATATTATAATGTTGAGCGATATCATAAAAATTATTAGAATAATATTTTATAAACCATAAATGGATAAATATTTATGGCAATCATTGATACAAGCTAAATTTTAAGCTTGCTATAATATTTTTTCTCAATTACAGTATTTTAATTTTTAGTTTTATTTATAATTTAGCTGTTTATATTATAATTTATTCATTGAAATATTTTCTGGTGAACATAAAAAATTCTGCTATTAATAGAATATTAATTGGTCAAATTTTGAATACTTATTTAAGCAATTATCTAGATTTCTTAACTATTTAGTTGTAGTTATTGGTGATATTGAAATAGGTTATATTGTTGTAATTGTATGTAATTGTTTCGCAGTGAGTACAATTGCAGCTTGAGTTAGTTTGGCAAGCTTTAACCCATGGATTAAATTGAGAATTAGAGTCTTTACACACACAAGATCCTGTGGTTGCATTTAAATTCATATTATCAACATCATCACACTCTGTGCACAAGGTAGCTGAACTCGAGCACTGAGCACATGGGGGCGAACACATCTGGCATACTCCTAAACTTGGCATATAATACCCTTGGATGCATTGGCAAGTTCCAGATGTCTGATTAAAAGAAGCATATGGATCCCAGCATCTGCATGTGCCTGTGGCAGTATTCAAATACATATTCCTTCTCATTCATTTTAGAGTGGTCCTATAATAATCCTTAAATTGGCAAGCCATTATCTATATGAACTTTAGTTTAAAACTCATTTAATTTATGACTCATAACTTGAAAAAATGATTTTAACCTTGTAAATTCATATTTTATAATTTTTTATCATAACTGCTTTCATTTTATACTTAATAACGACTAAGATTGTTTTAACTCTTGATGAAAAAAAATAATAAACGCCAAATAGGCTAAAAAATATTATTTTCAGGATCATTGCATGCAGTGCAAAAGTTATTTGAAGAGCATTGGGCGCATTGTGGAGGACACTGCGAAATAGGTGAACAAGTAGTAGATGTGCTGTAATAGTAGCCAGGGTTGCAGACACAAGTGCCAGCAATCAAAGTAGAATAAGCAGGACAAGAGCAGATAGGAGCTGCTGACATGTGAATTGGGTCGACACAAGTATCGCAGACATTCTGATTTGTATAACATGTAGCGCAATTGCTATTGCAAGCTGAGCAGATTGTATAACTACTGAAAAAGTATCCGGGGTTACATTCACAAATAGTGCCCAACAGACTCGAGTTAGTTGGACAAGCACATGAAGGGGGAGCTGGCATATTGATCGAGTCTACACAGCTGAGACAGTTTGTTGATGAAATAGAACAGGTATGACAATTATTCTGACATGCTGAGCATACGCTATTTGAGCTATAAAAGTGCCCAATATAGCAAACACAATCATTCCCGACCAGAACTGCATTGGTAGGACATGCACAATCAGGAGCAGCTGACATATGAATTGGATCAGCGCAGGTATTACAAGTATTAGCGTTTAAGTCACAACTGGCACAATTAGGTAAACAAGCAGAACAAACTGTAGTGGAACTGTAATAATAGCCTATATTGCAGGCACAAATGTTTCCGACTAAACTTCCATTTGCAGGACAAGCACAAGCTGGGGCTGCAGTCATATGAGTAGTATCCACACAAGATCCACAATTGGTATTAGTGTTAGAGCAGCTAAAGCATTGTGGAGCACAAGCAGCACAAACAGTATTTGAGCTGAAGTAATAACCTGTGTTACAAGTGCAGGTTCCAGCAATCAAAGCTGAAAAATTTGGACAGAAGCATGCCAAATGAGGATTTAATATTTTTTAAAATTTTATTAATAAATTTTATATAAAATGCAATATGTATATATAATCCGAGCTGATCTATAAATTTCTTTAAATTGGCTTGATTCAGCTTGGATTTTAGGAAGAAATTGTGGAGTATCCTTACTTCCATGCAATTGATAATAATGTTTTAATAATTGATGGATATACGTTATGAATATATGGCGTACAGCATTTGTTCTTTCATTTTTCCTAGAAAAAATCGAATTTTAGCTTTTAAGGAATGAGAAATTTATTCGAAAAATTAGCTTACTCCTACCCCCCGTGAGCGAACAAAAATATCTTGTTCGCTACGGAGGGAGGCTATAATTTTTCTATTTAAAATTTATATATAAATTATTATAGAAAATTTATTTTAGAAATTTAAAAAAATCTTAATTTGTAAAAACTGGAAAGCAAATATTATTTTAATTTGTAAAATTTATGTTTTTAAAACGCAATTTGCTTAAAATTAACAGAATTAGCCAGAGATTTCATTATCAAATTTTTTTTCCATAAAAAATTTTTTCTATTAAAAAAAATTTTTGTTCGCTCACGGAGGGTGTGTTTTTAGGGCAAAAAGTAGTATATTTTTCTAATGGTTTTGTTCATACGGAGCGGGGAGTTAGCTGACTTTCATTGATTCTTAATTTTATTTAATTCAAAGTTTATCTTATAAGAACTATAGTTATTAATTAAGCCCGAGCTAGGAGAAAAGACGAAAGAAGCTGAAGAGAAACCAATTCCTAACTCCCCCCTCCGTATGCGAGCAAAGCCATTAGAAAAATCCCTATTTTTTTTGATCAAAAACCACCCCCCCTTTCGAACAAAAATTTTTTTAATAGAAAAAAATTTTGATATATAAGTGATAATTATTATAATAAAATCTCGAGCTAATTCTGTTTAATTTTAAACAATTATTTTAACTAAATTAATATTTGCTTTCCTATTGTTGCAAATTAAGATTTTTATAAAAATTTAAAAAAAAACAAATTAACCCCCCTCCATAAGCGAGCAAGATTTTTTTGTTCGCTTACGGAGCAGGGGGGAGTAAGAGGACAAGCAAGACAACGGGAGATTTATTTACCATATTCATTATTACCACATATTTGAGTTCAGATTATAGCTATTCAAAGAAGAATGGTAAATACATATAGGAATTATGATATCTCATAAAAATTAATTGAATCGGAAACCTTCAGAAACATAGGATATTTTGAAAATTGGAGTTAAAGAAGAGCAAAACTTGAAGGAAAAATTTTTTAAATTTTCTTTTGATCGGAATTATAGAAAATTTCAACAATCAATTTTTATAGCAATTATTTGGTTAGCTAATTGATAAAAATTTATTATTAAGATAGTAAATATTTATTGATTAGAATTCTAAAAATTAATCCATTTATTATCTTTGATTCGCTATTAATTTCTATACTTGTAATAAATGCATTTATAAAAGAAAAAGTGAAGCCAGATGATTTTTATTGATATAAAGCTAGATCCTTGCATGGGTTGGGGATTGGAATTCGGAATTGCAAGAATAAAAACTGAAGAATTGGAAGAATTGTGAGGGTAAAATTGAATTAAGTGAAGCAGATAATGATCAAATGATATTGAAAGAAGTCTTATGGATATGTGGTCTCATAATGAGACGATAACCGATAAATTATTGCAATAAAAATAATAAAGCGCTTGTTTGCTAACTCTTTATCCTGATACTTTATATAACTCTCTTAATCTAACGGTGAAGGGTAAAGGCATAGAGAATAATCTCTCCATGAGAAATTTAATACTCAGAACACTTGATTAAAAATATTTTATATGTCACCTCCAAAAATTATATTAAAAGATAACAAAAATATATTTTATTTAATTGAGGAAAGTTTCATTGCTGATATAAAAATTGGCCGTCTACTCTATAGTTATTTAATTAAAGGTCTATTTTCTTAATTATTTAGGTGTAGATATTAGTGATATTGGTTATATTGTTGTATATAATTGTTTCGCAGTGAGTACAATTGCAGCTTGAGTTAGTTTGGCAAGCTTTAACCCATGGATTAAATTGAGAATCAGAGTCTTTACACAGACAAAATCCTGTGATTGCATTTAAATTCATATTAGCAAGATCATCACACTCTGTGCAAAAGGTAGCTGAACTCGAGCACTGAGCACATGGGGGCGAACACATCTGGCATACTCCTAAACTTGACATATAATACCCTTGGATGCATTGGCAAGTTCCAGCTGTCTGATTAAAAGAAGCATATGGATCCCAGCATCTGCATGTGCCTGTGACAGTATTCAAATACATATTCGCAGGATCATTACATGCAGTGCAAAAGTTATTTGAAGAGCATTGGGCACATTGAGGAGGACACTGCGAAATAGGTGAACAAGTAGTAGCTGAGCTGTAATAGTAGCCAGGGTTGCAGACACAAGAGCCAGTAGTCAAAGTAGAATAAGTAGGACATTGGCAGGCAGGAGCTGCTGACATATGAATTGGGTCGATACAAGTATCGCAGGTATTCGGATTTGTATCACATGTAGCACAATTGCTGTTGCAAGCTGAGCAGGTTTTAGAGCTATTGTAATTGTAGCCAGGGTTGCATTGGCAAATATTTCCATTCAGACTTGAGTTAGCAGGACAAGCACATGAAGGGGCAGCTGACATATGGACCGAGTCAATACAGGTGAGACAGTTTGATGATGAACCAGAACAACTTTGACAATTATTCTGGCATGCTGAGCATACAGTATTTGAGCTATAAAAGTACCCAGTATTACAAACACAAGTAGTCCCGATCAGAGCTGAATTGTTAGGACATGCACAATTAGGAGCAGCTGACATATGAATTGGATCAGTGCAGACAAGGCAAGCATATGAATTACTGCTACAAGTTGCACAGTTAGACTGACAAGCAGAACAAATAGTATTAGAGCTAAAATAATAGCCGGTATTACAGACACATAGCGTGCCTGCCAAACTTCCATTTGTAGGACAAGCACAAGCTGGGGCGGCAGTCATATGAGTAGTATCTGCGCAAGATCCACAATTTATTTGAGTGCTAGAGCAGCTAGCGCATTGTGGAGCACAAGCAGAACATTCACTATTTGAGCTGAAGTAATAGCCTGTGTTACAAGTGCAAGTTCCAGCAACCACATTTGAAAATTTTGGACAGGAGCATTTTGGAGGATTTCTCATATGGACAGAATCAACGCAAGAAATACAGGTAGAGTCTGACACATAACAGGTAGAACACTGAGGAGCACAAGCACTGCATTGACCATTAGCAGAGAAATAGTATCCATCATTGCAAGCGCAGTGTCCACTAGCGTTGACAGAGTTTGCTGGACAAGCACAAGCAGGAGCAGCTGTCATATGAGTGGTATCAGTACAAGTCAAACAGTTCCCAGCTGTATTGGAACAGGTCGCACAGTTAGTACTACAAGCAGTACAGGTCGTCGCTGTCCCAGAACTGTAGAAAAACCCAGCATTGCAAGTACATATATTATTGGTGAGGACTGAGTTAGATGGACAAGCACATGTAGGGGCTGCTGACATATGGACTGCATCAATGCAGGTTGTGCAGTTATACTCAGCGTTACAAGTGGCACAGTTACTAGGACAAAGAGAAGAACAGACAGTATTTGAAGAATAATAATAGCCTTGGTTACACACACATGCACCTCCAGTAAATGTTGAAAAAGCAGGGCAGGCACAGTTAGGAGGGCCTAAGCTGTGAGTTTGGTCAGTGCATGAAGAGCATACGTCACTAGCTACTGTACAAGTAGCACATTGAGGACTGCATTGAGAACATACAGTAGTTGAACTATAGTAGTATCCATTGTTGCAAACACAAAAATATCCATAAAGAGCTGCATTTGCTGGGCATGCACATTCTGGAGCAGCTGTCATATGATTTGGATCAGAGCATGTCAAACAATTAGTTGTATTTATGGCGCAAGTCATGCAACTTGAATAACATGCAGCACAACCGTGGTTGTCATAGGGACTAAAAAAATAGCCAGGATTGCAAACACAATTACCTTGAATAAGAGCTGAGTTTCCAGGGCAGCTGCATGTTGGAGGAGCGCTCATATGGATATCGTCAACGCATAACTCACAGTTTGTATTAGAATTAGAACATAGTGAGCATTGGACGGCACATGCTGAGCAGACAGTATTTGAGCTAAAATAGTAGCCTGTGTTGCAATAGCATAAGTTAAGATATCCTAAAAATCCATTAGCTGGGCAGACACAAGATGGCGCAGATGACATATGAACAGGATCAGAACATGTAATGCAAGAGTTCTCTGTCGAGCAAGTAGCGCAATTCTGCGGACAAGTAGAAAGAAGTGGCTGGTATTCCAGACTATCTAAGCTTTCTTCTATCTCTTTGGCATATTTCTCACTTTCTCTATTAAAAATAGCACTAATGATCGCTTTATTTAGCAAACTAACTTTTTTGTCTTCATTGAGTGCTTTGTATATTTTTTGATCAACCTTAATTTCAATGCTTTTAAGCTGATTATCATTAGAGACCTCACAGACCTTAAAGCTGGTAGAATTTTGTATGAAATTGTTGCTTAAAGAGAAAAATACTGCTAAGTCTGCTTCAATTCCTTCATGCTTCATGTAATTTTCGAGCTGAATATCCTTGCAAAGATTTTCCTCGCCAAGTTTAAGAGGCTGAGTTTGAGGCTTTACAAATAAGACTTGCTTTAAAATTTCTGATGCTTTATAGGCTGAGTCTTCTAAATCTTCCAATAAATCATCCATGCCTCCAGGCATGGAATTAATTTCTATATGAATCCGAGCTGACTTATAAATTTCTTTAAATTGGCTTGATTCAGCCTGGATTTTAGGAAGAAATTGTGGAGTATCCTTAGGAGAAAATACGGAAGAAGCTGAAGAGAATCCAATTCCTAAGAGGACAAGCAAGGCAACGGAAGATTTATTCACCATATTCATTATTACCACATATTTGAGTTCAGATTATAGCTATTCGAAGAGATGGTAAATGCATATAGGAATTATGATATCTCAGAAAAATTAATTGAATCGGAGATCTTCAGAAAAATTGGCGTAAAGAAGAGCAAAACTTGCAGGAAAAATTTTTAATAATAATTAAAATAAATTTTCTTATGAACGGAGTTATAATATAGAAAATTTCAACAATCAATTTTTATAGCAATTATTTGAGCTAGCTAAATTGATAAAAATTTATTATTGAAGATAGTAAATATTTATTGATTAGAATTCTAAAAATTAAGCCATTTACTATCTTTGATTTTCTACTACTTTCTATACTTGTAATAAATGCATTTATGAAAGAAAAAAGTGAAGCCAGATGATTTTTATTGATGTAAAACTAGATCCTTGCATGAGTTGGGGATTGGAATTCGGAATTGCAAGAATAAAAACTGAAGTATTGGGAGAATTGTGATGGTAAATTGAATTAAGGAAGCAGATAGTGATCAAATTAAATTGAAGGAAGTCTTATGGAAATGCGGTCTCATAATGAGACGATAATCGCTAAGCAATTGCAGTAGTAATAATGAAGTGCTTGCTTGCTAACTCTTCTCTCAATATTTATCATACTCTCTAAATCTACTTCCGAGCAGTATAGCAAGCAGCGGTGAAGGGTAAAGACATAGAGAATAATATCGCCACGCGAAATTTAAGCTACCAGAAATCTTCAGAATGCTTGATTAAAGCTACTTTATAATTATATCATCTCCCAAAAAATTATATTAAAAAGTTTCATTTCTGATATAAATTGGTCGTTTATTCTATACTGATTTAATTAAAGATAGGTAATTAGAATATTTTCGAAAATAATCGTTTAGGATTATTTAGCTTTATTTGCTATTATCTGTTACCAGAAATTGATGATAAACTAAGATCTGACTAATTATTAATTAATTAACGAATTGTCATTCTTGGCTCTCAGAAACATTAGAATATATAATACTTGTATGATTTTTCATACTATTTTTCTTCAATATTGATGATCTTATCATCTTTCAAATTTTTGTAAAAATCCAGAAAGTAAGAAGCTTAATAGCTATCTTAATAAATGCTATACATAAAATATCCACTGCAAAGTTCAATATTGTATTATAAATCTATTTGCAAGAAATACCGAAGTCAAACTTTATTGAAAATAAAATTATTGACCAGCAGAATGAAATTATTAAGACAGCTGGAGATACCCTAACAGAAGTAATTACAAATTTTCTCAATTTTTGTAGATTTAAGGTATTCCTCATGAAGCAAATGAAGGTAGGACAATATTTATATATAAAGGAAAGGAGATCCAGAAGAAACAAATAACTACAGACCAATAACACTAATGAACAATATAATTAAAATTTTAGACAATGCAGAACTTAAGAAAATTGAAACAAAAATAGATATTTCAGATATACAACATGGATTTAGAAAAGGAAAATCATGCATAGCACAGGCATTTCTTCTAAAAAGTACCCTAGAGTATCGGAAATATTACAGAAAAGACAAAGGACAAGATTCTTACATACTCTTCATTGATTTTACTAAAGCATATGACTCTGTAAGTAGAGTAAAACTAATGGAAAAATTAAAAAAAAGAAAATTCAGGATGATAGCTGAAAATCAATTTCTCAAATGATTAAAGGAGAAGATACTACATTGATAATCTACGGGATTGTTACAGAAAAAGTTAAAATTAGCAAAGGAGTAAGGCAAGGAAGTGCGATATCATCATTATTATTTAATGTATATATAGATGATATTAATCAAACCACAAAAATTATTAATACTGATCTATTGCAAGAGCAAAAATTAAAATCAAAAGTTAATTTTCAATATGCTGACGATACTGCTTTTATAACTGGATCTTGACAAGATATTAAAAATTTAAAAAAACTAAAAATGATCAATTGAAAATGGCATAGACCTTAAAATAGGACCGGAAAAAAGCTATAATGCCAGTCTGATATTAATAGAATATTATTTGGCTAAATTTTAATACTCATTTAAGCTATTATCTAGATTTTCTTAACTATTTAGGTGTAGACATTGGTGATATTGGTTATATTGTTGTAATTGTATATAATTGTTTCGCAGTGAGTACAATTGCAGCTTGAGTTAGTTTGGCAAGCTTTAACCCATGGATTAAATTGAGAATCAGAGTCTTTACACACGCAAGATCCTTCGATTACATTTAAATTCATATTAGCAAAATCATCACACTCTGTACAAAAGGTAGCTGAACTCGAGCACTGAGCACATGGGGGTGAACAAATCTGGCATACCCCTAAACTTGACATATAATACCCTTGGATGCATTGGCAAGTTCCAGATGTCTGATTAAAAGAAGCATATTGATCCCAGCATCTGCATGTGCCTGTGACAGTATTCAAATACATATGCCTTCTCATTCCTTTTAGAGTAGTCCTATAATAATCCTTAAATTGGCAAGCCATTATATACATGGACTTTAGTTTTAAAATTTAATTCGTGATTCAAAACTAAAAAAAATGATCTTAACCATCAGAATTTATATTTTTTTTAAACAGTTATCATTTTATGCATTATAAAAACTCGGATTGTTTTAACTCTGTATGGAAAAAAATAATCAACACCAAATAGGCTAAAAAATATTATTCGCAGGGTCATTGCATGCAGTGCAAAAGCTATTTGAGGAACATTGGGCACATTGAGGAGGACACTGCGAAATAGGTGAGCATAATATTAAATGGTACATACGGAATTAGTTCTCCCCGAGAACTATTCCTCCTTCGCTTTTTATATTATGGGGTTCAGTTTTCCCCGTGGACCTTTATCCGCAACACCAATATGGAATACCATATAGGTATTTCTTTGGTCCAGGGTGTTAGGAGACATATGGTTTTTCTACTTGACACATCTGAGGAGGGTAACCCTTAGGCAGAACACACTCAGAAGTCAAGTTCGGACGAGGCAGCGCGACCAATGTGGACCTTCTGGACAGGAGGGTGCGTTTTCTGGAATGCTTGCTAGACAAGATGGCTGCTGACATCACCAGTTGGGAGTTAAAAAAGATGGGCTTGCGCATGCCTAAATCATCCTGCTGAAGAGGAAGACGCTTTAAATACCTAAACAAGTAAGTAAGAAATAGGTGAGCAAGTAGTAGCTGAGCTGTAATAGTAGCCAGGGTTGCAGACACAAGAGCCAGCAGTCAAACTCGAATAAGTAGGACATTGACAGGCAGGAGGTGCTGACATATGAATTGTGTCCATACAAGTGTTGCAAGTATTCGGACTTGTATTACAGGTAGCGCATTGCCATAGCATTGAGAGCAAGTATAAGCTGAGCTGTAATAGTAGCCAGGGTTGCAAACACAAGTACTAGCAGTCAAAGTAGAATAAGCAGGACATTGGCAGGCAGGAGGTGCTGACATATGAATTGTGTCGATACAAGTATTGCAGGTATTCGGATCTGTACCACATGTAGCGCATTGCCATGAGCATTGAGAGCAAGAAGCTGAGCTGTAATAGTAGCCAGGGTTGCAGACACAAATGCCAGCAGTCAAAGTCGAATAAGCAGGACATTGGCAGGTAGGAGCTGCTGACATATGAACTGGATCGGTGCAAGTATTGCAGGAATTAGGGTTTGTACCACATGTAGCGCAATTGCTGCTGCAAGCTGCTGAGCAGGTTTTAGAGCTATTGTAATTGTATCCAGGGTTGCATTGGCAAGCATTTCCATTCAGACTTGAGTTAGCAGGACAAGCACATAAAGGGGCAGCTGACATATGGGTATTTATTAGCCAAGCACAAATCCTAGATTCCTAGTGAATCCCTCCCTTCTAATCTTCTTGAGATTTCATTAGAAAGCATATAATATAATATTATTGGCAAATAAAGACATTTTTGATCTTAAATCCTTTTTGGCCACAAATATTTTTTATAGACGAAGTGGCTTCTTGCAATTGCAACAGCAGTATTCAATCCTTCTCTTTCATTTGCTTCAAGATTCAGAATTTCCCAGAAACAACTGAATGCCTACTGTAAGTTCATTTCTCAGAGATTCTCAAAGTGCGTTCTTCAGTTTTGCTAATATGAGCTTTTAGAAGTCCTTTTCTGTTTTTATTAATTGTGCCATTTGCAGTTCAATGCTTAAATACAACGATCAAAACATAAGTAATATCTATGTGGATTTACGAGGATTTTCAAGACTTTGAAGCCTCATTTTATTGGTTTAGCTGGTATATATTTAACTGCTTGGTGATTCCTTTGAATTTTATCATTTATTCATCGATCTAGATAAATTTGTCAATAGATTGCTGGCTCTGCATATTTCACAAGATAATTGGTTCTAGGTGGATAATTGATTTATTTGAAATTCTTGTGAAAGGAGATAAATCTAGCTTGTGACTTATGGCTTATAATCTCCTCAATGCCATGACTTCAGATATTACCAGATTGTTGTAAAGAGAACTATATATCAATAATCTGTTTGCTTGGGACTTTTATTAGGCTCATCATAATTATATCCCAATCATTTTTTCATACTTTTGAGTAATAATTGGTGCCATATACTTTTTCTTCTTGATGAGCTCGGATTTGCTTTTGTAATAAGAGTCGACTTCTTGATTTTTCAATAATAAGTTCTTTGACAAAAATGTCCCTAAGTAAATTCAATGCTGTAATTTAAATCTGATCAAGTAGGTTTGGATATGGGCACATTGTAGGCCTTTCATCTTTTCTATTGATTCGTTTATCTCAATTCAATTTTGAAGAGAAATTTCATCTTCAGATGCTTCATCTTCATAATATGAGTAAGTTGCTCCAGATAAACTGCTTGGTAATTTTTCTACTTCAATTTCGACTTAATTTCTTGTAATTCTTTATTCTCCATATATTTTTATTATAGATATAGAAAATTAAGAGTTGTATATTCCAGTCGTATTTTTCAATAGTATTAGCAATTGTGGTTTTAAGTTTTGCCAACGCTAGTGGGATTAGCAGTGAAGCTATCAGGCTGATTATTTTTCACATGGATAAATATTTTTCAGTGATTTTGGATTATTAATCATCTAGCATATAAGATTTATGAGCTTTGAGAATTCACGATATATAATAAGTTAAAGGGTTATACCTCACACATGTATTGCTTGATTTTACAAAAATATAAATTAGCATTGATATATTCCATTTTACATTATCACTTAATTTTACCCTTTATTAAAAAAAATATTGGTACTAAATTTTTATTTATAAGCAAAAAATAATTTTAATGGGCAGTCTAACCGACTATATGTAAATAGCTATTAATGTTGCAAAAATGAAATTTACCTATTATATGCTCCTATTTATAATGCACTGCATTAATTTCTTAATGATTCTGGAGAGCCAAAAAGAGATTTAACGTGCGAAGATCCTTACTTTTGCGTGCAATTCCTTTTTGACTCATCAGAACTGGATAAATTAAAGGAATAAATTATATTTAAGTCAAATAAAGTTTATAAAAAACATTTATTTTCTTAAAAAATCTAAAAATTAATTTATGAGAATTTTTAAAAAATTTACATCGAGCTGATCCATGTTCAAACAAACTAGATTTTATTAAGGTAAATGCGAGAACTGTTGGTAAAAAAACTAAGATAGATATGGGTCTTATATTATGAAGCTGACATATGAACTGAGTCAATACAGATGAGACAGTTTGTTGATGAACCAGAACAACTTTGGCAATTATTCTGACATGCTGAGCATACAGTATTTGAGCTATAAAAGTACCCAGCATTACAAACACAAGTAGTCCCGATCAGAGCTGAATTGTTAGGGCATGCACAATTAGGAGCAGCTGACATATGAGTTGTGTCCTTGCAGGTATCACATGCATTAGGGTTTAAGTCACAACTGGCACAGTTAGACTGACAAGCAGAACAAACAGTTTTAGAGCTAAAATAATAGCCGGTGTTACAGACACAGACTGTGCCTGCCAAACTTCCATTTGTAGGACAAGCACAAGTTGGGGCTGCAGTCATATGAATAGTATCTGCACAAGATCCACAATAGGTTTGAAGGTTAGAGCAGCTAGCGCATTGTGGAGCACAAGGAGAGCACTCAGTATTTGAGCTGAAGTAATAGCCTGGGATACAAGTGCACGTTCCAGCAACCAAATTTGACAACTTTGGACATGAGCAGATTGGAGGATTTCCCATATGGACAGAATCAATGCAAGAAAAACATGTAGAGTCTGACACATAACAGGTAAAGCACTGAGTAGCACAAGGGCTACATTGACCATTAGCAGAGAAATAGTACCCATCATTGCAAGCGCAGTGTCCATAAGGGTTGACTACAGAGAGTGCTGGACATGCACAAGCAGGGGCAGCTGTCATATGAGTGGTATCAGAGCAAGTCAAACAGTTCCCAGCTATATTAGAACAGGTCGCACAGTTCTTACTGCAAGCCGTACAAGCCGTCGCTGTCCCAGAACTGTAGAAAAACCCATCATTGCAGGTACATATACCATTGGTGAGGACTGAGTTAGATGGGCAAGTACATGCAGGGGCTGCTGACATATGGACTTTATCAATGCAGGTTAAGCAGCTATGCTCAGAGTTGCAAGTGCCACAGTTACTAGGACAAGAAGGAGAACAGACAGTATTTGAAGAATAATAATAGCCTTGGTTACACACACATGCACCTCCAGTAAGTGTTGAAAAATTAGGGCAGGCACAGGTAGGAGTGCCTGAGCTGTGAACACTGTCAGTGCATGAAGAGCATACGTCATGGGCTACAGTACAAGTAGCGTGAATGTTAATAGAACCGAGCAAAAATAACTTAAAGTAAATATTCTTGTATAATAAAATTTTATAATAAAATTACATAAATTTATAAAAATTGATATAGATATAAAAATCCACCCCCAAAGCAGCACATACAGGACTGCATATAGAACATACAGTATTTGAACTATAGTAGTATCCCTTGTTGCAAACACAAAGCCCTCCAATAAGAGCGGAATTTGCTGGGCATGCACATGTTGGAGCAGCTGACATATGAGTTGGATCAGAACATGCCACACAATTAGTTGCTGAATATATACAGTTCATGCAATTTGACATGCATGCAGAGCAGACAGTGAGGGTATTGAAAAAATACCCAGTATTGCAAACACACTCACCTTGAATTATAGCTGAGTTTGCAGGACAACTGCATGCTGGTGCATCGCTCATATGGAGATAATCAATGCAAGTCTTACAGTTTGTATTAGATACAGAGCATGTTTCGCATTGGATAGAGCATGCTGAACAGACAGTATTTGAGCTAAAATAGTAGCCTGAGTTGCAAACGCAATTGCTGCTATGTAAAGCCGCATTATTTGGGCAGGCACAAGTTGGCGGGCTTGACATATGAACAGAATCAGAACATGTTATGCAAGAGTCCTTTGTCGAGCAAGTAGCGCAATTCGATGCACAAGTAGAAAGAAGTGGCTGATATTCCAGACTATCTAAGCTTTCTTCTATCTCTTTGGCATATTTCTCGCTTTCTCTATTAAAAATGGCACTAATGATCACTTTATTTAGCAAACTAACTTTTTTGTCTTCATTGAGTGCTTTGTATATTTTTCGATCAACCTTAATTTCAATGCTTTTTAGCTGGTTATCATTGGAGACCTCACAGACCTTAAAGCTGGTAGAATTTTGTATGAAATTATTGCTTAAAGAGAAAAATACTGCTAAGTCTGCTTCAATTCCTTCATGCTTCATGTAATTTTCCAGCTGAATATTCTTGCAAAGATTTTTCTCGCCAAGTTTAAGAGGTTGAGTTTGAGGCTTTACAAATAAGACTTGTTTTAAAATTTCTGATGCTTTATAGGCTGAGTCTTCTAAATCTTCCAATAAATCATCCATGTCTCCAGGCATGGAATTAATTTCTATATGAACCCGAGCTGAGCTATAAATTTCTTTAAATTGGCTTGATTCAGCCTGGATTTTAGGAAGAAACTGCGGAGTATCCTTAGGAGAAAATACGGAAGAAGCTGAAGAGAAGCCAATTCTTAAGAGGACAAGCAAGATAACGGGAGATTTATTTACCATATTCATTATTACCACATATTTGAGTTCAGATTACAGCTATTCGAAGAAGAATGGTAAATGCATATAGGAATTATGATATCTCATAAAAATTAATTGAATCGGAAACCTTCAGAAACATAGGAGTTAAAGAAGATTAAAACCTGTGGGAAAAATTTTTTATAATAATTAAAATAAATTTTCTTATAATTGAAATTATAATCTAGAAAATTTCAACAATCAATTTTTATAGCAATTATTTTGATAAAAATTTATTATTGAAGATAGTAAATATTTATTGATTAGAATTCTAAAAATTAAGCCATTTATTATCTTTGATTCGCTACTATTTTCTATACTTGTAATAAATGCATTTATGAAAGATAAAAGTGAAGCCAGATGTTTTTATTAATATAGAAATATATCCTCGCATGGGTTAGGGATTGGAATTTGAATTGCAAGAATAAAAACTGAAGTATTGGGAGAATTGTGAGAGTAAAAATAAATTATGGAAGCAGATAGTGATCAAATGAAATTGAAGGAAGCCTTATGGAAATGCGATCTCATAATGAGACTATAACCGCTAAATAATTGCAATAAAATAATGAAATGCTTGCTAACTCTTTATCCCGTTACTTTATAATACTCTCTTAATCTACTTCCGAACAGTATAGCAAATGACGGTGAAGGATGAAGACATAGGGAATAATCTCACCACACGAAATTTAAGCTATCATAAATCTTCAGAATACTTGATTAAAACTATTTTATTATCATTTACAAAAAATTATATTAAAGACAACAAAACTATTTTTATTTAATTAAGGAAAGTTTCATTGTTGATATAAAAATTGGCCCTTTATTCTATACTGATTTAATTAAAGGTAGGCAAATAAAATATTTTTGAAAATAATTGTTTAGGATTATTTAGCTCTATTTACTATTATCTGTTCCTAAAAATCCACCCCCCAAAGTAGCACAATGAGGTTCGCATGAAGAACATACAGTATTTGAGCTAAAGTAGTATCCCTTGTTGCAAACACAAAGCCCCCCAATAAGAGTGGAGTGTTCTGGGCATGCGCATGTTGGAGCAGCTGACATATGAGTTGGATCAGAGCATGCCACACAATTATATGCACCTGCGACGCAATTCATGCAATTTGACATGCATGCAGAACAGACAGTGAGGCTACTGAAAAAATATCCAGCATTGCAAGCACACTTACCTTGAATTATAGCTGAGTTTGCAGGGCAGCGGCATTTTGGTGCAGCGTTCATATGGAGATTATCAATGCAAGTCTTACAGTTTGTACTAGATACAGAACATGTTTCGCATTGCATGGAGCATGCTGAGCAGACAGTATTTGAGCTAAAATAGTAGCCTGACTTGCAAACGCAATTGCTGCTACGTAAAACCGCATTATTTGGGCAGGCACAAGTTGGCGCGCTTGACATATGAACAGAATCAGAACATGTTTTGCAAAGACCCATTGTCGTGCAACTAGCGCAATTCGATGCGCAAACAGAAAAAAGTGGCTGATATTCCAGACTATCTAAGCTTTCTTCTATCTCTTTGGCATAATTCTCGCTTTCATTATTAAAAATGGCACTAATGATCGCTTTATTTAGCAAACTAACTTTTTTGTCTTCATTGAGTGCTTTGTATATTTTTTGCTCAACCTTAATTTCAATGCTTTTTAGCTGGTTATCATTGGAGACCTCACAGACATTAAAGCTGGTAGAATTTTGTATGAAATCGCTGCTTAAAGAGAAAAATACTGCTAAGTCTGCTTCAATTCCTTCATGCTTCATGTAATTTTCCAGCTGAATATCCTTGCAAAGATTTTTCTCACCAAGTTTAATAGGCTGAGCTTGAGGCTTTACAAATAAGACTTGCTTTAAAATTTCTGATGCTTTATAGGCTGAGTCTTCTAAATCTTCCAATAAATCATCCATGTCTCCAGGCATGGAATTAATTTCTATATGAACCCGAGCTGAGCTATAAATTTCTTTAAATTGGCTTGATTCAGCTTGAATTTTAGGAAGAAATTATGGAGTATCCTTAGGAGCAAAGACGGAAGAAGCTGAAGAGAATCCAATTCCTAAGAGGACAAGCAAGGCAACAGAAAATTTATTCACCATATTTATTATTACCACATATTTGAGTTCAGATTATATCTATTTAAACAAGAATGATAAATGCATATAGTTATTATGATATCTCAGAAAAATGAATTGAATCGGAAATCTTCCAAAAAATTGGTGTTAAAGAAGAGCAAAACTTGCAGGAAAAATTTTTTATAATAATTAAAATAATTTTCTTATGATTGGAATTATAACATAGAAAATTTCAACAAGCAATTTTTATAGCAATTATTTGGGTTAGCTAATTGATAAAAATTTATTATTGAAGATAATATTTGTTTATTAGAATTCTAAAAATTAAGCCATTTATTATCTTTGATTTACTACCTTCTATGCAGGTAATAAATACATTTATGAAAGATAAAAGTGAAGCCAGATGATTTTATTGATTTAAAACTAGATCCTTGGCTTGTGAATTGGAATTCGGAATCGCAAGAATAAAAATTGAATTATTGGGAGAATTGTGAGGGTAAAAATGAATTATGGAAACAGATAGTGATCAAATGAAATTGAAGGAGGTCTTATAGAAATGCGGTATCGTTATGAGATGATAACTGCTAAGTAGTTGCAATAAAATAATGAAGTCTTTTCTTGCTAGCTCTTCTCTCAATACTTTATAATACTCTCTGAATCTACTTCCGAACAGTATAGCAAATGACGGTGAAGGGCAAAGACATAGAGAATAGTCTCGCCAAGCAAAATTTAAGCTATCATAAATCTTCGAAATACTTCATTAAAACTACTTTATATATCATCTACCAAAAATTTATATTTAAAGATATCAAAAATATTTTTATTTAATTAAGGAAAGTTTCATTGCTGGTATAAAAATTGGTCGTCTATTCTATTCTGATTTAATTAAAGATAGTTATTTAGAATATTTTCGAAAATTGTTGTTTAGGATTATTTAACTTTATTTGCTATTATATGTTGTTAGAAATTGATGATATACTAAGATCTGACTAACTATAAATTAATTAATTTAAATTTAAATGTTTTGAATTGTCATAACCTTGATTCTCTGAAAGATTAGAATCTATAATACTTGTATGATTTTTCATAATATTTTTCTTCAATTTTGATGATTTTATCATCTTCCAAATTTTTGCTAAAATCCAGAAAGTAAGAAGCTTAATAGCTATCCTAATAAATGCTACACATAAAATATCCACTGCAAAGTTCAATACTGTATTATAAATCCATTTGCAAGAAATACCAAAGTCAAATTTTACTGAAAATAAAATGATTGACCAGCAGAAAAAAATCATAAGCCAATATGATAGAAGATAAAAAATAATGCTTTTAATTTTATTCATTCTTTTTACATTTTTTATTTTAGAGTCTTCCATAGATTCATAGTCAATTTCTTCCATTTTGGCTAAATAATTTAATATTATTCCAAGTACAAAGGTAAAACAAGTTGCATATACACTTGCCCAAAAATCTCTAAAATCGTAATTTTCCATTAATTCTTTTAAATTAAAGGTTCATTCTGTATCAGAATTATTATTTTGATAAAAAAGTCCTATAAAAAACATATTTCCTAAAAGTAAAGTGCTGTAAATTGTGGCGAGAGAAAAATGAGAATATTCTTTATGAGGTAAAAAAATCTTAATAAATTCATGCTCACTTAAGACTGATTTTACTCCTACATACTGATATATATTATTTTCTTTTGCTTTTAGATCATCTGATTTTGTGTCTTCAATAGCTACTGTGACGTTATTTTCATTAGTTTGGTTTCTCAAATAATAATTTACAATTGATTCATCAGGCCGCACAATAGGATTAGAAGGGTTTTCTGTATCGATAAAATCTTCTATGCTTTCATCAAGTCAATCCATTTTAAGAGTTTTCATAGACAAAATTGAATGGAAAACTAATATTCCGACGCAAAAATATAGTCCTATTGCATTATCTCAGTCAATATCTAAAAGGGCGCTTGCATCAATGATGTCTCCTGCGTTATTGTCTGCAAAGGAAATTCATATTGCTTTAACCATCGCTGTAAATATACCTATCTCCTACTTAAATTAGAACAAATTATAAGCTATAATCAATTTTTAGGAAATTAGCTCATATTAAATTAGAATAATTTGTAAATTTGTAATGGAAATGTTAAAGTAAATAATTAATGGCTTTAAAACAAAATTTAATATATGGGGTTAATTTTTACCAAATTTATATATATCTTCTTTTGCTTTATATAGAGGAGTATAAGTAGAATACTATTAAAACAAAGTTGACAATTTAAAGCATAAATTTGATGGATTAATTTCCATGTAAAACATAAATTAATATCAAAATAATATGGCTGATATTTTAGGTATAAAAATTTTTTAATAAAATTAATCCCTTTTAAATTAAAGGGAAGTAAGCGGGTGCATTTACATTTTACATTAGTTTTGTTATATGATTCTAACTTGCAGTGTTCAGTTTTCCAGTCATTATCTTCTAAATAACTACAGTTTAATGTATAAATAATAGTTCCATTACTTGAGGTAGAGTTTTGGCTAGATTTATTAGGTGGATATGGAGACGATCAGATTTTTTCTGGGTCAAAATTTGATGCAGAAAGAATTATGCTTTTTTTATTTAAACCATCAGCGTAATTAATAAAAAGTAAAATTAATTTAATTTAGATATTATATAATTTGAAAAATATTATTAAGCTTCATTCTTCTAAAAAAATATATTGTTTGATTACTAATATTGTTTAAAGGAATTGGTGTTGAAGTAGAAAGATCTATCAGGTTGAATGAAATAATAGACAAAGTTGCATTTTCTTTAATTATAATTAAAATATGGCGTCTTTGTCTGGGTATGGCCTCCCGGCCATACAGCCTCGACTCATATTTTAATTATATCCGGCAAGGTTTTGCCATTTCAGAGATGGACAGCAATGCTAGGTAAGCAATTCTGGTTGTGTAAAGAGCCTAGCCCAAGTCTACTTTCAGAGGTGGTTTTTTCCTCGTGGGAAAGGAGGGCACGGAAGTTGGAAAGGGGAAGCTCAGCAAAGTCCTTAAGACCAATCGGACAATTCCCTAGCGTGAAACTAGGCGTTACGTCCTAGGCTACGTGTTTTTTCCTTTTTGCCGACAGCCGACCAGAAAATCCATTTTTTATGAATTTTCGGAAAGGCAACCCATGCTCACAAGCAAATAGCTCATCCATGAGCCGTCGAAGCCGGCAACGTTTGCCCTAGACGCACCTTGGAGCAACAAAGCAGATCGGCACAGAGGCCTGCTGGCCCGATGCGCCGAAAGGTAAGTGATAGACCTGGGAACGGTAAACTCCGTAAGGGATGTTAAGCGCTATTAATCTAATGCTAATGTTAATGCTAATGCATTTTCTTCACTTGGAATTGGATCATAATTTATGAAGCTTGTCCCAACAAGGGGTTTCTTGTATAAAAAATCATTTATATTATGACTCAATATAATTGAGGAATTTTTTACAGTTTCTGTAAAATTTTTTAAATCATCTGTATATTGAATTGAAACTTTTGATTCTATTCTTTCACTAAAAAAATCATTTTGCTCATGTACTACCATACTTTCTAATGCCATAGCATTGATTTTACTCATTGTGTTGTCGACTTCTTTTATAGAATCCGTCTGATTTTCCAGAAAATCACTTTTAATTTGAAAAATGTTATTAGAAACGTCGACAAGAGTTTGAATTTCTTCATCATGAAGGTTACTTTTCCCATATATTTTGGCTTGGAGATTTCCAATTGCATCATCAACTCTTTTTATGTTATCTAGGGTGCTTATATGAGGGTTTTGAGTTATTGAGTTGAGCATTGTTCCTACAGCTTCAGCTGAGTCAGGATCATAAGGATTCATTGAATCTGTATAATGAAATATTGCATTTAATGCAATATCATACGAATTTTGAATACTTTGATTTATTTGTGAATAGTTGTTTTCTAGTATATATTGCCTATTAGGTGATAGTTCTGCAATTTGAGAAACATATAAAGGAATTGATGATGGTGGTGTAGCGGGTGAAAAGATTTGCTGAGTAATATTATAGACGGCTTCATCTGTATTTAAGTCTTGCTGTAATGATAAAGATATCTTAAAATTAGCTAAATACTTCTTCTCCAAAAGATAATTTTTTTTATTCCTTCACACAACCAATATTTCATAACGACTATTTTTACCTATTTTATTTGCTTTTTTTTCATCTACAATTTTTTTGCCCTTTTATTTGGTTCATTTTTTAGCCTGTTTTTTTGAGCCTATGTTTTTTAGAGTTTCTTGAATAAATTGCTCCACATTGGAATTTAGTTCTATAGTTGGAAAATTCTTCCATTATGTATAAGTGTATACGCTTTTATATTATTTTTTGATAATATGAAAAAATAACATTAGGAATTTAATCCAAAAAAAATTAGAGGTTTTTAACAGGAGTTTAATATAAATACTCTTAAATTTAAAAAATACTATATACAGTAAATTATATATAAAAAAATCATGCTAATTAAGATATTTTTCCTTATTCTCAGAGGAGTGAGATCTTTGCTGATAAAGAATCATAAATATTAGCATAAATTATAATATCTTTATGAGAATAAGGAAACTGAGAATATAATATTGAAATAAGGTTTTTGGCATTAAGTGCTTGAAAAATATTGTTTATATGATATCCAAATGAATACTGAAGGGGAAAATCGCCATCAGGATCAGTCCAATCTAATGCCGCAATTGTAAAAATTGTATTCATTTCAATTCCACTATCTGGAATATACCTATTTTTGTGAATAAAAGCTTTATACTAGGGCGATATATTTTTCGAAATAAAATAATAAATAATTAATTATTCATAATCAATAATAATAATTTTTAAATATCCATCACTTGGATTTCGATTTACATTAAATGATCAAGTAAATGGAAATTTATCGTTTATAAATACTTGTAAAGTATATGATTGGCCTTGGATTAATGATCCTTCTTTTATAGCTAGTGCAGCACTACTTAAAGGAGTAGCGACATCAATTGATGGACCTTTTATTGAGGATCATAAAATTTTCGTAGTAGAAGATACTTCTTTAATACCTAAACGATATAGTACACAAGCAGCTATAGCTTACACAAGTTATATAGTTAGCAATGCTAACTATAGTTTACTAAATGGCTCTTAAAATTTGTAAGTTTCAGTACTTTTTCATCAGGCTTAGGAATTAAAAGAGAAATATACTCTATGGTACTAGCTGGCTCCTGAAGACTTTGAGCCTTAGTACGCTAGCATTCGGCTCAACTGCCTCTGACACGACCTAACACTTAATTTTTCAAAGGCATAGCACATGCCTAAGACCATAAAATTTTATTAACTACCTCAGAGACCAAAGCAGAAAAAGAAAAGAGATTTCTATCTCTCCTGCACGCGAGCCTAAGAAGCTTTATTCAGGACAGGAAATATTTTAAATGGTTCATATGAGAGTCTGGAGATGGCGCGAAACATTAAGCCAGCCTTAAAGCTGGGTATATAAAGGCCAAACACTTATTTGAGGAAGTACTTTTCCTAGCTGGGCCATGCTTACCTAAAGAAGAGGCTGACTATCATTTTGATGTTCTATAAATTCTAGATCAAGCTAAAGTCATTCCTATAATATAAGCTCAATTTGAATTTGGCCTACCAAAATATTGAGTAATTTCATAAATATTTATTTCTGGTACCGATTCTTGAATACAATATATGATAATAAACTTTGATGATGTTTTAATTAAAGATCCAGAGCCTCATACAACCTTATTTATTGTAAGAGTGAAATTATAAATTTCGCCTATTGATAGTGAATTTTCAGGTACAGTCAATTTTTTTGATGTACTATCTTGTATGAAATTAGAGCAGCCAATAGAATTTGTAATACAAACTCATTGATAAAGCATAGTGGAGCCTGCCCCATCAGGATCATAAGAGCTACTTCCATCAACAATTAATTGCTGATTAACCCCTATTTGCCCATCTGTTCTATTAAACAAAATAACGGGTGCATTAGAATCTGTTTTAATTGTAAAATCTGCATCCCCTTCAAGATCGCTCATATAATCATATCCGTGCACATGGAATGTAATTTCTGTTAATCCTGGCAATACTTTTGGTGGAATGATTAATTGAATATTAGATGATTTATTATTTTCTCACAATGATCTTTCATCAATACTTGTCAAATTGTTGCTTACTGACGTTATAGATCAACTAATTTTTAAATTTTCTGAAAATTCACTGCAGGCTCAAATCGAGCTTATTGATAATGAGTAAGAGTTAAGCCTTGAAATGGTTTTGGGTATCAAAGAATCAAAATTTATGACGATCTTAGGGGTTGAGTTTAAAATTATTTTTTGAGTTTTTTCTATAACCTTAAAAGGGTTTTTTATAAATAAAGAAGCTGTGATTGTTCCTTCATTTAAAATATTTTGTGGAATAGTGACGCTTTCAAATTTTGAACTATATGGCGTTGAATGTGTAGAAATTATAGAGCCTAAATCATCCGAAAAAAAATTCCAACTATATTCTTCATAAGAAAGACCAGGATCAGTAATGCCGCTAAAAATGAGACTTTGGCATGAGGTTAAAATTTCTGGAGGAGCAATCATAATAATTTTTGGTGTTGGAGAATTCAAAGGCAAAGATATTGGCATAGATAATTGAATTGGGTCTTCTAAGCAAGTATTTTTTTTAGTCTTTAAAGCCCCACTTTTAAAATTAATAGCACTGTCTCCAGCCTTATAATTTGAACCTAAAGTGATTAATAACTGAGAAAAGTCAGCATTAAATTCACAGCGTGGATTTAGACCAAATGTTAAAGATACTGAATTATCAAATAGATTGCTGCATCCGCTAGTTGATCCAGCTGATGAGACTGTGAAATTAAATAAAATTTTCAAATAATCATACGAAAACCCAGCAGAAATATCATTATTAGTTAAATACATTCCACATTTAACGCATATATTTAAATTATCATCGTAGTAAAACGTATTATCATTGCATATGCATGTATCCTTATTCATTACTGCATCTGCAGGACAAAAATTTGCATCGCAGCCATCAATAATACCAGAATCTTTGCAAGTACCTTCACAATTTTTATTGCAAAGCCCACAATACCCAGATCTTAAGCAATAATTGCAATTACTATCACAAGCAACACATTTATCAGTCGTTTCATCATAAAATTCATTTACCTTGCAAGAAATCAGACATGCGCCCAGAGATTTTGGACAGTTAAAAAAATTTTCAATATAATCTCCAGGCCACGCACGGTTATCTTTTGTTGGAATATACTGCATTAATTTAATTTAATTATAATAGCTTATAGCTTCAAAATCTGATATGCAATTGCAATTTCCAAATCATCAAGATATATATATAAATTCATAAATTCACCCAGTAATTCCACCAATTGATAAATCATAGTTATTAGCCTCATCTAAAAAATAATAAATCGTTGTCACATCACTACTAGACACCAAAGTATTATTTATTCATAAATTTATGATGTGCCCAGTTCCCCTATATGCACCAGTTTTTTCGAAATCTTCAATTTTAAGCAGATTTCAATCTGAGTTATTTGGAATGTCTGCGCTTAAAGTTGCATAGGAAGTCATTTGATCTTTGCACACTTTTCGTGCATATTCAAATCTGTAGGAAACACCTCAGATGCTTGATACTTTAAAATAAGTGGTGAAATCTGAGTTAATATCCATTTTTCTTAGTAAATATCCAACTGCTTCAATTTTTGCCCAAAAAATTCAAGTTGTGTAAAAAGACAGGTAAAAACTGCCAGACTTTTTAGAGAGAATTTGATTAGAATTCGCAAAATAAAGTCCACGTTGGTACCCAGGCGTTGGTAAATTCGATGGGTTGTTTATAATATCAGGTCCAGTGAAAGTGTAAATATTTGGAGAATTCGAGTCACCAATAATACTTGAGGTCGTTTGAAAATTAAAAATTAATCTTTTAGTTGCATCAGGCTCTATGCATACATTTAATCCGTCAGTAGAGACATCTCAAAGTGTTGGGCACTGACCATAGCAGAAACCCATGAAATCATAGCATTCCTCAAAGTAACTCGTTGAGCATTCTAGAGCTCCTTCAACAAAATTAACCCAAAAAGAGCTTCATTCGAAAAAAGCTAAGAAATATAAAAAAAAAGCACGGGTTGAAGAAAATCAAAATGCCATTCTAAATTTATTAGATATAGAAATATATCATAAATATGGCATTAAGCTACTTCATTGATAATAATCTATAAAAAGATTTGATATTATCAAAAGAGATGCTATATTGTAATATTATTGCTATTTTAAAATCTATAAAAAGCTGATATAATTATTGATAAATCAATTTTTATCATAATATTTAGCATAGCGCCCCTTCTTCATTCCAGGATATGCCCTTGCTGATTTTTATTGTTCCTGAATGAAAAATCAAATAATACCCAATCAGCAATTATAATAAAATATTAAATTAAAAAACTTTATGACTTGGCATTATTCTTGGTTTTATCCTTATTATAGCGTCGCTTCCATCGTTTCGGGATATGCTCTTCTTGATTTTCATTATTCTCTGAGTCAATTTTTTTATGCCTCCCTGGGGTATTGGGGAGCTTCTGTCTTGACCCTATTACCATACCAATTTTTGTTAAAAATCAAATAAGAATAACTCTAGCAGCAATTTTAACAAAAGTAATAAAAAATATATCCGCTGCAGAATTTAATATTGTATTATAAACCCATTTGCAAGACGGCGCAAGATCAAATTGAATAGAAAATAAAATAATTGACCAGCAGAAAAATATCAAAAGGCCATATGATAAAATATAAAAAATAATGATTTTGATCTTATTTATTTTTTTGGCTTTCTTTACTTTAGGGTCTTCATTATTTCCTGGTGGAATTTTTTTCATTTTCGCAAAAAAATTCAATATGATCCCTAATCCAAAAGTAAAACAAGCTGCATAAACGCCTGCCCAAAAATCTCGAAAATCATAATTTTCTATCAGTTTTTTTAGATTAAAAGTTCATTTTTTATCAGAATCGCTGTTTTGATAAAACAGGCCTATAAAGAACATATTTCCTAAAAATAAGGTACTATAAATTGTAACAAGCGAAAAATGTGAATAATTCTCATGGGTCAAGAATATTCTAATAAAAGGGTGGTTATGCAAAACATACTGAAATTTCGAAAGCTTTTGCTCTTTTTTCGCGTTTTCATTCTTAAATTCCCCTTGAGGATCATCTATAGCTACAACGGTATTATTTTCAAAATTTTGTGATTTGCTCCTCACATAACTAATTATAATTGAGTCATCAGATCTCGCTGTAAAATCTCCAGAGCTAGGTAAAGAGCTATTTTCGTTTGCATTTATTTTATTTTCATTCCCTAATCCATCCATTTTAAGTGCCATCATAGACAAAATGGAATGAAACAGTAAAACTCCTATACAAAAATATAGCCCAATAGCATTATCTCAATTAATCCCTGAAAAGGCGCCGATATTAATAATATCGCCTGCGTTGTTAGAAGCGGCAGCAACTCAAATTGCTTCAACCATTGCTGTAAATGTACCTAAGCGCTTACATTTACAGTTTACAGAAGTTTCGTTAAATGATATAACTTTGCAGCCTTCAGACCTTCAGTCGTTGTTTTCTAAATAGCTGCAATTTATGACATGAACGTAAGTGCCATTTTTTGAGGTAGAATTTGAGCCTGAAGAAGAGTCTGAGGAGGACCCTGAGGAGGAATCTGATGAGGAATTTGAAGAGGTACTATTAGTGATATTAATCATATTTGGGTCAAAATTTAATACTGGAATCGTTAAAGAATGGTAAGCAGTGTGATTTAAAGAAATTGGAGCTGAGGTAGTTAAGTCAATCAAATTAAAAGAAATAATTGAAAAAGTTGCATTTTTCTCACTAGGGATAGGATCATAGCTTACAAAGCTTGTCCCTACATGTGTATAATTACTTAAAGAATCTGTAATATTCGGATCTAGTACAACTGAGGCATCTTTTATAATTGTTGTCCAATTCCCTAAGCTGCCAATAGTTTGGACTGATACTTCTGTGTTCACTTTTTCGCTGCTAAATTGTTTCGTCTCTTCTTTAGACATCCCTGCTAATGCCATTCCATGAATTTTTATCATATTATTATCAACTTCATGCATCAGTTCAGTATGATTTTTAACTTTATCCCCATGAACCTGAAAATTGTTATCTGAAACACCTACAAAGGTCTGTGTATCCGCGTCCTTTATTTTAGATTTTCCATCAATTTTTTCTTTTACGTGATTAATGCAATCCCCCACCTTTTTTACATTATCATGAGTGTTCACATGTGGATTTTTCGTCATAGAGTCAAGCATAGCTCCTACAGATTTCGCTGACTCTATTCTTTGTATTTGAACAAAAAATCGTTTAAATTCAGGAAATTAGCTCCTCTTTTCATTCGAAAATAATTTTATGGAATAAAAATAATAAATTATGTGGGGATAGCATTAAACCATTTGAAATCTTAAATTTCTCGTATCTTGCTTATTTTAAAAAAAAATTTGGTTTTTTTATATCAATAAGTTTATTTATTTTTTTTTACTTAAATTAAAACACATTTTTTGGTTTCAATTTAAAGAAGGGAGTGAGTCACCATCGTTTGGGTCCATTGCATCAGTATATTTAGAAATCGCGCCCATAGAAATATCATATGCATTCTGTATAGAATCATCTAACGCTGTATAGTTATTATCAGTTATATATTCTCTATTAGGAAATAATGCGGCGATTTGGGAGACGAATAAAGGGATCGATAAAGGCGGGGTTGTATCTGAATTTATTTGTTCTGTAATACTGCTAACTCCCTCTATAAGCGAAACAAATCCATAGCTAATTCTATATTTTTAAACAAATTGCTTTTAAAAATAAATTTTGCATATTAAATAAATATTTTCTTTGCAATTGGGATTTTTTCAATTTTCGAAAAAAAATTCATAATAATAAATTTTAAAAGAAATTACCTCGCTCCTTAAACAAAAAAAATTTTTTTGTTCGCTCACAGAGGGGAGTAAGGGCTTTCTCTGTGTCTAAATCAGGTTGTAAAGAGACAGATACTACAGATGTTACAGTAGTTACGGCTGATAAAGAATCATAAATGCTAGCTGAAATGATAATTCCATTACTGGAATATGCGAATTGTGAATAAATAATTGAGGTAAGATTTTTTGCATTTAGGGTTTGATAAATATTATTTATATAATACCCAAAAGAGTATTGAAGCGGCAAGTCACCATCAGGGTCTGTCCAATCCAATGCTGCAATTGTAAAAATGGTGCTCATTTCAATCCCTGAGTTTGGAGTCACTTTTAAATATCCGCCGATTGGGTTTTGATTCACAGAAAATGACCAAGAAAAAGGAAATTCGCCATTTATAAGCGCTTGCAAGGTATATGACTGTCCTTGCAATAAAGAGCCTTCTTTTATAACTAAAGCTGCACTATTTAAAGGTGTCACTATTTCAATTGATGAGCCTTTTACTACAGACCATAAAACAGTATCTTTATCAGATAGCCCTTGAATTCCTATACGGTAAGCTGCATTTGGGCTTGGCTTACCATAAGCAACAGTTTTCTCATATATATTTATAGCTGGGACTGTTTTTTGTATACAAGTAATTATAATAGATTTTGATGCTGAATTTGTACTGTGGATAGGATTTCATGGACTTTTGGTAATTTTTAGCGTAAATGTATAAATTCCTCCTACATTTAATGAGTTTGTAGGTACTGTCAATTTTATTGCTGAGGTGTCCTGTATAATATTTGAGCAGTCAGAAGAAGAAACGGTATTATGCGTTGGCATGATTTAGTATGGTCTCTACACATTGGGGCATTTTCCCACGTGTGAAAACCAAAATCCCATATGTAGAGTTTCTACACTTAAGTGCTCCACATGTGGAATTTTGGTTCCCTAATGTAAAAAATGTCAAATGTATGGAGACCGTGTGAAATTATGCTAACGCATAATACAAGTTCATAGGTAAATCATACTAGATTTTGTACCATCAGGATCATAAGAACCACTTGCATCAATAACAAGCTGCTGATTAACTCCTATTTGTCCGTCAGTTCTGTCAAATAAAATTATCGGATCGCTTGAGTCTGTTTGGCTCATATATTTTTTAATTAAAAATGATAATAATTTTTATTTAATTTTTCTTTTTAAGCATTTTTTTCCCAATTATATTTACGCCATTAATTTGCCCAATGTTTGGATGGTTAAATCTGCGTCGCCTTCAAGCTTATTTACAGAATCATAGCCATGGACATGAAATGTGATAGTCGATAAAGAAGGCAGGACTCCTGGAGGAATAATCAAAGTAAAGCTTGATAATTTATTGCTGCTTCATAAAGAAGTTTCGTCAATGCTTGTCATGTTATTTGTGACTGATGCAATTGACCAAGTAATTTTTAAGCTGGAAATCGTGGCACATGCAGAAATTGAGCTTATTGAAAGAGAGTATGATTTAAGTCTTGAAATTGTTTTTGCGATTGTACTGTCAAATGTAATAGATAGCTTTGGAGCAGCAGTTACTTTAACTGTTTGTGTTATAGATAAAATGTTAAAAGGATTTTTTACTTTAATTGATACAGTAATGATTGCTTCAACTAATTTACTTTGTGGAATAGTAATGCTTGCAAAGGTTGAACTATATTCTGTAGAATAGGAAGAAATGGTAGCACTTGCAGGATCAGAAGAAATATCTCACTTATACTGCTCATTAGGCCAGCCAGGATCAGTTATCCCATTCAATATAAGATTTTGGCACATAATAATTACTTCCGAAGGGGCTAAAAGTGCAAACTTAGGCATAGGTGATGAAGATGGATCTGGAATAGGCACTTGGACTGTTACTGAAGGTGTATCACAAGTGTCTGCACGGTTTTTTAAAGCCCCAGCTATAAATACTGCAGATCCTCCTCCAAAAGTATAGCCTTTTCCTAAATTTACCACCAATTTTGTAAAGTCAGTATTAAAAATACAAGTCGGGCTATACCCAAATGCAGAATAAGTCGAAGAATCAAATAAATTGGTGCATCCACTACTAGACCCATCAGCAGCCACAGTAAAAGAGAATTGGATTTTTAAAAAATCTGTGGAAAATGAAGCAGTAATAGAGCTGCTTGATATAGCAGGTGTACATGGGCTTGTATCACAACCGTTAAAAACTCCTGAGATGCTACAGCCACTTTGGCAATCTAAGCCGCAAGGGCTGCAATTTTGGATCCTTATACAGTATGAGCAGGTGGTTTGACAATTAGCGCAGAGACCATTATCATCTACAAATTGGTTGACTGTGCAATCAACAAGACATAAGGGATCTAAAGATTTTGGACAAGTAATTTGGTTGCCTACAGTATAATCGTTAGGCCATGCATATGTGTCTAGACCTGGAACATAAATTAATTGAAATATTCACCCAACAATGCCATTTCCAATTCTTAGGTCGTCGTAAGAAGGATCATCATAGTGGTATAGAGAGCCAGCAATGGTAGTGCCTGAAATCCCGATATTATTTGTATATACTGTGGTTGTGTATAGGTATGTGCTGTAAGAAGTAAAGCTATAAGCTTGGGTAATTTTGATAATATTTCAAGTATTGTCACCTATACTCATCGTAGCTAAAGTTTGGGTTTGAGAGAATGTTTCAATGCAGTATATTCTACCAAATAAAATATACCCTCCACTAGTTATTTTAATATGCATTGACATTTCTCCACTATTATTTCTTTTACTTAGAAGATAATTAGAACCTTGTGAAGAGTCAACTTTAATCCAAAATATTCATGTATGGTCAAATGAAAGTAAAATCGACCCTGAACTTTTACTTAAAAATACTTCTGAATTCGGAAAGTAAAGTCCTCTTTGAATTCCTGGTAATGGCAAAGTTTCCGGGTTGTTATCAATATCAGGTCCGTGAAAAGCATAAAGACTTGGATTATCAGGGTCACCGATTGCGTATTTAAATTGGTGAAAATTAAATATCAATCTCTTAGTGGAATCTGGGGCTGTGCATGTATAAGGGTTGTCACTGCTAATTGGAGCAGAAGGTATTCAAAGCGTTGGGCATTGGCTCTTACAAATGTATTGATGTAAATAGCAGCTTGTACATGCTAAAAGACTATAAGTTCATGCTTCCTGGCCAGAGCAGGTCATCAAGTAGCAATAATTGGAATTAGAGAATGAAAATAAGAAAAGCAGTATAGGTAAACTGGAGAAGATAGTTATTTTCATTTATTAATAATCTTTCGCCAAAAATCAAATAAAAATTTTCATATTATTATTCGAGGAAATATTGTGATTAAATATAAAACTATTTCTTCTGAAAATAGAAAACAGTGGAAATTTAAAATGAATAAACAGTTTCATGCTAAATTTATTTAATAAATAAAATACTGTTATTTTTACAAGCAGTATCTGAATAATCATATCATTACAGGTTTTTAGCATATTTAGCCAAGCTATTTAATTGAATAAGATAAATATTGATATTTAAGAATCATGAGCTTTTTTTAAGAAATATGCCAAGACTATTCAAGGTTTTTTTAAACGCGAAGTATCTAGTTTTAAAAAAAATCACTGCAGTTTTGTATAATTAAATTCAAAATTTTACAAAAGCATGCACAATTTTACATATCATTTGCTTTGATCTCATCTTGGCTTCTGCATTCCAAAAAAGACATTGCTAGAAACTTTAGAATTTTCACACTTTGAATCATTTGCTTTCAAAAAGAGATTTATACAATTCGCTATATTTTACAGTTTTCTCAGCTCCCACTATTTTTATTATAAATGTCTTATAAATTTTTACAGTCTCAAAATCGAGACCGTTCACGCCGCCAACAAAACCCTCAAATCCCTACCAAATCATTCTCATTTATTGTCACAAAGTCTGCAAACCCTTCAAACCCCACCCAGCAAAATTTTGCAACCAAGCCTAAACAAATTCAAAATTCGCCTAATATAAATCCTCGAAATCTCGAAGCAGGGAAATATCTCTATATAAAAAACCAAAAATTAATATCAAGTCAAGACAATTTAATTCCTTCAAATGAAAAAGTCCAGTCAATTCCTTCATATGACGATTTATGTCAGCCTGAAAGCTTAAGTAATCATGAATCTGATCATAGTTTATTAATAAGTGATAGGCTTGGCCACGTTACAGGAGTGGATTCTTACTCACATTTGAGTACTGAAGAAGCTAAAGTATTGACTCAAGTAAGAGATCAGCAACCTAAAGCTGAACTGAGAAGCTCGCCAATTATTTTTTCATCAGTGTCATCAAGGCACTCAAGTCCAAAAAAAGTTGATAGGTAGATTTTATTTAGTATTGCTCAAAAAACTAATGAGCTTGAAGCTATATTTAAAGAAGAAATCGAAAAATACAAAAAACTTGAAAAAATCTATAACGACCTATTAGAAAAGCATACAGAATCTGAAACGAGCAACGAAAAGCTAATCCAAAACCTTTCTAAAGAGATAAACCGCTTAAAAACTCATCAAGAGCCAACAAAACCTCAAGAAAATCCTACACTTTCTTTAGTGTTAGAAGAAATAAAGCTTATTAAAGAGAGATTGGATATTATTGAAAAATCTCAATAATAATGATAAACTAGTTAGTTACAGGCTCCAGATTTTTGGCTTGTCTAAACAATGCATCTTCATCACATTGAAAATCTTGTGCTTTTAAATATTGATAAAGCATTTTTATTGGATGGAAAACCAGGATTTGTTGTTGGTAGTTAGTTATTCTTTCCAGCACATCTGCAGTCGCTTTATGTTTGCTTACATTAATTAGCCCTGACTCAAGCTTATCTTTTCTTCTTATATCATTTTGGTTCAACTCTTGTCTTAGGGCTAAAAAACATGGGACTTTGCAATTATTCGTAACCATTTCTTGTCTGACAGCAACAAAATTTGAGTCATAAATTTCTTCTAGTTTTTGCCACATGCCTCGATGGGTTGCGCTTTTTTTGACTTCTTTACAAGTAGCATCCAGTGCTCTAATAGTGTCACTTTTTAATGCTGAATTAATAATAAAAGGGCTCTCAAAATTATTTATCACGGTTAAACACTCTGTCGCAACTTCTAAAAGCTTTTTAACAATTTTTACTCGATTATTAAAATCTGATTGTGACACAATAGCATTCAATATCAGCCCCCTACAGCTAGCAAACCTTTTAGAAATCGCTAAAACATTTGGAGCTAGAGTTTCTTTATCATTTTTTTCCCAATTCCTCGATAAAAGTTCTCCAATGCCTACAGCTTTAAGCATATCGCTTTCTATAAGCGACAATTGCCTCGCTATACAATTTTAATTAAATTACCAATCAAAAATATTTTAAAACTTTATAGTAAAATTCAAAGCGAAATTTTATATTTCTGTTGGGCTTCATAGGAGAAGTGGCTCCATTTTAAAGTCAATTTCTTTAGGTAGCTGTGGCGGAGGAGGCTCTCTTAAATCTCCAAATGTAACTTTATATTCTTTTTCTTCTTCATCTAAGCTCGCTAAAGATTGTAAAATAGGTTTGCAGTTATTTTTAGTAAAGGTGTCTGATGTAGAGTCTCTTAGGTCTTCTAAAAACCGTTGAAGCATAGCTTTGATGCCTTTTTGTTCCTTAAAATGCATAGGCCATAATTTTATTCATTTTTTTTAATATTATTTTTATAGTGAATTTCCCAATAATTTTTTATTATTAACATTTACCTTATTTTTATAAAAAAGAATAAGCTTGCAACCTTGCTTTGGATACTCCTGACTTTTTTCATTTGAAAAGTTTTAAATTCACTTGCACTCATAAGCGGTGGGATTGGAACTCTATGTCTTTGTATTAGAGCTTCTAATAGCTCTTTCGGAGAAGAATATATAGGAAATGTATAAAACACGATATTAGATAATTCAGTAGTTCCTTCATCAGTGATTTTTTCAATTAATTTCAAAAATGTTGCACCTACAAGTTCTTGGTCTGGAGAAAATTCTACGTTAAAAGGAGAGTCTGGCTCATCAAACTTGTAGACAGAGTCTTTTGATTTTACTGTAAAAATATCTCGGCATAGCTCACGAAAATGTTCTGGTAAGTAATCTAAGTTTCTTTCTAAATCGTCGTCAAGAATATCTACAGGCTCTCCGTATTCTTCTTCCATACGGGCATTTTCTTCAATCAAAAATTGGAATAATTCAGTAAGATCTCGCCCGTCTGAAAGTTTTACCTGTATATTCCCTAAACTAGACATTTTATTACAGAAAATTTCAAATTTTTAGCTTAAATTTTAACCTTTTTAACTACTTGCAGAATAAATGTAATTAAAATTAAATTTTTTAAACAAAAATTAGTTTTAAGTTAATTTTTAATTAATAGAATATGGATCAGCTGAAACTTATATATAAAATTTCATAAACAAAATGGACAGCGGCTATTGACTTAAAGAAATAACTTACGAGGGCAGAAAATACAAAATTCTATTGCAAAGCTATAATGGTCCTTGCCCACTTTTGGCAATTGCAAACGTATTGATTTTACGCGGGGAATTAAAAATCCACTCAGATTATTCTAATGTTACACATGATATGTTAACTTCATTAGTCGCCAATGTGATAAGCAATTCTGATCCAAATTTGCAGCGAAAAAATACCTTAGCAGAAGTCGCTGCTTTACGCGTAGAAAATGCTTTGATCCTTCTTACAACTTTACAAGTAGGTCTAGATGTCAATGTGAGATTTAATGATATTCATGGCTTTGAGCATACCCCAGAAAGCGACGTATTTCTTTTGTTAAATATTCCTTTATTACATGGGTGAATTGTAGACCCTCAAACGGAAGCTTCTCGAGCTATTGGAGATTTAAGTTACAATCAGCTTCAAGAAGTTTTAGTTAGCTGCATAGAAATAGAGGGAAAACAAGTTATGACGAAAGAAGACTGAGAATTAAAAAACAAAGGAAAATTAATTGAAGAGTTTTTAAGTAACTCAGCAAGCCAATTAACTGAAGAAGGACTGAAACGGTTAAAAACAGAATTAGAAGATGGGAAATTATATGTCTTGTTTAGAAATAATCATTTTTCAACACTTTTAAAAAGAAAAGGTGAAATTTATTTGCTAGCTACAGATTTAGGATTTAGAGAAGCCAAAAAATTCGTTTGGGAACATATGGATGCCATATCAGGTAACAATAAATGGTGTGATTCAGAATTTAATGAAGTAGAAGAAAGCGAAGTTATTTCTTTTAACTCAATGAATCAGCAAAGCCCAGCCCCACACCCAGAAAACTATGAAGAAAATATGCTAATAGATGAAGCAAAACAAAAAAATATTGAAGAAGATGCAAGCTTAGCTTTAGCATTAGCCTTAGCTTATAATGAAGAAGAATGAGAATCTGACGAAATAAAAAAAAATAATGAAAAAGAAATAGAAGAAATGAAGAAAAAAGAAGACGAAAATAAGAAGATAGAAGACGAAAAACAAATTAAAGAAGAATTGGACAAGAAAAAGAAAGAAGAAGAAACCAAGAAAAAAGAAGAAAATAAAAAGAAAGAAGAAGAAATCAAGAAAAAAGAAGAAAATAAAAAGAAAGAAGAAGAAAGCAAGAGAAAAGAAGAAAAAGAAAAATCGATAAAAGAAAGTAATGATAACAAAAAAAGAAGATCAAAGAAAAATGAAAGTAATGAGTCAGGACAAGTGAAAAAGAAAAAAAGCAGGGCCTGCAGCGTTTTTTAGGTAGTTAATAATTTGCGATAATAAATTAATTAATTTCTGAAAATTCATTTTGTCATAATTAAATTGTTAAGAAAACCAAAAATATAGAAATATGGAGCCAGACCCTAAAAAATTAGGTGAATCCTTAGAAATAGCAATGAGAGAAGGAAACTTCACTGAAGCTTTAAAACTTATAGATGCCTTACAAAGCACAGGTGCTGAGGTCAAGTTTAAGATGGTACCCAAAATGCGTCAAAAAATCCCTTCAGCTCCTATACAAAAAAGACCTGCTAATAAAGAGCCGCAAAAAATAGATCCGCCCCCTTCAAATGGTTTACTAGAAAATTATCCGTGAAATAATCAACCAAAAATTCCCAAGAAAAATGATATTCATGAAAAAATTCCACCTCAAAAAATAAATGACCCTCAAAATAACCTTCAACAAATTCCACCTCAAAAAATAAATGACCCTCAAAATAACCTTCAACAAATTCCACCTCCTCCTTTAAACAAAGTATACAACCCTCCTCCAAATCTTGCTCAAAATTTTCAGCCTGTGAATATTGCTGAAGCTCTAGATTCTGGTCTCCCTGATTTGCCTTATGGTTTACATCAAATTAATCCTATGGCAATTCCTAAAGCATTTTTTAGACCTCCTGAACCTCTTAGAAATCCTGAACCTCCTGGACCTGGTATATTTCCTAAGGCTCCTCCAGTGCCTCCATCTCCTAGCTATCATGATCCTAATTTAATGCCTCGATTTTCTGAGCCTGCCTTATATAGACCTTTTGAGCCTGCTATATTTCCTAGACCATCTGAGCCTATCTGACCTCAAAAAGCTCCTGATCTCAATAGACAGCCTAATCCCGCTATATTTCCTAAAGCTCCAGAACCAGCTCAAAAGTCTTTTGAGCCTATTAAGCCCATTAAGCCACCTCCAAATCTCCTCGTTCAAAATAACACACTTATAATCCCACAACAAAAAAATCCAGGCCCTCAAGATTTTTTCCAAAATTTCGAACATCCTCAAGCAAAACTCGCAAATATAAATATTCCTAATGAAATAGAAATACCTGAGGCAGATAATCCGTCTCCAAACAAATATTTAGACGATAGTCCAGAAGCAAGGATGAAAAAACTGCAAGAAAATACTGAAAAAATCTATAAGACATTATTAGAGTGGGGATGTGATGAAGAAAAAGCAAGAAAAATATCCAAACAAGTAAGCACCATTGAAGCAGCAGGGGAAAAATATTTTGGCTAGTTTAATTATAAAATAAGATATTTTGCTAAGAAATGGTCTAGATTATTTTTGATTAATAAATTGGTGAAGAATAAATTAAATTTGAAGCCTTTTCTGTGCCAAAGCTGACCTATTTTTATGGTTATTTTTCATTTGATTTTCCAGAAAATCAGGAAATCCTGGGTTTGGGATCAAATTTATATATTGCTGCAGTCTGATGCTCCCTTTTCCAGGCTCAGATAGTCTTCTTTTTTCTTCCAAAACATCAGAAATTCTATATAATTTTTACAAATTTACTTCAAAATCTAGTGCAGGACAAACTTTTGTCTCTTCAGTCGCAATTAATGATATAAACTCAAGGACACTTACCTCTCTATCACCATTTATATCAAATATGTCAAACATCCTCTGGTGGACTGTTTCTTTCTAATTAAAATTTACATCATAATACCCTTCAATATAATCTATAAATTCCCATATGCTTACACTCGAACTGTTATTTATTGACATTCTGTTAAAAATTCTTTGGGTTATTGTAGGACAATAACGGCCTAAAATGATAGGAGAAGCTTCTTTAAAAGAGGCAGAGGTTACATGAAAAATCCTGTCGTTACATATAGAGTCTATATCACATGCCAAAAGGAAGGTAGATGCTGCGTATTTAAGAAGGTTTATATCAAAGCCAGGCTTAAAATCGTAGGATTTTAGCTCAGGTTTTAAAAGAAGCCATTGAGTGTCTAGGATTTTTGAATAATTTAAATAATTTGAAGAAATTCTTTTGACTGAAAGCTCGTTTCCAAAAGAAATTACTTTGTATTTTGGGAGGTTAAAGTGGTTGCATAAAAAAGCTGCGGAAAATTCGCCTAGAAGAATGTAGGAAATTGCCAGGAGAATATCAGGGAATTTTTGGGTAAAAGGCAGCTTTATATGCTGTGCTGGATTAAGCTTGGTGTCTGTTTTTATCTCTTTTTATATATGTTTTATTAATAAATAATTATATAAAATTCTTTAAATTTTACAGTAAATTGCTCTTGATTTTTCATATCAGGCAATGATTGTGAGCTTAAATCCATAAATTTTGAAGTATTTTCATGGCATAAAGGAATTATTCCATTACTCATAGCAAATATATCATTTGTTATAAATGGAAAAAAGGGGCTCTCAAAATAAATAAAAATATCTTTTGCTGAAATATCAGTCCCACTATTCCTATTATAAATTTCAAAACAAAGTTTTAACTGATTTGACAAAATATTTGTCAAAATATATGTTGATATAAATTCTTCGAAAAATTGCTCATTAAAGGTGGGGTATCTTTTAAAGAAAAATTTGTTAAGAGGCTCTGCTAATACAGAACAATAGCCTTTTTGGTTTATATAATTAATAATTCTTGGGTCTTTATGCTTTAGTAGCAATTTTTTTGGGGTTGAAGAGTTAATTGTCGAAAAAGCTGATTGAATTTGTTTCCGGATATCACTACTTACCTGTATAGGGATATTTGGAAGTATCGAATTTAAATGTCTTGCTACATGCAGAAACAGTGTAATATGTTCATATACAAAATCATGCTTTATTGGTGAAATTTTCTTATTATTAGGAATATTCCATTCAGGGCTTTCTAAAGGGTTTATTTTAGAAAATAATACATATAGAGTACAGGAGATCACAGAAATTCTATTTTTTCTGAAATATTTAGTATTGACAATTCCTATTCTTACACTATAAGGCAAAAAGACAGAAAAAATAATTTGCTATCTTGAGAATTTATTCAAAAAGGCTAGGCTTTTAGGTCTAATGGCCATAATCTAATTAATTTAATTTATTCTTACACGGTTTATAGCTTGTCCTCGTGATAACGGAGATGAATTAGAAATTGCTCTCCTATGATTTTTAGGCTGATTTATAGGACTTCTGAATAGGTGAGTTGTATTTCTTATTCTTATATTTTTATTTCGAGATTTAAGCATCGCTGTACGGTCAAAAGAAGGGAGCTCAGAGTAAATAAAATCCTTGTAATGGAGAAATCCTTCTTTTTGCGTATATAGGCCTATTTTTTTAAGTTTTGATTTTATTTTTTTGCGGTTGGTGGGTCGAAGAAGCATATCGGTGAGCTGAAGCTTTACAAAATCTTCTTGGCTTTGTCGTAAAAAATCCATTTTTTAAAATCAGATAAATAACTTTTAACTTCTTATGAAACCTCTATATAAATTTTCTATCAGAATTAATCTTTTATAATTTTTAAATATGGAATTAATTAATTGAAGACAATTTATATCTTATTTAGCTATTTTAGGCAAATAAAACAAAAACAAGATAAGAAAATAAAAAAATTAAAAAGCATCCCTATTAATTTCAGAATTATCTTAAACTGATTTCCTAATAAATTTATCTTTATATCATTATATTTAATAAAAAAATCTACTGGCTTACTTCTGCACATTTGGTAATCATAATTATCTGCGTTACAAAATAAAACTACCTCATATTTTATCTCTTTTCATAAAGCATTAATATAATGGAGACTCAAAGACTTAAAACCAAAGTAGAGCTATTCATTAGTGGGAGAGCCCTTAAAAACCTCGACACTTTTAGTAAATCTGACCCTTACTGTGTTGTCTCAATGTTCGATCCAACCTCAAACACTTACCTTGAAGGGACAAGAACAGAGGTGATAAATAATAATCTCAACCCAGACTGACAAACAACAGCGACCGTTGACTATTATTTTGAGCTTCAGCAAGCAATTCGCTTTACTGTTTACGACTATGATGACAGACACCATTCAGACCTGATAGGAACATTTGACACAACACTTGGATATATCGTGGGAAAAGGCACAACAATCGAAAATATTAAAACAGCTAAAGGCCATCGAGCTGGAAAACTTATTATTAGAGCTGAAGAGGTCAGGGAATCCAGGGATATCATTTGGATGCAATTGTGTGCACATCATGTAGATAAGATGGATTTTTTTGGAAAAAGTGACCCTTATTTGATTTTTTATAGGGTGAGAGATGATGGGACCTGACTGAAAGTACATAAGACTGAGACGATAAAAAATACATTGAATCCTATATGGAAACCTTTTGAGATCTCAGCCCAACAGCTTTGTAATGGGGATGAATTAAAACCATTAAAAATCGAATGTTGGGATTGGGATAGAAACTCCTCAGACGATTTTATAGGAAGCGCCGAAACCACCCTACAAGAGCTCTTAAACCAAGGCAAAACTTTAGACTTAATTAACCCTGAAAAACGAAGCAAAAAAAAATACAAAAATTCCGGCGTCTTAGAAGTCCAGCAGGTTTCAGTCAGAAAAGTGTACAGTTTTATTGACTATTTAAGAGGAGGGACTCAATTTTCGCTTATGGTTGCTATAGACTTTACAGGGAGCAATGGCGATTATACAGATCCTAGGTCTTTGCATTACTTAAACCCAAATGTCCAGAATGAGTATGAAAAAGCTATATGGGCTGTTGGGGCAATTTTAGACAATTATGACCCTAATAAAATGTACCCAGCCTTTGGGTTTGGTGGCAGGACACCATGGAATAATGGACAAGTCGATCATTGTTTCCCATTAAACGGAAACAGACAAAACCCATTTGTCCCAGGAATTCCTGGGATTATTCAATTTTACCATCAAGCTTTATCTCAGGTTGGTTTATCAGGGCCGACTTTGTTCCAGCATATTATAAGAAATGCTATAAATATAGCGATGTCAACCCCTAGGACCCAATTTTATCATGTTTTATTGATTTTGACGGATGGGGAAATACATGATATGGACCAAACTATTGCTAATATTGTAGAAGCAAGTAGCTTGCCATTAAGCATTATTATAGTAGGCCTAGGAAATGACGATTTCAGGAACATGGAAATTTTAGACTCTGATGATGCTTTACTTACTCCCCCCCCCCCTCCGTGAGCGAACAAAAAAATTTTGTTCGCTCACGGAGGGGGGTTAATTTTTTTTTTTAAAAAAAATTTATATATAAATTTTATAAAAAAATATTTTTTTCGAAATTTAAAAAAATCCTAATTTGCAAAAATTGGGAAGCAAATATTAATTTAATTTGCAAAATTTATGTTTTAAAACGCAATTTGTTTAAAATTAAACAGAATTAGCTCTAGATTTCATTATACTAATTATCACTTATATATCAAAATTTTTTTCCATTAAAATTTTTTCTATTAAAAAAATTTTTGTTCACTCACGGAGGGTGGGTTTTTGGTCAAAAAATGGCGATTTTTCTAATGGTTTTGTTCGCTCACGGAGGGGGGGGGGAGTTAGAGATAGAAATGGCCGTCAAGCTGTTAGAGATATTGTCCAGTTTGTGCCGTTTAGAAAATTCGGAGGGAATCCTTATTTGCTTGCACAAGAAGTTTTGGCAGAGGTGCCTAAACAGATTACAGGATATATGACAAGCATTGGACATATACCGATAATACCTGAATTAGTGCCTATGAATCAATTGCAAGCTCAGAATACGATTAGACCTGTAGAAGCTGATCCTGAAGCTCAATATATGGGCTCGCAAAGTGAGAGATCTAGCTATCCTCATAATATGCCTCCACAAACTGAAAGATCAGGTTATCCTCAAAGTATGCCTCCACAAACTGAAAGATCTGGGTATCCTCAAAGCATGCCTCCACAAGGAATAATTCCTCAGCAAGGTCAATATCAAAATATGCCTCCACAAGGAATAATACCGCAACAACCGCAATATCAGACTCTGCCACCCCAAATAAATTCAGCTCCTTGTGCGCCTCCCGAAGAAGAAAGTCCATAATTTCTATTATTAAATCTTATAAAAATAGAATATTTTTATAAAAAACTTACTTGCCATAAGAAAAAATTTTAAAAATTTATATATAAAAATTTCTTTAAATAATTTAATTTAATAATATAGTAAAAAATTAACAAAAACCAATTTTCTATTTCAAAATTGGTCCAATGCTCTTTACTAGAAAACATATTTTGGAGACAGAATTTTTCTGTTAATTGACCTTATTATATAAATTTTATGTGCTTAGTATGCAAACTTTTAAAATTAAACAGAATGAGTGAGGTTTAATTATAATTATTAATCATATATAAAAATATTTATCAATAAAGTTTTTTTGGTCGTAAGAGCTATTTTTTAAAAAATTAAAATTTTCTTTATTATTCTCATAGAGGGATTCAGTAAAATTATCAAAAATATAATTTAGCGTATTTTTTTATTTTTTAATTATTCTTCTACTGGGCTAAATATTGTTTTCTGTAGCTCTTCACCTCGTATTGTAACCTGTACAACCATATTGATTGCCAAAGCTTCTTCTTCCCCTTGGCGTAGTGCAAACACCAGCAACCCTGTCGTCATTACCTGAGATTTTGACAAATTCAGGGCTTCTACATTAATTCCTGGAAGAGTCACACTTAGTGTATTATTCCCTGCTAAATAATTGCAATTAGGGATCATCAGCATATCTTATCTTATTATATATCGTTTAACTGTGCCCAGGGCTACCACCATCTTTTTCACCAGTCGGGCCATGGACTTCTGGGTCGATTCACTTTGTTTCTCCAGGACTGGTTCCAAGCTTAATGTCCCGGCTTCGACGGGCTGCGTTGCCTCGCTCCCTTACTCGGCTTGCTCGTGTTCCGGCTTTAAGGTCAATCCTCCTCGGATTGGTCGAGCAGAAAAACACTATGCCTTCCACTTCCCTTGGATCAGAAGTATAGCCACCACTAGGCTTGCCTGGTGTAGACGGGATAGGATTCACTGTGGAAACTGAACCTCATAATCAAAATATTGCTGAAAGAGAAACAATTAGCGGAGCTAATTAGTTTCGACATTTGATTATCGATCATCAGCATATCAATTGTTTGCCTTCTTCTGACTGTATCAACAATATAAAATATCTTCCAAGATGCTCCTATAATATCGCGTGGGTTTCTTCAGGATAAATCAATTTGGACTTCTCCGCCTAAAGGAGAAACTTCTGGGGTGATTCTAGCAGCCTCAAGGGTGATTTCTTCAGGTTCCATATTAATCAATATATAAATTTAATAAATCTCTATTATAAGTATTACCAATTTCTTTTAGCTTATCTCTATAACAAATTTTTATGCTCCTTATTTCTTTTATTAAAAAATTAATTTTCATTATCATTTATTAAATTTTCTTACTCCCGCCTGTGAGCTAATAAAACCATTAGAAAAATCCCTATCTGCCTAAAAATCGGGATGACAGGAAAAAACCCTAGGGGGTTTTCTCCTGTCCCTTTTTTTTTCTGATATAAATGACTGAAAACTAGAATTCCTGGAATTTTCCAGGAAAAAAACCCCAACGGTAATTTTTGAAAAATTTGCAAACCATAATGGAAAAAACCCATCCTCAAAAAAGTCCATCCTCAAAAAAGTCCATTATCGAATTAAAGTCATCATAAGTAGATATAAAGCCACAAAAATTCAACTGCAAAGACTAATCACATAATCAATTCTAAAATCTTATTATCAAAGAGAAATGAATAAAGTAAACAAATAGCATCTAAATTAATACTTGAGTTCAACAGTAGTAAATTTTTGATTCTCAAAAACAGCAAGTAAAAACCCTAATAAAAAATAAATCATTAATACAATTGCATAAGAGAGAGTCATCAAAAAGAGTGATAATATAGGAAAATAGATATCTACAGCAAGAATACATCAAATACTTGATTATTAGAATCAAAACTCATAATAAATTATAATTGTTATATGATATTAAAAAGCAAATAAATAGGAAAAAAAAACAGGAAAAACCCTCATTAGAAATTTTGGCTAAAAATTTCCAGGAAAAAACCCCTAGTGATGTTTAGGTACCAAAAAAATTGCAGGAAAAAACCCCAATGGTGATAAAATCCTGGAAAATTCCAGAAAAAACCCCTGACTCCCCCCCATTATTTTTTATGTAAAAAGTTTTGATATAAGTTAAATGTTTCTTCTTAACTAAAATTATGAATTTAGTTATATCTTGCTCTTCTTTATAGAAGAGAGTATAAAGAGCATCTTATTTAAATAAATTTATATCCTTAATTGCTAAATTTTTAAAACAATTTCCATATTTTTTTTAAAAATTTTTTATTTTTTTAGATAAAAATAACATTTTTTATCTAAATCATTTTGATATATAAATTCAATGCGAATTCTTTACAAAAATTCAATATTTAATTTATTTCTTGCTTTAGTTTAAGAATAGAGTATAAATAACATTTATTTAAACAAAATAGCACTTTGATTAATAAATTTTCTAAAATGTCTTTTTATCAATAAAAATAATAATTTTTGCGTAAATAGTTTTGATACCAATCAATAGTGGTACATTAACTAATAATTAAAATTTAGTTATATCTTGCTTTTTGTAATGGATAATGACTAAATAGCATTTTTATTAAACAAATTTATTAATCTAATTCGATAAATTTTTGAATTTTTTATAAATATTTTTTTAAAATTTTCTTAATCCCCTTTTAAATTGGAACAAATTTTTTTGTTCCAATTTAAAGGGGGGAGTGGGAAAATTATAAAAAGTTCGTTTGGAAAATAATGATTTAAAATCCTCTTAACGAAAAGGTTAAGAAATCTAGCACCGTTAATATATAAACATTAAAATACAATAAAACATATGAAATAAAATGAGATAAATGATTACACTATGATACCATTTATCCCATTTCACTATTTCAACTATTTCTCACATATTGTATCCAGCAGATCTTGCATTAGCTAACCTTGTATCATCATTTACCAGCTCACCTTGTACCACCTATAACATATCTGAACTAGCTCATCTTACATCAACCTGCAACACATCCTTTATGGCTTGAAAACATATTTTGATCTCTATGAAACAATACCTGAAGAGGTGCAGTAGCTATCTGAAAAGTCAAAATAGAAATAATAGCTTTATTATGAGAAGTACAGATTCGGCTTGACGAATATTTTCAGTAGAATCCGTTTGTCTAGCCAAACGCTAGTTTAAAATGAAAATAGCCTTTGCCATTTCAGTTTTTCTTTTTTGATATAGCTACTTTTACTCTTTAGGTATTGCTCCATAAAGATTAATATTAATCCTTTAAACTTTAGCAGCTAATATTGTATCCACCTGTGACATATCCTGTTTAGTTCATCTTTAATCAGCCTGCAGCGCATCCTGCACTAACTCACTTTTTATCAACCTGCAGTACACTCACTCTGTACTAGCACATCTTGTATCCACCTGTGACAAATCCTGTACTAGCTCACCTTGTATCAAACTGCAGCTAGGTTTAAGAGCTAATATGATCAAGGTGTAACAATACCTAAAGAGTAAAAGTAGTGATCTAAAGAGATAAATTTAAAATGACAAAGACCGCTTTCATGAAAAATTCACGTTTAGGCTTGATTAACAAAGCCTATAGAAACTATTTGTAAACGTAATCTGTATCGTAATAAAATTGATATTTATCATTATCATTTTGACATATCAGATCGCTACTTTACCTCTTGAGGTATTGTTTCATCGAGATCTAAATGTGTTTTGAAGCTTTGCACCCGATAATATATTACCTTGCATCACCTGCGATTAATCCTGAACTCGCTCTTTAGCAATCTATAGCACATCCTGCACTATATAGCACTATATAGCTCACCTTACACCACCTGTGACACATCCTGCACTAGCTCAGCTTGTGCTAGATGACTTAACCTTTTTAGTGAAGGGTTTTTAAATTACTATTTTTTAAATGAGTTTTTATAATTTTCTCAGGGTTTTTTTTCTGGAATTTTCCAGGATTTTACCGCCATTGGGGTTTTTTTTTCCTGCAATTTTTTTGGTACCTAAACATCACTAGGGGTTTTTTCCTGGAAATTTTTAGCCAAAATTTCTAATGAGGGTTTTTTTCCATGAGTTTTGATTCTAATAATCAAGTATTTGATGTATTCTTGCTGTAGATATCTATTTTCCTATATTATCACTCTTTTTGATGACTCTCTCTTATGCAATTGTATTAATGATTTATTTTTTATTAGGGTTTTTACTTGCTGTTTTTGAGAATCAAAAATTTACTACTGTTGAACTCAAGTATTAATTTAGATGCTATTTGTTTACTTTATTCATTTCTCTTTGATAATAAGATTTTAGAATTGATTATGTGATTAGTCTTTGCAGTTGAATTTTTGTGGCTTTATATCTACTTATGATGACTTTAATTCGATAATGGACTTTTTTGAGGATGTTTTTTTTTTCCTGGAAAAAACCAGGAAAAACACACAGTTGGGTTTTTTCCATTATGGTTTGCAAATTTTTCAAAAATTACCGTTGGGGTTTTTTCCTGGAAAATTCCAGGAATTCTAGTTTTCAGTCATTTATATCAGAAAAAAAGGACAGGAGAAAACCCCCTAGGGGTTTTTTCAGGACAACCCTAAAAATCCACGTGAGCGAACAAAAAGTTTTATGAAAAAATTTTTGATCTATAAGTGATAATTAGTATTATAAAGCTATATCTAATTCTATTTAATTTTAAACAAAATTGCGTTTTAAAACATAAAATTTATTAATTAAATTAATATTTGCTTTCCAATTTTTGCGAAATAGGGTTTTTTTTAATTTTGAAAAAAAAAAATTTATATATAAATTTTTTTAAACCCCCCCAGCGAATAAGATTTTTTTGTTCGCTCACGGAGGGGAGTTATAATTATTTACAAGTGTAACTGATGAGTAACTATGAGCACAAAGACGGAAATCTTGCTATTGATACAGTATTGTAAACTTTATACAGAGCGATCGAAAAGCTTAAATCTCAAAATGAGAAGCTTAGAAATGAGCTAAAAGTTTTAACTCGAGCCCTAGATGAAGCTCTCGACAAACAAAAAAAAGAAGATCGCCAGCGTGCACGCGTTCCAGTCCGCGAAGAACAATTAAACGAAAACGAACAAGAACTTGAAGCTGTCTACTCCCGCATCAAAAAATACAAAAAAGACATCGACGCTATGAAAAAACAGTTAGATGGCAATCTTAACGACGCTAAAATAAAAGATCTAGAAAATCAGTCAAAATATCTCAAAAACAGAATCAAAGAACTGGAAGACGAAAGCTCATCCCTACAAAAAATCGAGCGGGAACAAAAAAAAGCTTTAGACGCCGCTGCAAATTGCCAGGATTATCCACAAAGGGTAGAGTCTTTGATGCAAGAAGTAAAAACGCTGAAAATGCAATATAGAGAAAAATTAAATAAGCAGAAAGAAGATGAAAAAAGACTGAAGGAGCAGCATGAGAAATGTGTGGATTTAGAAGAAAAATGCAGGAAACTGAAAAGCTTGGAAAAGCAGAGGAAAGGGATTGTAGATGAAGATGAGCCTAAGCAGATTGAAGCAAGTGAGAGAGATTTGGAAATTCTTGAGGCGAAAATTAAGGAAACAGAAAATATTCAATTTTAGGGTGTTAAAAAAATTTAAAAAAAATATTTTTTTATAGGAAAAAAATGGAGAGATAAGCGAAATTGGGCATAAGAAAAAAGATGAAGAACAAAGATTGAAAAAAAGGATAAGGGAGTTAGAAGCACATATAAGGGAAAGTAAGCACAATTTGGAACTATTAAAGGTAAAACTTAAAGAAAAAGATCAAGAATGCAGAATAAGCATGCTGAAAATGAAAGAACTAAGAAGGGCTGCACAAAGTCAGCTTAAGCCTCTGCCTAAATTTTCAGCAAGAAAAGAAAACTCAGAAGAAAAACCTCAAGGGAGGCTAAAGTCTCAGGACTCTGAATACAGCCAGTTTTCTAAATCAAGTAACCCTAATAAAGAGCTGGAAAGCCAAAAAGTCTATGAAGACTCCCCACAAAATAAAAGAAAATCCAGCTCATCCAGCTCTTCATCTGATGAAGACAAAAAAAAATCTAAAAAACATCAGCATAAGCATGGGAAATCATAATAATTATAGTTTTTTTTTTTTCCCTTAAATAGCCTATAATAACTATTCAATTTTGCATAAATTAAAGGAAAGTTCTATACTTAAAAGCACTTACACTTTTACGTTGTGGCAATTTTTTATTTTTCTTCCTCAAAGCAGGGCTTGCAGTCTTTAAAAACGGCGTTATGCTGATTGATTCTGGCTCAATTTCCTTTATAACTTTTTCTGTTTCCTTATAGGGAGTCGCTTTACTCTGAAAAGGGGTAAAAAATGTAGGTGGAGGGCTTATTTTTTCAATTTCTGGAAATTTAAATTCAGAAGAAATTGGTGACAAAAAGCTGAATTCTGGCAAAATTGTGGGGGTTTCGATGATACTTTCAGTTTCCTTATTCAGAATTTTTACTTTTTTGGAGGATTTTGATGGGATTTTTTTCGTTTTTGAGTGTCTTGTTAAGAGAATTATGCCGACCTCAAATGAGTTTGGAGTGCTGCCTATAATAGCAGGGGTACATTTGCTGGTTAAAATTGTATAGCTTATAGGTTGTATGTAGCCTCCTCAACCTGTAGGGTTAACTCGGACAGCATAATTTCCAAGTCAACCCCACAATTTAAGTGCCATTATATTTTTCATTTCCCAACTTGTAGGTTTGATTAGGCAACTGATATTGCCGAGTCAACCCTACAGGCTAAGGAGCTCAGGGCAATCCAAAGCAAGCTCTGGCTATATTCTGGTCTTTTGCTAAAGAATAAGAAATAATTCTGCTTCCGTTTTTCTTTATCAGATATTTTCCATGCTTGTCAATTAATCTCAGCAAGCTATTTTGGCTCATTATTCCAAATAAACTGCAATTTTTTAAGTTCTGTTCTGAAATTCCAAAAATATTTTCACATCCAAATCCAACCCATAAGAACCTTCCTTCAAGGTCATGCAAAGATTTTACCTTGGCATCTTTTAACGCTCTATGGTCTGCACTTGCCGAGCATGACTGTATCATGTAATAAATATTTGAAGCTAGAACAGAGCGCTTTAATTGGCCTAGTATTAAAAGTATAGAAATTTCCCATAGATGGCGCTGTTTGCCCTTGATTTGCCCATGAAGAAAATTTTTTGGTTTGACCAAACCATATGGGACTGGTCGAACCAAAAAATTTCCCCAGTGGGCAAATCAAGGGCAAACAGCGCCATCTATGGGAAATTTCTATATCAAATCCCGGGTTGAAGGGTTAGAAAATATTTTGGCAATGTTGTGAGAAGTTGTTAATATGAACTGCAAAGCAAGAAGGCTTGAATCTTTGTCGATGTTGTCAAGGATTTTCTTAAGCTGGTCTTCTAAGGTAGATTCGGTATCCATAAATTATTAGTGTATCTTGAGTATCCAAGTAAAACAAAAAATATTTAATAAAATTATTAAAATTTACACTGAAAAATAATATCATTCATGAAAATTCTTAACGTGAAGCTAACTAAAGGGGGAAGAGAGTATCATGCTTCTATAGCAGTCAGCAAAGATATGCCAGTCGAAGAATTCATGAATTTACTATCTGCATCACTCCCAATTCCTGATTCAATTATAATAGGTTTTAAGGACATTGAAGGAGTTTTAGTTATCCCCAGCTTAATCTGCAGAGAGCCTGAAATCCTCCGCACAGACGACTATGACTTAATTCTCCGTGATAAGTCCCAGCCATCTCGTCCTACCTCTGCAAACCTCAGGCAGCCTGAAGAGCAGCTTTCCCACATCTTGTCCAGCATCCGGCTAAAGTACCACCTTTCAGAAGACGAGTTTACCAGCCTTCGAAGCTGAATCAGAGAAAATAACCGCACAGTCCATCAAATTTTACAAAATTATTTAAGGGAAAATAATGTTGAAGGATTTTCTGACTGAATTTTTAACAGCTCCAGATCACATAGGAAAAATATAGAAAATGACGAAGAGATTAAAGAAGAATTAAAAATAAACAGAAGCCAAGTAAACTTAGAAAGGCCACAGACCACTAGAGCCAATATGAGACCTATGACGAGAGATGACGATATGAGGCGAGGATATCAAAAATATATACAAGTGGTTATAGAGCTAGAACAGAGAGGACTTTTGGACCAAAAAGATTTAGGAGTGATAAAAGCACTTATATTGAGAGACAATAAAGACGCAATGAGGGAGCTTGGCAGCTATTTTATGCATGGGATATCTTTAGATGAGCTGGGGATAAGGCTTCAAAGAGTAGCTGATAAGCTCAGCTCAGGCATGGAGAGGCCGAGTTCTCCAATTCCAAGAAAAAAAGAACTTCACCTACTAGTAGAGTCTTTAGTTAAAGCAAATTTGCCCTCAAAAGAAGATATTGACATTTTAAACAATTTAATAGCAGACGAAAATGAATTTGTATTTTCTGCTTTTGACGTGTTTGAAAGTGACAGAGACCAAGAAGAATTAATTGACTCCTTACTAAGGGCTATAAAAAAACAGAAAAAAAATAATAAAGAGCCATTGCCTAGCAACTCATTTTATCCTGACCCGCCACCTATAGAAACAGCTCCACATACCCAAGAAATTGATTATAATTTTATGTGGAAAATTATTCAGGATTTTAATATAGGCGAAAACTGGAGTTTTGAGCTAAAAGGAACCTTAAAAGCCCTAATGCAGTCTGCAAGTAAAATAATGCAGGTAGCTTTTGAGCAGTTTATCAAAAATGAGGATAATGATTTATTAGAGGAGGAGCTAAAAAACATTGTCAATTTGTATTTTCATGTACTGATGGCACAGTGCTTTACGCCAAGGCATATAAAAATGATAAAAAATCAAGAAAAATTAGGCTCACTAGAAGATATAAGCCAAAAATTCGCAAATGATGGAAATGTGTATAAATTTTTTATAGGGATTATTGAGCTGCTAGATTTAAAAGATGTGCAGAATCCAAGAAATAGAATTTTGGAGCACGTGGCGCATTTGTTAGAAGATAATGAAAATATAGAAGACCCATTAGACGCGTATGATACTTTGACTAATATTTTGTCGAATTCTAAAAATCTATGCTTATTTATACGAATTAACAGCATTTTTTGCTGATAATATAATAAGTAAAGCAGAAATTTTAATTAAATGTAATAGGAATATCAGATTTCAGCCAAATATTGACGAGACTATATGAAGACCAAAATCCAGAATTAATTGGAATTATCCAAAGCTACCACAATGGGGCACCTATTGAAGGAGTTGAAGAAGATTTATTAAAATTAATCGCAAAAAATAAAAATGACGAAGATTTTGGCAGCGATTTAATTGATATTATTCAGTCAGATTTCACAGAAGAGCAGCTATTTTTAATAAGAGATTTAATTTCAAATAAAGACCCATGCCTTTTTGATGCATATGAAAATTATCAAAATTCCAAAAATAAAGAAGAAGATTTAATAAAGGCTTTAATATACATAAAATGGCCGGAGACGAGCGACCCGTCCTTCCGTGGCGGATGTCCTTATGTATACCGGACGTGGTTTTGGATGCGGAGAACTACTCAAGGGAAGAGTTAGCCTCGAGGCGAGAGGCCCAGCCCAATTTCCGCTGATTTTGGGACTTGGCCCGGGCAGCAGTTTTTCGCATTCTTTTTGCCAGTAGCGCCGAGGCCCAGACTCGGTGCCCGAAAGAGGCAGGGTGAACTACCTGCCTAGGCTACTTGGTGGCTTAGCTCCGAATCCCGCAAGGGGTTGAGTTCTTTCTTGGAGATAATCCGGGAAAGAGGGGAGGCGAAGCTCGACACAGATCTCAAGGGCACAAGTCTTTCCAGTCGAAAAGGGTCCCGATCAAAAGGGGCGATCTGGCCAGAGGCGAGCAGGGTTGGGTAGTCATGGCCTCGAGTTGGAAATTGATGGTTCCCAGCAAAATCCGTATGACCCAGATCAGGAGGGAAATTGCCACTACCGAGAAACCGGGGATTTCGGCCCGGGCTCGAGTGCCTTTTAGGGAGCCACCCCGCAGCGGGTCCGCTGCGGAACGCGAAGACTTTGGAAGTAGGGACTATAAACACACAGCTTTAATCTAATTTAATAAAGGCTTTAGGAAGCTTAATAAACACCCCAGACAATGAATTTTTGGTATTTATCCAAGAAAATTTCGACGAAGAAAAACAAGAAAAATTGATAAAAATGATGAATGAGCAGGATTCCAGGCTAAAATCAGCTATAAGCCTCTATGATTTTACAACAGATAAAGACTCTCTTATAGAAACACTAAATTTCCTACTGAGAGAAGACCCTAACTAATGACTTTTGCATAAAATTATCTAACTCCCCCTCTCATTTTAAAATATAAATTTTATTTTTTGTATTAGAATTTATAGAATTATATAAATTTTTAACCCCATCTGTGAAAAAATAGCATTTTTTTGTCTCAAGCAGGAGTAAATATCAATTTTTACTTTCCCTCCCACAATTTTAGCTTCCCCTTCTGTTGCTGAATTTCCTAGCTCAATTGCAGGGGCTTCTCCAGGGTTAAATGCAGGCAGACCTCTATAAGGGCATCCTGCACACCTAAAAGCGTCTCCTAGATGACATCTTCCACAGCTGGAGCTTGGGAGCTCTGAAGGCTTACTAGCGTCTTGCAGCTCTTTAGCTCTACCACATGTGCAGTTTTTACAAGGTTTTGGCTTAGTCAAACAGTCTTGTTTTGAGGAAAGCTCTTTATATTCTTCGTCTTGCTTTAATAAATCGTCTTCATTGATGGATTCTCCAGGATTTTCTATTGCTGAGGTCCAGACCGATTTAAGCTCGACAGCTTCTGTTGAGGCTGGCTTTTTTGCTGAAATTTGGCTTGGTGAAAGGGATATATTTGTAAAGCCTGAAAAAATCAAGGTTCGGCGATGGGTATTAATTTCGTCTTCTGATAGAGGGGATGACAGGTTTATTGAAAAAGTTCCTGAAGGTTGGAGGGCTGTGTAGATAGATTTTATGCGAGCAGATAGATGTGGGAGAATTTCTGAGGTAAAAATAAGCTCTTGGGCTGAGTTTGGAGGCAAACTTACTTCCCCCCGTAATAAGCAAATTCTATAATCCCTTGCATAAATTTCTTTTTGCTTATTTATGGTAAATTGATTTTAAAATGTTAAAAAAATTTTAACATACCATAGACTCAGTTTTATATATAATGGCATGTCAAAATATTTTTGACATTTTAAAATCAATTTACCATAAATAAGCAAAATAAAATATTACCAATACATTATAGCTCATTTGTGGCAAGTTTTTTTTGTTCACAAAATTTCAAAAATAAAATTTATATGAACGAATTGAAATTTGCTTATTGGGGGTAATAGCCAGATTTTTATTTTTATCAATAAGTAATTTTCAATCTATTCATATAAACCCTACGAATAAATAAGAATTTACTTATTACTGGAAAGGAATTAGGAGGTTTGATAACTCAGACATTTATATTATTATAAGCGATGATTTTAAATGTAAATAAGCAAGGCAGCTATATAATGAGCAAGCATCAGCTTATTGAGCCAATTAAATTATTATCAATAAGATAGCATGATTTTTTTTTATCTATGACTTTTCATAACTAGAATAAAATCTCAAAATATGTAAAAATTAATTAAAAATTCCAAAATTAAATAGCAGCATTTAAATTCATTTTAATTAAATAATTCATTAATCAATCCCCAATGAATCATTCTTTCCAGCCTAATCTTTAGCTTTTGCCAAATAAATTCTTTTTCTATATAACTATTAAATGGATAGTAGTTTCTCATCAAGTAAACAGCTTCATGATTTTTTTAAAGTTTGCTTCCGTGAAAACTGCGAAATCGACGAAGAAGAAGTCACTATTGAAGAAGAAAAGACTCTCGAAGAACTCAGCCCATATGAGGTTTTTCAAAACTTCAAAGATCTGGTCAATGATTTACTTCAGTTCAAGCGGAAGTTTAAGAAAACCGACAAAGGTGGCCTGGAAACCCAGTGCGAACAATTAGAAATTTTGCTGCAAAAATTAGAAGCAGAAGCAAGAATCCACTATGGAATAGAGCATCAACTGAAAATTCATATAGATACCTGTCAAAGTAAAGTTGAAGAATTAGAAAAAGCGATAATTGCTTATTCAATTATTATAGAAAAACAGGAGAAAAAAATAAATGATTATGAAAATGAGATAAAAAGATTGAAAAAGACAAAAGAAAATTATCATGATGGGCTGGAAGAAAAAATTATTCTAATTTATTGTGATTAAAAATGTAACCCCCCATTTAAATTTTACAAAATCTAAGATGATTAATTTTAGAAAAAAAAATATTTATAAAACTTTCTGAATATTTTTTGAAATTAATTAATAAAACTATAATTCAAAGTTTTAATCTATTTAAATAGCGTTTTCCTGATACTCAGACCTTTAAAATTCCAAAATTTTGTAGAATTTCGATTTAGCGACATTAAGTTACTAAAGCTGTTAAAATAAATATAATTTTACGCATAAAAAATAATATTTTTTCAAATTTAAAGGGCTAATTTACCCGAAAATGGTATTTCTGTATTTCCTACTTAAATGGGATAAGAATGAGAGGGTGTTAATAATTATTTTTTTTAAAACACAAAATAATAATTTTATTGAGACCCTCTCAGTCTTAAATGATTGGTATAAATTAATAGAAAAGAGATTTAAAGAAGAAATTTCTAGCTTACTCTCCCACTCGTAAGCGAGCAAAATTATATGCTTACGCACGACTTTTTTTTAAATTTTATTTTCGATATTTTAATTGGACTACTCTTGGAAAATTCTGGGCCGGGAGGAGGGGAGAAAAAGTACAGCCATACCCAGATGGTATCTGTTTTTACCACCCGATAAAGTCCAAATAGCAATTCGAAAAGACTCCTCTGCAACAATTAGAAGGAGATGATGATCATGATGATTTTTTCAGAAATTATATTTTCAGATCAGAGATTTTATCAGAAAAACTAATAATAGATCAGGCTGAGGCTGGTATATGTCAGAAACTTTTATATTTTATCAGAAGTTATTTGAGCGGCCTCTTAGAAGTCTTAGTAATAGCCAGTAATCCTTAATCCTTATTTTTTGAAATTAATTTATAAAATACCGTTTAGAATGAAATTTAATAGAATTATCTGGAGACCTTATTATAATAATTATCACTTATGGCTTTGCTCATTTACAGAGCCGGATTTAGTAGAAAATCATAAGCAAGAAAACGGAAGAGACATGGACAGAACTGTATTTAAAACTTTTGACCACAAAAGAGTGCTAAGAAATGATAAATCTGCTTTAAGATTCGAAGAATTTGTGAAATTAAAATCAATGTTAGAAGATAAAAGTAAAGAGTTAGAAGTAATGAAAGAAAAATATAAAAAGGTAAAATCGGACGAAAAAACAAGCACCGTTGAAAGAAAAGCAAATATGCATAGGACTGAGTATATTTATATATATATAAATAATTTTTATTACAATTATATAAATAATATCTTCCTTATTACGAAATATTCATATAAAAATTTATATGACATTAAATTTCCTGAAGCAAAAAATTTTGCAACTAATCGAGAAAATGGCTTTTTACGAAAATCAGCTACAAATTTATTAGAAATGATGAAAAAAAACTATAAAACTAGAGCTGTTCAGAAATTAGCAAATGAAAAAAGCAGAGATATAAGCACCGATAGAAGAGACCACGAGCTGCTGCATATAAGGTCTATTTCTGATCAAATAAGATCAGAATCTTTGCCAAGTTATCGTGGACCTAAAAGAAATACCGGAGAAACTTATACCTTTATTAATTAGTACCTATTTTTTAAAAAATTAAAAAAAATTACTGCACCCCCTTCAATTAGGAATAATTTTTAATCATAATTGTGTGAATAAATAGGGGAGCTTCATTATTTATATACAAAAAATCTGATGGCATCTTCACAGTCCCAAACTAAAGCTTTATCATTTATCCCGGTCAATTTAAGACTTGTCCACGAAATTACTCAAAAAGGTGAACCGTTTACCCTAGATTCAGAGCCCGTTGAATGAATTGACTTTGTAAGCCGCGTCACAGCTTATCGAGAGACTAACAAAGCGATTTTTCTGACTTTCCAGGACGAATTTGCAGAGTTTTATGGAATTATTTATAGAAAAGATGAAAATACCCAGCCAAGAGCTATAAAAGGCTATCATCACACTGATGGAGGATATGCCCATGTTATAGGAAATATCGCTAATTTTGAAGATGGGCCGAAATGTATAGTCCAAGCTATAGAAAACGTAAAAATTTACGAATATGTCCATTACCACAGGACAAAAGTCCTTTGAAGCTATCTTGTCAGGAATAAAGTTCTGCATTGCCCTTTAGAAAGTTTGATAGAAATTCCACGTGAAACCCCTAAAATTACTCCTAAAATTAATGACACAGATATGGAGCATTTAAGCCTCGAGCAGGCTGAAGTACTGAACGTTATAAGGAAAAGAGGAAATCAGCTAGGAATCAATAGAGATGAAATTGCGAGTATTGTGAAAAACAAAGTTAGAAAATTAGATGAAGTCTTAGACGAGTTGGTGAATTTTGGATTTTTATATACAGAAAGTGATAATAATATATACTTTTATACTTAATTTCTTGAAATTAAAAAAAATCTGTAAAAAATTGTTTTAAATATATTTTTATTATTTTTTCTATTATAGATATTATAAATTAATATAAAATAAAAATTATTCTTTATCAATTAAGATTTAGTAAAATTCGTGGGATTTATTTTTTAGATTTTGATAATGGCCTATCAAAACTTCTAGCAAGCTATCTATGCATATTTTGTCGGAATCACCATTTAAAGCACCCTTTTTCAATGAATCAGAAGGCTCTTTTATGGTATCAATCTCATTTTTCAAGTTTTCTCATTCTTCCTTCGACAATTTTTCCTCAAAAAGTGACTTTGTGCTTGCAATTGCTTTTGAATAGGGTATATACAGATCACTAGCACCATCATCAGTAGGAACAAAAGTGCCAATATTAGTTGTGTTGATAAATTCCACAGTTTTTAAATAAAAATCTAAATCATCTATTTTATAATCCCCATACACTCCCACAAATTTCAAAAAATTTCTAACTCTGTTAGAAGACTCAGAGTAGCATATAGCTGATAATATAACTTCTTTAAATTTGTCTTCAGCCACACTCTTTAGTCCATATTTTTGTAATAATTCATCATATAATAATTATAATAAATAATCATTTTTGCTTATTTATAAAAATATCAGTGAATATTCATAATAAATTTATATAAATCATTTCACATAAATCAACTTTTTTAATTGATGGATATTCATCAATTAATAAAGTTCTTGCTGTGTACATAGAATATATTAATTTCATTAAAGTTTTCTTTGACAAAGTTGGCTTTAAATTTGGTTTTCTTTAGGGTGCGTGCCTTTTCCTCCTGATTTTTGGTAGTGAGATATTTCCTCTGCAATATTTGGTCGAAATTTTGTCTCCGTGTCAAATGACAGTGTATTTTTGATAGTGTGCATTTCTCCGAAGTACATTTGCTCCAAAATTTTAAATAGTGGGACATTCGCCGAAATTTAACAGTTTTTTTTGTGGTCAAATGTCTTACTATCAAAAAGCTTCAGCCAATTTTCGATTAAATGTACTTCGGTGAAATGAACACTATCAAAAGTGAACGATCATTGGACCTGCACCCAATTTTTTACTAGTGAGAAATGGAGCAAATATCTCAAGAGTAAAAAAAATTTCGACGAAATTTCCAGAGGAAATGTCTCGCTAAAAAAGTCCCCAATCAAATGATATGGTACCCTTTCTTTTTCAGCTTTTTGGACAGCCAATAATAGGATTTTGGAAGAGGGATGATGCTTTTTTGAAATTTGTTTTTTATTTGCAAATTGTCTTGGTTTTGTAGCAATTTTTTTATGTCATTGTCGTGAGCTAAGCTTAATTCTGTCTTCTATGTTATAGGCAGAATTTTTTTCTTCTTCTTCAGGGATGATGATTGTGGATTTATTTTCTTCTTTAAATTGGGAATTATCTTCATAAAAATCGGTTTGTGTGCATAATGATACAGGGTAATGGGATTTATTTATATCTTTGTCAAATAGATTATCGATAGAAATTCTTAGCTTATTAGCTTCTTTTTTAAGAATTTCTTCAGAAATATCACCATTTAAATTGCTTGGGTTGGAAAAATAGGAATTTATGAGAGTTTTCAGTTTTTTAATTTTTCCAAGTAGATTTGAAAAATTTGAGTCATCTACAAAATTTACTTTCTGAGTTAAATTTAAAGAATTTGTGCTGTTTTCAAGAGTTTGAGACAAATTATTCTTATATTCTTCTCTGTTTTCAGCTTTATCACTACTTTTTTGATGCTCCGAAACTGCTTTTATAAACCCATCTTTATTTTCTTGATATTTTTCTTCATCTATTTTTATCTCTTCATTTCTATTTTCTTTTTCTTCCATTTCATTCGGCAATTTTTTAAAAAATTCTTGGGTTTGCTTCATCATTTTAGATTGTCTTCCTACCACATCTGAGGCTGCCTTAATTAAATCCCCAATAATTTTTACAAATATTTTTGACAAGCTCAAGCTTTCTATTTTTTTTTCATATTTTGCAAGCTGCTGTCCAGTAAAATTCAACTTTTCTCTATCGATTTCAATAACATCTATATAAGTTTTAATTTCTTTTTTTCTATCAAATTCAGTCTGTGTCTCTATTTCAACCATTTCAATTTTTACCTTCTCCTCATTATTTTCCATATTTTTTTCAAAATTCTCATCATTGCTTTCTTGTGATGTTGCACTTTTACAGATCACAAGCGTGACCTCATGCTCTTCTTCATTCTCACTAAGCGGGGGCAAAGTCAATAATTCTTTTTTATTTTTTTCCATATTTGATATATAATTTGTTATGAATTTCCTGAAACCTTTTATTAAAGTCGACATCCAATTGACTTGCTCACAATTAAAAGCTGGACTTATAGTAAATTCTTCGAAATTTTCTAATAAAATTGCCCGACTATTTAAATAGTCTAATTTTTCTTTTGAAATTACTATATTGTCGAATAATTTGTCGTCGCCTGTAAAAGTAGATCTTTCTCTATGTTTTGACATAAACATTGGAGGCAGCGAAAATTCTCTTTTAAACGACGTTCGCCTTGTAAATTCAAGAGGCTCTTCATCAATAGGCTGAAGAATTTTTTCATCTTCCATTGTACAGGTTGAAACCGTCCTATAGCTAACTGGATTTATTAAATTTCCTTTTTCGTCCCTACTTTTCCATTGAATAATGCTCACATTTTGCTGCCTTGTTAAAGTTTGCAATGCCATATTAATTTCTCTGGCTTTAGCTTTTTCTTCATTTAATTCATTTCTTAAGCTTTCTATTTCTTGTGACTGCTCACTAATGACTTTGCTAGATTTTCTTAATTCTCCATTGATATCTGAGTATTTTTTTGTGACCACATTAAGTTTTTCTTCGTAATTTTTTTGGTTTTTCGATACAAGCTCTTTAAATCTTTGTTTTAGGTCTTCAATTTCTTCAGAAAATTTATTTTTATTTTTTGAGTTTATTCTAAAATAAAAATAAATTTTTTTCAATTTTTATGATTAATAGCTGTTTTCTATTAGAATATCCTGAATTTTTAATTAATTTGTATGCAAATTAAGCTTATTACAGATTAATTCAAAATTTGAGTTCCAAATTCTATTTAATAATTGGCCTCTTTCTATACAATGAACAGAAACTTGCCTTATAATTTCTTTAAAGCAGGCTGTATAAATAAGCTGAAGAGCTTCAGTTTTATTTTCTATTGTAGCGAATTCTGTATGGTATACATATTTATCTAGCATATAATCAAGCCAATTACATAAAAGCTCAACTTCTCGACGTCCAGAAGGGGCTCCTCTCTCTGTATTTAAATTAATATTTTTTTCTACCTTTGAAGGATTTCCTATACTTTTTGATCGATTTCCTGCATAATTCGGTGGCTTTTCTTCAGAGATTTGAGTTAGTCTTGCTTGTATTAACCCAGATTGCGTTTTAAATAAAAGTCCGCCCTCTTTGGCTAGGTTTGAGATTTTTGTCTCTATAAATTTATTTGATTTCCGTTTTACTATTTCTAAATCTTTCATAAATTTTTCATGGTAAAAATCATCCATGTTGTAAACTTCATTTTTTATAGGACTTTCGGTTATTTTAATCACTTGGGTGTTATTTTTCGCACTTTCATTGTCTTTATTTACAATATTTTGCAACTTGTCAAGCTCAGTTGGCAGAGGTAGCATTAAAATTTCTGGCTCTTTAAGCCCTAAAACTTCTTTAAGCTCGTTTTGACTTCTATTAAATAGGTTTTTGAGTTTTTCAGGCCGATCTTTTGTATGAGAAACGTCTCTAGACAAAGGGCAGGACTCACAATGGCTTCTTTGATTGGAATCATGAATTTTTGAAATTTTGCTTATGTCTTGTTCAGATATATCAGAAGAGCCACAATAGCATAAATTTGCAGAAAATTTATGTTTTTTTATATTAATTTAGCTAAAAATATTAGAAAATAATATTTTATAGCAGTTAGGTAAAATAGGATAGATAAACTATTGGCGAATTTGCTTTTTATTTTATTTAAAACTTTTTCATTTTCTTGCTTTGGACGAGAAGTTAAAGAAGCTTTAGAGGTTTCTGAATCACTTAGTTTAGGTAAGCTTGGAATTCGTGGGAGTTTTTTAGATAAGTCTGGGGAGAGTGATGCAAGCTTAGATTTGAATCGCTTTTTGATTGTGATAAGTTTGGTGCTTTTTTGGATTTCATTTGTGCTATCCATTTTAATTTTTAAGGGAAAGTTATAAATTTAATGAAAATAAAAGATAGGTTCTTTAATAATCATTGATCAATATCCCAATTGTAGTTAATTAAATTTCTTAGCTCAAAGCGTCCTCAGTTAGATCATAGTATCATTCAGCTGAATCATAGGTTCTTCTATTATAGAATCAAGAATTTATAATAATTTCTTTATGAGTAGGCAAGATTTTATTTCTTGTTTATAGAAAGACTAATTAATTTTGCAGTTGATTTCTATAATAATCTAACTCTTAAGGGACATTTTTACATGTGTCAGATGCAAATCCCAAGTAATTTTTGATCTGAATAAATTTTGCATACAAATGTTGAAAATTAATTTCTTTATTTAATCGCGTGTTTGCTTATAAATGGAACCAAAATTCGGATTTACACAGAATCCCACTAGATCGCTATTTTACTTCGGAGAATCAAACAACCAATCTTCCTCTTCTGATCCCATCCAGCCTGCCGATACTTCCATCAACGAAATTTCTTCTTCCCTTTCCCAGATGACCTTTGCAAATGAACACTCTGCAGAAGCTGTTGGCAAAATAAACTCTGATGACCCAATCCTCCAATTAGAAGGTTTACAATTCATAAGAAAAGAGCTTTCTCAAAAAGATAATCCACCTATAAACGAAATCATAAATTCAGGGATATGTAGGCGCATTCTTGATTTGGCTTCAACTATGCCTGATGATGAATTTCTATTTGAAGCTACATGGGTCTTTTCAAACATTTTATCAGGAAATTCTAAGCAAACTGCTTATTTAGTGAATTTAGATGTGATACCATTTTTATTTAGACTTTTTGATAAAACTAATGATGATATTAAAGATCAAGTAATGTGGGCTTTTGGAAATATTGCAGGAGATAATACAAATTGAAGAGATTTAATAATTTCGAATGAGAACTTTGGCTATATTATTGATTTATGCAATAATATGAATTTTTCTAATCGAAATATGATAAAAACTTGTTCTTGGGCTGTATCAAACTTCCTAAGAGGAAGCCCTCAACCGGTTGTAGAAAAAGTTTTACCTTTTGTGCGGTTTTTAAAAAGAATCATCGTTGAATTAGAAGAGCAAGAAATTCTTACAGATGCCCTTTGGGGATGTTTTTATATAACAGAGCTACATTCATCTCTAGAGGCATTTCAAAAGAAACAATTTTTAGAAAAAATAATTAGACAACTATCAACCTGAAAAATTGAATTATTGACAGCTTCTCTGAAAACTATTGGAAATATTACCTCGCAAATGGAAAATTCTTTTAGCGTACTATTTAGGCTTGGATTTTTAGAAAAAATTGATAGTTTGTTATGCCATCAAAAAAGAACGATAAGAAAAGAAGCTTGCTGGATTCTATCAAATATGTCCACAGAGAGTTGTGACGTAGTTGCTAAATTTTTGGAAAATAAATTATATGAAAAATTATTACATATAATGAAAACAGATAGTCAAGACGTTAAAAAAGAAGCAATATGGGTGATAGCGAACTCAGCAACAGTCTGTGATAGTAATCAAGTAATAAATCTCGCACAATTAATTATTAAATTATGGCCATTTGACCTTTAAGTCTGGCCATTTCCCATAAATTATCCAGTTCTTCCAAAATCGATTAAGAGATTTCTCCACAAATTTCTCCATGAAATCTTTTTTAACTAACCAACTATTTCGCACAATTAGGAATGGTAAAAGAATTGATTAACTGCATTAAATTTAATGACTGCAGAAATATTGCATTAGAAGCATTGTGCTCATATGTAAAAAAGGTTCCTGATGTTATATACTCTTTTACTATAGAAAAACAGAATAATATATTGATTTATTTGGATAATTAATAGTTTTTTATTTATTATTAACAGAATAAATGCAGAAGAAAAAGATATTTTGATTAAAAATATTGATCTTTTAGTAAATTGTGGTGAAGATTGCGAGCATGCAATGAATTTGAGAGAATTGCTGAATAATAGGAATGGTGATGAAAATAATTAATAGGTAGAAACTTATAATTTCAATTAAGAACACAAAAATAAATCTTTTAAGGGTATTAATTGCTAAAATCAGATTTTACATGTTTAAACTGCCATCTTTATTTAAAGGTTATCCAAAAGCTTTCTATCGTAATTGCACCTTGAAATACTGGGTGAAATTAGCTCATATACATTTTAGGAATTTATTTGCTATTTTATGCTCATACTTTTATAATTAATTTCTATATAATGGTTATAGAATATCCACATTAGTGGAACGCTATGATTCCGTTATCTTTAGACAATCGAGGGATTGATTTCACAAATAAATGTTGGTGAAGCCAACCCTTGAAATGGGGATATTTGAGATTTGCCATTTCAAGGGTTGGCTCATCAATATTTTTTGGAGGAGCAAATCCCTCAATTGTCTCAGAAGACGATGGGATGATAGCGATCCACTAGTGAAAATAAGCTATAAGATTTCCTTAAATTGAATAATTAGCTACTATTTCTATTATTCTGTAAAACTTCTCTTAAGCTTGTTGCAGGCTCAATAGCATCACTATCCCCAGTCGAATCATCAATGCTTTGAATTATTATATCATTCTCTTCGTCATTTATACCTTCCATTCATAAATATCAGCCATTTAATTTTACAAAAAATTCCTCCTTTTAATCCCAATATCCTATATAATATATGGAACTTTTTCTATCACTGCGCTCAATGCTTCAAAAATAATAGGCCTCCATTTCTTGCATTTAAGGCTACTAATCAATTCTTTTATTATCCCTATTTCTGCTAACTTTATTATTTGGTTTTCTTCACAAACAGTTACTGATATCTTTATTATTTCTAATGCTTGTGTCTGAACATCTCTGCTATCTGTTTTTATAATGGTTAATAATTTTTCAAATATATAAATCTGCATTAATGTGAATTTATAAGGTCAATCTTATTATATTAGATGCTTATATATATTTTTAGGCTATATTTTATTTTCCAGTAATTTATCGATTGCTGCTGTAGATTCTGCAACAAGATTTAATAGCGTCCAGCAAACTTCTCATCTTAAATTTCTGCTTTTATGATCTAGCAGACCTTCAATTTTCTCAAAAAATCCATATTTAGATAATATCTCGAAAGAATTATCCATTTCAAATACAATATTTCGAATAATTTTTAAGGAAGCTGTCAATAAAAGCCCTTTTCGGCTAGATAATTGTCTGATTATTTTTTCTATAAATAGTTCTTTTTTAAAAATCTCTAAATTTTCTTCTAATTCTGAAAGATAAGAGCACCCCAAAGTAGCTTCTGTAAGTGTATCTTTTGCTTGCGCTTCAACAACGACTCTATATAAAAATGGTGAAAAAGGAATCAGTTTTTCTGGGTTTTGTTCTGAACATTCTCGGAGTATATTAGACACAGATCATGCATAAATATTTATAAAGCTCTCATTACTAAAATCTGCATTATTACACAAATCAGCAATACAGCTAAAATTATCATCATTGATTACTAATTCTCTTCACTCGCTATTATCTGCTGCAATGTTACCAAACGCCATCATAACTGGCTCACTAAAATCATTATTGTTTTTACACAAAATTGAAAATAAAAATGGTATTACATCTAGCTGCACCAAATAGGATGCTTCTCTAGAGCTTTTCGATAAAATATTTGAAAATAGCCAGAGAGCTTCCAATAAAAATTTATTGTCAGTTTTTGTTTGAGCTAAATCAAGGATACGTTCACATATATCTGAACTTATAATTTCATATATAATTAAAGGCGAACTATCTTCTCTAGAAACCCCTTTTTTGAGGACTTTTAAGCCTTCCCGTTGAAGCATAGCGTCATCAGAGTTTATTTTGTCGATGGCTTCTAAAATTGAAGGTTTTTCTATTGGTTCAGCATGCTTCCTTGCAAGTTTAATGTGAGAAGAGGAAGAAGAAATTTCATTGCTAGGAGTGTTAGAGGAGTTATTAGGATTGAAAAGGGAAGATTGGCTGTTTGATTCTCCGAAAGAAAATGATGAACGAGTGAGATTCTGTGCAAATCCGAATTTTGGTTCCATTTATAAGGAAATCTATAGCAAGCATCTTTAGATTTTGAAATAAAGTATATTATTTTTAGTTGATTTAGTGTTCAAAATATACTCATATCCAGGAACACGAAAAATAGCAAATCAAATTTTCAAAATAAGAAGAGATTGCATTTAATTCAGTACAATTAAGATTTGAATGATATTTTAATCTCGATTAGTATAATGTTGAATAAATTACTATTAAATTAGGAGGACAGTTTAATCAATTATAATATTTTTCTAACGTATATTTATAATAATTAAAAAACCAATAAAAATATATTGTTTTTAATTATATTATTTTTGTTTATTGCGATTACTTTAGCAATATTAAAATAGCGTATTGAAACAACCCCTATTAAGATCTGTAGCTGGGATGTATCCGACCAGGCTTTAATTGGTTAGCTATTATTTCTATTATTACGTAAAAATTCCCTTAATCTCGTAGTATACTCATTAGTATCGCCATCCTCAATTAAATTGTCAGTGCTTTCGATTAATATATCTGCTTCTTCATCATTTATGCCTTTCTTTCATAAATATAAGATATATAGTAAAGCTCTATAGAATAATTGGGACTTTTTCTATAAATAAACTCAATGCTTCCAAAATAATTGGTCTTCATTTCTTTCATTTAATACAGCTAATCAATTCTTTTATTATTCCTATTTGTGCTAGCTTCATTATTTGATTTTCGTCACAAACACAAGCAGATTCATATATTACAAATAATGCTTGTTTTTTAACGTCCTCACAGTCTGCTTTTATAATTGATAATAATTTTTCATATATTTTATTTTCAAAAAATATACTAATTATTTCTTCACACTCACTAGTAAGATCTGCTAATGTACAGCAAATTTCTCTTCTTATAGATTTTTTTTGGTGGCATAGCAGACCTTCAGTTTTTTTGAAAAACCCAAGTTTAAATAGGATACTGAAAGCATTATCCATTTCTTCACCAATATTTTTAAGAATCTTTAGAGAAGCTTTCAATAAGAGAGTTTTTCGACTTGATAATTGCTTAATTATTTTTTTTAAAAATAGTTCTTTTTGAAAAATCTCTATACTCGGGTCTAGTTCAGTAGGGTATGAGCACCCTAAAGAGGCCTCTATAAGTGTTTCTTGATCTTGTACTTCAATAATAACTTTGTATAAAAACGATGCAAAAGGCAACACTTTTTCTGTTTTTGGTGGAGGGTTTCCCTGTATAAAATTGGATACAGCTCAACAATAAGTTTTGATCAAATTTGTATTATTAAAATTCACATTATTACACAATTCAATAATACAGCTAAACATCTCATAGTTGATTATTCAATTCCTTCATGTACTATTATCTGCAGCAATGTTCCCAAAACCACGCATTAATTGTTCTTTAAGGTCTTCATTATTTTTATCAAAAAGTGTAAATAAAAATGGTATTACGTTTAAGTGCATTAAATAGGAAGCTTGCTCAAATGTTCCTGATAAAATTTTTGAGAGCGTTCAGACAGCTTCAAATATAAATTTATCATCAGATTTAGTTGAAGCTAAGTCAAGAATACGTTCACATATTCCTGATCTTATAATTAAATTTATAGGCGAATTATTTTCTCTAGAAACCTCTTTTCTTAGTAATTGTAAGCCTTCATATTGAAGCTTTTGGTCATCGGAATTTATTTTATCAATAGCTTCTAAAATAGAAGATTCTTCTATGGAATTTGAATGTGTGTTGGGAAGGCTCATCTGAGAAGTGGAAGAAGAAATTTCATTTCTGGAAGTATCAGAAGGATTGTTATTATCAGAAATATGGGCTGGGTTATTACTCCCCACATCAAAACTATTGGAAAATTCTCTTTGGATAAATCGAATTTAAAAAATCGAAAAAAATTAATCTCTATTATGAACAAGAAAAAAACTTTTTTTGTCTTAATAGAGGGAAGCTAGTTTCTCTGAAACAAAAGAAAGAGCTACTAGGATTCTGTGCAAATCCGAAATTTTGTTCCATTTATTAGCTAATTTAATAAATTCACCATATCTTTTCAGATAAAATAATTTTTAGCAGATTTTATTTAAAATCTAATTATATTGATATCGAAAAAATCATAAATAGCTATAAAAGAGATTGAAGCATTTACAATTATATAAATTTTATACTAAATAATATGTTATTTACTTGATAAAATTCCTCAAAAATAATTTAATTATGGTATAATGTTAATTAGGTTGGAATATTTTCTCATATTGTTTCATTTGATTTTTCAAAACCATCCGATTTTTCTTCAGCTCTTTTACTTTATTTTTAATATGCATCTCAAATTAAATAAACCTTTGCATATCATAATAAATACTCTATTTCTTCACAAATAAGAAAAAATTCTATATTTTATTTTAAAATCTTTTAAAAATTATGGTATATCCTCGAACCCTTTTTTATACACTAAAGAAACCCTTGGTGTTGTTTTTGATATCCTTGATGAGGTCAAAGCTGAATTATCGTTTGAGCGTGGCGATTCTAATTTTAAATGAAATCTATTGCTAATAAGAACATTATTTGATGAAGATCTTTGAGAATAATCAGACATCGAGTGATCTAAGCTTGCAATTTTAAAAGGAGTCATAGGCAGAGATTTTAAAGCTTCTTTAAATTCAAGGCTTGACAAAACACTTTGGTCTTCATATTCTTTAGCTTTTTTCGCTAAATTTTGCTCTAAACTGTTATAAAAAGTCATTTCTCCTTTAATGATATCATTTCTTTCTTTCTTTAAATTTAAATATCGATTATTTTGAGGTTGTTCTTGATATTTTTTTTCAAAATTATTTGTATTTTTTTGAGATTTTTCAATAAATTCTTTAACTCTTTAAATGAAACAAAAAATCTAGTTCAATTAAATTAAATTTTCCTCTATTTTTTTAGAGGTATTTAAAAATTCAAAATATATAAATTTATGAAAGATTTTTAAATTTTTAATTATATTATAAAGAATTAATTTCAAAAAATAACTAATTCAGTATGAAATTGTTTCAATAATATTCTTCTTACATTTTTTCCTATTAAACTAGGTCAAATAAAATTTTATTAAAAATTATTGTTTTACTTATAAAATTTTCCTATTGAAAAAATGATTCAATTTATTCTAATTTAAAGGTGAAGGAGTAAGATATATATTTTCTTCTTTAAGGGATTTATTTTCTATTATCAGCTTCTCTATGATCTCTTGATAAGATTCTTTTAATTGATTTATCTGCTGAGAATGCTCTGATTTAAGACCTGAAATTGTTTCAATAAGCATCGAATTTTTCTTTTGCAAAAGAGCAATTTCTTCAGTTTGCAAATTATTAATGATTGGAGACCCAAGCAAATTTGAAGCATTGTTAATTGATTGAAGAGCATTTTTTGAAATAAAACTTTGGTCTATGCATTCTAAAGAAGCTTTAGGGCTTAAATATAAAGAATCTAATGAAAATTGTCTGCTTTGTGCTGCATTTGATAACCTCAAATTGACTTTTCCTTTTTCAGCTTCATTAATAATGCTTTCTCTTACTATTTTATTATTTTTTTTCGAAATAATCGCAAGAAATGAAGATCCCATCAAAAAAATTTTAATTTCTGAATCCACATTAACCTGTGTCAAATAAGAATGATTATCCAAATTTCTCGTCCCTAATTCCCCATGGTTATTACTTCCCCAAGTCCACAAATTTCCATTTTCTGTAATAGCAGCTCCTGAGCATTCTCCTAAAGTGATATCCACAATATTTTCACTACAATTCAGTATATTAGGCTCTAAATATTCTCCAAAAGTCCCAGTTCCTCATACATATAGCTTTCCTCTACATATTGCGGCAGAATGATGCCCACATGCAACTTTATTGGCCATTTCTAAGCTTTCTATTCTTTGAAATGTATAGCAGCTTCTTTTATGGCCGAGCCCAAGCTGGCCAAATCTATTATCTCCTGTCATATAAATATTTCCAAATTCTCCTATTACTGCTGAGTGATTTATACCACAGCTGACTTCTTTTATATTATTGCTGATTTCGACTCTTGTGAAGCTTAATTCTCGGCTTGATCTTCCGTTTCCTAGTTGTCCTTCATTTCCTCTGCCAGTTACCATAAGAAATGAGTGGCCTGTTTTAGTCCTTCCTATAGCAATAGTATGCCATCCTCCACATGAAATTTTGTCAATATAAAAATCGTTTGATAAATTTACTTTTGTTGGAAAATTTTGGCTTTGAGTTAGGCCTAATCCTAGTGCTCCTCATTCACCGTTTCCTCATGTATATAGCTTATAATTATATATAGAGAGGAAATGCCCTTAAAGAGAAAATGGATTTAAAATTTCTAAAAAAAATTTAATTAGTCCAAAATAGGGATTTTTCATTTTGGCCTGCAAATATCATTTATCCTGAGAGACCCAATGTATATATCTCATTAGAGTCAGTCACAAATGCACAATGTTCTCTCCCACAAGAAATTTGTATAGGTTTTATTCTAATAGGAATTTGTAATAAACTAATAGAGTCTCCTCTTATTTCTGTTTGCAATAAATTTCCTTCTGTTGTCAATAGATATAAACTACTATGAGTTGCTGACAGTGATTTCACAGCATATTGGATTACAATTGATTTATTTTTTACCTGAAAAGTCCCTAATCGTCCCCATATATGTAATTCCATTTAATCTTTAATTAGATAATTCACTAATAAAAGTATGATATGCAGCTTCATTGTGGTAAATTTCAGACAGTCTTGATATGTCAATATCATATTTTAGCGCCTTGGTTGCTTTATTGAATAATGCTGGATATTCTTTTTTGACTTTAAGCTTGACAAATTGTAGTAATTTGCCGACATCAGTTTCTTCTAGCACTACTTCAGTTGTATTATGAATTGCTGGGGATATTGGTGACTGGCTCACAATTTCTTTCTTTTCTTCAATTTTTGGGATCAACGCATTCTTATACTGATTTGCAAAAGCTTTAGAAAGCTTGTAAATGTTTTTTATTTTTTTCCTCAGTTCTTCATAGTAGTTTTCTCTTTGCTGCTCTGCTGTTTCTATATCCATATTCAGATCTTTATTATTAGACCAGATATCATTGCCTAGGTTTTCCATATTCAAAATATAAGAAAATGATTATAATATAAGTAAATATGTAATGAACTAATTAAGTGAACTTTTAATCGTCTTCTTCCTCTTCTTTAATATGCTGTTTTTATAAATAATATTACTTGATAAATTTTTATCTAAATGTAGATTTTATATAATATTGTTATTTTTTATAGGATATTTTCCAATAAATCCATTTTCTTGAAATCTGATAGTGAAAATTTTCCTCCGTCGCCATCACGAGTTTTAATTATGGTTCCAAGTAACTGCCATACATTTGAGAGCTCTTCTCTCAGCTTTGCGTTTTCTTCTTTAAGAGCATTGATCTGGGTTTCTAACTCAGTGCTTTTCTGCTCTTTCGTGTCTTTATGGTGCAGCTCTGAAATAGCCATTCTCGGCATATCGGTGTTTTCTTCGTTATTTCTTCCAATTCTTCTTATAGTTGTTGATTTCTGCCCAGCTTGTTGGCGATCTTCATTGTTTACAGCTACTGAGTCTAATTTTTCTAATCATAAATGATACAAAATTTTTTCTTTAGAATCCTTGGTTTTTACCATACAAGGATTCATAAAGATCGATAACTGTGTGAGTTTCGGAAATCCTTTTAAAACGTCTAAGGTGTTATCAAAGCTGAAAATCTGGTTATTACTGATTTTTAAGCATAAAATTCTTTTGCATGCTCTCAAAGGTGAAATGTCTTTTATTTTGTTGTGGGCTGCTTTAAATGTACTTAGTCTAATTAACGATTGCAATGGGGATAAATCTTCGATACTGTTATTGTTGACATTAAGGTATCGTAAATTGGTACACTGGCCTACCCCACGTAAGCTTGTTATATAGTTATCAGACAAGTCTAGAACTTTCAAATTGAAGAGCCTTGATAAGTTGATGTGATCATTAGTCTCGAATTGGCTCAAACCTTTACCACTTAACTTGAGTTCTTTTAAGGCACCAAGGTTGGGAGATTTTGATAATTGCAAGATTCGTTTTTCTGTTAATGTACCAATGTCGCTTAAAGGATTTTCAGGAATTTTTACATCTGTTAAGATTGATGACAAGTTTCGTTTAGATTGAGTCGAAGGAAATGGAGCCGACTCGTCACCAAAGCTTAAGAAGCTAGAACTTGAAGAAGTTCTACCGTTGTGGCCATTGTCTCCTTCAGGATCATCAGCTTGGTAGCACACATGCCGACGTTCAATGTGAGCTTCAAGCTCGCTACGTGATTCGAATTCTTGATAATCAAAAGGACATGAATAGCTTCCTTGCATATTTGTTGTTTACTAATGGCTAAAATTTAGTCCACATAACGTGTTATAAAAGAAGGTGATTGGATAAAGCAATAGAATATTTATGAAAATATTATTCGAAGAACCAGAGGTATAAAGCTTATTATTGGTAGGTGGTAAAATATGAAATTTAACAAATTTTATTACATAAATTTTTTAATAAAAATTTAGAATAATGATTAAGTTAATGGAAATTTCATTATTAAACAGATTTAACACGTAAAACTTATTTAATTTGAAAACTGAAATTATTCAGTAATTTAATAGTTTTCTCCATGCTCTTTATATCTTTAATTCTCTATATTACTGAATAATTTATTAATTATGGACACTAAAGACCGAATAATCAAGGAGCTTCAAAGACACATACATGAACTATCAGAGGAAAATAAATTACTTAAACAAACTGTGCAGCACCTTCAATGTCAAATTAAAGAATTGGAATCTAAAGTCTTATCAGAATCTCCAAAAATTAATTCTTCAAATCAGTCAGAGAATCCGCCTACAGCTGAACATAACCAAGAAGTTCTCCAACATATAGAAATGGACAATTTATCCTTCTTTCAGTCACTAATTTCAAGCGGTTTATCAGTTGATCACTATTTTAACGAATTAGGGACTTTTTTAATTCATGAAGCTGTGAAGTCAGGAGCTATTAAAATTATCCATTATTTAGCATCAAGATGCAATCTATGCCTTTAATTATATAAATAAATTAATAATATAAATATTCCTATCGATTAGCCGTTATCCTGTTTATTATATGAAAATAGGATTCGAGCTATCATAAGGGCACCTATATTCCTTATAATTAGGTATAAATTAATATAAAAAATTTTAATAATTATACAAAACATTTTTTCTTTAAAAAAGGCTAAAAAGGAATAAATAATATCACTGCTGATGGTGAAACACCATTAACCCTTGGAGCTGAACTAGATAAGCATGACTCAATCTGCATGCTTTTGCAGACTGGTAGAGACAAAGTTGATTTAGAGCACAAAAATAAGCAAGGCTTAACAGCTTTGCAAATTGCAGTGAAAAAAGGAAACAAAGAAATCGTAGGTTTGCTATTAGAGCATGGAGCTGATATTACAGTAACTACTGTACTTGGAGATTCTCTATTAAGACTAGCCCAGCACGCTGGACATCAAGAGCTAGTTTTATTGCTCGCAAATTCAGGCGCTTCATTAAGATAAATTAATTATAATAAACGCCCATTTTTTGTGTTGAAAACGAATAAATCTAATAAAAATGCTGGTTTTTCTTCTTTTTTTGCATGTGGCGATTGGGAAGCAAGTAAGCACAAAGTTCAGATTTGACGAGCAAAATCCATGAAAATATCTCACAAAGTTTGCTGTAGGAGTTGGCAATGCTAATTGGGAATTAAACGTGACAGTGGTAGATCCAGTTGATCCTACAGCTAAAGAAAGAATTCGGCCAGCTCTAGTTATATATCTAGACGATCAATTAGAAGAGATTTCCAGCATCAATGATTGTGAAGGAAAACTAGCATTAAGCAAAAAAGTCCAAAATTTCAGTGTGTCATACAACGGGGAGCACACTTATATCAAAGGGACTTTTACCCAAAAATCACGTCCTCATGTATGGTATTATGTCCTTGCTGACTGCAAAGGTTCAAGCAAAGGCGCCAAGCTAAAAGTCAATATCCATTTAACAGGAACTGACGATTCTGAGTTCTCTATTGAAGAAGAAGGATTAGTATATTTATATCCAATTGTCACTGTAATTTTCTTTTTATCACTGTCACAGAATTTGAAGAGGATGATTAATAGATTCCAAAAAACAGAAAAATTAGATAAAATCTCAGTTGTCTTGAATTTATCTATTTTTTGTGAATTTTCAGGAATGTTGTGTAAAATTGCTCATCTGTGGATTTATTCTATTAATGGAAAAGGAATTTTTATAGTGAATTTTTTAAGCCAAGCTTTAGAAATGGTTTCTAGCTTGATTGTAACTATTATGTTTATTGTAATTGCAAAAGGCTGGATATTAAAGCATAAAGAGCTACCTAGAGCTGAAGTAATAATCCCTATAGCTCTTATAGTCTTAGTCGCAAATATTGTGATTATTTTATATGGAACTATGACTGACGATTCTCACAATAAATTCAGCGATTATGAAGGGACTGCTGGGATGATGCTGATTTTATTAAGGGTTGCATTGTGGTGCTGGTTTTTATATCTTATATGAATCCTTTATAATTCTCAACAAAATAGAGAAAGCACATTGAGTTTTATCATAAATTTCGCATTTATCGCTTCTGCTTACTTTTTAGCTTTTCCTTTACTTGTATTGGTTTCTACGATATTCAAAAATTATTTGAGAAACAAATTAGTAAGCTTAGGAAGTGAGGTAATACAGATTATTGTTTTTATTTTCCTTACGCACTTATTTGGGAATACTAGCTCATTTTACAAAATTTCGACCCTATCACATAGTGATCTTCCGGGAAAGTCTCATTAATTTAACTAATTTAGGATTATTTATAATTTGATTAAAAGGTAAATAATATATAGAAAGCATTATTTTATTCACGATTATAATTATTTATACAAAATTGCTTGATGTATAAATTCAGAGATATAGCCTAAAAATTCTGCTTTATGCTATGAGGCTAAACCTTTGTTTTAACTTATATCGATTTATGAAAATCTTTAAAAATGGTGATTTTAATTATTTTATGAATGTTTCATAAAAGTTTTTTTTGCATTAAATTTTATTTTTGCTGTTGACTCAGATACCTTTTTTAATTATTAAAATTCGGAATAAGAACATATTTTGAAGTAATAGCGTAGCTAAAATTTAAAAAAATACATTAATTTTTTAAATTTCTTTAAGCCAATAGTCTTGGTTTATAAAATTCTAATAATGCTTTTCTATTTTTGTAAGAAATTATTACGAAGCAAATAAAATTTGCTATGAAGAATGCATTATTTATTATTTCTTCTTATATGGTTTTATTTTATTTTAATTATAAAAATCATATTTACCATCTATCTTAAATAATTAATTAACAACCCTTCTAAAATCTTTTTTAAAATAAACAAAATAATTCTTTATTTATTATTTTCAGATCATAAGAAGAATAAAAATAGCTCATGCCATTTGCCGGCTCATTTACTGGCCTTTGAAAAAAAGGTCACCTTAAATTGGGAGAAATAGATGAAAAATTATAAATTTCACAAGATAGGCAGAATTTAAATTCTTTTATTCTCTATTTGAAGAATAGTTGAAAATTATCAATTAAAGCCAAGGAAATTAGAATTTTCTTAGAAATATCCAATTTTCTATCCCTGCTTATTTGTGGCCATTTCTGAAATAATCTTAATCTTTAAATAAATATCGGCAAATCAATTCGGCTGGTGTTTGATAAAGTTCTAAATATAGCTTCTTCATAGATAAGCTATTGTAACTCTTATCTAATTAATGGTTTAAATAATAAATGTCATCGAATGATCGACGAACTTGGTCATTGGAGGTAATTCATATTTAGGAAGATGAGGCGATCAAAGAACTTGTCCTTGGTATGGGAATCAGCAAATGGTGCCAGGTCGCAGGTCTCCTCAAAAAGCAATATGGGATCAAGAATCGGACTGGAAAACAATGTAGGGAACGATGGCACAATCATCTCGATCCTTCCATAAACAGAGACCCCTGGACTCCAAAAGAAGATAAACTAATCCTAGAACTCCAAAAAAAACACGGAAACAGCTGGTCTGAAATCGCAAAGTTTCTCCCTGGCCGCACAGATAATGCAATTAAAAACCGTTTTTATTCCACGATTAGAAGGAATCTACGGAAATTCAACAGGAAAAGACCAAAAAGCTTAAAAATTACAGGACCGCTTAAAAGCATCCTTAAAGACAGTGAAACTGTCGAGCTTATTTTTAAAGAAAAAGCTCCTCCAAGAAGAAAAGCTTATAAGGATGAAGAAGACTCATCAGATTCTGAAAGTCTTTCTGGGTCTTTTGAAGAATTGGAACAACAAAAGGGTGATACAAAAAATATCGCCATATCAGAAACTGATGAAACAGCACTGTCAGTTACAAACACCTGTACAGTTTTACAAGAAAATATTCAAAATATTGATGCATATAATACTACTTACAGTTCTAGCGTTGAATGTAGTTATCCTTTTGTAAATTACAGAAATGCCATCCAGTGGCAATATTATACATCAGCATGGGCAAGCTATATGAATCTCAATATGATTCAGCAATTCCAAAGATTGCTTTCACAATAGTATAAAGTTCAGTAGATAGACAGTATAAATTAAAAATTTTACTAAAAGTTGTTAGATTAAGTCTCTTCTTAAGTAAAAATGAATAATAAGCCAAAATTTTGCCAAATTCAAAAACAAATTAACTCATTAAGAAATTCAGTGAACTGTAAGGAGAAAAAAGAAAATTTAGATGAGCTATAAAGACGAGACAGCGACGAGCAAAAATTAATAATTATTATTCTAAATATACAATGAAATTAAAAACATTAATGATTTGTTTATTGTATTTTTAGAAATTTTATGCGAAAAGTTAAAATTAATTAAAAATTATTTTTTGCTATGCTTAAAAGCTTAAGCTCTAGAAAAAGTTCTTACAGTAGATCTCCGAAGCATCTTTTACTACCTTCCATAACTCCTAAAAGTGTCCGAGGCAGCTTCCAAGTAGAAGATCCTCATTTTTCCCAATTATCAACCTTTGCAGGACGTGAAATAAGGCTAAAATCATCATATGCTACCAAAGAAATTTTACGAAGGAGATCTATAAACTTATCAGCCGAAGACAAAATTAATTCTCGATCAAACTCGCCTAAACCTAGGAGAAAAAATATGAACTCTCAATTGCCGTCTATAAAGGAATATTTAGAAAAACTACAAAAAACTGATAATGATAAACAAAAGACTGATAATGTCACTTCTGCTTCGGTTCAAGTTAAAAAGTCAGTCTCGCGAATACGAAAATTAATAAGTCATTGCTATACACCTGCATAGATTCAAAAATCCGAGAAAAGAGCGCCTTTATTGATTTTAATTTATTATTGTTAAAGATAAGTAAATCATCGCCAAAACATTTTTTCATTAAAATTTATAGCTTATTGAGGATACTTAAGTAGAATTTATACCTCTATATTTATTTATATAATTTATTTAACATTAATTTCTCCAATGGAATTCTTTATCAATTTCATCAGAAAAAATGAATTGATAAATCTATGTTAATTGAGATTTAAATTTAATAGAACATTAAGCGGCTTTAAACAATGATAATTTATCAAAGTCTTGATTGAACACTGAAAAAGGCTGAAAATATATGATGTAAGATACCATTTATTCTTTAATATTTTTCTATTATTTCATTATAATTACATATTTATATAATAAAACATTCTAATATGAGATCTTAATGATATTTCTAACAAATTCCCCTTCTAAATCTGCATTGGATTATAATGAATAAAAAACTCAGTATAAATGGAAATGATTTCTTCCTAATTGAAAGAGGGAACTCACCTTCATTTCTCACTGAAGATAAGCTTAAATGTTCTATCTGTATGAGTATTATGAATAGAGAAGAAGGAGAAAGTCATCAATGCCAGTCTCCAATGGCTCAACCACACTTTGCTAATTTTACTCACTCTGAAAAGAAAGGTATGTTTATTTGCAAGACTTGCGGAAAAGAAATACATCAGCTTATGGTCAGACCTCATGCAAATATTCATAATTCAAATAAATCAAAAGAATCACCTATTCCTAAGCACGTTGCTAAAAAATCTGCAGGAGTCCAAGGAAAAATTGAACAGGAAGAGTTGTTAATAATAAATTCGAAAAATCCTCTAGAGCAAAATAACTTTAATAGGATTGTAGTTGAAGAGTCAGCCTTACAGCAGAATGGCAGACCAGATCCTGTGAATTCTTTAAATATTCTGCCAAGAATAATTGAGGAATATCAAATAGCAAAGAAAAAGCCAAATAGTGATGGAAGCTTGGAAGAGCGAGAGCCTAATGAAATAATGAGAGAAAGCAAAGAAAAAGAAGCAAATAAATCGCAAGAAAATGCTATAAAAATAATAAATGATCGTGAAATGCTGCCAGAAAGATCTTTTATAAGGGCAGATATAAATTTACCTGAAAACCCTAAACTTCCTTTAAAAAGACAAAGAAATGCTACAAAATCTCCTACTCTAAAAATTATTAAACAAGCTCGACGAATACAGATCATTCTTGAAAGATTAGTTACAGTTAATAAAAGAGTTATATCAGCAGATACTAAAGCAGCATTCAAGAAATTATATAAATTGGCTTTTATTAACTAACTAGTCATAATTTTCTAATCTCCGAACTACATTATTACTATTCTTTTTCTGTCCAGCCCAGATTCCAATAAATTTGCTTCTACAAACCTATTAAACCCTGACGGTCCACATATCCAAGCTCTTTTTGGGTTATTTTTCCCAAGCTTCACCATAATCTCTGGTATATTTTGATTTCCCTTTTCACTGGTAAAAATTAATATAAGCTTAAATATATTTTCATCAATTACCTGCTCTGTAGCTTTTAATAAATCAATCGCAAACGCATCTTTTCGGGACCCAAAGGAAACATAAAGCATTAATTTAAATTCATGAGGATTTTCCCTATTTACCCATAAATAACGCACTAAATCTAAAAATGGAATTAATCCAGTGCCCCCTGCAACGGCAAGAAAGCTGCCAGATAAATTATCAATCCCTAGTCCAGGTCCTAAAGGTCCTTTTAATAATATAGTATCGTTTATAAGTAAATTATTCAAATAGTTACTAACAACCCCAAGTGGATATACCTTAAAAATAAATTTCAAGCCTTTTTTCTCTTTATTTATAGGCTCACTAACCTCATAACCTTCAGCAAGAATTTCTTGTCTTCATTTGTCTAAATTTACAAAAAAACAGCTGTAATATCGAGAAATATTTTTTCTTTTATCAAAAACATTAGAAAATGATAGAGGCATCATCAATTTAAAGTGTTTTCCAAGCCATTCTGCTTTTTCTCAATTTTCGTTCATTTCAAATTCATCTGAAGTCATTGTGATAATAAAATGGTTTTCATTAATTTGATTTTTTTCAATAATTTTTCAGGTCATTAAATTTTGGTTGGATTTGTTTGTGCTGATTAAAAAATTTTTTGGGTAGGGAATAGTGGCAATAGATAAATGGCCAGCCATTTCTAAGGCTTGGATTGTATGGGTATAAGGGTTGTAGTTTTTTTGGCTACTGCAGCCTATCATGTATTTTCCTACATCTTCTCCAATAACATTTTTTAGCATATTATAGCCTCCTGGATGATCATATTTGAACCAAGTAATATCTAATACTAGTTCTTCAAGAAATACATATTCTCTGTCTTCTTTGCTAATTTTCTCTATAGCTTCAATATGAGATAATTGTTTATTTCTTCTAAAATAAAAGGATAAAAATCTTCAATAAGGGCTAATCTGATGTCTAAATTCAAAAAGTAAAATTGGTCCAATTACCGCAAACATAAAGCCAATATATGTTTTATTTTGGCTATCATCATATAATTCCCAGCCAAATTTATTATTTACAAGGGCAGAAATCAACAATCCCCATCCGACCACCTGATGCAATTTCCTTGCATAAGAAATAGGAAGCAATTGTTTGGAAAAAATTTTCGAAAAAAATGCTGCAAGCCCCAAAACCCCTTCTCCTACAACTAAAGATAGGATAATAAGCCCGATCACCATATGAGCTTGATTATCTTGATCATCCATTGGCAATATCGCCTCCTCATCTTGGTATCTTTTGCTTGCACTTCACATAGTCAATCCAATAGTAGCAGCCATCAATAAAAAATGAATAATTAAATACCACGGACCCCATCATTTAAAATATCTCGAAAAAATAATTCCGATTGGAACTGCACAAGTCCACATAACAGTCAAAATGAGCCCATGTGTATGTCTGTCATCATCTATACTTGAAACTCCAGCAACAACTGGAGCATCTGGATTTAATGCAACCGTAATATGAGCTGCTTATTAATTACTCTCAATATCATGCTGAACCCATGACTTTTTGCTTTCAGTTGCACATATCATATCTATTGTTGAATTCGGGACTATTACAGAATCATATTTATCGCCAGTATCTAAAAGTCGTGAAACAATCGCCATAAAGCCATAATTTGTAAAATTAAATGACTCAAGGTGGACGTCATTTTTTCCACCTAAAGACTCATCGTCTGGAGGAGTGTCTTCTGTTGAGGAATATAAGTCCATTGCTGTGAGGGTGTTAGAAGATTGGCTTGAAAGGAGAACTATCATATCAGCACTATACATATCAGAACCAAAGCCGATGCCACATCATCCTGCACTGCACTATATGGATTTTACATTGAAGCTGAATCTTACGCTTGTTTGGTTAAATTCGAACCCTATGTCAAGCTTAGAGCATAAGTTTACATAGTTATAGGAAAAAACGAAAATGGGAAGGCATAGGAAAACACCCATTCTTAACAGATTCATTAGATTTTTTTATATAATAACAAAAAAATATGAAATTTTATGGTAAGGTGAGTGAGATAATAATAAACTTGAAGCTGATAATTATTATATATAATAATTAGAGTAAGAATGAGTTAGTATATAATTTAATCTGATATAAATATACATACTAATCCAATAATATTATATTTTCTATCTAATTTGCTTTATTTTGTAATCTTCTGATAAACTATTGATTTATTATAAATAATTGTAATTATTTTCTATTATATCAGAAAATTAGAAATAAGTAAAATATTAATAAGTAATAAATAACCGTGTCTAAATGCATTTAAAATAAAAGAATTTTGTATGAATTTAAATTATAGTTTTCTGTTTAAAATTTTAAAATCCTATGAATTTGACTTATAATAAATGATTATTTAAATATGATATTGAAACAAAAAATTAATAAGATAAGTGCAGTCTACCTAAGCCATATTTATCAAAAACTTTTTATGTTTATTATTTAATCTTATAAAATACTAGAATCCTGTTTTATTAGAAATTTTTAAGAGTTCAAATAATTTATTATTATTGACTTTAAGAGATAGATCTGTCTATAATTAATATTAATTTATCTCAATCTTAATTAACTGTGCGTCTATATACACAGTTTAATAAGGATATTTTTATCCTTCATCTTTTTGACCTTTCATCATTATTATTAGCATTTGGTTCTTTATTTCCCTTTTGTAAATAAAATCTTTAAAAATTAGCAAAGCCTTTAATAAAAATTTCTAATAAAAATTCTTTTCATGAACGAAAATTCTATGAACTGCAAAGCTTGATTCTAAATGTAGCACCTGCTCACAGATTCCTCATCCAATTTAGGTCAAAGAAAACCAATGGTGATCTTACGCTGTTACTGTCCTGAAATTCTATAATCACAATCTCCAACACTTTCCATTCAATGTATGTGCCTCCAAAATCCTCAACAAATGCCAAATCTGCTGTTTATTTCTGTTAATTTTGGTGCGAGGTTCCAAAAATGGAATTGTGGTATTTCAATATATTTCGTGTCCTGAGTGCGGGTACTCCTGCTAATCCCCATGAAGTCACTTGAAAATTCAGAAGTATAGGAAACGCTAACTTACTTACTTACTTAGTTACTTAGGTATTTAAGGTGTATTGATTTCTTCAGCAGGATGATTTAGGCATGCGTGAGCCCATCCTTTTAACTCCCAACTGGTGACGTCACCAAGCACTCCTGGACCGGTTAGCCCGATCTGGCCGTCTATAAAGTTCCGCCCCAGCAGGGCCAGAAATCCCGCACCGGCAGCGTTGCCTCGCCGAACTTGACTCCTGCACGTGTTCCGCCTAAGGGTCACCCTCCTCGGGTGTGTCAAGCAGAAAACCCAGATGTCCTTTACCCCCCCCCCCCTCCGTGAGCGAACAAAAAAATTTTGTTCACTCACGGAGGGGGGGTTAATTTTTTTTTTAAAAACAATTTATATATAAATTTTATAAAAAATATTTTTTTCGAAATTTAAAAAAAAATCCTAATTTGCAAAAATTGGGAAGCAAATACTAATTTTAATTTGCAAAATTTATGTTTTAAAACGCAATTTGTTTAAAATTAAACAGAATTAGCTCTAGATTTCATTATACTAATTATCACTTATATAGCAAAATTTTTTTCCATTAAAATTTTTTTTCTATTAAAAATATTTTTGTTCACTCACGGAGGGTGGGTTTTTGGTCAAAAAATGGCGATTTTTCTAATGGTTTTGTTCGCTCACGGAGGGGGGGGGGGGGAGTTAGCATCTTGGACCAAATGAATACCCTATGCGGTATTCCATATTGGTGTTGCGGATAAAAGGCCACGTGGAAAACTGAACCCCGTAATAATAAAAGCGAGGGAAGGAATAGTTCTCGGAGAGAACTAATTCCGCACTGAGCCATTTTATTATTATATAGGAAACGCTAACAGTTTGGTCCGTTGCCTCACATATTAGCTTCTCTAGCGATCGTTCAATTTAGTATCTTACCTTCATATCAGTAATCTAAAAACGAGCAATCTGATACACAAAGAATGAGGGTAAACAACCATCGTCATTTCTTCCACTTAAGCAGAAACTCACATTCAAAAATCTAATCCTATAATAAAAGCAGATGAGAAAGAAAAGGAATTCACGATGTGAATTTCTTAATGTTAGAAGCCATTTTATATTATGATATTATTTCTCTTATTTAACATGAATTGGCTTTTATCAAATTATATATAAAACCTAAAAAATCAATAAAAATGTACCACTTTTAACTATTAATTTGATCATTATCAAGCCATCTCCTCATTTAACAAATTTTAATGCTTCATTCAATTATACCTTAAAAAATTATAAAAACACACTTTTATAAAGAGTTTCAGTTTGACCTTTAATTTTCTGTGCTTTTCTAACTTTCATAAATAATTAAATAAATATTTTTATTTTTTTATAATAAAAACAATATTCTCATAGCAAATTCATAAAAATCTTATTAAATGTTGATTTGGATTAAATAAAATTAAGCTTATAGTTGAGTAAATGGAATCCAAAGAACAGCAAGCATTCCAAGAAATCCTTACAACCTGCACATCTCCCATATCCCAGCCTTCTGATTCAACTCCTCAGCCCAACCCGCTTGGTCATATATTTTCCAGAATAAAATACCTTATAGATTCTCGTTCCTCCCTCATCCCTCGTCTCAATAACATATCAATTTATAAGTTTATCAGGCATTTTCTTAATGATCGTGACAAAGAGATCAGAGTTTCTGCACTTCGTACCCTCCGATATCTCGCACTATCTGAAGAATCTATGATAACAATAAAAGAAGCCCGAGTGGAACATTTTATAGTTCGAGCTTTTGAATCAGAAGGGAGATCTCAAGAACAGTCCCAAGCCATTATTTTAAGAAAAATATTAAAAAAAATAAATTATTATATGTTCTTATAAGCAAATTATTTTAAATATATAAAAAGCTTTTGAATAAAAATTATAAGATAGACTCAAGAAAGGATAGAAGCTTGCAAGCTTATAAAAAGATGACTTGAAATTTCACCTAAAAATTTCCCTAAAGGCTTTATTAACGCACTGATAGCTTTAAGTGAAATAGAAAATGATGAATTAAGAGAATTAGCAATAGAAGCCCTTCGTCTATTAAGTATATCAAATACTTTGATTGTAGCTTGAAGCGGCGGATTTAGAGTTCTTATTAATTGTGTATTAGATTTAAAATGCCCTCAAGCATTGAGTGAAAATATTGTTTTGACATTTTTATGCCTTGTTTAAAATATCATTATTTCTATAAAAAATATAATCAAGCTTTTCTCTTTAAAAATTAGCTCATATCAGCAAGTAAACCATTCAAAATCTCTATCATCAAGTATATATATAATTTCCCTATAAATATCCTATATAAAATTACAGCCAAAACCTATCAGCAACCCTTTAAAAAAAAGTATATTTATTAAACGAAAAGAAAACACGAGTATTTTTAAGAAGAGAAAAAGAAATCGCACGGCTTCTAGCAGTCTTCACTGATCAAGACAGCGGACTCCGAGAAAACGAACTTGAAGCCCAGATTAAATTAGCTAGAAGAGCTTTAGTTTTAATGTCTAGAAGTTGGGTAGGATTAATATTTTTAGCATCAGGAGGATTAAAAGAAGTTATCGATAATTTGCGCCAGCCTATAAAGCAGCTTATAAAAGAAGGGATTTTGGACACAATAACAGATATGCTAAATATTCCTATTGAAAGCAGCTCAAAAAGCCAAAATTTGTTAAATAATTATCTTGCAATGCTGCTTAGAGCACTATTGCATTGCAACCTTTACCCAGCATTAACTCAGCTTTCTATGGACAGAAGTGACAGAATTGCCCATAGAGCTAGAAAATTGTTGAAACTTGTAACGAAATCTGCGTCTGATTTATTGCCTGAAGCGCCGCAGTTTCCATTGATTTTGAATTCAAATGCCTCAGGAAAGGCTGCAGAGGTCGTGGCGGATATTGATTCTTCTGCAAGGCTGCAAAAGGAGTCTGATAATAGAAATTTGGTATTCTAATATAAATAGTAATTTATATATATATTTATAATAAATTTTTTAAAATTCATGATTAATTGTGAGAGAATATATTCTGCTTGTGAATTTGTTAGCTATGAAAACATGGGCGGCGCTTCTAGTGTCAATTGGGTCCTCTCCAGCATTTACAAGCAGCATGCCATGAATATGATCAATGACAGCATTTTTACAGATTTACTCAACAAAAGCCAAATTGTGAGAGAGCCAGCAAAATGGGACTGAGACGTCATTTATGAAATTGTAGCAGGTCCAATCTCAACCCCAGAGCGTTTTCAAACCGCTTTAAAGTTCCGTTTCCTTAAATTCCTCCTGGGCTACTTCATGCCTAGCCGCAACTTATTCCCTCTTCTCCCATGGCATACCTCAAATTTTATTAAAGCTCGTGTCGGCAGTCTACTAATCCCTCTATTACTTTCCCAAGAAGACGGAATCCAGCTCCTCACTACGACCTTTTCTGAAAGTTTTTTTGTTATAAGAAAATCCTTTATGTCTGAACTAGTTGACGCCTTAGACGAAGAAATAAAAGCTATGGAAACCAACAAATCAGGGATCGGGCGCATTTTAAGCCCAGAAAAAGTCAGAGGATTTATGACTCGAGAATACTTCAAATGAATTGGCCAATTTACTATGTTCAGAGGCGGCAGAAAACTTATAAAAACATATGGAATTGATGCAAAACTTATGAAATTAGGCGGAGTTGAACATCTGAGCCCAATTTTGCTGCCCCATTTGGATTATCGTGAACAAATGTCGAGAGATTTCTTATCATTTGCAATGCAAGCGAAAAGTGTCAGTGTGAGGAAACATGCGATGGAGCATTTAAGGGTGCTGTTTAGGGCTGGAATTTTTGATTTATCGTGGGCTATTAGGGAGCTGGTAAACCAACTTTATTGTCCTGACCAAGACACTATAAGCTGCGCATTGTCAGTCATTGATGAACTGTGCCAGGATAAAGAAAACTTGAAAACTTTTATAGAAACAGGCCCACAGACATTGACAAGACTGGGGGAAGAAGGAAATAAATGCTTGATTCGCTTTCTTTCAAGCTCGTCTGGGGTGTCTTATTTGTCACATTTAGATTTTATTGAAAATGAGCTACAAAAATGGCATCAGAGAGGAAATTTGGATTATGTGAGGACTATTGAACAAAGGATTGAAATGGGATTGAGTGCGACAAAAAAGACTTATTCGTTGACATTGCCGACTCCTCCTGCATATCTTCATTCAGAAAGACTTGAAGCTGCCTGAATTCGAAGTTTGCCATTTTCGATCACAGTCAGCATTATTCTTTTTCTTATAAATAATTATTTTTTTTTTAAAAATGCATAAAAAAGTCTATACCAATTTACAATAAATAAAAAAATACCTATAGATCAGCCATTATTTACTATAAAACAGCTGATTATAGGAATATTTGATATAGATCTGTATAAAAAATTCCAAAAAAAATATAATAATTCAATTACAAAGTCTTTTGATCCAATTATTGAGGTAGAAGATGACGATGTTTACATGACAGCTAAAATAGAAATGGAAAATCCTAGTGAATGCATGATAAATGAAGAAGATTCTATTAATATTTCTTTATTGCTAGGAAACTATTTTATCGACGCTAAAGGACAGGAAAGCTTAGAACCAGACTGGGTTAATTGTAATAAAGAAGACAGGCAACGGGAACATTATGGAGAAACACTGCTTGTAGAAAAAGACGGAATTATCTTTAAATTTGATGTAATAAGGCCTGGAAGATTTATGCTGAACCGAATAAGCTATAGGCTCCTTTGTGTTCCAAGGGCTGCACCTACTATGCTTTTCCCTCGACACTTGTATGGAGAATTGGTAAAAACCAAGCTTGGGCTTAAAAAACTGAAGGATTCCAGACATATTGAAGAATTATTAGCCAAATTAACGTCGGATGGGCCTATAATAGAAAAAAGAGCTGCTTTATGGGCACTTGGGCATACTGGCTGTACAGAAAGAGGAGTCACATATTTGACTTCACTTAGAGCTATAGGGACAATGATAAATATCGCTGAACAAAGCCCAGTTCTCTCATTGCGAGGCACTGCATTTCAAGCTGTTTCTTTATTAGCTAAATCTCAGCTCGGCAGATCTGAGCTTGCTAAGCATGGCTGGGCTAGTCCTGTTTCTATGCAAGCTACCATAGCAATGCCACTTAAAGCTGAAGCTATTTTTTGGCTCGAAGACGAAGAAAAGACCCCATTTTACTCTGATAAATGCCTAGAAGCTGAAAATGTGCTTGATTCAATTGACCTGAATGAAGAAGAAAAAGAGGTTCTAAACCATGTAATAGGCCTAGGAAGTGTAGTAAACAGAAGTGAAAGCGAACAATTTTTAAGAAATAAACGAATGCAGTCCCCAAACATTTTTCAGTCAATTCCACTTTTCCATGCTACTATGACGATTATTGCTGCATATACTTTTAAGATGTCTGCGAGAAAATTAGTTCATAAGCTTTTTGAAAGGATTTATCGTTCACAAGAAAATCTGAAAGAATTGGATGGGCTAGTTTCTTTGGTGTAACTTGGTCTTAGAAATTGTTTAGACTAATATTAAAAAATGCTCGACATATCTATATAATCTTTTTTTAAATGGGCTGCTGTCATGACCGTGAAGTAAATTATAACTAGGAACGAGGCCCTGGACAATACCAAAGGAAAAACCATAGAAGGGTGATATTAAAACGTGACTATGACCTCGACACTATGAAAGATCAAGAGACAATGATCATAAAAGAACATTCAGACATATCCATGTCAATTGAAATAACCGAACCAGATGATGAAAAGTACTTACGAGCTCAGCTAGAAGTCTATAAAGTTAACGGCGAATGAGGCCAAATAGCGAAAATGATATCAAATCGAACAGAAATAACTGAAGCTAAAATCTATATAAGCTGGGCTGAAAAACCAAAAACGATTGGAAGCTTAGCAATTGCTTATTTATGCAAAGAATGCAAAAATGATCCAAAAGCCATTGCACCATATGTAGAAAAAGATTTACCTTTATTACTGGCAAGCATAAAGATGGGAACTGATGACCTCAGAGAAAATTCGCTTTTGCTGCTTTTTTACTTTGTGGATGTAGCTTCAGAAGAGTCAATTACAAAACTATTGAAATTAAAACAATTTACTATGAATTTCCTATGAATAATTGCATGTTTCACTAAAAGATATATTAATATATCCTTCCTGACTCATAAATATATAATAATATTATTCTAGCTATTTTCTTTATTTTTTAAAAATCTCATTATTTTTTACGTTAAGTGCCTATCACCTTATTCTACAGGCAAATCAAGGAAAATCAGTATAAATATATTCAATGCTTTGGTAAGATGGTTTTTATGCTCCAAAGCTGAGTTAAGACATATATCAGCCGATATATGCGCTAAAATTTATAGAGGACGAAGAGCAGCTCAAGAAGCATTTTTAAATGAGCAAGGAGCGTTTAAGCTTGTACAATTAATTGCATGAAGCTCAGATCAAGAAGATGTTCTTTTAGATCTGCTTGGATATTTGATTGATTTAATGCAGGACGAAAATGATGACCCAGTGCTAGAAAATATAGGAAAAGTCCACGAATGTATGGTATGGGATATTATAAGGAATATTGATACTACAGAAAAGTCACAAGAACTAATGGAGCAGCTTGACGCTGTAATAAGGCTATTATCGTTTCAAGGAGGATATTCATAAATCGGTATAGTTAATAAATAATCAATAAGTATATTTATTATCTATTTCTTAATTTATAGTTATTTTCCAATATGACAACTGCACAGATTAATGATTATGCTGGCTAGATGCAGGCAAACTAACTAGATTTCGCCCATCTTGGCTAAAAGATGTTGCTTTAGGATTTCAGGCATGAGCCGCCTTTCCAAGGGATCAGCTTTCTAGGACGAACCACCTTCCGTAGAGTACTCTGATTTTCCTGATGAGGAAAGATCATGTGGTAGGCAAAGCCTGTCTTGCCCATCTAGCAGAGACAGGAAAATCTTCGGGAGAAGCAAATCTTCCCTGTTCGACAAGGTATCCCCAAACCTGAAGGTCCACTTCAAAAAGGATAGATGCCCTGTTAAAGCTTCTTCATGATGGATCCGACCTGCTCCATGGGGAGTGCGCCTCGAAGTCTAATTCTTTTTTATTTCTTTCAACTGCACAAGGAATTCCTGATTTTGCTTTCCATCTTCTAATCAACGAGGTCATTAAGCAAACAATTATAAAAACCTCCCAACAATCCTTAATAGACGCGCTTAAAGAACTAACGAGAGAGCAAATACTTGAAAAGAAAAAAGAACTTAAAAAACTTGGACTTCTGATAGGTGAACGTGTAATTGGCTATAGTAATTTTATTTGAATTTCCCATTCTCTATTTTAGCTATTTTTTTAAATAAATAAAACAATAAAACAGGATATATTGTAAAAGAACACATATGACTAAAAGAGCCAAACGCAGTGCTTCGCTTTGTCTGCAAAGAGTTTTGGCTTTGTTTGTTTGGGAAATATATAGATAGATTGCAATCAAATAATAGAGGAGTTTATATCATGTATGACTATAAATTCAGATGGCTGCAGTCATTGTCTTTAGATACAACAGATTCGGTGGATAAAGAAGCCATTGAGAAATTTTATAATTTTATGCTCAGCTGGGTTTGTGGAGTAATTAAAGGAGGGCTGAAAGGATTAGGAGTTTCTGCGCGATCTGAAGCGAAAGTAGAAGAAGAAGGATGCAAATTTACAGTGACTCTAAAAAATATGATTTTTTAACTAGATAAACAAGCATATATGAACTAAGCTAAACATAAATTATAAATTACAGATTCTTAGACTGTGAAGGCTATCGAATGTGCATAAATTACCAATCTCATTGCGTTTTTCTTTTAGCACTTTATTTTCTTTTTTAATCTTAGGTTTTTTTCTCGCTAATTTTTTGTAATATCTAGGTGAGATTTTTACAGTTGTGCTGCTTGCATTTAAATTTTTCAAATGGTCTGAATTATTCATTTCTTTGTTTTTAGGTGTTTTTGTCAGCAAATCTTTAAGTTCATTTTTTACAATAGGAGATAACGATCTTTTTATCGCCAAATTTTTTGACGAAGGCATAATACTTTTAGAGCTTTTAGATTTAAAAAACGATGAATAATAATCAGTATCTGGAATTTTGCTTATAGGAGTCATAGATTTAGGCATATCTCCTGCTGGATTATGAATATTTTGCAGCCTAGGAGTCATTACTAGTCCTCTATAAAATTCTGCTTTTGTTACTTTTTTTGGTTCTTTTCTGCCTATATTCTTCACATGCGGTTTTAAATCAAGCTCAGTCCCTGCATCTCCAAAATGGTGGCTTGAATCTTTGGTATATGAAGATATAAATGAAAAAGCTGGCTTAGCTAATCTATCAATTAATTCTATTTTTGAGTTGCACTGAATTCCAACTGTATCTCTTTTCTTAATTTTGCAAAAAATTGTATGAGAAGCTTCATTATTTTCAGGGCTTCCAAATTTTGATTGTGACTTGTTAGGAAGAAAAGTTAATAAGGTCGGGTTAAATTTACTTTTTTTCATTTTGTTTTTATATAATTAGTTTTTCACATTATCATTAGCAATTCACATTTTCTTGTCCAATTGTTATATACTGCATATATAAATTTAAGTATTTAATTTAAAAGGATTATATAGCGATTATTGTTAATAATTTATTTAAAATTGATTTTACATTTATTCTTGATTTCTACATGTGAAAATATTTATCATTTATATCTCGAATATTAAATGAATAAGAAAAATGGCTTCCGCACTCCGTTTCATCCTTTTCAGATAGCTAGCTGAGTCGTTATGATATTTCATATACTCATTGGAATTTTATGCATCTCGTTTTTACTATCTAAGGAATATTTAATCGTATTTTTGCTGCTTTATTATTCAACTCTTTTAGCCTTGCTAATTCAAGGCTTAATTCTTACAAAATCTGACCCAAGTGTTAGCATTCCGATAGAAAATATTGATAAATCGCCAGATGCTGTCAATTATTTGTGTACAATCTGTAAAAATTATGTGACAGAAACTTCAAAGCATTGCGGAAGCTGTGATAGGTGCGTTGATCGATTTGACCATCATTGCAAATGACTTAATAATTGTATTGGAAAACATAATTATTCTATTTCTCTCAAATAATTTTTTTCTTTTTTCTAGTATAATCTCTAAAAACTGCTAAAATTAACAAATACAGATAAAACCAGTCATATTTCAAGGATATATAAACAATTTATTATTTTGATTGTGCTTTTGGAAATTAATTTATCAATTTTGATCGTTTTTGAAATTTCTATTATCGACAAATGAAAAACACATGGTCTTAATAAATCTAAAGAAATAGTTCAAACTGATGTAAGCTTTATTATCGCTGATATCATCATAAATGCATCAATTTTGCTATTTAATGGGTATCTGATAGGCTTCCACATATTTTTAAAATTTAAAAAGATGACTACTTATGATTTTATACAGCAAAGAAGAATAAAAAAGAAAAAAGAAATCCAGCCAGAGATGCAGCCTTTTGAAGGGGAGGAAAATGGAATTTCGATGATGAATAATGATTTGAAAAGCCCACGAGGAACAAATGACGAAATGGGAGGAATGAATTTAAAATCAGAAACGGAAATTAGCTCCCCTAAGTATTTTAACCAAATGTTTCAAATTTCACGCTCATTCCACAAGTCAATTATAACAGTAGATTCAGATATAGTAACAAATGAGCATTCTTAATCTTTTATAATGTATATAAATTAATTTTTATTATTTTTAAGTAAAGCTTCTAAGTGAGGCTCATGCATGGTTTTTCAATAAAATATAAATTTAAAGTAATTAAATTATTTTCAATAAGCAGAAAATATTTGATAGGTCATTTTTATAATTATAACTATGAAATTTAAAGCATTGATTCTCCTTACCTTAGTAGTCGGAAATTTTGGAAAATTCAACCAAGAATTATGCGTGCAAAGCCTGGAAAATGTTGCAAAAAACTATTATCATGCTGTGCTTTACTGGAATTCCTTTGTATACTTTAAAGAAGCGATACAGAGTATGGGAGCTATGCTAACTAGTATTGGGCTCGCCCTAAATTACTGCGATTTTCTCTCAGATATATTAAAGTCAGAATCTGTAGAAATAGCCAGAGGAAATTTGCTTTTATTAGGAAATAAATGGGAAAGTGTAAAAGAACCTAAGGTTGCGAAAATTAACGAAGTTTCTGGAGGATCTGAAGGCAGTTGCATGGAGCTAACAATTGAAGTTATTGAAGCAATTGATCGTTTAGCAGAAAGCCTAGCAGCAGAAGATATATATTTAAGCCTAACCAAACTTATGGGAGCTACAGGAGAAGCTTTAAGAAAATGCGAAAATATCGTAAATAAGTAACATTGAACCAAGAAATAATATTAAAATATGCTCCTATTATTTTAAAGCAAGAATTGTACATCAGTATATGTTTAAATATGTTTACAAAACGCAATCAATTCACTATTTCGCTGCAGACACCAGATGTTTCTGGGCCAACTCCCGACTCAAAAAAAATACACTGATATGTAATGATAACTGTCATGCGAGAAGATAAGACGTAATTTATATGATATTCAAATTCATAAAGGGAAGGCTGTCTCGGAGAGAAAATTTGAGTTTGAGTAGCATGAGTGTTTCAGCAATTGCTGCGCTAGAAACATTTAGAGGCTAATGAAAATAAAGATCGATATTTGGCTGTCTTTAATATGAATTTTTAGCTTCACTCTTTCATTATGCATAAATATGTTTTATACTGGGCGTGAATATTTCCAATTTCATAGAACAAATTATAAATTACAAATTACTTAACAGTTATCACAATTAACTTAACAATTTTCCTAACAAATTCCTGAATATTTTTTATAAAAACAACAGTCTTAATTGTTTTTTTATTTAGATAGCTAGAGTGAGCGAAATCGATATCCACATACGATGCAAAAAACTGGGAATTCATTATAAAAATTGATCTATGCATGCTATTTTGTACAAAAGGTAGAGACATTCTACGAAAATTATCCATTCCTATAGAGCATGGCTCTTTCTTTATATTTTGATAAAAAAATTTCATTAAATTACTCAAAATTCCCTTTTATCCTTCATCTAAGCCAGCTCTCTCATAAAGTCCTCCATTCCTCTTCCACGCAAGCCAAAACTCATTTTAGCTTTAAAATTATTATGGAAAAAAACAAAATTTCTTTGTTTTCGATTCAATTTTATTAATCAAAAAAGTTATATGAACATTAGGACTTTCATTGAACTTAAATGTCTTCAATTTGATGCTCATGAACTTCTTCAATTTGAATCATAATTGGGTCACCTATAGATAGTGACACACCGTCGTCTGAGCTGTTGCGCTTTTTTCTTTCGTAAAGGTAATTATCGAGAGGGGAAGTCATTTCATCGGTGATGCTTTTGGCCGGAATCGATACATTTTGAGGCTTGTGCTTACGCTTGACAAGCTGGAAAATTTCAAGTTCAATTGTACTGAGCTCGGTTTCTGAGCTATGTCTGCTTAAAATTTGGAGCAGAACAGGATCGTTTTTATCGATAAGTTCTTGGAAAATTTGAAGTTCTGCAGGATTTATTGCTTTAGTAGACTGGAAACTGGCTAGAATCGAGTTTGCAAGAAGAATGGCTGATGAATCCATTTCTTTATAAGAAAATTGGAGAAATAAGGATTTTTTGATGTGATAAAATGAAGCAATATAAGGTAAGCAGAGCAAAAACTATTAAAATGTATAAGCCAGTGTTTTATCAAATTTAAAGGGAGCTTGCATACTACATTGTTGGTTAATATTATAGTTTTGCTGACATTTTCGATTGGTTGGAATGCCTTTATAATTTCTTGATTTTTAGAGTCAATATAGAAGCAGGTAATTATCAAAAAATATGTCTATTTATAATGAATTTAAGAAAATAGGATAGATTACTGGTATAAATGCTAATATTTCTTATATAATAATATATTATAGGCCAAAATCATAATACTAATTTGTTTTCAACTTTGCATTAAAATTTTTAAAAGAAAAGATTTATTTTGCAAATTATTAGTTTATGCTTACATTTTCGCCAAATTTTACTCTTTTTCGGTATTATTGAAATAAATATATGATTGATAATTAAATTTTAGTAAAAAATATTTATTCATTAATTTAATCATTTAAATTTTTCTTTTAAAATTCGGAAATTAAACCCTAATACGCCCCTTTGTAAGAAAGCAAATAAAATTTGTTCGATCATGAAAGATGAAAGAGGCTTAATTTTTTTTTCTAATTTTATATCAACATTTTATAGTTAAAATATCCCAATTCCAAAATTAAAAATTAATTTATGGTTTGAGAATGCAAGCTGTTTTTATAATAATTATCATTTTATATTAAAATATTTTTATAAAAATTTATATCACAATTCAAAAAAAATATACCAATTTTCTAATAGTTTTGCTGCACGGGAAAGGGAAGTAAAGAATAAGCTAAATTTTATTAATAATTACTTATTAATTTAAATATGAGAAATAGGAGGATAAAAGTCTAATTTTTTAGATTTTTGGTAATTCAGAGATGATCGGCGCTCTGCTCCAATTATTAACAAATTTTATTGATAAAATGGCTGATCTCACACATGCAATTGCTGGGTCTTTTGCTGCTGTAATGACTGCATCAATGGTGCAGCCTTTAGATGTCATAAAAACTGGAATTCTTACACAAACTCGCCCAATTACAATAAGAGAAGCATTTGCGCTGATATACGAAACTTATGGATTTAAAGGATTTTGAAGAGGCCTAAAGCCTGCAGCTTATAAATCTTTTATGGCAGGAGGTATCCAATTTTCATTACTTGAAATGTTTAACAAACTTCTAAAATCTGAAAAATCAATTACAAGTCGATTTTTGCATGATAGCCAGTCAGCAGGTCTCTCAAGACTTGCAGTAATCACAGCACTTTCTCCTTTAAGCATAATAAAGCTGAGAATGGAGGCGCCACAATTTAATCAATATTCTAGCGTTAGTGATGCTTTTGTGAAAATTTTTAGAGAAGAAGGAATAAGAGGATTTTATAAAGGCTTATTTTCAAATTTACTATCCTTGCCAACTTAATTTTTTCAAAAAATAATTTAATATATAAAAATAAAATAAAATTATTTTAATTAAAGAGTAAGGGATTTACCTTACTCTGCATTAGCATATGCATTTTATGAGCAATACTCTATGTTTATATACTATATCACTGGAATGGACAAGGGGTATTCACTCAATAATTTTGTTTCTGGTGTCTCAGCTGGATTTACAGCGTGCCTAATAACCCAGCCTTTTGATATCATGAAAACAAGACTGCAATTTGCTGATGTTGGAGGACAAAAAGTGAGAGGACTTTTCTGTGGCTTAGTTGGGATATGGAATGAAGAAGGATTAAGAGGATTCACCAGAGGGTTAACAGTCAGAGTAGTAGAAAGGTCCTGCTCTTTTGGGATTGTATGGCTGCTCTATGAAAAAGCGAAGCTGGGATTGAAAAAATAGTCAGAATAAATTAATTGATAAATCTAAAATATTAAAAAAATTAATAAATCCTGTTTTTCGACTTTTTAATTTTATATTATACAAAGAAAATCGAATTTTGGCTATCATTTTTATATAAAAAGCACAATTGATGCTAACTTTATAATAATTAAATAATTTATTTCCTAGCCCCTAACCTGAAAAACACCGCAAAACATGCAACCTTACACAAAAAATTAAGGAAGCTCAATGTATCTCCCCAAAACTTTATTCTCCCTTCATGCTCTATAAAATTCCCACTTTCAGCCCAAGACTACTTCTAAATTACCTTCGAAAAAAACAAAAACCACAGCAAATCATAAACCATAGCCCCAAGAATCACAAAAGAAAGCTTCATATATGTCAAATCTTCATTGACCTTAGCCACATGGAAAACAAAGCACCCAAGAGCTACAGTGGCCTATATATCCCCTACATTAATAAAATCTGGTCTATATCCCATCAGCAAAACAGAAAGCAATAAATAAATAATTGTCACTACATAACTGCTCCAATGCCAATCAATATCTTTCCCCAAAATCCCTTGTACAACATTTTCTATTTTTTTCGAGACCGCTTTTTCTACTCCTGCAGTTTTACTCCCTACAAGTTCAGCGTCAATAAGCAGCCCTCCAAATGGCTGATGCAGCTTTTCCAACTGGTCTTCTAAGTGTGCAAGCTCAGCTTTGTCAAGCTGCACATTTTCATTCCACTGAGCCAAAATCGCTTCATAATACTTCACTTTGCTAAAAACCCATAACAAGCCTAAATGGACTTTTCCGACTATCGCTCCTTTAGGATCTCTTATGTCTACATGCACGTCATGCTTCATTTGGTCTCTTAACCCACTTAATAAATATGTAGATTCTCCTATCAGCTTATGATTCCCAAAATTTGAATGGTTTTTTACAGCAATATAAAGGTTGTCTTCCCCTGTGGTAATCTGAAAAGTAAAAACTTCATTATAAGTTGGGGTCGAGGTTTTCGCTGCAAATTTTGTTTCTATTATCTGCTGCTCACAGCTGAGCTCTACAAAAGGGTCTAAGCTCTGTGGAGACTTAATGGTGGCCTCAATTACATATACAGTAAGTACACTTCCTTCCATAATCCCATTTTTCCCTAGTTTTTCTGTAGCTTTTGCTGTAATTAATTTCCTGTTATAGTCGTCGACCTGTTTTATATTGTCAGCGATTTGGCGCTTTAGCTCTGTCGTACGTCTTTTTATATTATTTTCAGCTTCTACATAGGACCAAATGAATTCTTCAATGGTGACGACTGCATCTTGGTCTTTATCCATCTTAGCAAATAGTCCTAAACAGACTTCTCGGTCATAGTCGCCTCCACTTTTCTTTTTGAGAAATTCATAGACTTCTTCAAATGTCAATTCTTGGTCTTTATTGGTGTCCACTTCGGCAAATTCAGCTAAAAGCTGGTCATGACGGTCTTGCAGGACTGCATTTATAGGGGATACACCTACAGACGGCCGAATGGAAGCAGCACTTTGTGAGAGTTTTGGAGAAAGTCCTGAAAGACTTGGGGACATAGGGATATTTAGCATTTATTAAATTTATTATCTGGCTCATTATGAAGCTTTTCCTCCTGATATAATTGCTGCGGCTATCATTTTCATATTTTTTGTTTTCACAGCTTCCCTAAAGCTTGCTATTGTCCTAGTTTTTGCTTGCCCATATCTTAAATTCCCAGCTCTTTGTATATACTGGTTCACTTGTTTTAAATAGCTCAATAATTCATTGTGATTATTCGTCCTTATCTGGAACTCACTTAGCAGCTCTCCATTAAACTGATGCAAACTAGCCATCGCTTGCTTAAAAAAGCCCATATTTCTTTGAATTCTTGAGTCTTCAGCTTTCACTATTAGCGCCTTTACATTTTGAGCGTTTTCTGCCATATTAATAGAAAGCTGGGTCCTTACATTGCTGTATTCCTCGACCTTTTCCATAAGTCCATTTATTTTTTCGATTTCGTGAGGGTAGTCAGCTCTACTTTCAAGTTCAGGAATATTGAAAAAAGAAATAAGGTCTTGGGCTATTTCAGCGGCAAGCTCTAGGGTTTCTGTATAAATAGATAGCTTATTAGTGGTAAGGATAAAGGAAAGGTTTTCAGACTCGCCCAGAAAAGAAACTTGGAGCTCTGCTGATGGTTTAATTGCAGAGGGGTTGAGGATAAAACGGTCTTGGAGCCAATTTAGAAGACGGTTGCCTTGTGGGAAGTCGAAATTTACGTAGCCGCTTGGCAGCTTGCAGTCGCCGTATTCGAAGTTGCAAAATTTTGGAATTTTTATAGAGCGCTCCATTACTTGTAGCTGAGATGCGCCTGCAGAAGCGCAGACTAAAGCTTTAATGTCGACTTCTAAGCCTAAGTGTTTAGGATTTTGTATAGGAATTTGCAACTCAGAGCTGGGCCTGGCAGGATGCACAAATTTGCTGTCACCTTCAAAAAATCCTTCTCCAAGGACAAAGGCACATTTTATCAGAGAACTGTTGCTAGTGCTTAAAAAAATCCTAGGCGGGCTTGGAGCTAATGTCACAAGTAAACTCGTTCCTGGTGCTAAAATTGAGCTGCCTGACCTGGCCGCTGCATCTTTATAATGCTGAAGCTCATTAAGTAGTATAGAATTTTCCCATAGATGGCGCTGCTTGCTTTTGATTTGCCCACTGGAAAAATTTTTTGGTTCGACCAGTACCATATGGTTTGGTCAAACCAAAAAGTCTTCCTCATGGACAAATCAAGGGCAAACAGCGCCATTTATGGGAAATTTCTATATTTGTTTTACTCTCATCAAGTCTTCTATATCCTCTTGTTGAGCTTCCGCATTTTGTTCTTTGTGTGGGATATCCTCCTTAATATACCCTAAAACCCTCCCTGCCACTGTGCACGCAATGACTTGGTTTTTTCCTTGCATTCTATAATCAGTATAAAACACCTTTGCAATAGTCTGTTTTAACGATTTTTTAAAAATATTTTCCCCTTTATTTTCGCTTCTAACCTCCAATTTTCCATTAGACCATCCTAATATCATATCAGGAACTCCATCGCCCGTAACATCCCCACTTACAATGCTTAAGACTTTATTTTTCGCCTTAGCTTTCCAAGCCCTATGTTTTCCTTTATAAATCCCAATCCCTCCGTTATCAAGTGTATAAGCAAATTTTCCTTTGTCCATTTCTGCGAAACCCGTGATTTTTGCATTTTCCATGATTTCAGTCTCAAGCTCTTCGTTATTAAAAATCCTGATAGCATAATCTGTCCCTCCTACAAGCAGTCGTTTTTCATTTCTTTCAGTCCTAAAAAATCCTATTGCGCTGACATCGTCTCCAGAAACCGTCCAAAATTCTTCTTCACCTAGCTTATTAAAGCCTTTAACTGAGCAATTTCCACCTACCAGGGCGAGAGGAGTGTCTCGTCCTGATATAGAAAGCGAGCCAAGGGTAAGAGAAGTGACGCCTTCTTTTGTTTCTGTATGAAATAAGTCAGAGTTGGAGTCAATGTCATAAGCCATAAGGGAACTTGGGCTCCCTATAACTAAGACGTCTCGGTTTAGAGAAGGATCTAAGCGGCCACCATCAAGACAAATGATATTTTTGTTGATATTGAGAAAATTATTGGATGAATTTGGGATGTGAGGGGTGTGGATAAGGACCTTGCCGCCTGTGATGCCACAGGCAAGAGTTGGGTGAATTCCGTCAACTGCTTAGAAAATACAATAGGAGATAGTGGCAAGACTATGTAGAACAGCTTGATTTAACTCAAAAGTGTAAGCTGAAGAAAGCATTTTTATTAAAAATTAATGCAGATTATTTTATCAATTGTAAAATTTTAATTATCTTGGCTGTTTTTCTTTATCTTTAAGTTCTGAATGATCAGATCAAAAGCAATTTTATTTTCAGCCCCTCTTGGGACGATGATGTCAGAAAATTTCATCATAGGGAAAATAAATTCATCAAATGCAGGTTTCACGAATTTTCTATACTGATGGATCACTGAATGTATATCTCTCCCTCTTTGTTCAGTATCCCTGATAATTCTTCTTGCTAAATCTCCTTCTGAATATCAACAAGAATTTTGAGGTATTTTTTTAAGATTGTGATTTGTCAAAATACAACAGATATGATTAAAATAATTATTAATTTATATATCAAGCCATTATACACCAAAATTATTTATTTATTTCACATTGATAATTAACTAAGAAATTTTGCTCTTTTTTTCAGAGAGGAGTAGACACTCATCTGAATCAGTATGGACAAAGATTTTTAAATCTATCATATCTCGGATTTTAGGGTCATAAAGTGCCATAATGCCTTCTAAAATAACGAATTGGGTTGGTTTAGCTGCAATAAATGAATCTGATCTTCGGCAACGTGTGTAATCATAAATTGGGACGTTAACTTCTTCACAATGCAAAAGCTTCCAAAGCGCCTGATTCATCTCTATGAAATCGAAAGCGTCAGGATGGTCAAAGTTATACTCAGCTACCTCTAATAGCTGAGAGGGGGTTAAATCTTTATAAAAACAGTCTGTACTTATTACTGTACAATCAACAGACAAGGCCTCTTGAATTTTGTTACTCAATGAGGTTTTACCACTCGCTGACCCTCCAGCGATGCCGATCAAGTATGGGCGGACGTTCATTTTATAATACCGCGAAATTTTATTGGGGAAATCTTTGCCAATATGGAGACGCTTTTATTAGTGAGCTTAAAAAAAAAAAGGATAGAGGCTTTCTATACGAAAATTTGAATTTTTTGAGGAGGAATTAAGGTTTAGCTCCATTTTCAAAAAATTTATTAGAATCCATTTATGGTACCTATTAAAATGGTAAAATTGATGAAATAATAATATAAAAAACAATTTGTCATATAGGGAAATTGTCCCATTTATATATGTCTTCAGTTGCAGAAGGGTTTTCTATTAACTGGATCAAAATGAAAGACTATGAGACCGGAACCATTCTATGAGAACATCAGTCTGCCTGGGATCTCGACTCTCTCATAGAAGCCCACGTCCCTAAATCTATTTTGCAATGCCGAGCTGTATCTCGAGAAATCAACTTTTCCTCAAAGCAAGCTATTCAGCAGTTTAGGCTCGTCCAATATGTAAAGCTCTTAGGACAACTGCTAGAAGAATGAACCTTTGAATTTGGCTTTGTCATTCCTGGAAGCGAAAATAACTGGGAACAAGTAATCGATGCAGCCCCTCCAGATGAAATGCTGCCTGCTGAGGTATTGTCCGGGAATATTATTATTGAGACTTGCTTTTATGACGACGATGAACTGATACATAGGGGTGCAGGTCCAATGACATTGCCTTTTTGATAGTGTCTATTTCACCGAGTTATTTTTGATCGAAAAATTGGTTGAAATTTGTTGATAGTGAACATTTGACCAAAAAACCGTTAATTTTTCGACTAATGCAACACTATTTAAAAATTTTCGACCAAATGCAACTGTCATTTGGCATGGAGCCGATACATAGATCTTCTGTTAAGGTATTTTATGACTAAACATATAAAATTATAGATTTTAAGGAACTTGAAGTAGATTATCGATAATTAATAAGGAAATTGATTACCTAGAAACTTTTGTAAGTCTCTGGACTTGGACTATAAAGTTCGAATTGGCTGATTTCAGATTATCTGCTTTTTCTTGAAGATGCTGGATTTGTTTTTGCAGTTTTTGAGATTCTGTTTTAAAATTATCCCTTTCTTTTTCTTGAATCTGGATTTCTCTTCTCATTTTTCTTATAATATCTTCTAATTCTTTTACAGTAGATTCCTGCTTTTTGACTTTATTTACTCCCCCCCTCCGTGAGTGAACAAAACCATTAGAAAAATCCCTATTTTTTGCCCAAAAACCCACCCTCCGTGAGTGAACAAAAATTTTTTTAATAGAAAAATTTTTTTATGGAAAAAATTTTTGATATATAAATGATAATTAGCATTATGAAATCTAGGGCTAATTCTGTTTAATTTTAAACGAATTGCTTTTTAAAACATAATTTTATAATATTTGCTTTCCAATTTTTGCGAATCAGAATTTTTTTAAATTTCGAAAAAAATATTTTTTATAAAATTTATATATAAATTTTTTTAAAAAAAAAAATTTACCCCCCCTCCGTGAGTGAACAAAATTTTTTTGTTCACTCACGGAGGGGGGGGGGGAGTTAGCACTTTTTCACGGTTTCTTTCAGAAATGCTGACTGATTCTTCAAGATTGGCAATTTCTGTGTTGATTTCTCTAGTTTCTCTTAAATATTGCATTTTTTCTGTTTCAAATCTTCTTGTTGTTTTATTGACGCTTAAAGAATCATTATGAAGTCTTTCATGATTCCTTCTAACTTTATAATAAAAATTATTTAATAAAATAAAAATAACTATAAAAAAGTTCATTAATTCCATATAAAACCCACAGAGGGAATTAAGATTTTTTTCGTCTTGAGAACACTCGCTGATGCACTTCCTTACTCTTCTCCGTGAGAGAACAAAAAAATCTTGTTTACAAAGCGTTAAATTTTTAAAAAAAAATTATATATAAATTTTATATAGTAATTTTTTTAGAAATAAAATACCCAATTGGAAGCAAGCAATAATATAATTTGTAAAATTTATGTTTTGTTTAAAATTAAATAGAATTAGCAGAGATTTAATATAATAAATATCACTTATATATCAAAACTTTTTGTTTATAAAATTTTTTCTATTAAAAAACTTTTGTGTTAGCTCATATAGTGATTTTGTTCGCTCACAGAGAGATAAGTTAATTCTTCATTGTATTTTATGATTGTTTCTTTTTCTTTATTTAAAGTTTCTAATTCGTCATTTCAAAGAGAAAGATGTTTAATAGAAACTGAGACATCATCAAATTTTTTTTCGTTTTCAATACTTTTGTTTGGCTTTCCAGTTGATGGTCTTGGTTTAGGAGATAAAACTGGCTGATTCTTTGGAGTTTTCTGGGGTAGGTTTCCATTAAGGGCTGAGCTAGATTTCTTCATATTAATAATTTTAACTGTGCCTCATCGATGCCATTAATAAAAAATATATTTTGAAGAGGAATTTATAATAAAATTATCCGCAGTTAAGCTACATACCTGCATAATATCAATTATAAATTATGAAAATCATTTATAAATGTAATCAATTTATTTTGCATTGAACTAAGTAAAGATAATTTAATTATATATAATCTGAATTGTTTTTTATGTGAAAGCTTTCTCGGGGGACTAGCTTATCAGGGCTTAGCTTCAGCCTGTACAGTCTAATGAGCTTTTCTAGTGAAAACAAAAAATCATCATCTTCTTCATATTCACTGTCTTCGCTGTCCTCATATGTTGACTCAGAAACTTGAGCACTCAAACCTTTAAAAGAAAAAAGTGAAGCTTCTCCCTTTCCATAACTTTTAAATGAATTGATGGCTATTTCTAATTGTGACGCAGAAAATATTTCTGATAAATCAGTTCTTAAAATTAAGCGGAAATTTTCTATTCCATTTTTCATCAATTTCTATATAGCAAATTTATTTTTTATAAAAAATCATATTTATATAAAATAGATAAGATTTTAAAACAGGATCTTCTTTCTTGGCGGTTTAATTCTCCATATCAAATTTTGGTGCTTATTCCTCTTATTTTTTTCTGATTAATAATCATATTATCTGCTGGAATCCCATTTATTTTGCCTCTTGGGCTGTCCCCAACAATTACCATTTCTCCTCCGATCTCTAAAGCATCAAATATTTCATTGTCAACCTCTTCATTTTCATACTGTAATACACAAGTTGGGTGAAGTGACTTGCAAATTTTTCTGACTCCCCCCCCTTTAAATTGGAACTAAAAATTTTGTTCCAATTTAAAGGGGGGGTTAATTTTTTTTTTTTAAAAAAATATCAATATAAAAATTTTTTATAAAAAATATAAAAATTTTAAAAAAAAAAAATTTCGAATTAGATCAATAAATTTGTTTAATAAAACGCTATTTACTCTTTATCCTTTAAAATAAAGCAAGATATAACTAAATTTTCATTATTAGTTAATACGCCAATATTAATTGGTATCAAAATTATTTACACAAAAATTATTATTTTTATTGATAAAAAAAATTAAAAAAAAAAATTTTGGAAAATTTATCGATCAAAGTGCTAATTTTGTTTGAATAAGATGTTATTTATACTCTATTCTTTAAAAATAAAGCAAGAAATAAGTAAATTTTGAAATTTTATAAAGAATTCCTATTGAATTTATATCAAAACTATCCAAATAAAAAATATCATTTTTATCAAAAAAAACAAAAATTTAATTTTTTTTTAAAATTTAGCAATTAAGGATAATAAATTTATTTAAATAAGATGCTCTTTATACTTTTTTCTTTAAAAAAGAGCAAGATATTAATAAATTTTTAATTTTAGTTAAGAAGAAACATTTAACTTATATCAAAACTTTTTAGATAAAAATTTATATATAATTTTTTATTATAAAATTAAATTTTGTTCCAATTTAAAAGGGGGGTTAATTTACCAAAAAAGTGGAAATTTTACCGATATTTTGTTCCAATTTAAAGGGGGGGGGGAGTGAGCTTTGTGCTGAAATTATCTTTGTTTTTATTTACAATGTATTCCTATTTCTACTAAAAATCCTCTTTATCTTTATTTTTTATTTTTGAAAATATTCATTAAATAAGGTATAATCTGCTTTATATTTCTTAAGTATCTTTTTTTCTGCATCTGAATCTACAATATTTATGCATATGACGTCAATAAAACGGCTCCAATTAATCATCATTTTCCCGAGCACAGAAAACGAGTTAGCCTGTATTATGCAAGTATGATTGTGCTTTTTTATCTGTTCTGTGACCATAAGTACGGCTAAAGGGTTATACATCATTGAGCTTCCTGAGATAAAGCTTAAATCATTATTTAAGATTATACAATCCTTTGAGTTGCATACGACATATTCAGCTCAAGTGCCTTCATTTTCATCTAATTTAATAAAACTGACTCGTTTTCCTTCAAGTCTCCATGATTTTGAAAGAGGATGTGATCGAACTACGACACCTGAGCCTTCTCGGCCGAGGATTTTTGGAGTGCAGGTTTGACAATTTAAAGCGTTTTCAATATAATTCAAATCTAAAGAATGAATAGGAGAATATTCTACCTTGATTAAGACTTGGCCAGGCTTAAGAATAGGGATTTGGACGTCTTGCAGCTTAAGAGATAGTTTGCCCTCTTCTTTGTCTAAAGTTATAGCCTTCATTTATTATAATTTGCCAGTTTAAAAAAATAAATGTTTTAATTGTTTTCTCTTTGTGTTTATATCTATCACTAATAAATTAAATATAAAATATGCGGTTTGAAATATTTAAATGATAATCAGGGCTTTTGATTCTTTAGAAGTCAAATTATTCTTCATATTTCGTTAGGCTATTATAGAATATTGATCTTAATATTATAGAAAATTATTATATATAGATTGTATTATGCAAATCTAATTAGCTCTTATTTGGAAGAAGTTTAATGCCAACTATTTCCCAGCGATTATCAATTGATCTTATATTAATTTCGCAATAATTACCAAACACTGATGGCCCTGGGTTTACAACAGGAATCCCATTCCAAATAAAAATTCCTTTTCCGCGATGTTGGTGACCATGAAAATTTATCAAAATTTTATCACGAAATTCATACAATAAATCAGTCAATCCTTGGTTCCCTGATTCGACTCCATCCTTAAAACTCTTGGTCGTATCACTTCCTAAAGGTCCAAAATGAGTTAAAATAATATATTGCCCTGGCATATTTAATTGCGGACGCAATACTTGTCTTACTGCTCAATCACAGATTGTTTTTGTTTGATATGGTTTTCCATAATATCTTTCTTTATCTCCTACAAAACTTGGTGGCGCACCTCCTAATCCTGCAATAAACAGTCCAGGAGCAATTTCATGCGCAATATCTCCTAATAATACAGATTTCCCGCTACTTAGATACTCACAGTAATCGCCTGAAAATTTTCTCAAAGGGTTCATATGGAGTATAAAACTATTATGGTCATGCTAAATTTCTCTTACATTTCCTGGCACCCAGTATATTGGCTTTCTTAAGTGTTCTAAAATTTCCAACTGTCTCTTTACAGATGGGAGATCGTCATAACCTCTAGAAAAATCTCCTGCATGCAGGATTATATCAGGCTCAGTCTTTTCGACAATTATTTTTAATTCTTCATACCCTTCATGACTATCAGTGACTACCAGGATATTCAACTCCATTTAATAATTTAATAAAATGATGCTTACAAATAGATTGATGACTGACTTGGCAATACAAAGACGAATGGACGCATTAGATATTTTAGAGTTGCCAGGAGTCACCGCTGAGGAAACTGAAAAAATTGAGCTGGGGTTGCTTAAACAAAATTTGATGTGATGATTCAATAAGGTGGGATTTTTATTTTATGGGCTCCTTATATATAAAGGAAGACTCTTGGAAAGAAATAAACTGTATGGGCTAAGCTTGATAAGAGTCTGACTTGTATTTAGCATTGGAAAGTATTACTTGCAGTTTGGGGATTATTTAGGAGGCTGCTGCTTAAATGGGGAAATTAAGTATAAAATTTTCAAAAAATTAATTTCTTTTTTTTATTATTTTATTTATATAAAAGATAATATAACGATTTCTGCCTAAGGATTTTAAATACCACAAATAGTATATATTTTCTTAAAATATGAGCCGCTAATTAGAGAAAGGAGGATTGAGCGAAATGCTGCTTTTGAGAATTTAGAAAGCTTTAGGAATAGGGTTACTAGGGCAACTCCAGCAATAAATGCTAAAGAATTGTTTAATGTTAAAGATTAACTGCTTTACGCGTTTCGTGAATAAGGTTTAGCCAGCTTGGAGGATCATAGCAGCCAGGTGCATTTTCTACTGCTTGAGTGTACCTCTGATAGACTTGTCCGTCGCTGTGGCCAAGTGCTGAGGCAATCACATGGTCTGGAATTGCAATGGCGTCAATTATTTTTACTGCATTTTCTCCGACTTCGTCACACAACTCGTCAACAGTTTCAGCTATCCATTTAGCTTGTTCTGGGTCAAAAGTAGTCTTGAAAGAAGAAGTTTCTTGATCTAGCACATGGCTTGCGAAAAGATACATGACGTTTGCAATCACTTGTCCAGTGGCTGGGCATTTTCTTGTGAGATCGTTTACAAAGTTATTGAATTCTTTAAGCTGGATGAGCTCTCCAAAAGATTTGGCAAGGTCAATTAAATAGTGAACTTGGGTATGGTTCCAAGTTACAGTCATATCTTGGTAAATTCTTCCATTATCTTGCAGTTTTGCAAGTGATTCAGTGATATAATAATTGCATCGATACTCAAATAGAGAAATCAGCCATTCTGCATGCTTTAGCTGCTCTTTATTTGAAAACCTGGGCTTATCTGAGCTCAAATTAATGAATTGCAAGTATGGAGATTTAATAGCGCCGCCTTTAAATGTGCTTTGGACAGCTCTTAATATCCATCTGGAGGTTTGTTGGATGACGACCCAATTTTCGCCTTCCCAAGTCATGTGGACATCATTGTCAGCTCTAAGCTTGGCAAAGCCTGCGTAGCTTGAATATCCGTGCCCTGCGCAACATTCTCTGCATTCTTGAATTGCTTTTTGATTATACCAGCCATGGAGGGCTTTAAAGACACTTACAAGTGCATGGAACTCTGTGACATCGGGGGATTCAGGATCTCTATCTTATCTTAATTATTTAACGACCACGACCAGGTTACTCGACCACAGCTACCCTCAGCACCGCTTTGGGACGAATTTCGCATAATTTTCCTCAGTGCGCATCAAAGATGAGGCTACCTTGGACCTTGTCTACCAATGATGGTGACAGTCTTGAAGCTTGGGCTTTAGCGGCTTTTCTTTGTTTCTTTGAGCTCATACACTGGCTTGGGTCTGAATGGGACCTTTAAGGTCTCAGTCTCCACCGCCTGAATAAATGGTACCTTTTTGAGAGAAATATCATTCCCTAAGGTTAGGAGTCCGTAGGAAAAACCACCCCAGATCTTGCTTCCCTGATATAGCTGGGATAATTTCATCAGGGGAAACGAAACCTCATAATTAAAATATGCGGGATATGAATTTGGTTGGGAGAGCAGAAAATTCGAGCCACGCCATATTTTAATCATTTCAGGATCTCTATCAATTAATTTTATACGCTCGTTGTAGAGTCTCGCAATGATCTTCATGCTCATATTTGCAGCAAAATCTTTAGCAAGGTGCGGCATAAGTCGATATCTATGGACTGGGTAATCTAAAATTGGCCTTTCTACTTCTCCTCCAAACTGTTTTCTTACTGCTCCATATCTAATAGCCATAATAGGCTAGCGTTAGCCATATTGGTGGTGCAGTCACCAAAGATTTCCCAGACGGAAGTTTCTACAACTTTTCGACTCCAGCCCAGAGGTTCTATCCCTCGAAGCGGGTGCCACTTCTGGCACCTTCTGTATCCTGTTTGCCTTGCAGCTTCAGATTTGATTGGGGAGCTTATGGTTTTCTGCGGCCTTGCGATAGGCGATTGAAATAACTTGATTCCAAAGATCAACTCCTTGGAGTCTGTCGGATATCAAAATCCCCTTCCTTCGACAGCTATAGGAAAATGACTGCTCCCCTGTAGCCTTGGCTAAAACCCCCATTTTTTCTGTGGAGGAATGCCCTATCAGTCCTCAGATACAAAGACGCTGCGGGCACCTCCATTTCCAATAACAGGAAGGCAGCTAAAACCTACTCGTATTCACATTACTTGAAGTTGCACTTGATTCTTGACTCGGAGTCCATCTCAGTTCACGGTGACCATAGATTTGGACTGTTGAGCCAAAGTGTAGCCATTTAATGTATATCTGATAGCAATAGTAAGTGCATTTCTTTGATGAATTTCAGCACAAAATAAAACTGCGCATCTGCCTGTAATAAGCCCAGTAAGCATAAGTCCAAATCTTTTTTCCTTATTTTTTATATGGCTTTTGAACTTTCCGTCAGGTGAAATTTGAGAAAATTTATCAAGTAAAGCATCATAAGACACTCTATAGTTTTTAAAGAAAATAAATCCGTTATCTATCCCTTGTAGCCCCGATTTATGCCCACAATCACCTAAAGTAACTCCATTAAAAGGTTTATGAGTCTCAAAATCCCTTATTGGAACAGCAAATGCATGAACTCCATGATTGGTCCCATCTACAATTAGCTGACAAAAAATAGCAGCCATGTTAGCAGTTTTGCCTGCAGCTCCAATTCACCATTTCGCAGCAGTTGGAGTAGGCGAATTTATAATAAATTCTCTTGAAGAATGATCATAAGTCGCTGTAGTTTCAACTTTAGCTACATTAGAGCCATGCCCAAGCTCAGTCATTCCGCAGCATCCATAATCTTTCAGCGCATATGCCCTTTTAACAAGATCAAGATGCTTTTCTGTCCCCAAATTCTGCACGGTCTCAATATACAGACAAGCATGGACAATTACCCTGGTCCCTAAAGTAATATCATTGCACAGCATTCCCACCAAAATCCCAACTTTATGAAGTGGATTTTCTCTAACGCTTTTATAATTCAAATTACATTTGGGGTATATATGCATAATTTGCCTCTGAGAGCGTTCTTTTAGCCCTTCTCTACTGAGGTCTGCATAATGCATGTGGTTAAATAGATCTTCTTTTTCTTTCATTAATTCCCAAACGTGGTTATAGTCATCATATAAAGGCTCTAAAAACTTATCACGAAGGATCCTCTGGTTTAAAGGTCTTCCTCTTTCTCTATATTCTTCTAATGCAGTGCATTTCTTGTGAAAGGCAAATGATCCAAGGATGTGGGAGTTTATAAGAAAGAGACGACGCGTTTCTGCCATTTATTGGAGTTTTTAGCTGACGTATGCACAATTAGATAGAAAATATGATAAGGAAAATAAAGAATTTTTTTCGTGAGGAGAGATTAAAGTTTAGAGATTAATTGCTTTACGGGTCTCGTGGATAAGGTTTAGCCAGCTTGGAGGATCGAAGCATCCTGGAGCATTTTCTACTGCTTGAGTATATCTCTGATAGACTTGCCCATCACTATGTCCAATTGCTGACGCAATCACATGGTCTGGAAGTGCGATGGCATCAATAATTTTTACTGAATCTTCCCCGACTTCGTCACACAGCTCGTCAACGGTTTCAGCAATCCACTTACCCCTTGTAGGAGAAAAAAAAATTGCTAATAAAAATATATACTAATTTTATTAATTGTCTCAAATTCTAGAACATAATTTTTATAAGTAAAAATTATTTAAATAAAAAAATAACACTGCAATGTGTACAAAAAATTTGATGACTTAAAGAGGAAAGAGAGTTAGCCTGCTCTGCATCAAAAGTGTTTTTAAATGATGAAGTTTCTTGATCTAGCACATGACTTGCAAAAAGATACATAACATTTGCAATCACTTGTCCAGTTGCTGGGCATTTTTTAGTGAGGTCATTTACAAAGTTATTGAATTCTTTAAGCTGAATAAGTTCCCCAAAAGATTTGGCAAGGTCAATTAAATAGTGAACTTGGGTGCGATTCCAAGCTACAGTCATATCTTGATAAGATCTCCCGTTTTCTTGTATATACTCTTTCTATAAATAGCTCAATTTATATTTCAAGCTATATAAAATATTATTTTTTAAATCAAATTATTTAAAAAATTCTATATTTATTTATGTACAATCCTCAAAAGTTAACTTAATATAATAAATTAAATTCTAAAATTTATAGATTTAATTGATTTTAAAAGCTTTAAATATGTGATTCATCATAAATTAGGATAATTTATTGAGTGACTCAGTGATATAATAATTGCATCTATATTCAAATAGAGAAATCAGCCATTCTGCGTGCTTTAGTTGCTCTTTATTTGAAAATCTTGGTTTAGTGGCATTTAAATAAATAAATTGTAAGTATGGAGATCTTATAGGATGCCCTTTAAAGGTCCCTTGAACCACTTTTAATATCCATCTCGACGTCTGCTGAATAACAACCCAATTTTCGCCTTCCCAAGTCATATGAGCATCATTATCAGCTCTAAGCTTCGCAAAGCCTGCATAACTCGAAAATCCATGTCCAGCGCAGCATTCTCTGCACTCTTGAATTGCTTTTTGGCCATACCAGCCATGGAGTGCCTTAAACACACTAACAAGTGCATGAAACTCAGTGACATCTGGAGACTCAGGCTCGCTGTCAATTAGCCTAAACCTGCCATTATATAGTCTACAGATGAGCTTCATGCTCATATTTGCTGCAAAATCTTTAGCAAGGTGCGGCATAAGCCTGAATCTATGAACTGGGTAATCTAAAATTGGTCTTTCTATTTCTCCTCCAAATTGTTTTCTTACTGCAGCATATCTTATAGCAATAGTAAGCGCATTTCGGGTATGGAGTTCAGAAACGATGACAATAGAGCATCTTCCTGTAATTAGCCCAGTTAACATGAGGCCAAATCGTTTTTCTTTGTTTTTTATATGACTTTTGAACTTACCGTCAGGGGAAATTTGGGAATATTTGTCAAGTAAAGCATCATATGGCACTCTATAATTTTTAAACAGCAAAAATCCGTTATCTATCCCTTGGAGTCCAGATTTATGCCCACAGTCACCTAAAGTAACTCCATTAATAGGCTTATGAGTCTCATAATCTCTTATCGGAACCACAAATGCATGAACCCCATGATTGGTGCCATCAACAATCAGCTGACAAAAAATAGCAGCCATGTTAGCAGTTTTCCCTACTGCTCCGATCCACCACTTCGCTGCAGTTGGAGTAGGCGAATTTATAACAAGTTCTCTTGAAGAATGGTCATAAGTTGCTGTTGTTTCAACTTTAGCCACATTAGAGCCATGCCCTAGCTCAGTCATTCCGCAGCAACCATAGTCTTTTAGTGCATAGGCTCTTTTAATAATACCAAGGTGCTTAGCTGTTCCCAGATTTTGCACAGTCTCAATATAAAGGCAAAAATGAACAAGCGATCTAGTCCCACTAATAAGGTCATTGCTGCCAATTCCGGTCAGCATGCCAAGCTTACGCAGTGGGTTTTCTTGAATACTTTCATAAGTCACATTGCATTTAGGAACGATATGGTTAATTTGACGCTGAGAGCGCTCTTTTAGCCCTTCTCTGCTCAGATCTGCATATAAAACGTGATTGAATAAATCCTCTTTTTCTTTCATAAGGTCCCAAACCTGCTTATAGTCCTCTGCAAAAGGCTCATAGAATTTATCGTGTAAAAGTTTTATATTGATTTGCCTTCCTCTTTCTCTATATTCGTCTAAAGCAGTGCATTTCTTATCAAAATTAAAAGCACCAAGGATATGGGAGTTGATGAGATGTAGACGTCGACCTTTTACCATTTATTGAATAGATTGCATGACGTATGCAAATTTAGGTTGGAAAATATGGAGATACAAACCCTTGTGGGTGTTTTTAAATTTCTGGAAACTTGCAATGAAGAAAAAGAAGATTGGGTGAAACTATTTCTTTAAATATTGATTTTTAGGATAGTTATTGGGTTTTGTTTAAATATGACAATTAATAGGACTGATTAGCATATATTAAAGAGGTATAATTTATCAAGGTGATTGATTTTTAACTGTTTTTAATTAGGTCGAGAAGAATGCTATGCTCAAAGCTCTTCTATTTATTAAAAGATTATTAAAAACATATATCTTATTCAGCAAGACTTTATGATGGAGAATTTATATTTTTAAAAAGCTTCATTAAGATAATAAGTCTGCTCTTATTTTATTTACAAAAAATAAATCTCAAGTGCCTTTTTCGAGCTCTAGCTTAAATGTGGAAAAATTGAAGAATTTTAGCTCAATTCAAAGCCAATAAACCTGTCTAAATATATGGCGAGAATAGCAAATCTCTTCACACTAATCTTCATTGTCATATAGTTAACGCTAAGCTGAGTATTAACATCTAAGTTAATCAAAGGAAAACTGTAACTAGGATCACCTTAGCGATAGGTCAGGGGCAAATATAACTAAATTAATAAATTTTATTAATAATATTTTTAGATACAATTTTCGTTACTATTCTTATTTAAATTTCAAATATCCTTATCTCCATCATATGCTCAATGATATTTATAGCCCACTTCAGTTTTATCAATTTTTTTCAAAATGCTCATAAATCCTACTTATTATGAAGCAAGACATAAGCCTCCACGAAGAGCTCAGAGGAACCTACGAAAAAACTCTCCAACTCGCAGTCTCAATTACCCAGAGCAAGGCTGATTTATTTAGCTCAAAAGTTCGAGGTAATGATGCGAAATTTGTAAAATCAGTTGCAAGAGAATTCCACGATTTCAAGACAATTCATGACGATTATTTAAAGTCAAACAGCAACTCAATTAAAGTAGACCCAATAGAAAACCCATCAAAATCTGAATCCCCAATCAGTAGGCGTCACAAATTTATGTACTCAAAATATGCAGGGAAGTTAAAGCTAAATACATCAGTTGATGAAGCCCATGCAATGGTCGCCTTAGCCAAGGCTGGCAATATATCTCCAATTGTGAGCTCTGCGAAGGAGTCTGATAAGCCTTCACCGATTTTAAAGAAGCTGAAATTTAATCATTCGTTATTATTGCAGAATGAAAAAAGCTCTACAAAGCTGCCTTATGTATCTTTACTTACTCCCCCCCCCCTCCGTGAGTGAACAAAATCATTAGAAAAATCCCTATTTTTTGCCAAAAACCCACCCTCCGTGAGTGAACAAAATTTTTTTAATAGAAAAATTTTGTATGGAAAAAATTTTTGATATATATAAATGATAATTAGTATAATGAAATCTAGAGCTAATTCTATTTAATTTTAAACGAATTGCATTTTAAAACATAAATTTTATAAATTTAATTAATATTTGCTTTCCAATTTTTGCGAATCAGGATTTTTTTAAATTTCGAAAAAAAAATATTTTTTATAAAATTTATATATATATTTTTTTTTATAAAATTTATATATAAATTTTTTTAAAAAAAAAAATTAACCCCCCCTCCGTGAGTGAACAAAATTTTTTTGTTCACTCACGGAGGGGGGGGAGTTAGTGGAAAGACAAAGCCACCTCTTGATTTACCTTCATATAAAGAATACTTAAAATGCTATAAGACTTATAATAAAAAACAGCCAAAAGAGACTCCGTTCCAAAAAATCGACAGGTGCCAACAAATTTTGGAAAATTTACAAAAAGAGATTTCAGGGCTTGAAATATTTTATAATGAAAATCCTGGAATCCCTTGAAATAATGACAAAAAATTTCTGTTAAAGCTAAATAATAGTCCATCAAGAAGAAATGCAATGATAAAAGCATATAATGACAAAATTGCTGGGACCGCTAAAAATATTACACAGAATTCAAGACTAAAAAGATTCATCACGAAAAAAGTCCCAAAAACTCCGTCAATGTCCCCAGAAAAATTCAATGAATTTTACCATGAAAACAGCAAAACAGCGTCGGTAAGGCAAAAAATGAGCTCGCCTGTTTTTTCTATATCATTCGAAAAAACTAGTGAAACCAACCCGCTTATAGAGGATCCTAAAGACGTTTTACAAAGATGCTCAGAAAGATTCAAACTTGCTGAAGATTCAGAAAACAAAAAATTAATCGAAATTCTCCAAAAATTAAAAGTGGAAAGGCCTTTAATTTTAAAGAAAAAAGCCCGTCTTATTCTTGATGATAATGAAAAATATCGAGACAGGGTGTATTCTCTCAACAAATTCGAAGAATACAAACGCACTGTAGAGTTTGAAAGATTTAGCGCCATGAAAAAGAACAAATCCCAAGCATCTATTTACAATTCCCTATTAAGCTACCTCAAAAAAAGAGAAAGAATACCTTCAGAAATCGAGTTATCTCTTATGGATATCCTAAAAGAATACTTACTTCCCTTCGTGAGCTAACTTAAACATTGAAAAATCTCTATTTTATTGGTAAAAACCCTCTTGTGAGCGAACCAAATTTATTTTAATTTATATAAGTGATAATAGATATACTGAATCTCTCTAGCTATTTCTAATTGAAATTTTAAATAGCTTATATTTTAATACAAATTGAATTAAATTTTACTTTCCAATTTTAGATTTTTTTAATTTCGAAAAAAAAAATTTACTGTAAAGTAGAAATTTTTTAAAGAAAAATTAACCCCTGAAGTTGGAGTCCGGAAATGTCATTTCTTTTCAAACCATCAAAGAAATCCTTAACGATCTTTCTTTTAAAGAAAAAATTAGCCTTAAGCCACTATTATCTATAGCGCAGTCCTTTTTAGAGATAAGTGACGAAGAATTTGATATATTATTTATTGAATAATTGTAAATATTTTTTCTCTATGAATTTAAACAAATAAAATGAGAAATTCATTATACTCAGTAAGCTTTGAGGACGCCATTCAAACAATAGGAGGCCATCATAGATATCAAAAATTGCTTGTAGCGCTGGTTTCTGGTATATGGGCAATTCAAGCTTTTTTTATAAGGCTTCCCTTTGCATTGCCTATTAGAAAACAGCTTGAAATTATTATCGGAAAATTTAAAATGGCCTTTTATATTATTTCTTTGAAGTTCTCATTAATAAGTCCAACTCTTGAATGCAGTGTTAATTCTGACGACTGTTGCAAAACCATCTACAAGATAGCAGAAACTTCACCTTACAATGCAGCCAGAGAATGAGATTTAGTATGTGACGATAAATATAAAATAGACCTTATAAACGTGTGTTTTTATGCAGGGCTTGGTATAGGGATTTTTTTACTTTCTTGACTTGCAAATGCATGGGGAAGGAAACCGGTCATATTTACCTGCTTAATTTGTGCAGCAGTATCTCTGATAGCCGCTTGCTTAAGTGTCTCTGCAGAGTTCTTTATGGGCTGCTGCATGGCGATTGGGTTCTTTATCGGTGGAATTTATATGACTTGTCTAGCTTACCTTATAGAAGCTGTCAGTATAAAATTCAGAGGACTTTATACAGGGGCTATTTTTGTAGCCTGGGGCTGTGGTATGCTTTTAATGAGTTTATTTTCCTTGCTCCCCCTCTATGGGCGAATAAAAAAAATTTAGGGGGTTAATTTTTTTAAAAATTTTATATATAAATTTATAGTAAAAACTTAAAAAATATAATATTCGAAATAACTTAAAGCAAATATTAATTTAATTTTTAAGGTTTAAAATTAAAAGAATTAACTAGAGATTTCGTTATAATAATTATTACTCACATATCAAATATTTTTTCATGAAAAAGTTTTATATTAAAAATCTTTTGTTCGCTCACAGAGGGTTTTTTTACCAAAAATAAGGATGCTTTTGTTCTCTAACAGAGGGAGGAGCTACTTGTCGATTCTTGAAGGATTCAATTTATTGTGATCGCTTTTTTCGACATATCTATGACTCCAATAGTCTTCAAGTTTCACGAATCCCCTAGATTTTTGGCAGCAAATCGAGGAAAATACTCGAAAGCAAGGTATATCCTGAATAACATTGCACACATAAACAGTCAGCAGCCCTTTGTAGAGATGCTTGAAGGGGAAAAGGTGATAGGGTACCAAGAAGACCACAGCATAAGTACTTCGTCACAGCCTAGTGACAGCACACAGTCAAGCAGAAAATATTCATTTATTCCGATTTCTAAAGGAATTGTGAGTGTTACTGAAGCTGAATTGAAAAACGTGAAGCATTATTCTTATATTGATTTGTGTAGATTGCAGTCTTAATCTCATCTTAATTACAGGCTTGCTTTTGCCTATTGGTTGCGCAGTCATCGCTCCGGGGTTCATTCGCTTTGCAACGCTGTCGGCCAAGTGGGGAATTTAATCATTAAATTATTATAGAGAACCTCCCAGCAAGCTTGAAAAAATTTCATGTCACTTATTTAGCATCTGCCCCTTGCTCTCCAGTTTGATTCCACAGCTTAAGGTTTGTGTTGTTCCCTCCTGACGAGAGTCTGCACTAGCTATCCGGAGATAGAGATACTGGGTCACCGCGCCGTTAGTCAACGAGGTTACCTTTTCCAAAAATTCGAAAAGTGAATTTCTGGTCAGGTTCTCGACCCAGATGAAACTTGTAGTCTAGAGGCAACTTCCGGCATCGCATTAGGAAAATATCCGATTACCAAAGCGGACGCTCTCTGGCCTTGCTGGGATATCCCTTTCCAACTTCCAAGCTCCTTCCTCCTCGGGGTAAAACCCTGCCCTGGATGTGAGCCTGCTGTCGGCTAGCCTAACATTGCGCTCCACTAGACCAAGTAAAATCGGGATGGATATACATACCAAACGCTTTTTCTCCTTGCACAAGGTCTGCTACAGGTGTTAAAAGGCCAGGTTTATTCGCCACTCCAAGTGGGGAGATTGAGATTATTAACCCAGCGGGAAAGGATCTGCACCAGCTTGCTCCTCCACCATGGGGACATCAGAAGGGTGCGCTCTTTCTCTTGCACCTCTTCTCGCCTTACGGTTCCAGTGTTAAGTGTCAAAGAATAGATTGCAGTCAGTTAGAGCTGAATATGCAATCATTTTTATGCTGTTTTTCCTTTTGGGCTTAAGCGATTTGACTGATAGCCAGCTAGCTCCAAGCTATTTGGAAAATAACTATATAAATCAGTCTATTATATCTGCAATTGAAATTTTAGCATATGCAGGGACAGTTTTTAGTCTTGGAAAAATGGGTAGACAAGTAGGGCTATTGATAACTTTTGGGATAACTGGGCTGTCTTTATTAATAGCTTTAGCTTTTTCACAGAATAAATGCAGCACAAATGCATTCTGTGCTATAAATACATATGTATCAAAGCTGCTTCTGTCTATATCAAGGCTCGGGATATGTGGCTCAAAACTAATAATATTGATTATGATTAATGAAAAATTCCCTACGTCAATTAGGAGTTTATCATTAGGTGGCTTAGGAGTCGCGATAATAGCAGCGAGCTTGCTGTATCCTCAAACAATTATTTTCTTTGCGAAATCAAAGATGAGTCCTATGCTTGGAATAGGAATTTTAATGCTGTTTGGGAGTGTGATTTCTTGTATGGTTACTGAGACCAAGGACAAGCCGATGGAAGACTATGTGGAAGAAGAAAAAGAAGAAATGAAAAACCCTGTAGATATTAGTAATTTAGAAATTCAGCCGGCAGAGAATAATTCTTTGAATCACCAGAATGAGAACTTCCAGCAGTTAAATGAAGAACAATAAATTAAGTCTATATTATATTGCAATTATTTTTTTTGGCTTTAATATAGTTTAAACGGCATTTACTATTTGCCTTACATTTAATGGGCATTTTTTCGATTTTTATCATATTTTCATAAGCCCTTCTAATAAAAAAATAATTTAGCTTATATTCATAGTTAACTGAAATAAAATTATTTATTAGCCACTATCTTTTCTATATATCATAATTGCTTCTAAACTTTTTTCTATGATAAAGTGCTGGAATCTAATTATCTTTAAAATTATATACATAAAAATGGTGACGACAGACCACCCGACCTCTCGACCTTATTTCTTCAACACCTGCAGGCAACGGCCCAGTGTCGGGTATTTAGGTGGAAAGGGGCTGGTAATCCTTTATGTATTATCGAGTTGGGCTTTCCTAGGGTCCAGGGAGCTAATCCCTGGACTTAGAGTTTTTCCTCCAGTACAACCATTGGAAAGGGCAAGGTTGGCCAATGTCTGAAGGGCAATATGACTCTCAGACCCTAAAGACGGTATTTACCTAACGAGAAACTGAGAGTTTCGACCCAGGTGGTTAGCCCTTAGACTCCAGGAGCCATGGAAGTCAAGACTGGTGTGCGAATGCCTTGTTTGCAGCAACAAGGAAGGGTGTCCGCCGGGATCCCTCAGAGATGATGATCGTGTAGGGGTGGAAATCCCCGGCCTTGCGAAAGCGAATGGCACAATCTAATCTAATCTTTGAAATTAAATTAATTATTGCACCTACTCTATTTCACCCAAATTCGTATTCAAATTCTTCTTGATAAAAAATAATTGAATTCTTATCCTATTAATAATTTTTCCAAATTTTATGTCAAGAGTTAAAAAACCTTCAGAAAATTTATCAATTGAAACTCAAAGCCAAAATATCCTCAACAAAGTCCACCATAGGCACTCTCTATCTAATCCTAATTCACGAAGTCCCTTATCAAATAGCCAACAGCAATCGAAAATAAAATTTTCAAATATCCTAACAAGCAAGCATCAATTTCTTAATAGAGAGTCTTCTCCCTACGCCCAAAGCCAATCTATTACCAAAACCTACTCAATCTCCAACATTCACAAAAAAAAAGAAAAAACCCGAATTAAGATGAAATCAGCGTCAACTTTGAGTTCAAATAATTCTTCAGCACAATTAGGTAAACCTACTTTGAAGCCGATTCGTAATGAGAATCCATTAGAAACGACATTCCCAAACTTCAGCTTTTATGATGATTGGAAAGAAAAAAATAGAGGAAAGCATGCGTCAGCTGATATGAGTCTCAATGTTACGAATTGTATTAATTTGGTGGATCAAAGTAAAGATCAGGACTCTAAAGATCCGCTGAGAGAGTATGCAAGGCAGAATGAAGAAGCTCAGGGGCTAGAATTCAAGCTTACTAAACTTCTAACTCATCAATGATTAATAATATGCAAATTATTAAAAAATAAAGGAATTATATAAAATTATTTTAGCTACCAATAAATCTTTTCGGTACTCTAATATTATTGATTAATGATGAACTAACTAATGATAAATTACTGCCATAAGATTTAATGTCTGGCCATTTCATAAAATTTTTAAGTTCTTTTTATTATTGTTTATATAACTCTAGCTTTCCACTCGTGAGCGAACAAAAAACTTTTGTTCCCTAGCAGGGGTTAATTTTTTTTTAAAAATTTATATAATAATTTTGTTTTTCAAAATTTAAAAAAATCTTAAATTAAAGCAAATATTAATTTAATATGTAAAATTTATGTTTTAAAATGCAAGCTGTTAAAATTAATAAAATTAGCTAGAGATTTCACTATAATAATTATCACTTATATACCAACATTTTTCATAAAAATTTTTTGTTCTTTCAAGGAGGGTGGGCTTTACCAAACAAATAGAGATTTTTCTAATGGTTTTGCTCTCTCACGGAGGGGGGCATAAGCAATCTCTCTACAGCCATCTATTATTAATGATTAAATTAGATTCTAACGGGTCTCTAGGGATTATTTCAGCCTATCAACTTCCCAGGCCGACTTCATGCTCAGGTAGCCCTAAGACCTGCGCCACAGCACGCCCTTTTCCTATCGGATCTCTCGAGGAGACTCACCCTAAAATGCCTGGGTCTAACACTGCGAAAAAGACTCTCTTAGCCTGGTAGTACTCAGGACATGAGGGAAATGACGCTGCTATTCTGCCTTATCCAAGCAAAAATTGCTACCCAGAAGCATGAGCTGAGTTTGCGTCTTCGATCTTTCATCTTGACTTAGGATAAAAAGCCTGTCTGTAGTCCTAGCCAGACAAAAACCTGGCCCTGGACTTCTTAAAAGGATGGAATCAATTTTATCTGGGGCTTTACCAACCTACTTCCTCTTGCCAATTTTTAAAAAAGTATTATTAATGAGGAATAAGAGAAAAATCAGCAAAAACCGCATCTCCAAAAATGCAAAAAGAAGTTTTTGATGTATATAGCAAAATTTTCGAAGAAACAATCTCCAAAGACAAGCTGTTTGGTCCTTTGCTGTTAAAAATTCAGCATGCTTATGAAGATTGAATAGAATCCGCAAGCAATGACTTTAAAGAAGCCTCAAACAATCTTAAGTTTGAACTCTCCGAATTAAGCAAAAAATGTCAGCAGCAAAGTGAAGATAAAAAAACAATGGACCGAAAAATCGAAAAATTATCAAAAGAAAACTATGAATTAAGCAAAACTCTAGAAGAACAAGAAGCCAGATACACAGATTTACAAGACAAGTTTTTTAAAATTGCTAATATAAAGCTAGATCAAGTGCCTCAAGATGACAGTACGTGAAAATATTTAATTGCCGAAAACCAGAACTATGCAAGTGTTTGTGAAAAAATGAGAAATGAGCTGAAATCTTTTGCATATAAAGAAAAAAAACTGCTGAAGCTTATTTTAGCTATGAAGAAAAGAGGCTACCCAGTAGAAGAAATATATGAACAAGAAGTCCGAGGACACTCTAAGAAGAAAAAAGATTATGAATACAATGAGTCTGATGAGTGCCCTGATGACACAGAAAATGAGCAACTTGTATCAGGAAGGCCAAAAGATGTAGAAAAGCCTGGCATGATTCCAAGCTTGAATTTGAAAGAAATAAAGCAAGAAACACCTTATTCATCTTCTTCATCGTCTAGTTATTACTCAGACAGTGAGTCACGATTTATGAAGACTCAATAGATTAATTTAACTTGTAGGTGTAACCTTATAAATCTTGATCCCATGCGGTGCATGATTTTTTGAAATAGATATTGTTAGGGATTTGGCTGCATTTTTTTCTTATCAGGTAATTTTTAGGAAATAGCAGGGTTTTCTAAATAGATGTCTGATGAAAATTTTTCTAAATTGCCTCAAAGCAAATACCAAATTATCAAAAAATGCAGAGAGAATGGACAACAATCCCATGAGGCGGTATCCCAGTTGCTGCAATGAAATTCCCACTCGTGGTAGTCTTATCCCACAACTCATAAATTGTAGCATTACCAGTAATAGCGATATCCCTCAAATTTAAATGATAATTCCTCTTCAAAACGCTCCAATTCATAAGTGCAACCACTTGGCTGCCTCCAGACAGCTGCCCAGCCCATACTTGTACATCGACCCCAGTAAGGTAATTTTGATAGTCACAAGCCAGTCTGCAAGTTGCCTGAATTCCTAATGGATCTTGATTAATCGCAATTACATCAGAATTTCCCAAAATATATAAGGTCTCGTTAGACATTTGAGTCAAATCACACCCAATAATAAGTGGCGCTTTGGATAAAGCCCAAAGCGAAAAGTGGCTTTTGTATTCTTCAAAATTCATGCCTCCGTTTCCTACTTCTAGCATATCAGGGTCATTCCAGCCTCCAGGTCCTGCATATTGTGAGTGCATGGAATTTAAATAGAAATTAAGCATCATACTCTGCCATACATCCTTGATATCTTGAGTTGTTCGCCAGCTGTTTCCTGTGATGTTTCCCCATGTCCAGACATCGCCCTCTCCCCAGTCACATATAGAATAGAAAATTGACCTGCCGCATTGAGATAGGGCGACTCTCATATCTGTATATCGCACTTTTGGAGGGACATTTTGGTTGTTGCAATTGTCATATTTTATACCCATTTATTATGTAAATAAAAAATTCTATTTTATAGTTATTATATAATAACGGTTATTTATATTGATATAAGTAATCAATTTCCCAAGACGCAAAAGAATTTGCATCAGTTTGTTCATTATCTAGTGAGCCAGGCTGCCCTTGACATGTATTGGTTCCAGCGTCTGAATAAATTCCAAGCTTCAAGCCTAAAGAATGGACATAGTTAGCAACTCCAGAAATTCCTTGTGGGAACTTGGTTGGATCTGGGACTAGTTGGTCGTTCGCGTTTCTTTGGTGAAGAGCCCAACAGTCATCAATGTTTATATATTGATAACCTTTTGCGCTGAGACCTGAAGAAACCATTGCACTTGCTGCAGAAGTAATGACTGTTGCGTTTATGTTACAAGCGAAGTGGTTTCATGTAGACCAGCCCATTTGAGGGGTTTTCCCAAGCCCATTGTTCAATGCAAAAGCAGAAGACAGTATAAGGAGAAGAAAAGAAAGTCCCATTTATAAGACTTAATTATTGTGATTAATTTGCCTTGTTTTGGGTGAAATTTATATACTTTTATTGAATATCTATAAATAGATATTAGAAAGTTAGTGATTTTTAAAGTAAAAATGCGGAGAAAACTGCTTATTATTGGTAAAAAAAAATTTTAAAGCAGTGTAATATCCTATTTCAATACATGTAAGACTATAATATTTTACTTAATGGAAGAGGAAAAATTAAATAGACTGCTAGTTGAAAAGGATGCCAAAATAAGCGAAATGGCTAAAAAACTTGATGAGCAGCTTAAAATAATGGAAATATTGAGCCAGAGACTGCAGCAAGATGAATTAGAAAACCAAAGATTAATGAAAAAGTACCTGAAAAAAGACGAACAACTAAAGCAAGAAAAAAGTGACAAAAAGATTTTGATAGGAAGAGAAAAAGAGCTGACCAAGCAAGAAGGAGACCAAGGCTGATTTGGGAAGATTAAAGGCTTGATACTGAAGAATATCTAATTCTGTGCAAGTCTACACTTCTTGTCAGATACAAAAGGATAAATATTTAATTTCTAGCTCTTAAAACTTGTAGAATGTTAACTGAATTCTATTATTAACTGCTCTTAAAGATACCACACATGAAAATTAAAATAAAAACGTATTTAGGAATTGGCTTCTTACTAAAAATTTAAATTATTTCCTTCACTAAATAATAATTATTAGCTATATTTTCACCTAAATTATTGGACCCTCAAATACGGGATTCCATACTGCACAATTCCATACTTCATCAATATATTCGCTGCATCATTCCTATACCTAAACATGGCTCCGCCCACACTTTGGTTACTAGTCAGCCCTTTCCACAGCCCTGCTGCAAACTCCACCGCATTTTTGCTCAAAATTGGCCAAGTATTATTAACTATACTCGCGCAGCCTATCATTGAAAACAGCTCTGGCATAGGATGCTCCCTTGCTTTATTTTTCTTCATATACTTTTTCAGCATAATAAACCTTTCTAGGTTTACTATACACCTGCAGCATGGAGAAGAGCTTAAAGAAGTGACTGTTTGTTCCTCAATTCCTTCAGAAATCAAATTAAAAAACAATGAGGACTCTGAGCACAGTTTTTCCCACTGTCCTGGGTCAGCTTGTCTTATGCCTTCAAATTTGGCAGTCGTGAAATCTTGGGCCAGCTTGTCAGATATTTCTTTGGTTTTGGGGTCTTGGAGCCTTTCTATTGCAAATTTGAGGGTATCTTTGGTGAAGTTAGAGGTGGTGGCTAGTCTGGAATCGAGGGTTATTAAAGAAAAATCACGAGAAATAATAGGGATTACTGAGAGGAATGGCAAAGTTTCCCAAGGGAGATTGATAAAGCGATGGTCAATGCACAGATAAAGAGTAGAAATTCCTGATGAAGGCAGAGGAAGTCCTGCGTCCACATTTTTATCTTCAGCTGCTTTGCCTTTAGGAGGTGGAGGAGCTTTTTTCTTTGGGTTTTCTTCAACAGGTTCAACTGGCATAGATGGGCTAATTATCTCTTGTAAAGCTTCCAGCCACACCCCAATGCTCCCTACATCAGAAATAATTTCTTCAAGTTTCCTAATCCCTTCTCTTATCAAAGCTTCTACAGCTTCTTCATCATTTACTGGAGTTTTCTGCAGATAATTTTTCATCGCTTTGAATTTTTCCAATAATTCCAATGTTTTTTCCTGCTCGATATTATCGACTTTTCTTGACCTTGCCCAGTATTTTGCGTTTTTTTCTTTATCAGTGCACATAAACCCAGCCCAAACATCAGCTAAATCTTGCGAGTACTGCAAAACAAGGACTGCTGAGTTCGGCGCCATCCTTTCTTTCATTTCTTCTAATGTAGGGTGCCAATTAAGATTTCTTCATATAGAGGAGCCTTCTAAGAAACTTTCTGTAGATAAAGGGCCTGGCATGATACTTTTTTGGATAGTGTTTGACAGTAATAAAGAAAGCATCAGTCTGTCTTTGTGATAAGGCTTACTAGAGTCTAAAAATAGCTTTAAAAAGTGTTGGCGGACGTAGGAGAATTGAAGGTAAGCTATTGTGGAAAACATCTCTTGGTCTGTAGAAGAAATAAGAAGTTTTGAAAGCTGAAGCTTAGAGAGACTGTTGGAAAAGATTATAGAGAAAACTGAGTTCATGTTTGGAAATTGTGGAGGAGTGCCGTTATAGATTTGGATAAGTGACATAGCTGTTTGAATTAATCCATAAGCAGGATATGAAGGGTTGACTGAGCTTTCAGCCATTTGTATATATCTCATCGCTTTCTCTAAGCCGGTTTCAGTTTTTCTGTTTTCGTCTTCTATCTGCCTATCCAGCTCATCCAAATACTTGCTCACAATATTTTCATAAACACACCTGCCTGTTAGCTCTCTCCTCAAATGTTCTTCCATCAATCCCAGCTCTCCCAGCCTCAAATCAATAATCCCATAAAGCCCTTTGGCTTCGCCTCTAACTTCACTATCCAAATCAAACAGATCTCCACACGTGGAGCTGCAGGACCCTAAAATTCTCCTCAAATCTAACAGTTTAGCAGTCCTTTTTGTCAGTCTGTCTTTAGTTAAGTCACTTAAAAGTTTGCCTGCTACATAATAAACTTGAGAATCATAGACTTCTAGGTATGCATATAAATGCTGAGCTGTGACACCATGCATTTTGGCGTGGTAAAGGAACTGCTCAATGGAGCTTGTGAAGGTTTCTCTGAGTCTTTCTTTTTCTTCTTTAGTAATAGCAGGGTTTTTAGCTTGTATTAAAGAAAGATGGGCGAGCTTTATGTGGATAGAAATTTTTATCCATATAAAAGTAAGAGAATTGCCTGTGATGGGCTGAATGGATTCTAAAGAGGAAATAAGCATGTTTTGGGCGTCGTGAATTTTATTGACTCCCCCCCCCCCTTTAAATTGGAACTAAAAATTTTGTTCCAATTTAAAGGGGATTAATGTTTTTTTTTAAAAACAAAATATCAATATAAAATTTTTTATAAAAAAAAAAAATTCAAAAACATATCGAATTAGATCAATAAATTTGTTTAATAAAACGCTATTTACTATTTATCCTTTAAAATAAAGCAAGATATAACTAAATTTTCATTATTAGCTAATACGCCAATATTAATTGGTATCAAAATTATTTACACAAAAATTATTATTTTTATTGATAAAAAAAATTAAAAAAAAAAAATTTTAGAAAATTTATCGATCAAAGTGCTAATTTTGTTTAAATAAGATGTTATTTATACTCTATTCTTTAAAATAAAGCAAGAAATAAGTAAATTTTGAAATTTTATAAAGAATTCCTATTGAATTTATATCAAAACTATCCAAATAAAAAATATCATTTTTATCAACAAAAAAAAAAAAAATTTTTTTTAAAAATTTTTAAAAAAAAACAAAAATTTAAATTTTTTTTTTAAAATTTAGCAATTAAGGATAATAAATTTATTTAAATAAGATGCTCTTTATACTTTGTTCTTTAAAAAAGAGCAAGATATAACTAAATTTTTAATTTTAGTTAAGAAGAAACATTTAACTTATATCAAAACTTTTTAGATAAAAATTATATATAATTTTTTATTATAAAAATTAAATTTTGTTCCAATTTAAAGGGGGGTTAATTTACCAAAAAAGTGGAAACTTTACCGATATTTTGTTCCAATTTAAAAGGGGGGGGAGTGAGAGAAATGAGGTGGGTAGCGATTTCTGAAATTGTGCTCAAACTTTCGACTGTTTTGGATTTTAATGCTTTTTGGTGCAGTTTCATAGCTTCTTTGGCTTTGCCTTGGATAAAAGCAATGTTAGCTAGCAATGCAACTGCTTTTGTTGATTGGCTAGGCTTTAAAACAGACTCTGCTTCTAGCCATTCTTCTCTTTTATACATCTCTTCACCAAGATTATCCCTTTCTGTGTCGTTCAATTTGTCATAACTAAAGCTGATTTTTTCTTTATCAATTCCAAGCTTTCGATAAACGCGGTTTCTCCATGATTTATAAATATCTTCACTGATTGGGCTTTTAAGTACAATTTTTGAATATAAAATCAATAATAAATAGCAGGATTCCATTAATTTCAGTTATTTTTTATTTTATTAAATAATATGCATGTAAAGCCATGCTATAATATTAATTATCCCTTATAAAATAGATCCTCATAAAAGTCAAAATCACCACACACTCATGATGATACAAATAAATTTCTTCTAGTCAATAAGCCATCAATCTTAAAAAATAATGCGTCAGATTTGGTTTATCGAACGCAAAGCTGCAGAACTTGTCCCTCGTTTCTTCCTTAGCAAGCTCCTGCAACGTTTCTTCAGGAATTTCATAGCTCAGCCATTCTTGCTTATTCCTCGACATTGGCCCAGTAACACTTTCCAAAATCCTTTTAATCCACGTAAAAGATTGTAATAAATAATGCTTTCTCCTATGCGAGTTCTGCGCGAGCTCAGCAAGCATCATATAAATCCTAACGAGCCTCTCATAATGTGTGATATTCAATTTATCAGGGTTTCCTTCAACCTCATCATGAGAAGTAAGCTTAGATCTAGAGGTCTTCTGATGCAGATTTGATTGGGATTTTAAGCTTTTTCCGCTCATTTTTGAGCTTAGCCGTGAGCTACTGTAGCTGCTTAAGCTTGCGTTGTCTTCAAAAGTTTCTTTTTCGATTTCCAACAATATGTCAGCTGCATTTGTAAGCTTATCATTTACGTCAAACCCACGGCTGTGGAGCCAAGTTGATCATTCTATTAAGATTTCAGAGCTTTCTACGTGGCCTTTAAGCAAATCTGCAGCTTTTTTGTAGGCATTGTCTATATCATTTGGCTGTATTGACGACCTGGCTAGCTTTACCCAAATTTTAGCCTGCATAAGTGGCTCGCTTTCTTTCATCCTCAGCAGATAATTCATGACGTTTTTGCCTTGCTTTGATAAAAACAGCATTTGGGCTTCCCAAAGCCACTTTTGATGGGACGTTGGGGTGATTTGGAAGGCATCTTCTACAATTCTTTCTCCTTGATTTCATTGTTCAGCCTTTGTTAAAGCTTCTATTAAACTTTGATAAAACAGCAGCAAAAAATCAGGGTCAGAGCTGTCATTTAGGTCTACTAAAAATTCAGCCATTTTGGATAGAGGCTGTATAAGTGCTTCATTTCCATAATCACCTGTGTATTTACAGATCAACTTTTTCTCATTTCCAGGGATAAGTAGAGAAGTATTGAAGCAAGCTCTTCCTGCATCTAAAACCAGCTTATTTATGCCAGTTTGGAGCCCAATCCTTGCAGACTCTACAAAATGGGTAAGTGCTGAAGTAATTAAAGCCATTTGTGACTCTTTTTCTTGCTTTTTTTCGTCTATCAATTTTATGAGGATTTCTCCATATAGAAATTCAGATACCGAGTACCAGCAAAGTCGTTTCTTGCAAGGGGTTCCTTTTTCTTTAAAATTAAGCGACCTTTGTGCACATAGCAAGGCAAGCTTATTAATGTCATTCAATTCAAAGCTCTGTCTGCCTAGCCTTGCCCAGATTTCGCAATGGACTACAAGCTCGTTTTCATCATTTTCTGACGGCACCCATCCTGTTAAAACAGTATTCGCTTTTTTTAATGCTTCTATACAAAGGCTTTTTTTCCCTGGCTCTCTTTTCATAGCTCTCGCGCTCTCCATAAGTGACAAAACTTCTGCAGTAGGAGATTCAGCTGCTACTTGGCCTTTTGCAGGAGCTTTTGGTTGAGAAATCCCTTTAGAAGCTAATGATGTCCCTTTTAGCTTTTCCAGCTCTTTTCTATAGTGTGGGCCTATAGGTTTAGTCAATAAAGTATCACAATCTTTAATAGATTCATCATGAAGGTTATTGTGGATTAACAGCTTTATAAGAGATATAGCGACCTCTGATATAATACGAAGCTTGCATTGGTGATTATTTATTTTTTAATTAAAAATGATATTTTGATTTTTTTTTTATTAAAAAAATTTCTTATTTCCTTGCTTTGGTAATTAAAATCGACTGTTTTATTGAAAGGGACTAACACCCCAGGGACATTTACAAGGGCCTGCTTTTCTAATTGAGAAGCAAGGGTTTCGAAAAGATAGCGAAGACAGTCTAAAGCTTCATTAAAAATATGCTTTTCAAATGAAGAAAACCTGAAAACAGGGATATAAATGTTGTAGAAATAGACTGCGCCGTTAAAGCAGATTCAGGACTGAGAAATTGCAATGCCTAGCCTTACTCCATTCCTAGTATGCATCACTATTTGCCGCTTTAGCTCAACTGCTTCTTCTGGTTGATTGTTTGTTGCTAAAGATTCTGATGGTAAAGAGCCTACAGGTATTGACTGGGCAAATCCTGGCTCGAACCCTAACTCTTGAATTCTTCACGACTTGCATTGTGCTAGCACGAAATGGCAGCTGGCCTGAGTTGCTATAAGGTCTGCCTCTTTATTAACATCCCACTCTCTCGAAACTACAAAATCACTTGCCTGCCACGCAATTTCATAAAATTTTTCTTTCAACGCCAACTGTGCGACTTCTCCAGAGATAAGGTATCTTAATTTCAAGTCCTTATAGTCCTGATATAGCTCATGAACCTTTATAGATCGTCATCATAGAAATATAGCCATTATAATGGACTTCATATATTGCACATCTTAAACCAGACCCCTCACTATTTTGAAAAATATTCAGGCTATAAATACAAAATCACTCGTTTTTAAACTGTTTTATTTAAGTTTTTTTAAATAATTATGAGAATATTTCTGACAATTAGCATGAAACTCGGCATAATAAAGCCAATGTATATCTTGTAATTAAAGCATCTTTTTCTCACCTTATGCGAAAAGCGGAAGATTTTAAGCAAAATGGTATTGGCTCAAATTTGGTGAACTAAAAGTGGCTAGTCAAAAATGCTTAACAAGTGTAAATCATTTTGACAAGTAAAAAGCCAAACTTAAAAATATCTTTATTATAAAATTAATTTTTAGATACCCTTATAGACTGACACTGATGATTATCTTACCTACTTTTCCCTATTTTATATAGAATTTAGGGCCCAATCAAGTAATGATGTTAAATTCAGCTTGCATAATCATTACAAAAGTTTTTTTTTTAAGACAATATATTTTGTTTCATTAATACTCATAATCTATTTATAAGTAAAAATGTCTCAGTCAATCAATGCTATTGTGAAATCGAATAATAGTGCATATGCTAAAAAAGCTGAAATCTTAAGCATTACAAGTAATAAATGTCCAAGAATATCTTAATTAATTAATTTTCAAGTTTGGTTGTTTACTTGCTAAAATTTTTTTGGTACGTCACTTTTTAATTCCTAAAAAATGGGCTATGCCATTTTGCAGAGAAATCCCACTTTTTAAAAGGGAAAAGAGAAGAACCATTATAACCGTAAAAATTTTCTCGGCTTTATTTGCAGAACCTCCATGTCATTATTAAAAATATTTTCAAATTATTTAAAAAAAAAATTATATAAAACTAAATCGAACTAGTTTAAAACAGGCAAATTTTTTATTTATATCTGAATATTTCTCTAAAGAGTAAAGGGTCTGGTCTAAAATATGCGAGATATGAAGTCCATTAAACGACTATTTTTTCGATGATAGCGATCTATAAAGGATCATGAGCTATATCTTTTCAGTCTCAACTTTTCGTTTTTTTCTTCTTCTACAAGGTTAGGCTCCATTACAATTTCTACCTGTTCATCTGTCAGCAAATTTTGAACAGCTCTTCTTAATAAGTTTTCTTTAGCTCCTTTACTGTCAAGGTTTTTGGCATTTTCAAGGTCAAGTCAGGCTTGTTCAAAAAGTCGTTCAGGGTCTTTATATATATCCCTTTTAAGTTCTAATTTTTTCTTGAGAGGGTATAAAGCTCGTTCATAAGGCCTTTGCATAGACTTCTGGTCTTCAAACTCAGTAGTAGGGGCATTAAGTTTGAAATTTGTGGCATCTAAAGAGTAAGCCTTAATGATTTGGCCTTCTGCTTTAGCAATGAAATCTTCTTGAAGCTCATATTTAGCAAGTTCCATATGCAGATTAATTCTTAGCTCATGCAGAGGAGACTGCATCGCTTCTAAATACCCTACAGCTGTCTGAAATGGTTTATAAACATGAGCTCTTCCGCTACCAATTAGCAAAGGTTTTCCTATATTCCATATTAATACACATCCTTCTGTCGTAACTCCAGGGTCATTTAGCCTCTTATTAGCGATCATGGCTCTGTCTACAATTTTCAGTGCTTCTATCCTTTTATCTAATTCCTGCTGTTTTAGCTTGGCTAACGAAATTTTGGTGCCTGTTGCTTTATCAATCTGTTCAGAATTATCCTTAACCAGCAGCTCAGCTTGAGAATACTCAATTCAAATCCTCGCTCTTAAGCTAGGCTGCCTTACATTTTGTAATTGGTCTAAGCACTGTTTAGCCATATTAATCAAGTTATATTGTAGGGCAGCTCTGGATAACTCAGCCAATGCTTCACTCCCAGGCTTATTTTGTAGCACTGCTGTCAGTTCTTTTTCTACTTGGTTATCTGGAAGTCCTCCTGACCTGATTTGTTGGAGCCCTACAAAGAATTTTAAGTCACTTTTGTTGGATTCTGCTTCTTTTTTAAGCGAGCCTACAGTTCCGGAGTTTTCTTTGTTCACGTGGACCTTCATCCTCCACAAGACTTCTTGGAAACTGACTGGGCCTTTTCTTTTGGTGATATCCCAGATTTTGTCAAGCATTTTTGAAGCGTCTGGCTTTCTTTCTGCATCTAAATAGCAGTTAGCTAAGGCCTGCATAAATCTGATCCTCCAGGCTGTATCTTGATCGTCTATTTCTTCTAATAGTGAACTGATTTTTTCAAAAGCGTCAATAAAGCTCTTTGAAATCCCAGCCAGCAGCATAGGTCTGAGGATTTTTCAAGCTGACACAGAAATATTGTAAACTAAAAATTGGTATTTTGGCTTGTTTTCTGGCCTTATCACTATTTCAATAGCTTTTAAGACAAAAGAAAACGCAAGCTTCGCTTGATCAATTGCGTCCTGTCCTTTTAGAGACTGAGTTTGGATTTTGAAGCTTTGAATTTCTGCAAATGCAAGTAACGCTCGGACATAAAATTGGTCCTGCATTCCTGAATATTGAAAATAGATATTTAAATACCTTTCGACCACCTCATTGCGGTTTTCTATCAGCATTCCAACTTCGCTGAACAAAACAATGAGCTGTAAAGAAAATTTTTGAGGGATTATTCTTGTATTTGACCTTAAAAGTAAATCTGCTTCATCAAAAGTGGCTCTTGCTTGATCTGGATATGTTTGGTCGCTTTCCCTGTTATTTCAAAAGTACTTACTCCCCCCCCCCCTCCGTGAGCGAACAAAAAAATTTTGTTCGCTCACGGAGGGGGTTAAATTTTTTTTTTAAAAAAAAATTTATATATAAATTTTATAAAAAATATTTTTTTCGAAATTTAAAAAAATCCTAATTTGCAAAAATTGGGAAGCAAATATTAATTTAATTTGCAAAATTTATGTTTTAAAACGCAATTTGTTTAAAATTAAACAGAATTAGCTCTAGATTTCATTATACTAATTATCACTTATATATCCAAATTTTTTTCCATTAAAATTTTTTCTATTAAAAAAATTCTTGTTCACTCACGGAGGGTGGGTTTTTGGTCAAAAAATGGCGATTTTTCTAATGGTTTTTGTTCGCTCACGGAGGGGGGGGGGGGAGTTAAATAGTTTCAATAAGTGCCCGGATCTTATACTCTTCAGCGCTAGCCATTTTATAAAAAGCTTTGGTTTTATCAATTTCAAAGAGAAATAAATGCCCTAAAATTTTAAATAAATAAGCATGGCCGTCCAGCACTTCTTAGTCTGATCGATTCTTAATATATTAATTATTTATTCAGACCCGATATGGTTCTGATTTAAAAATTCTAGCCTTAGGTTAAAGAATTCTGATAAGTTCATCATGAGCCAGCCCAATGATAAAAATCTTATACATTTATAAAATTCGCCATATCAGAAGATTGGATATTTGAGTATTTTTTAGAATTAATACAACATTAATTCAATATGAAGCACGAAAATAATGATGACAAAGAGACTCAGGACTCTATAAACCAGCAACAAGATCAGAACGTGGATTATAAAAGTATAATAATTCCTGATAATGTTTGGGTCGCCTGGCCAAATTATTCTTCTATGGATCCTAATTCAAATTTATTCGCCCTCAATCAGAACTATATTCCTAGCTCAGAAAAAGAGTCCCAAGCGGCTGCTGGAAGTCAAGGAGGCAAGAAAAAGCGGGGGAGAAGGCCATTGCGTCCTTTTGATCCAATTAAGAAAAAGACTGACTCCCCCCCCTTTAAATTGGAACAAAATATAGGTAGAATTTCCACTTTTTTGGTAAATTAAACCCCCCTTTAAATTGGAACAAAATTTAATTTTATAATAAAAAATTTTATATATATAAATCATAATTTTTATGTAAAAGTTTTGATATAATTTAAATGTTTTTCTTCTTAACTAAAATTAAAAATTTAGTTTTATCCTGCTCTTATTTATAGAATAGAGTATAAAGAGCATTTTATTTAAAAAATTTATTATCCTTAATTGTAAATTTTTTAAACAATTTAATTTTTTTTTTTAAAATATTTTCGAAAAAAATTTTATTTTTTTTGATAAAATGATATTTTTTATTTAAATAGCTTTGATATAAATTCAATAAAATTCTTTACAAAAATTCAAAATTTACTTATCTCTTGCTTTATTTCAAAGAATAGAGTATAAATAACATCTTATTTAAACAAAATTAGCACTTTGATTAATAAATTTTCTAAAATTTTTTTTTTTTAATTTTTTTTTATCAATAAAAAATAATAATTTTTGTGTAAATAGTTTTGATGCCAATTAATAGTGGCGTATTAATTAATAATAAAATTTTAGTTATATCTTGCTTTATTTTAAAGGATAAAGAGTAAATAGCATTTTATTAAACAAATTATTAATCTAATTCGATAAATTTTTGAAATTTTTTTTTTCTTTTAAATTTTATATAAATTTTTTTTTTATAAAAATTTTATAATGATTTTTTTTTTAAAAAAAATTTTCTTAACCCCCCTTTAAATTGGAACAAAATTTTTAGTTCCAATTTAAAGGGGGGGGGAGTGAGGAAAAAGATAAGTACTGACTTCGATCATTTAGAAGCTATATGAAATTTAATTATCCAAATATTGAATCTACATTGACTGACGAAGAAAAAGATTTTTGGCTTGACCATTTAGGAGGAAATGGAAAGCCTGATAAGGGAAATCGATTTTTATCATATGGGAAAAAGTATAAGGACTATCTTTTTTCTCATCAAACTTTTGTTGAGCAATTTCAGAGCTGGTTCAGCAACTATGGTCAATGTGAGCTAGTAAAAAAATGTAAGCCTGAAACTGATCTGTGGTTCGTATACTATGATTATGCGTCAAAAGAGCTTTATAATTACACTCCACAAAAGGAAAAAATACCAGAGCAACAGTTAAGTGAAGTAGAAAATATTGAGAAGACCCAAGAGCAAATTCTGGAAGAAATGATGCGGTTTTATATGTCGATGGGATGGGCATATGCAAATTTTCCATTAGAAAACCAAAATAAAAAAATGTTGTAATAGGATTTTGCGACTTTAAGTTAAAATATTCTAGAATAATTATTCAGCTAAATTAATATAGAAATAATTAATTAATTTTTTGCCAGAAGCTGTGCTTGAAATGTGCTATGATTTCGTTCTTTCGTTATCAAATTTTTGCCTTCATTGAACGTAATTTAAATATGGCAACAGACGAATAGATTTTTATTTGTTAAAGCAAATCACTTTATTCCAATATGGTAATAATATTGGTTTATTTCATTAATATTAAAAGTTTAAATTATTGTTGATAATTACGATATAGACCTCTAATAAAAGATTTAGATCATGAACAATTCCTGATTAAGAGAAATTTAATAAAATAAAAACTTTAGGAAATTTCTGTATTCTCATCAGAAAAAATTATTTAAATAAGTAAAATCATTTTAGCCTTAGAAGGATTAAAATTTTTATGTTTTAATAATTATAGCTTTAAAATTTGATAGAAGCTTGAGTTTAAATTGATATCGTGCTTGCTTGACTTTTCGATTAATCAATTTCAAAGCGCGCTAAAAACGACTTTGAAATAAATTCAGCAGTTTTGCTATGCTATATGCTTTATTGATATTTCAATAATTCAAAAATATTTTATTCTTCTGATTGCACTGAAGCTTAAATTATTTAAACAAGAACTTTATATAAACTAATTTATTAAATTATCATAATAAGAAATTAAGCTGATTATAACCAAATTTTATTACATTTCATAAAATCAAAATAAATATATGGAGAGCAAATTGAATTTTCATATCATGTCAAATCACTTTTTGACGAATTTTCGAAGGGGTGCAGATTTTATTATTTTTGATACATATTTTTTATCTTCCCAGCTAGGGTTTGTGGCAATAAACATAATCCATTCTTTATAATAATTATGGGGAAAATTGATGATCTCTCAAGCCTCTCTAAGGGTGAACTTCTTCAGCTAGCAAAACTTGCTGAGCATGCAGAGCGCTACGAAGAAATGGTTGAATTCATCAGAGCCTATGTCCAAAAAGACCGATCAGCGCTATCGACTGAAGACAGAAACCTCCTTTCAGCTGCCTACAAGAATCTCGTAGGAAATAGAAGAACTTCATGGAGAATCCTGAACTCCATTGAGCAAAAAGAAACTAAACGTGGAAATGACGAAAACAAGCAAAGAGCTGCAGACTATAAGTTGAGAGTAGAAAATGAATTAAGAAGCTTCTGAAAAGTTAATTATTATTAAGGATTTTAGCAGCACGACGAAGCCGTGCTTTCTTTATAATGCCTAGGATTTATAGTCATTTAATTGTAATACTATAAATAAAGGTTTCTCATATTTTTATATTGTGTAAGCTTCTGCAGAGAAATTCTCAGATTAATCGACACTGATTTGATCCCACAAGCAGCAGATGACGAGAGCAGAGTTTTTTACCTAAAAATGAAGGGAGATTATTATAGGTACATCTGCGAATTCACTCTTGGACAAGCCAGGGATGAAAGCTCAAAGAATGCCTTGGAGTGCTACCAGCAAGCATTGACCCTTGCAGAGACAGGCTTAGATCCAACTCATCCAACCAAGCTTGGGCTTGCTTTGAACTTCTCAGTCTTTAAGTACGAAATTTTGCAAAACCCTAGTGAAGCTTGTGCAATGGCCAAGCAAGCTTTTGATGATGCAATTCCTAGCTTAGACGCTTTAACTGATGAAGCTGCTTATAAAGACGCAACAATGATTCTTCAACTTTTGAGAGATAATTTGACTCTTTGGCAATCAGAAGAAGCCGAAAGCTAAAATTAACTCTTTAAATTCATTTAAGATCTTCTATTAGCATAAAATAAGCTCAAACTATTATTTTTGTAGAGTCATCTTACAAACTTCTGATAGTTAAAATTTAAATTATCTGATCTTCTCACTTGAAATTTCTCTCCTTAAAGCTAATTGCTTATATAATTTGCTGATGAATTTTTTGCGCTATTATCTTATCTTTATTTAAGTAAAAATTATGTAGGCTTAATTAAATATCGCTTTCATCGATTCTTGCTTTTTCTTTAGATGCCCTAAATACAGCATCGCCCCAGCAAACGACAAAACCAGAAAACAAAAATTAACAATCCCAAACAGCCCTGCAAACTTAAAATTCATCTTTAACTCTTCACCGAAGTCTTCAATCTCTACATCATACCCAGCTTCTTGCAAGTTTGCATTTATTTGAGGCCAGCTATCTTCAAGATATTTCATAACAAGTGATGATAACAGAATCGAGCCTATTCCAGCTACAAGAATCATAATTGAAATAAATCCTAAAGTCGTAGCGAACCAAATAATCATGGTTTGCCTTGAATGTGTAGCTGCATAGTAGCCTAAAATTCCTAGACCCATCATGCTGAAACCAATAAACACAAAAATAAAATTCGTCCAGCTTGGCAGCTGTGTATAATTAGAATGCTGGGCTGAGTAAAAACTGACAGCAATCAAGGCGCTCCCTAAAATGCTTAAAATTAAGCTAGTCACTGGGAAAAGGCTTTCTCTGATTTTCTTCCTAATTAAATTTCATATATTCGCTTCAGCACTTATCATGATCATATTGACTGCAAATGAAAACGCTATGAGGGACTGGATTTCTGACTCCGCATGTCTTTTAAAGCCTGCCATGCTGTAGCCTTGAGCTGAATTCCTTAAGCTTTCCCAGTTGCGGTCAATAAAATCTTGAATATCATTTAGCATCAGTCATGCGCCAAGTGCAAAGACACTAATAAAGATAATTAAAATAATTGATGAGTAAAAAGTAAACAGCAGAACTTTTGAACTTTTAATCATATTGCCAACAATAGCAATAATCCCTAGCATTGACACAATTCCTCCCATTCCCATTAAAGCTTTGTCAGCAATCAAAATTTCGACCCCGAACTTATTGGCTTGGTAGCCTAGTGTCATAATAATTGGTCCGAGTGCTATAAGTGTTGCGCTGCAGACTCCAAGAATTCACCTTGTAAATGTATGAGGATTCTTTTTCGTTTTCTCTTGAGTTTGCATTTTATTTCATATATTCCTTAATTTAAATCTCTGATTAATTGCTAAACTTATAGCTTTGATTAATAAAAATAACGATTACTAAAAATGAAAACTCTGGGTTTTATAAGTGTCCTTATTTTTTATATTTCTTATACAGCTTCAAGGTCTTTAAAATCAAATGATCATATTTTTAGCCAAAACTTTTTGCAGACAAATGGGTATAATTCGTATGGGACGATTATTTATTCGGAAGATGTATTGGAAAACACTTTGGCTGAGGATGAAAATGATAAAGATGAAAGCGTTGATTATGATGGGTTAACGCTGGAGGAGTTAGAAGATACGGATTTGCAAGATTATTATGAGGATTTGGACGATTCAGATGAAATGTATTATACTGAGGATCAATCAGAAGAGGAAAGCGATTCTGAAGACAGCTATGAGGATTATTCTGATGATACAGAGAATTCAACTGAAGAAGTTGAGGAAGAAGAAAGTCAGCAAGAGAATGAAAGTGAAAGTAGCACATAATAAAGCACTTAAAAGCTCAAAATGCCTGCTTTTCGAATTAGATAAATTAAAATATTCATAATATTCCGTATTCTTTATAGGGTCATTATTTTTTTGGATAATATTTCTAAAACCTGCCAAAATAATCAATCATGGTATCAAATTTGAACTGATTTTTTTAAAAATAGCAATATTTATGTTTATATAAAAATTTTATTTTAAATCTTTATATAATCTGATTCGCAATGAAGTAATGATAATTCAGAAGCACATCAATGGATAGAGGAACAAGAACTCCATCGACACGAGGTGTCTCTCCATCAACTATTTTCAACTGCACTGAAGTATTAATTCCTGATGCGGAGAGAGACCTAACCCCCAACTTACCTTTACTTCACAAGAGAATAAATTCGAGTTTTGCAGTTTCTCAGAACACAAGTCTTAATTCATTTTCCAAAGAAAATAAAAAACCGCCGAGATCTAGCTCTTCAAAAGGCTTCTTGAGGAGAAACTATAGCACATTAAATAAAACATCTGCTGATATCGAGCCATCAAGCCATCTTATAGATACTATAGAAAATATTAAAAATAAGGTCGAAAAGTCTTTTGAAAATAGCTCATTTCAGCAAAACGGAGATATTTCTGGATTTATTCGTAATATTAAAGATCTCGAAGGTCTGAAACACATAAGAAGCTACATAAATGAAATTGGAAAAGAAGTCGTATTAAAAAAACAACGTTATAACGAAATTCATGGAGAAGTCATAGAGCGGCAAGAAAAACTGAAAAAGCTTGAAGAAGCCTTTGAATTGTTAGAAAAAGAAGAAAACGAAACAAATAATTTGCTTGAAGTCTATAATTTTCGAAGAGATGAATACCGCGATTTTCAACAAGGCTTGAATAATGAAGTTTATTACCAAGAAACCCTAAAATATATGATTGCTTGCAGGCAGGAAAACTCAAAAGCGATGTCTTACCCTTTAAATACAGATAATTTAAAGCTAAAACAAATAAGTCAGAAAATCAAAAAAACTGGAAAAGAAATAGTGAAATATGTATCGAAATTTGGAGAAATAAAGAAACAAATTGAAATAATAACTGGGAAAACTGAAAAAGAAAGAAAAGAAATGGAAAAGAAAGTTCAGTCTGAACTTAAAGTTTTTGAAGACTACCAAAAATTAAAAAAATGCATATCTCTTGAGCATGATAGAAATGTTACAATAGAAAGGCAGCAAAATAATGCAGTGCAATTATTGAAATTTGAAAGAAAAATCGGAGAATTGAAAGAAGAGCATATTATACAAGATGAAGCTATGAAGTTAGAAAAAAGCCAAGAAATCCTAGAAAAAAAGCTAATAGCAATCCAAAGGGTTTCAAATATCGCAACTGTCCAAGATATGGTTCCTTACTACCAATATCTCTTTTAATATGAATACTTATTATGTATTAAATCATAAATAAAAAGTCAAATTTAATGAAAAAAGAATATCTTTTACTCTCCCCCTTTTTGCTCAAGCAATACTATTGAAGATTTCTTAAATTGGAAGAATTCTTGGTTGAACAATTTTCTGTAGACATAAATGAAGCCTATTCCTATACCTCTTCAAGTCTAACTACCTGCCTTTGATAATAAAATAATTAGTATAACTTTTTCTAAAAAATTTTAATGTGATTTCTAGCATATTTGCTAATGTATATACTCTATCTCTTGTGGCTAGGGCATAAAATATTTTATATGGAAAGAAGTTACTTTCAAAATTTTATATCATCCCCATCCTTGATCGAACGATAGTGATCGGCTTGATCAAAGATAGGGCTATTTAGAAAAAAATAAAAACTTAAAAGGTACAGTTGAGCAGCTTCAAACACAAATTGACAATCTAACACAAGAAAAAGAAGAATTGGCAAAGGAAGCTGATTTTTGGAAATTTCAAGATGACTCATATTTTAAACTCAGCATCCAAGAAGCTGATATAGCTAATGATTAGATTAGTTAAAATTATAGTGTGTCGTCGGGGTTTATTTCAGCCCTTCTCCGTCCAACGGATAGCTTCGCATTGGCGTTAAGCGCTATCCTCACACCACCATTTTGCTTCTGACATCACCAAAAAATAGTGACGTTGAAGGTCTATCGGGGAGACACCCCTACCGATTGGCATTGCCTTTCTTGATCCCAAATTTCAGCAGAAGACTCCCTTAACCTCTGACAGGGGCTCAGAGTATAGGTGGATCGTCTTTTTCCTCCTCCATGGCCTGTCAGAGCTTTATTGCAGGCTCGAAAATTGCTCCATGGGAGTAGTATTGGGACTTTGCGCCGGTAGGGACTCTGCAGTTAAGGAAAAAAGATCTAGGGTCATCCCTTAGACACCGAAGAACTATCGCCACGTAGTTTATCTTTCCTGGACCCGTATCAACTCACGGGTCACGAGGAGTCCACGTCAGATCACGCCATTTTAATAATTCTCATATAGCTAATGAAGAACTAGAAAAGAAAATAGATGAAATTATGAGGAGCGAAAATAACCTACATAAACTTCAAGAACTTATAAACGCATCTGTTAATGTTCTTAGTCGAGTGGTTTTTCAATTATCTGATAATGAAAGTTCTGTGATTGAAGTAAGCGAAAAAAAATTGAGCAGAGCTTTGGCTTATGCATCAACTAGACTGGATCAAATGATGGAAATTCTTCAAAATCATCAAAGCGTGTTTTATATTGAAAGCATTAATACTGGGATGGAGTTTGGATCTGCCCCATCATTTTTGAGGTTAAATAACAGCAGACAGGCTAGAGTTGAAAATAATGACCGTTTAGGTTTTTCGAATAAGGAAAATGAGACATCTAAAAGGAATTAAATTTTTGAAAAAGTTGTAATTCATCATTGATCTAAATAATTTAAGAGAAACAAATTTTCCTAGCTGTTAGCTTATATATAAATTATAATTTTAGAATAAAATCAGAAGAAAATATAATGGATAGCAAAATATTTAAAGTACCTATATAAAAGGAGTCAGATAAATATAGTGAAATTCCAATTCCTATAAAATTTTAATAATTTTTCTACTATTTAATTATTAAATAGATCTATATTCAAATTAATTAAAATTAATCTTCCAGACTTAACTCCATTCCTCCTTTTAAATTGGAATTCCAATTAAAGGGGAGCTAATTATGAAAAAAATTAAAAAATTTTTTTAATAAATATCTAAATTGAATACGATATTTTTGAATCTTAATTGGTTTTATAAAGAATTTTCGTTTAAAAACTTAATCAAAATAGACTACAACTGTTTATATATAGCATTCTACTTTAACCCCCTCCATTAAATAAGGTCAAACTATTTATATAAAAATTAGTAAAATGTTTTCCATCGAAAAATTGAAATTTTGTTTCAATTTAAAGGGGTTTAATTTATCCAAAAATTGATATTTTACCTATGTTCGTTCCAATTTAAAGAGGGAGGGGAGTAAGAATTTCGTGATTTCGCACGCTTGCTTAATACTTTCTTTATCATATGCGAAAGTCCATTAACAGATGCATCAATATGATTAAAATCAGTATAAAGGAACTCCCAATTTCCTCTATTTTCTTTTGCTGTCCTCAAAACGCCCACAGACGTATATCCCAGCATAATAAATGCATTTTTAAACCTCACAAGGGTATCTTCATGGAAATCTTTTCCCATCTTGACTTTCAGCAAGTCAAATAGCTCCGTAATATCCATAGAATTCGGATATTTATATGGTGGGCCTTCACTAATCTCGGTTGAAGTAAAATGCACGTAGTTTTCAGCAGGGTCTTCTTCCTTTATATTATTTTTAATAATATAGTTTTATCAAATTATAATAAAAAAAAACATAAAATTTTTCCAATCTTCATCAATTATTGTATAAATCCAAAGCCAGCATATTATCAACATCACTTATCGTCAGTTTTTCGAACTTCAAGTCGGTAAAATCTTCTGCACATATTTTATTATTTATGTCTCATTTGTTTACATCTTCCTGAGTAAAGCAATATGTGTGCCTATTTGCTGAATTTATTGAAGAAAATCTTCTGACACAGTTAGAGAATGGTTTATTACAGGGAATAGCATTGCAATTATCAAGCTTTGTGTGCTTTACGACTCGAAGGGAGCTTTTTCCGGCTTCAAAAGTCATATAGCATCGCGGGCACCAAGCTTTCATCCTTCCAGGAGTCGTTTCAGCCTTTTTTGGCTCTTCTGCTCTATTTGGGCTGGATTCCATTTTATTTGAGTAAACCCTATTTCCTATTTTATCCTATTTTGGAAATAGTAGAAAAATTCGGATAGGATTTGGTATAAAATACGATTAAAATCCCAAAATTAAGCTTGCAGTAATGATTTTTTTCTTAAGATTCTTAAAAATTGAATTTATTTTTTCGCTCAGCTTGTTGAATTAATTAAACGTTATCAAATAGATTGATCTTAATAAATAGATCTTTATTTATTAGTAGCTTTTGGGCCAATCCAAATTTTTGCTATCGTAGAAAGGTTTTATTTACAATAGTAAACGAATTTTTTAAAGCAAATAATTTCAAATTATTTATGAACCTATGCCTTGAGGAACGTTTGAACATTTTTATCGCATAAATCTTTATCATTCTGCTTAATTCCCCGCGAACAAAAAATTTTGTTCGCTCAAGGAGAGAGGTTAATTTTTTTTTAATAAAATATATATTAATTTTTTTTCAAAATTTAAAAATTTCAATTCTTAAAAAATGAGAATTAAAAATGCAAGCCGTTTTAAATTCCAACAGGATTAGCTAGAGATTTCATTTCCTAATTATCCACTTGCATATCAATCACGGAAAGTGGGTTTTTAGGCAAAAAATATGGATTTTCCAATGGTTTTTGTTCGTCACAAAGGGGGGAGTTAGCAATTAGACCCTATAATATCAGTTCCTAGAACATCAGTTAGATTTAAAAGGGTTTGACTAATCAGAACTTTCAGGAAGATCCAACACTTAAAGCAATTACATAACTTTTTAACTAATTAAATATTTTTTCATTACGGCCTGACCAAATCTAATCCGAATTCATTAATAATTGCTTATAAATCATATTTACCATAAACATATTTTTTATTATATTTTGTCAATATCATTAAAATTATCTTCTATTTGCTGCTACTACCATAATTTTCTCTTTTATAACTCTATTAATAAAAATCCATTTTCATATAATTATAATTATGTCTGGCAATTATCCCAGTGAGTTGTCTAAAAACACTTTGTTGCCAATTTCCAAACAAAACAAAAATCCAAGTGACTCAGACGCCGAAAGCTGTAAAAGCAGTGAATTTGGCGGCCTGTTCGACCAGCAGCTTATAGAGAAGTATGAAGAAGAACATCATGAATTCATGCAGTATGGGCTTTCACAAAAGAGCGAATTAATTTTACGGAGAATTTCGATGTCAAAGCAGGTTCCTTATGAGTTCAGAATCCAGCCATTTTTCCGTTTACTTGTTGGGGCTTATCAAGAACTGAATTTAAATGAAATCGAAGTTGCGGTGTGAGCAATTTATATTGAGCGCTTTGTTTGACCAGAACCTCAGGCAACGCTTCATTACTTGTTAGTTACTACAGCATTTGCTGCGAAATTACACATGAATGATGATATATTTTATTAGTTAATTTAAAATATAAGCTTGAAAAATAAAAAAGTTAGCATGATAAGTCTATATAAAATAGAATTTTTTTGCAAAGCACATTATGCAGCTGAAAATAATTTAAAATAATATACAAATCACTTAAAAGAATATCTTAAAACAAAAATTTTGGGCTTTGAAGAAAATTTTGCTTTATGATATTCGCAAAATGAAAAAAATATGATGATTTCTCTGCAAGAGCTGAATACAGTTTATTCAAATCTTGGAGAATGAATGGAGAAATCAAAAGACAACATGGCCTTTGAATTGAATTATTATGTGGACGATATACTCAAATCTTCGCTGCCATACCAATCTGAAGCCAAAGAGCTTCAAAACGATTTCAAGTCAGGAGCTAAGCAAATCAATATTGAGCATATCCCTTGCTTCGCGAAAAATACCTACTTTATATTAAAATTCCTATATACATAAAATGGCGTATGGCGACCGACCCGTCCTCCCAGTGACGGTAACCTGTGTATATCCGGGCATGGTTTTCTGGAGAAGCGACTTAGCCCAGCAGTATCTGGACCCTGGTGGCGACCAGGGATGAACACAGACCCGTCTGATCGTGGCCAGATCCTAGGGCAGTTAGTAGCATCTCCTTTTTCCAGCAGCACCCAAGCCAGTGGGTGCCCGAAATGGAGCAGGGCGACTTACCTGCTCAAGCTGCTATTGTGGTCTGCCCCGAATCGCGGAAGTGATTGAGTATTTTGTCAAGCGGATAAGCTGGCAAAAGGGGAGGCAGATTAGACAGCCTAAAGGCGGTCTCTCCAGTTAAAAGGGTCCTTTTAAAGGACGATCTGGCCAACCGGAGACAGAGACTGGCGTAACTCGGGGCAAAAGGCTGAGTTGGAAATGGTGGTGCTCAGCGACGGTCTGCTGACGACCCAATAGGGCAACCACTACCGAGAAACCAGGGGTTTCGGCCTGGGCTCAGAGAGCCAGTGATGGAAGTCCATCCTTTTCGCTCGTGCCAGCACGGCTCCTCACGGAGCGCGGAGGAATGTCACGCATGGAAGAAGGGACCTTAAACACACATCGTTCTAATCTAATCTAATATTAAAATTCCTAATTTTAAATGAATTTTTCAAATAAATAATTTTTTAATATAAAAATTTAGGAATATATTTGAAATAAACTCATAATATCCCGGTTATGCCATTACAATTTCCTCCAGTGGAAGTTCGACAGATAAATTTTTATGACAATTTGCTACCTCCTCTATCAAATCCAAATAGTGGTGCCTCACCTGTATTGAATCTGCACCCCCAAGTTTCTGAAGACACAGATTTTCTGAATTTAACCCCGAATTATTCTCAAAAAGGTAAATCAAGTGCTAGCTTTTAAGTATATTTACAATTAAATGTCCATAATTCACGTGTCAATATTTATTAATGTCAAAATCAAGACTTCGGATTATAATAATGATAAATCTTATATGAATAAGGCTTATATAATCTACGTATAAATTATATTTAGCGATGCTTATAATTAGAAACAGTGCTAGTTATAAATTGATTTTTAATATTTGATGTCTTTTTTTAAAATCTGCTCATTCTAATTTCCTACCTGTTTAAATTAAACAAAATTTTGGAGCATGCTTTTTGATGGCAAAACTTTCGCCAAAGAACGTATAAAAATATCAAATTGGTAAAGTTTTTATAAAAATGGCAAAATAAATATTTTAGCAAAGCAAATCAAAATATGGCAAATTAAATATAGTAAAAGGCAAATATTCGAAATGTTGTATAAAAAAAAAGCAAAAAAGTAAAAATTTGCAATCGTTGAAAATTTACGTAATTTTAATAAAAAAATAACCTCATTTAAATTAGGCAACCTTTTGCCCCAATTTAAAAAGAGCACAGCTTAAAAAAATAGAACAAATATTTGAATAAAGAAGTTTCATAAGGTTCAAGTGTTACTCTTTACAAAAATGTAATGTTGCTAGGGACTAGCAAATAATGAATCAGACGTTCTAAAGCTCCCGATGCATTGCAGGTGCTTTAGTCTTCTCCAAACATCTCCAATATAGATCTAAATTTTACTGCAGCTATAGAGCACTTTCAACCTTTTTTTAGAAGTGGAAAATTTATCTGGGATTTTGAAACAGTTAATGATTGATAAAATGAAGAGTTGGGTTTGAAGATGTAAATTTAAAAGAATATGAATTTAAAGGAAAATTTGAATATGTTATGAGGATAATACAATTATGAGTGCTCAAGAGTCTTAATCTAAATTAAAAATTAGATGTATTCTATTATTCACGCAGTCACCCATACCTTCGAAGGAGGTCCATCCGCTTACTACATACTCAATTAGATTTGACCGAGTGAGATTATTATTCGATATATATTTAAACTAAAGTTCCACATATTTCTTTTCCAGATTGCATCCCTAATGCAATTATACATCTTTTATTATTAGTATGCATATATTTCGTGTTTTTTTAAATTTCAAATTTTTGCTTTTTATGCAACTTTGCAAATTTTTTGCCGTTCTTATGTTTAATTTTTCCATTTTTTGGTTTACTTTACTAAAATACTTTTACTTTGAAAAATTTTTTTGTAAAATATTAGCCATTTTTATACAAATTTGCTATTTTTTGTACTTCTTTGCCAAAATTTTGCAATCGAAAAGCACGCTCGAAATTTTAAAAAAAATAATTTCTTTGAAACCAATTTAATTTAGATTAATTTTACAAATTTACTCACATCTTACTTAATTTCAAAGAGTGAAATTAATATAATATATTTATTTAAAATAAATTTGGCACCTTAAGTCGATAAAATTTTATAATTTTTTTCTTTTGTCTGAAGGAGTAATGAAAATTTTTTAATAAAATTTATGTCTTTAAAACTTTCTCTCTCCAATAGTTTAGCTTTATTTGTCAATAAGTTTATGTAGCATAAAATTCACCAATAATTGATACCTAAATTTTTAAATTGGCTATATCTCCTCAGTTAATAAAACGCAGCACAAATTAATTTTTATATAACTTTATTACTATATTCTTTCAATAACGGTCAAGCATTTTAAATTATTTAAATAAGGGAGTAAAATAAAATTCACATAAATAAGAATCTTACACCAAACTTCTTACTCTTTCCTCTGTAAGCGAAAAATATTGGAAAACTTTTACTCAGCTGAAGCGAGCAAAATTTTTATATAGAATTTTTGCCTACTTTGATATGTAATTATTACCGAATATAATAGAGCTGAAATTTAAATATTTGTATTCTTAAACATAAATTTTATAAATTAAATTACATTTTTTACTTTAAAAGTATTGTAAATGAGGTTTATTTAAAATATAATACAATAATATAATTTTAAATTAGTATCCTTATGAGTGCAAAAATTTTTATTAGCTCACGAATGCAGAGTTAGGAAAATCTTTATTATTTTAACAATATTTATTATTATAATCTCTATTTTTTATATAGGGGTTAAGTTAATCCAAAATTCCCATATTTGTAATCCAATAATTAAAATGCAATCTAAACTTGCTGGACTTTGGCTTTTATCAGCAGGAGCAGGCGTATTTGGTATGATAACAGGTGGCAGCTATTTAAGGGTCAAAAAATCCCCTATTTCAAGCTCTGGAGAATCTTTAAGTGGATTTAAGCTTCAAACTACCGAACAAGAGTGGGAAGAAAAGCACAGAACCCATCAATTACTTTGCGAATCAAAAGGAATCCAACCTATTGTCAATCTAGAAGAATATAAGCTTGACTACAATATTTATATATCGCATATTGCTTTAGCACAAGGTCTAGGTGTCTATATAGCTGTCCCTTCTTTAATTGGATTATTGACAAGAAAATTCGGAGGAGTGTTTGCGATGAAGCTAATTGGTATTAACTCTTTATTTGCTTTAGGTGGCTATATTAGCCAAGTCCTTAAGCAAGATAAGACAAAAGAATTAGGGATCCCTGATAGCTTACCCCCCCTCCGTGAGGAACAAAAATATTTTGCTCACTCACGGAGGGGGGTTAATTTTTTTTTTAAAAAAAATTATATATAAATTTTTTATAAATTTTTTTTCAAATTTTAAAAAAAATCTAATTTACAAAAATTGGGAAGCAAATATTAATTTAATTTTATAAAATTTATGTTTGAGAACGCAATTTGTTTAAATTAAACAGAATTAGCTCGAGATTTCATTATAATAATTATCATTTATATATCATTTTTTTTTTTCATAAAAATAATTTTCTATTAAAATAATTTTTGTTCACACACGGAGGGCAAAAATTGGGATTTTTTCCAATTTTTTTTTTTTTCACTCACGGAGGGGGGAGTTAGTATTCCCTGCTTATATGGGTACTGGGGTTTCTTTATATTCACTCCTAATGTGGACTGGATTCTTCTGCTTCAGAAAACCTCAGGCTGCATTTGCAGAGGAATTAGTAGCTTCAGCATATAAAGGAGCAAGAAGAAGATTTATGGGGCTTACTCATCTTTCATTATTCACCTTTTTTGCAGGACTTTTGGTGTCCTCTACTAAGGCTGGAAATGTTTTAAATAATTGGCCATGGTATGGTAAAGATTATTTTTTCCCTGAAAGTGCATGGGATTTAGAGCCAGCGTATAAAAATTTTTATGAAAATAGAGCTATGATTCAGTTTGTGCATAGAACTTTGGGAACTTTAGCTTATCTTGGAGTGCTAGATCTGTTTACTTATCAGTATGGAAAACCTTTGCCATTTTCAGTGAAATTTTCATCATTTTCGCTTTTGCTTCTTATGACAGCGCAGCTTATTGGAGGAATAAAATCACTTAAGGATGGCCCTCAGCCAGAAGGGACTCTAGGCCATAGCACCAATTCTATATTGATGTTGACGATCCTTTACTACGGTCTTCATGTTTTAAGAAGACGTTAATAAATCATAAGATTTCAAAAATTGCATTTATATAGCAGCTAAATTCAAATTTTATTTAAAAATATTGTAATCTGTAGCAAAAATCATAGAGGTTTATATTTGGATTTTATTAATTGGTATAATGGTTGAAAAAAACTTATTAATTCCCTCTCTAATTATAAGGATAATAGATTTTGATAGATACTTTCAATTGCTAATCTCTATAAATGGCACAAGAAGAGACTGTGAAATTGAAAAAAGGTGACTATACGGTTCACATTTTCATAGAGAACGGAAGAGGTCTTCTCCCTCTTAACGATTCCGGTAAAATTGACCCAATTGTAAGTTTTAAAGTATTCGGCAAAGAAAAATGCACCAAAGCCCTTGATGATGTAGGATCAGGCGCAGCCATTTTCTGGGGTGAACATTTTTACTTTTCAAAAGAGAACGCGAGCGCTTCAGAAATAGAGCAGCAGCGACTTACAATTGAAGTCAGAGACCACAGGTTTCTCTTAAAAAATTCTCTTGTTGGATGCTATGAAATGGATCTGACCTATGTATATTATCAAAAAGACCATACCATATTTCATCAATGAATAGGTCTAAGCAATCCTGAAGCTGCTGATTTTAGTGTCGTCCGTGGATACCTCAAGCTTGGAATTTCAGTTCTCCATGAATCTGATAAAGCAGTCGATCTCACAGTTCCAGAAAAACCAGGGGCAACTGAAGAAATGCTGCTACCTCCTCAAGTCAAGCCAAAAACAGTACAACTTGTTGTAAGGTTTTTAAAAGCTGAGCAGCTGCCTAAAATGGATCGAGTAGGTACAGCTGATGCATATTGTATTGCAAAATTCTCAGGGGTCGAGCAGAGAACATCAGTAATAACAGTCGATGAGGCCACGATGTCTGCTTATTGGTATGAAGAAGTTTACCTCCCAGTCATGCAGCCCTGTGTCGCCACAAAGTTACAAGTGACAGTCCTTGACCATGATACAGCTAGTCCTAATGACGATTTAATTGGAAGCATCAGCTTTAGCTGGGACAAAATTTTAAACGGTGACTACAAAGATCATTTTTGGGCTAACATTTATGGAGCACCTCCCAGAACAGACAACGACGAGTCAAAATTAATGAACTCTATCCCTGAAATGGCTTCATATTGGAGAGGAAGGCTACTTATGAGTATTTTTGTAGACGAAGAAGCAAGAGCAGTGCTTAAAGTTGAAAAAGTAGCAGAAGAAGGAATAAAGGAAAAAGTTCAGCAAGAATTTGAAGTCGGAGAAATGTACGAAGTCAGAGCACAAGTGTTCTCAGCCATCGCACTCCCTGATAAAACTGGAAAGTATGGTATCAAGGTCAGATGGGCTGAAATTGAGCTTTCTTCTACTGAAATGAGAGCTAATAATGGCTGCTGCAAATGATATGAAAGCTTAAATAGGAAAACGACACTAATTCCTAATAGATCTGAATCAATACTTCCAGATGTGTTTATATACTTGAATAGTGGAGGCTCTAACGTTTGTTACGCAAGATTGAGTGCTAAAGAATGCATGAAATTAGATAAAGATGAGATGTGGATTAGGTTTAACCCTGACAAAGCTATTAATACTGTAAAAAATGACTGGGAAGGAGGATTTATAAAAATAAAAGTCTATATTGGAAAATTGTCAGAACAGAAACTTGTAAGGTGGAACAGGCCTGAACAAAGGTCTGAAGTTAGCATGACCCTGCTCTGTCATCTTTTCCAATGCAAAAATCTTCCATCCTCAGACTCAAATGGATCTGCTGATCCATACGTTGTCATGTACTGCGCTGGAAATCAAGTTAATACTGATAAAAAAGCGAAGCCAAATACACTTAATCCTATGTGGTATGAAACCCTTGCAATGGAAATCTCTGTAGAGCCTGATACATCAACACCTGTACTTATAGAAGTTTCCTATGTTTGGCGCTGTAAGGCCGATAAATTCTGATCGGAATTTTTATCGGTTGGTTGCACCAAATCAATGCCTTGGTCGGACCAAAAAGCGATTTGGTCCGACGAACTTGGAAAGCTCCTAGGAAAATGTCTGCGCTTTCAGCGCTATATAGAGCAAACCTCTATATTTATGTATGGGATTACGATTTAGGAAGCAAAGATGACCTTATGGGAATGTGCATTGTTAATGTAAAGATTATTTAGATGAAAGAAATTAGGAGAGACACTACGCTGGCTGGTCAAGCATAGGTAGCAACCAGACACCCCCCCACCCTACCCCCCTAAAAATGGTACCCCCCACCCCCTCAAAAAAATAAATGGTTTATCCTATAGAAGTAATTGATAGGAAAAAAGCAGAATAAATTAAATATAATCCAATTAAAACACTATATTGATAAATTAAGTCCACAAATTACTTTATATTTATGATTAATTAATAAATTTAAATTAATTAGAAAATATATTAAATTTGTTTTTATATTTATAAATATAATGCCAAAGAATAGATAATGGCATTAATTATTAAATTAGCCAAGTACAATATAATAACTTGCATTAAATTTATTGATTCATAAATTAAAGCTAATCTGATGCCCATTGTACAAGAATTGCAGGACTGAATTAGTAACAAGATTCAATATAATAAAAATAGTATTTGCTATTGTCAATTTTACTTTTGATCTCTAATTGGACTCTTTAGCCATTGTTCCAAAAAGTTCATAAATATATGCAGGATATACTGCTAATTAATACCAAAGATCATTATTATGCCTCTAACAAATTTCTTCAGATGTGGTGTGCTTAGTAGTTACAGGAAATTCTCACCCCAATCCACCTACTGCTTAATCGATTGTGCTATGCTATGTGGATATTGTATAAATCAGTAATTTTGAATATTTAAAATAATAATTTATTTATTGCGTCTGCTCTAAATTGGCATTTGTCATATATTTATGCTATATTAAGGGGGTGGGGGGTGCCATTTAAAAGGGGGGGGTGGGGGTGTATGGTTGCGACCTATGCTTGACCAGCTGGCTCCAAGGCCAAAATGGTATAAATTGGATATGGGAAAGCCTGGGACTGAAGAAGGAGAAATTTTGATGTCATTTAGCTTACAGCAAAGCGGAAATGTACCGTATTACAGCTTAGTGTAAATATTATACAGACCTGAAAGCACAGAAGTAACAATAGAAATCAATATTTTGGGGCTAAGGGATTTAAAGCCTGCTGTAGGTTGGATGCCAGTAAATAAAGCATTTATGAAGTTTGATTTAAAATCTCTGCAACTTCCTGGAGAATCTTTGCCTGTTCAAGAGTTAACTCCGCCTCTCCGCGAGCTAACCAGGAAATTTTATTCGCTTATAGTATTTTTTTTCCAAAAAAAATTGGAAATCAAATATTTTATTTAATTTGTAAGATTTATATGTTAAAAATGCAATTTTTTAAAATTAAACAGAATTAGCTAGATATTTCATTATAATAATAATTACTTATCACTTATATATTTCAAAATTTTTGGTTCTCACGGAAGGTGGCTTTTTTGCAAAAAGCAGGGATTTTTCCAATGGTTTGCTCGCTCACAGAGAGGGTTGTAAGAACTCAACCTTTCGAGCCAGGCCCGAACCCAAACATTAATACAGTGCTTTCCTTCACATGCATGATACCTGTAGATTCTTTATATTGTCCAGTTTTAAATGTAATCATTATTTAGTGTACTGTTCACGACTATGTTCTTTACGGACTATCACAACCTTTACTTGGGACGTTTACTATTCTCTCCTAAATTAGTCTTTATCTTTAATTACACCAATTGCAATGTCAATTTCTTAATTTATTATCTGATAAAATTAATCATCCTCTGCATATTCAAATCGGCGATCTTCTACTCAAAAAATATAAGCGAGCTGAAGCTAAAAGACAAGCCAATCTAATCTTCAACAGATATTCTACCGCATTAGCTCCAGCCAAGCTCGACGAAGAACAGCGAAATGCCGCATTTAATCGATACTCCACCCAATTTCCTGCAATAAAAATCGAAGACGAGAAAGAAGAGCCAAGACGTTCCTTTGATTCTCTAAATCCTTTCAAAGTTGTAGAAGAAGCTAATGAAGATGAATATGAAGAAGAGGAAAAAGATTTTGAACCACTTTTCAGCGTCGTTCAGAGACGAAAAGAAACTCTTGTGAGGCCATTTCTCCCCAAGGCATCTGTAGGTGCAGGAGGAGATACAATGAGATCTTTATTTAATACACCTCGTGCTAGTATAAGGGAAGAAATTAAAGCGGAGGATATGAAGGTGGAGGAAATGCAGGTAGATAGGGTCGTCATTTATCCACAATTTGCTGATGACCCAAGGAAGAAAAGAAAAGTTGAGGTCGGAATTCCAAATCCTGAAGAATATTGCCCGTTAGGATATAACAGAGAGCCTGATGATGGAAAAAAGCATTATAGATACTACATTAAAGGGGAGCTTGAAAAATCAATTTTTATGGATGGGTCACCGTTTGACCAATACGATTTAATCAGAGGGCAGTCTAGAGGTTTAGGAGGCATAATTGATACTTCTAATAAGCTTGATGAACAAGGACAGAAAACAAATATAAAAAGTGTTGGAAAATTCAAAGGGCTTATTAGAGTCATAAAGGAGAAGAGCCGTCGGCGTGCTCAGGCAATGATGGAAGAAGAAGAGGACGAAATAGAGTCCAAAGAATTCGAAGAAATCGGGAAGCTTTTATTAACCAAAACAGAATGTGTCGTCAGAGTCTACATAATTCAAGCATTTGATTTAGAACAAAAAGACGTCAACTCTGCATCAGATCCATACCTAATCCTGAAATTAGGAAATAAAGTTATCAATCAAAGAGACAAATACCAGCTTGATGAGCCAAATCCAATTTTTAATGAAGTTTTTGAACTTAATACCACACTTCCTGGCGACTCTATCTTGAAAATCAAGCTAATGGACTATGACGATATTTTGTCAGACGATAAAATTGGGACCACAAAAATTGATTTAGAAGACCGCTTTTTTTCTAATAAATGGAAAGATTTGCCTTATAAACCAATAGAAACCAGACCAATTTATGTGAAATCAAGCAGAAGACCACAAGGATATGTAAGATTATGGCTTGAAATATTTTCCTCTAAAAATAGAGATGAGCCATTAGATATTTCAGCAAAACCACCAGTCAAATATGAAGCAAGAGTTATTATTTGGAGAAGTGAAGATGTCCCTAACGGTGACCCTGAAGGAGTCAGCGACTTATATGTAAGAGCCTGGATCAATAATATGCCACCTAAAGAAACGGATACACATTATCGGTGTCAAAATGGTAGAGGGTCGTGGAACTGGAGACTAAAATTCCCCCTTGAGCTGAGCGGAAGATGCTGTAATATAATGAACCTCCAATTGTGGGACAGGGATTTCTTTTCCTCAAATGATATAATGGGTGATGCTACTATCGATTTTAATGATATCGCTCAAGAAGCTTATGAGTCAGGAGGAAGGGTCAAGAAACTTGGATCTTCAGAAAATTGGCAGGATCGTGCTTTAAGAAGAGAAAATGAAAAATTCTGGGTTGAATTCAAAAAAACAAATCCAGAGACGGGGAAAAGCGAATACTCAGGAAAAGTTTTGATGTCGTTTGAGCTGGTTCCAGAACAAAGGGCTCTGTCATGTCCTGTAGGTGAAGGAAGATCTGAGCCTAATCTTGATCCATTTTTGCCTCCTCCAACAGGAAGGCTTGAGCTTTCTTGGAACCCTGTAAAAATGGTCGGGCAGATGTGTGGGCCTGAATTCAAAACAAAAATCTGCCAAATGGTATGTGTCGTTCTATGCCTTCTGATGTGCATTTTCATGTTCCCAATGATAATTTCCAATTCAATATCCAATATCATGTTTGGGTAATAAAAATAAGCTCAAAATTATAAAATTAATTTTGAAATTAAAGAAATTCATTTAAATATGTTAAAAACAAAATAGAGCATCAAAAATAAAATTAAGAATCAGAAAAAAATGCAGTTTAGGGTTAGAAATAGCACAAGCAAGGAATGAAAGAAGATTTGGCTTATTTGACACTGATTAGTAAGCATAGATGGTTAACATTTTTATATAAAAACTTAACTTTATAAGATCGTTAAAATTAAGGCATTTATAAGCATTATTAAATTATTTGAAATATCTAGCAAAAAATGCAAAATTTATCGATTTTTTGCTGAACAAATAAATCCCACTTTTAGATAGCAAATTCTTATTATATTATATCTAATAGACCTTATATTTAATTTTACAGTTGTTAGTATAATCTCTTTAAGACTGCTTATGATAGGCTAATGCAAATTAATTTCCTTTGTAAAAGTTTTCATGTCCATTCGTATATATTTTTATACTCAGAATTAGATTAAATCAATATTTAAAATGGCAAACAGAAAATTATTCTATAAATAGCTTTAGTCTGTCGAGCTAGATGTTGAAGCGGGCGAGAGCTTTTGTCGAGCCATTCTTCTTTTATATAAAGGATTTTCGGATGGATGCTTAACAAAAATTATTCTATCTTCACTATCAATGCTTTTTAATCATTTCCTACTTGCCTTAGGTATTTTGTATTTCTTATCAGAACTGCTTTTAAAAATGCATGCGCCCATGTTACTTCCTAAATTATTAAAGGCTTGGATCTCTTATATTGTGCCTAGTAAATGAACTTGCATTGAATATTAGCAAGCAAAATAAAAATGCATTTGGTATTTATTCTTAAGGATAATCTAAAAAAAGAATGTCGCTAATAATTAAATTGAATTAATTTATCTTATAAATTTTAATTCTACTATGGTTCTTTATAAACGAGACTTATTTTTTTAGCTATTATTAAGCAGCGTATCTATACAAGATAGAAAATTCAAAGATAATATAATTTTGCTTCAGCATAATTATTGAATAATTCTCTCACATGAGATCTTAAATCTATAGTAATTATTCCCTGTAAAAATAAAGTGCTATACTATTAAAAAATCCATTTATATTAGCTGACATACTAATATTTAAAAAGTTAGCAATTTAAACAAAAGTAATAAATCAAATACTTAATTAAATTCAAAAATAAATCAACTTCAATGTAAATGTCTAGACGGAGCAAAACTCCAGCACCTGAACTAAACAAAAGAATCTTTCACTACCTTAACAAAGTTCAAGGACTTGGCGTAAAAAATATATATCACGACTTAAGAGAGCACTCTGCAGCTTTAACAGAAAAATCAATCCGGCGTATTTATGATTTCGAAAAAGATCAACAGTCTTCTCCTCCCCGTCAAAAAATTAAGGTAAAACCGCTAGAAAAATTTATTCCCCTCCCTCCTGACTATAAAGCAGGAAGACTTAAACCGATAACCCCTATAAGGAGTTCTGATGACAAAAACTTAATTTTTCACTCGAGGTATGGAAAACTGATTATCCCTAATAATGTGTATTCTGAGGCTTCTAAAGGATATCTTTCTCAAGACAAAGTTATTGATGATTTGAAGCTGAAAGAAACAAATGAAATCAATAATGTAATGAAAAGACTTGCGGATAGGCTTTATCCGAAGCCAAAATATACACTGAAAAAGAAGGTTAAACAGAAAATGCAGTCTGAGGATGTAAAAAATAGGCTTTATTCAACACTGAAGCCATTATCTATTACACCAAGTAATATGTCCCATAATTACGATAAGTACGATAATATTTTTGAGCTTGATTTATCATCACAAACAATCATGTCATCTAAGGAGCTGCTTGAGACTCCTGTAAGCAGGATTAAAAGAAACACTTAAATAGACTTAGATCACTTAATTTAACTCAGTTCGAATTGTGTCTCAAGTTATGAAGGACTATAAGGTCTCTTTTCCTCAGTTTTGGTATCTTCCCCCTGATTGTACGTGCGACCTGTCGACAAAGGTCACGTCTTCTAGCCTCCATGGAACTATTTGAAGGCCCAGAAGTCTTGGGAATGCTTGCGGCTTGGCGTGCTGCCTCACTCTCTGATTATCCTTTAGCACCTGCTCGGCCTGACTTTATCGGTTAGTGGAAAGAGGTAAAATAGATTGAGTGCAGGATGCGAAGTAAGAAAACCTTTGCCATTTCTTCCCTATCAGACAGAATTGCACGCGTAAAAACCCAACCCTATAATCATAAAAGTTGGGCGAGGGAGAGAAATTCACGGAGTGAATTCTCCTCTCATCCGAGGCCATTTTTATTACTGTAATTAAAAGAAAACACACATAGGATTAACTGGGATTTTAAGCTCTTATAACGAATGAGAATTATATATTTATATTATTAACTAAACTCCTATTTATTAGCATACAATTTTAGTAATTTTAGGACTTCTCCATAATTTTATTAAATTTTTTTTCTATATAGGTTTTGTAATAAATAAAAAATAAAAATTTTATAAGTTTAGGTTCAATAGCAAGCTAAAAAAATAGCTATTTATCAAGCAAGAAGTAAAGAAATAAAAATTTATTCACCAAATCTAATACTACAATATATTATGCATTAAAGGACCATACCTTTTCTATTATTTAAAATTGATTAATGATAAATTAAATAAAAAATACTTAAATGAGAGTTTTAATCGTAGACGGTTTTGCCGATAACCCCGAAAGCCGGCGCTCAGCCGCAATTTTCAAATCTTTAATCCGCGAAGCTTTTACTCATCAGAAAATGTACAACGTCCAGGACATCGAATTTATAGAAGTAGATCGAGATTCAATCGACACTTATCTTTACGAACTCAACACAGGCTATCTTAGCCGAGACGCAGAAAAGCTTTTTGACCATCTCGATTTTGTCTTCATAGACGGAGAATCCAACATGCTCCCTTGGCTTCGAAAAGCCAGAAAATTCCTCACATTAGTCCGAATGTGCAAAAGAACGAACAAAATCATGTTTGCATGTACTTTCGCTATGCAAATGCTCGTATATTTGTGCGCAACAAACTATAACATTGACAGAGTTATCAATGGGAAAGGCAAAGGCAGTTCTATAGCTGAAATAAATAAAATCCCAAAAGAAACTTTAAATAAATTGACATTAGGAGATGCATTTCTAGATAGCTCAACTGGAGATATCTATTGCTATGACCCTCATAGAGGAGAATTCTACCCAGTCTCAAACGCAGGGATCCATAATCACAAGGCTGCTCAAGAAAACGAAAAAGTTAGCAAAGCAATGATAAAATCTCATCAATATTGGGCCAAAAATTTCGATTCCCCTGATGACGTGTATATTGGAAAATCCAGCGAAACCAAATGCAGGATTTTTAAACAATATGTGCAGCATTGGCTAGTAAAAGGGCTCGGCTTCAACGAATTTTTAGTCCCAAGCTTGAACCAATGGGATGTCCATCCAGTAAATGCTACTATAAAAGGAAATGTATATACAGTTTTCGCAGAAAGTAGCAGAGGTCCTCAAATTATTGTTCACCGCAATGCAGTAGGTGTACAGTTTCATCCAAACCCTAAATATCCAGCTACCTTTACAGTACTGAAAAACTTTGTAATCCATATGATGTCAAGATTCCAAAATGAGACTGCTAAGCTTGATCTACCGCTTTCTATAGTCACAAAGGCTGGAGTTGGGATTAGTACAAGTATGGGAGCAATTAGTAGATTTTCGAGTGATAATGGGACCCTTATGAATTCGCCTAGTACTATGGATATGAATAATACCTATGGGTTACGTGCAAACGAAGCAAAACATTCTGGGTTTGCTTTTTCTTTGAGAGGAGGTGAGCCGCTAACTGTAAAAATCAATGCGACGACCTCAGAAGCAATCAAACTTCAAGGATCGTCTCCTATGGGCTTGAGGCCTAAGAGTTCCAATATGGATAGCTTCGATTCACATAACTCTTCTGAGGTCAGTATATATAGCCATCACTCAATCAAGAGGAAAAATACTAATAAAAAAGTTGGATTTGCCAAAAAAGACTCAGTAACCACAAGAGAAAATCCAATACTAGATGATAGAATTATAAAGCCAATCCAGTCAGAATATATCAATACTTTAGGTGCAGATTTCATTGAATCTCTGCCTACAGCCTGAAAAAGTAAAAAAGAAATCAGGTCATTTTTGCACCCTGGGTATGATATAGGAAATATGCCTAAAAAAGGAAATATTATGAATGGGCAAAATCTCACGCTGGCAAGGAATGATTTTGAGTACTATGAAAAGCCACTTGTTAAAATTGTGATGTCACCTAGGCCTTATTGTAGATATAACAAAGAATTCAAAGGAACGGAAACTGACACTTTTGCAAAAACTCGGACATCAAGCTTTGTTAATTTAGGAAATACGATAAGAAATGATGGGAGTCCATTTATTGAGCCTGACAAGAGAAAGATTCAGGAAGAGATAAAAGATAAAGAAAAATGGGTAGCAAAATCTGACTTCAGTAGAGTGTTTTCTGCAAGCCAAGGAGTAAGGCCAGTTGGCTATAATTCTCCTTCTACTCCTTACTATGAACACAAATTTCGAGATGAGGACAAAACTAAATGGATATATGGAGCTTTCAAAACTGCAAGCTATTAATAATGATATTTGCGTTATTCTATTGTAATTAAGAAGTTTATTAATAAAAATATTCAAGATTATTTTATTAGCAGTTTTTTTTAAGCACTTTAAAAATTTAAATCAAAATGGGAAACCTCAAAAGTGCTTTATGCAGCTGCAATAATATATCTGAAGAAGAAAATGTTCGCTACAGCGTCCATCTAAGCTCTGAAGACATGATAATTAACGACTTAAAAATAGAGCGCCCACAAAAACAAAAAAGTAAACTAAAATCCAATTTTGTAAATATAAAATCTGCTGCAAGAGGTTACCTAGATAGAAAATCATTACAAGAACTAAAATATAAAACCAATTTAACTGACATACAAAACTCTGAACCAATAGAACATTCTAAATATCAAAATTTCTCCCAAAATAAAATAATAATTGGAAAAGAAGTTTTACATCCAATAGAAGACAGTTCAATAGAATGAGTAAAAGAAGTAAAAATTGAAGACGGGACCTATACAGGACAAATGAAAAACCATAAAAGACATGGGTTCGGAAGCTTTAAAAAAGAGGAATCGGTTTATGATGGAATGTGAAATAACGACAAGGTAAATGGACTTGGACGAATAAGCCATCTTGAAGGAGGCTTATATGAAGGAGAATGAAATAATGGTATAATAGAAGGCAAAGGAAAATTCATCCATGAAGATGGCTCAAAATATGATGGAGATTTTAAAAATAACACCCCTCATGGATTTGGCACTGAAATATGGCCAGATGGATCGAAGTATAAAGGAGATTATAAAAATGGTATTAAAAACGGGAAAGGAGTTTTGTATTTTGCTGCTGGAGCGATGTATGAAGGAGATTTTCAGAATAACGAAATATCAGGGATAGGCACTTATTATTGGCCAGATGGAAAGAAGTACAATGGTGAGTGAAAATCAAATAAAATGCATGGAAAAGGGAAAATGACTTGGCCTGATGGCCAATGGTATGAAGGAAGCTATATTAATGACCGAAAAGAAGGAACTGGGACTTTCAAATGGGCCAATGGGAAAATTTATATAGGAGAATGGAAAAATGGCAAGCAAAATGGAATCGGCTGTGTGATAAAACCAGACGGGAAAAAGCGGAATGCCGAATTTGTAGACGGAACTTGATTTAGGTGGATTGATAATTAAACCTTAATTAAAGTTTTTATGTTGAAGTAAAATAGAATTGCGTTGTTGATAAAAGTCAAAGCAAATCCTGGAGCACGCAGCGGTGGGATATTTAAAAAGACCCCTAAGTAGTACCCAACTGTAAAAATAGCTCTGGCACCTATATAAACGAGCGTAACTAGCACCAATCTTTCATTATCAAGCCCATTTGCATGTGCAGCTAATAAGTTGATGATAAATAAGAAATTTTCCTCTAAAGTGTTTTGCAAAATCTTTTTCGATGTAATTAAAAATACACTTTCCGTGCCTCTAACAGTGTCACCAGCTGCTGTGAATAGTCTGCACATCATTATCACAAGGATATTAAGAAACATTATAACTGTGCTGAGCGCACAGCATTTCGCTGCCAATTCCCAGGTTCTAGACGACTTCAAGTATTGTGATGGAATAATCTTTTCTGTAGTTCATACTCGCTGAAAGAAAATAGCACTTAATCCGACTACTGTTGAAAGAAAAATCAATTTTACGAATACAGGCGGCTCCTTTCCCATTATAAAATATGTTGATGTTAATAGAAATTAATTCAACGAAGATTGACAAATTATTAAAATTGTGAGTATAAAATATAAGTAAATTATTATGTTTTAACAAACTATCGAATTGGATACACATAGCCAACTAATATGCCTAGAAAAAGAGCAATAATGAAATAAAGATTAGAATTGTCTGATGTAGACTGCACAGTAAGTCTTTGAGTAATTCCTTCTTCTCTTTGAATTTCATCTTTTAGATACTTCAATTTATTTTCAAAATTATTTTGCTTCAATTCTAGCTCGGTATTAAACTCAGTTAGCTTTTCCACTTCGTTTTTAAGTATTTTCAATGCATCAATTTTAATCATGTTTTCAGAGTCTTTTTCATTTTTTTCCATATTTTGAGCTTGTTTTTCCTTGCCGTCTTTAATTCTCACATAAAGTTTAGCTTTGAGTGCTTCCCCTTTAGAATTTTCTCATAAACCATTAAAATCTTGTGGAGAATAGTGGTAAGGGCCCAACTTAGTCTGAAGCACTTGAACTAGAAATCTATGAGTCACTTCACCAGGGTACTCAGGAGTCGGATTCATAACGATCTGAATAACTTTGGTTTCATCAGGGAGTAAAATTCCTTGATTTGGCCTGACTAAATAAGATTTAGGAGCTGTAGTTCGAACTTTAAATGCTAATTGCTGAGTTGAAATATTTTTAATGTTAATATTGGAAATGATTGTTGCATTTTTTATGTATTCGAATTCAAGCTCCCGGTTAGGATCAATCATAAAAGCAACTTTATCTTTCATTTTAGGATAAAATAATCTATTAATTATCATTCATTATATTTAGACCATAAACTTTCTGATCAGAATTTTTTCTCATTAGAGCAAAATTACAGACCGTTTATAAAATTTATTAAAAGTAATGATAGATGAAATTAAAATAATAATTTTTCTTGGGTTATTATATGATACAAAATAATGAATAAATATAATACGCGCATACTTAATGCCTGCAAAAGAAAACAAAAGCAATTTCAAAGTTAAATATCAATTAATTTTGGATATTTTTTCTTAGCCTTGATTTCAGTCTTGTTTGAGGCACATTTTGCTGCTTATATTTGCATTCATCGCAGTACCAATCTTCTTTTGGCACTTTAGTAAGCCCTAAGCATTCAGGATGAACAACTTTTGGGCATGTCTCACAGCAAATTAATCTTCCACCATCATCACAAAAATAACAGCTATCTCCATGCTTAATATCTTCTTCCGAATTGCTGCTTTCAACATCAACATTTTTAACTTCAGATCTTAAAACCCTCTTTTCTTCTTGCTTCGCTTTTTTCTTTACTTCTGCCTCATTACTTGCTGCTTCATTCTTTTTTTCAATATACAAATTAAGTACCTTTTGATAAATCCCAATGACCAAGGCTAATTGTCCTAACGTTGTAATTGACTGCGTGAGGTTTTCCCATAGCTGATAATAATCCCCAAAATCCTGCCATATTCTAATAGTGACTTTACGATACTTTTTTGTATATACTTGCTCTTCGTCAGAATCTTGGCTTTGATCACTAGAAGAAGAGCTCAATTTCAAAGGAGAAGTTGACTTCTGCGAATGCTCTAGCAATAAACTTGCAAGAGCTGAAGGATCTTCAGCTTTACTGACTTCTTCTTTTCACTCTTCAACTCTTTCATAATTTTCCCATAATTTTCCACTTTTTTTTAGATGCCTTGTGAACTTCTTTTCTATACTTAAAAGCATTTTCTTTAATATTTCAATTGTGCAGTCTTCATTTTTAAAGCTGCTTTCTTTATTTACATAATTTTCAGCTCCTCCTTTAGACTGAGGTTTTATATCTTCACTAGAAGTAGAAGAATCGTCTCCATTGATAAGTTTAAGCTTCCTTTTGCCCTTATTGATTCCTTCGATTAATTTATGTTCTCTAATGCCTTTTGGGCATAAGCATTGAAGCAATTGGTCAAGGCTGCTAGACCGAGTATAGCTATACCAATGCCCTGACTCTTTAGTCTTAACTGAAGAGTTTTCTTCAATTGGGCTAATCATTTTTACATACAAATTTTTAGGATCCCATTCAAAGATATAGTACTCATTATAATCTCTATCTAGGCCAACTGGATTTGTTCTTAAGCGAATTGATTCAAGTTTCCTGTTTAGCTCTTCTATTTTATTTTGTGTTTTTTGAATTTTTTCTGCTATACTTGCTGCTTTTCTTGTAGCAGCAAGCCCATTTATTTCAGGTAGCGTTGCTTCATTATCTTTTATAGTCGCATTTAGCTTGGTTTTTTGTTTAATTAGTTCGCCTTTTGCTTCTAATCTTCTAGCGAGCTCTTCATGCATTTCTTTTACATCAAATAAGCAGTTAATAAGCAGCAGAATAACCCCGATTTTTTCTTTATAGCTGCATTTGAAGTAATTTGTTTCTAAGTCAGATTTATTTTGATCAGAAAAAAACAAATCCATTATACGTTCGTCTGCGTAGTCCTTGAAAATCGGAAGATGTATGAGTTCATCTAATAGTGGAAGCCAGGAAAAGGGCAAAAATTCATTTAATTCAAAAAATTCAGATAATTGTGCGGCTGAATATAAAAATCTGCTATCTTCATTTAGGATTTCGTAAGTGTTTTCTCTTGATAAAACATGCCCAATAAGAAAACTGATAAGAGCCATATGAAGTTCTTTGATAAGTGGAGTTTGGGAATTTGAATTTGCAGCATAAAATAGCTGATCTACAGTGAATGGGGTAACTTTTAGCATTTTCCCAAAATTGTATACGAAGTCGACAATAAAGAACAAGTCCCCAACATCTTCAATAGGGTAAATAGGTTGAGGTAGCGGGAGTGGAGGCGGCAAAGGGGTTTGGGACAGTTCGCATTCTTTTTGAATTAGCTCATCTGCAATTGGGTACTGTATTTTACCCTGTTTCACATATTCTGGATACTTCTTTTCAAACCACCGCACTGTTATATCGTTTTGCTCAATATTCACTTTTCCTGAAAAATGCTTGAGTTTTGATTCCTTATGATGTTTCTCGCTTTTTTCTAATTTTGTGTACTCATCTTTGAGCTTCTTCTCCATAAACTGGACACAATACGGACAAAATCAAGTTCCCGCTGGAATATCCTGTTCCTGCATATTGGCACAATGTAAGTGATAAGACCTAGAGCAGTGCCCGCACATTATTAGACTTCCACCGTCTTTGCATACTTTGCAGTATGGATTATTCCCTTCTCTAAAGCAAGGAGCTCCTACTGCTTTTAGTTTCGCATCTCTAAGTTTTTTGTTGCCTCGATTACCCAATTTTTGTTGTTGAATGGACTCGGTTTTCTTTTCAAGATTTTTTACCATAATTCTCACTTCTGGCTAACAAGATAAATTATGGCCTCTCAATGGCAGTTCAAACAAAACCCAAATTAAAATGTCAATTAAATATAAATTTGAATAAAAGACTAAAAATGGAGATATATATTTGCCCACACTTCATCTTTTTAATTTTCATTTTTTTCCAAACCAAGATGGTCAGGGGATTTTATAAATTGTTTTTATAAATTGGCAAACTGTAAGGATATTATTTTGTAGGTAAAAAGAAGGTATTAATATTTATTTGAAAAAAATTATAATAGCAATTACTATTTAGATAAATTTTCAGCCTATGAAAATTATTCTTAAATATATTTAAATTACTTATTTGCTCTATAATGATTTCTTAAAGAAGATCAGACATACAGGAATCTTTATCAAAAATTCAATCCACGTCAAATAAACAGTCCAATACTTTAATCCGCCATCAGGATTTTCAGGTGCTTCCCAGTCAGAATTTGTTCATAGCCACAATAAATCAAAACACTCAGAAGCAGCTATTGCAATGGCTAAACTTCTATATCTTTCAGAACTCTCTTCAAGAATCACCCAATAATAAGCTGCTGCTAATCCAATTGTTAAGTTTAAAAAATCAGGTTTCTCGAAAGAGGCCAAAATACTAATAAATATAAAAATGCCAGCCGCTATAATAGATGCATGGCTTTTTTCTGCCATTTTTCCAATCAGCCCGCCAGTTATTATATCTGCCTGAGCTGTAATTCTTTGTCCAATTACAGCTTCAATATTAGGAGACTGCGGCCGACTTTCACCAGGCGACATAATCCAATCATTGGCATTTACTAAATTTCCAAACGGCTTTCTGAGTTTTTCTAGCTGCTCTTCAAGACTGGTGATCTCTTCTTTGTCCATAGCAATATGCTCAACCCATTGATTTACAAGGTCTTCTAAGTATTTAGCTCTGCTCCAGATCCATTGGAGTCCAAGATGCACTCTACCCTGCCATCTATCTTTAGGATTTTTATCATGAAGCTGGAAGAATTGATCATGCTTCATTTGGTCCTTTAAAAGACTCAGCGGAATCATAACTTCTCCTTCAAAATCATCTTTTCCTATTGTGTCATGGTCCATCACAGTGATTTTCAGCTCCGCATCAGGCTTCTGGATATTAAAAGTAAACTCTTCATCCCATTTCGGATTCAGCTCTGCTTCAATATATCTCGTTTGCGCAGTATTCCCATCACATTCCAAAATAACATACGGATCAGAAGCTCCATTTGTGTCCATAGGTATTAAATCTTGTCCTGCAATAACATTGACAGTAAGAATGCTTCCTTTCATGATTCCATACTGGTTCATTTGTTCAACCGCTCTTGCTTGGACCATTTTTTTCTTGCATTCTTCCATTTGTTTAGCTTTGTCTTGTATTTGTTTTTTGAGTTCCTTAATTCTCTTCATGATAATGTCTTCAGCGTCTACATAGGACCATAAGAATTCCTGGGTTGTTACAATTGAGTCATGATTTTTGTCCATTTTGGCGAAAAGTTCGTGACATAAATTTTCGTCGAAATCTGAGCCTTGTCGCCTGGATAAAAATTCGAAAATTTCGTCAAAGGTCAGCTGCTTATCGCCGTCTTTGTCGATTTCGTTGAATTCTTGCATTAATTGTTGGTAGCGATCTTGCATTAGCCCAGTGATAGGTGAAGTCCCAACTGAGAGCCTAGTTCTTCCTAGTGAAGAGGCAACTAGAGGAGTTGCAGTGTTGAAGACAGATTTTGGAACTTCTAGGAAAGATCCACTCATGTGATATTTATTATTAAGGCATTAAGATATGGAATAAGCAAAATTTAAAAGCTGTTTTTGAATTAAAGAGGAGATAGAGTAGTTATTTTCGAAATTTAAAGTGCTAGGAATGAAAAATAAAACTTGATGCGCGCAAAAAGCACGAGTAAATGTAAGGATTTATAAAATTTTAATAAAATAATTATTTGTGTTAAATATTAATGGAGAAGAGGAATCCAGTAGCTATAAAAAATTTGATCAAATTAACGCCAAATAAGAATAAAATTTATATTTGGAATTGTTCTATATTTTAAAAATGAAGAAGCTATATGTTAAGAAAATATGAATTAAATTAAGCCTGCCTTCCTTCTAATTCCTCAAACTGTGGATAAGCGACCACTACATTATTCCCATCATCGGCTACCATCAAACATTGGCCATCTGGACTCCACTTTAAAGATTGAGCCCTAAACTCACTTTCATCTATTTAGAATTTACCAAAAGGCATATCGCATACAGAAGCTCCATCATCTGACCATAAGTAAATCATTTTCGACCCAGCCGTAAACGCCAGCAGCTGATTCTTTGGTGACCATTCTACATCTTTTACAGAATGTCTATGAATTATCATATACATGTATAAATTAATACGGATATACCTTCGTTTAATGTCCACTACCGCATCACCTAGATGGGTTTCGTGTTCCCCACCAATCAAGCGTCATCCACTAATTGGCCTTGATCTGAATATTCCTTCGGCTTCGGGCGTTTGAATTTCGACGGCCGTTATTCGGCTCTCGGGCAATCAACTTGTGTCCGTTGGGCATCTAAAGGTTCCAGTCTCACTCGTGGGGTTGATGGACACTTCCCGAATTCTCTGTTCCTAGGGGATGGATGTTCAAACCATATACCCTTGGGCATGTTCACCGTTATTACCGGATGAATTCACTGAGTGAAGTCAAATTTCATAATCAAATTAGCCAAAGGGAGAATTTCTGTTCAGGAGAGCAGAATATTCAAGTGATGCCATATTTCGTTTATCTATGAATTATCACAGATTTCAACGAGCAAGATATATTATCCCAGATCCATACAGCGTTAGGCACTGATAACGACTTGGTTGCCAAAAACGTCGAATTATGGTTCCATTTGCACAAGCTCACCCCTCTCTCATCAGTTGTGCCTAACTTAGTTGGCAACTCTAAAAATCCATAATGAGCTGAGACTCTTCCGCTTTGATCTACATACTCTTCTTCATTATAAACATAAAAATCTTTTCCCTCCTTTAAATTACTGGCATGATTAAATTCTCCTAGCCTTGTCCACGTAACATGATGAATTACTCTGACTTTATCATCATAAGAGGCAACTCCCATATAAGTGCCTCCAGGACTGAGGACAACCGAATGGATGCCTAACGCATTTTGATAAGGAGAAAAGCAATGTAAAATTTCACCGTCTGGAGAATAGATTAGCAGCTTATATTCAACTGAGCTGTCCCAGCAGATAATTACAGTATCATCAGTGTTTCATTTGATGTCTGCAACATCAAAAGTATCTAATTGAAAGTGGCTTGCAGATTCCCAGTTTTGTGTATAATAAATCCCAAGATAGTCTTTTCCTTCTATTCTTTCAGCTAAAGCCATAAATCTTCCGTCACTTGAGAAAGATAGTCCTTTGTTTCCATACTTTGGGTTGAGGAGATGAGATACAGATTTATCAATTAAAGACCAGATGTTAAGTCTTTCCTGGAATTCTGTTATTGTAATAATTTCTCGAGAACTTGGAGCAATCCATGCTCCAGATAATCCTGCAATGCCAAGGCTTATTTTACTATTCCAAGATAAGTCTTGAAGGTTAAATATCTGAACTACACACCTTTTATTTTGAGCACACATGAGGATTTTTGAATCACGACCCCATTCGAGCTTGCTTAATTCATCAAGAACACGCCAAGTTGCGATTACATTTAGCTGCTGAGTCGAATAAACTGTAACAGTCAAGCCTTTAATTGCTGCGAAGTACTCTGAATTAGGAGAAAATTCTGCGTGGCCTGAAAAAGGAATCAAATCTGAAAAATTCATGCCGCGAAGTTTATTTAAATTTATTACGAGTGCATATAAAAATAAATATATGGGATTAAAACTGATTGCTGGTGTTTCTATATTAATTTATAAATGCTAGTTTTTGCTATAAGAGAATAAGAGCCTAATCTTGTATATTTCATAAAACACGAAATTTAAAGAAATCATTATTTAAGTAATTTTTGAACAACTCAGAGTTATCTGGATTTTCGTAAAATAATTTGATTATCTCGATAAATTATGATAAATGCTATAAAAATTAATTGAGCTAAAGATTCTTTAGATTTATGTAAATATATAATAGATACAATTATTTATTTTTATATATTAAAATTAAATATTTAAAATGCAATATACTAATTTAGCAAATTAATATATTAATATTGGCATATAAAAATTTAAATTAGTAGCAATTTTTTGGTGTGTTCAGGTTCATTTTCGCTGCTAATTAATGAAGAGTATTATATCATATATAAAAAACTGACTTTTTATTTGCCATTTTTATATATAAAAGAAATCACTTTATTTTAGAATCTTAAATAGATCCATTGTAAAAAAATGAATAATAATGACCAAAATCTATAATCAAATTTGATGATAAAATACAGGGCTAGCAAAATTTTTTGAAGAAAGGAATCAAGCAATAGCTAATAAATGAATAATTTTTATCCTGCCAATATGATTACAAATAAATTCAATCGGGGGCAAAGGATTAAAAATACATGGACGACAGAAAATGTTATCAATGCACTCATGCTTTAATTACTCCTCACGATTGCAAACTAAAGATATAAAACTTATAATGAATACTGATTTTGTTTATATAAAAAAATAAATCAATTAAATTTCATATTAAATAACCCCATTCATTAAAATCCCTATATGCAATAGCTGCAAATTGCCTGGACACATTTCAAAATTTTGTCCCTGAAGAGCAACTTCTAAATCCACCTATGATGGCACCTTATGTAGCCTTTGCCAAGCAAGAGGTCATACCCCTTCGCTCTGCCTTAAAAGAACTTATCCTTTCTCCTCCAAGCAATTCTGTAACCTCGAAAATATAAGATGTTACGTCTGCAAGCAGACTGGCCACTTAAACTGCCTAGATGAAGCTCCTCACAGTCCTTTGCTATCTGAGTCCTCCCATGGTGACTAACACTAACTTCTTCTAAAAATTCGTAATTAGATTCTCCTAAAATAATAACTTAATATGGTCGATCTCCAAGAGCTGTTGAATGAAAAAGACAAACAACTTTCCCAGCTCCAACAAGAATTCACAGAATACCAAGAAATGTCGAAAACTCTCGAAGAAGAACTTGAAAGCGAGCTGGAAGCCCAAATTCGGCTTAATTCAGAACTGCAAGCCGAAAACCAGTCCCTAAAGGACCAAGTTGAAAAAATAAATGTAACCTTTATTGCAGAAAGACTATTACCACAAATTAATAGAAATGGAAAAATCTGCCTTTAAGCTGCAAAATGAATTAAAAGAAACACAAAATAAATTGAAGATGAATTTGAAATCAAATAAAGAACTGGAGACAGAACTGGATATTTACAAAAGTAAATTGAGAGAAAAAGAGTTTGAAATTGAAGAGCTGACAGAAACCTATAATCAGACCTTAGAAGAACTGGCAATCACCTGCTCTGAGCTTGATGGGCTGAAGGATTTCAACGCTGAGAGCACACATAGGCTGAAGGAACAATTAAATGAGCTCAGCCAGGACTTGGAAATAGCTAGAGATAAGACATTTAATCTTCAAAATCATTCTTCTAACTTTGAAAAAGCAGAGAAGCCAAAACTGAAAGACTCAATGGTAGGGCAAAGTGCGCTTACGATGGTTGATTTGCTACTCAGTGACCTGAATGGAAAAATCAAGCAGAAACAATGCGATATTTAATATATTGCATTTTATATATCAATTTAAATTTAATCAATTCTTCAATTAAAGTTAAATTTGGAGTTAATTTATAAGAAATAAAATATGAGGCCTTCTTTTGCACAATTTTCATCATATCCATATAATGGATTTTTACCTGAAACCCAAGATTCAGCCCCCTCAAATTTCTTTCACTTAGACTGCCCTGATACAGGGCTCTCCATTTGTTACTGTAAAAAATACAATCTCAATATCGTCCACACCCTTGCCTTAAAAGCCCAAAACTACGACCCATCCTCAGCCTACAAGAAGCGTCAGTTCGACAAAGAGCATTTCCAAGCAATCCCAGTCATTTCTCCACCCCCATCTATCTCAGCTGCCGATTTAAATGCAAAAATATGCAGCTACTGTGCTAAAGTTGTATGCTTTTACCAAAAAGTCAACACCGGAACCCAAACCCTCCACCTCTGCAGAGACTGCTATAAAGCTGAGGACACAAACGTAAAAAAATCATTATCATTGTCAGCTCGCAAAAAAAAATTCGGGAAATTATTAATGCTTGGGACAACACAAACTGAATTAGGCAGGAGAGGAAGGCCAAGAATCCATGGAAGAGAAGAAAATGACTATATTCAGTGCTATTTTCCTATATGTAAAAGAAGAAATATTAGGTTTCCAGGGGATCCTGATTTATTGACTTGTGGAAGCTGCACAAGGACTTTTCATGCGAAATGTGCAGAGCCGCCGCTTAGGGCTGAGTATGTAAAAAGATTTCCTTGGCTGTGTTTGGAGTGCAAAGTATGCTCTATATGTGGAAAATTAAAAGACGAAAGCCATTTGATGATATGTGATGCTTGTGATAGGGTTTTTCATGCAAAATGCATTAAAATTAATGGGTCTGGGAGTTTTGTGTGTAAAGATTGCTCGGTGTGTCGAGGCTGCGAAAAAGTGCTGCCTTCTCCATTGTTAGTAGATGACCCTATTTTTGTGGAAGGATATAGATTCTGCTTAGAATGCTATGGAAAAGTCCAAGAAAAATGCTACTGTCCTATTTGTGTAAAGATATACAGTGTTGACAGCCCTGATGCTTTTGTGATGTGTGATAAATGCCAATTATGGGTTCATGCAGCTTGTGAAAAAGTCAAAGAAGATCAAATAGAGCATTTGCAAGGAAAATCTTTTACATGTAGCAAATGCAGTAAAAAATAATTTTTAAATATATTATCTATAAATTACAATTGGAACCATAATGAAAATTTTTTAGTCACTGAATCTGAAAATATCTTATTTAAATTGCCAAATTTCTCTTGGTGTTAAGCCATCAACTTTGAGATCTTCAGTCAAGTTGCACCAGTAGTCCTCTACTCTTTGCCTGTGTTCAGGATTATCAGAACTCAACTCCAATTTATCGTAATATTCTGAATGTTCTAATATCTACATAAAATTTACTTCGATTGGAATTCCTTTGCCTCTCCACATAAATAATCCCATTATTTCCAAGTTTGGCTCATCCCCATATACTCCTATAACCCCAAAGCAGTGTCTGCGGATAACCTCGATTCTTTGTAAAAATCCATCTACTGCATTACAAGTCATATAAATTTTTTCGCATTCTCCTTCTAATTTTTGATATTTCATCCACCAAAGACTGTAACTATCTTCGTCAAAAGTTTGCCAGAATAATTTCATTACGCTTTGCTTGTCTTTTTCATTTGAGTAATACCTTTTAAAATCGTCAAGTACAAATTGAGACTCGGGAAGCATTTATTCATTAAATTATTATAGAGAAGCTCCCGGATAGCAGACTAATGGCTTTTCATATCACTTGCTTCGCACAACCCCTTGCTTGTCAGTCTGATTATGCAACGTACTGATTGTGCTACTCCCTTTTGACAAGGGCTTGCACTTGCTGGCAGGATGTAAAGACTCAACGAGGTTGCCTTTTACGAAATTCAAAAAAATGAAATTTTTTGGTCAGGCTTTCGGCCTAGATGAAACTCGTAGCCCAGGGTGCAACTCTTGGTATCGCGCTAGGAAATTGCCCAATTGGCAAGCGTACGCCCTCTGATCTTGCTGGGCTATCCCTTTTCAATTTCCAAGTTCCATCCTCCTCAGGTAAAACTTTGATATGAATGTGAGCTTGCGGCTGTCAACCCGACATTGCGCTCCATCAGACCAAGTAAAACCCGGCCAGGTACACATACCAAACTCTGCTCTCCCTTCCACAAGGTCTCCAGACTCTCTCTGGCTACAGGCGTTAAGAGGGCAGGTTGGCTCGTCAAGCCATATTTATCCATAGGCTCAGGAAGCAAGTCTAGAGGGTTTTTTGCTTTTGATGAGTTTATGATCCAATCGTCTTCTCCTTCTTCTGAATCTTCTTCTTTAGGCTTTGGTGTTGATTTTGGCTTTGGCTCTACGTTAGGTTTTGGTGTAGGTTTTGGCTTTGGCTCTGTTTTAGGTTTTGGCTTTGCTTCAGACTTTAGCTCTTCTGTTTCCTTGTGCTCTTGTTTTTTCTTTTCTGCCTGCTTCTTTTTAGGCATTGCTTCAGCTAATTGAAGCTGAGATGTGCAGAATTTTGCATTGCCCCAAACTAATTTAAATTGTTGAAGATCCGCAACTTTCGTAAATAATTCTACAACAGATTTGATGCTTTTTCTTTGATTTTCATCTATAAGCATCCTAAATGGATATACAAGTGCTGAAACTAGTGAGATGTCAGCGATTGTAAGTTCATCACCACAAAGATATCTGTGCCGATTAAGAAGTTTGTCAATAGCTTCTAGGTGCCTTTTTACTTCTTTGGCCGATTTATCTTGCAGAAGCTTGTCTGGAGGGGCTACGCCAAAGTAAGGGTTAATCCAATTGCATAGAGCAGGTTCAATTTGGGTTTGGATGGTTTCAAGCCATGAGTCAATTTCTGCTAAAATTTCTGGGGAACCTGAGTATAATTCTGATTGGGTTGCTTGACAAATATATATCATAATCGCATTGGAGTCTGTTAAATAAGTTTCGCTAGCAATTTCTAATGCAGGGACTGCTTTGAAGGGTGATTTTGTGAGGAATTCTTTTGAATTTGTATCTTTCCATGGAAATTCTGGGGTTTCTAAGGCAAATCCACTGAGTTGAGCAGCCAAAAGTACTTTGTTTCCTCTAAAATGACCTTTAGGAGACCAAAATTTCTAGCTATAATTTACCATTAATAAATATCTGAATTATAGCCATATTACCGATAAAATAACCTCAAAGAGCGTCATAATTATGCAACCAGAATGAAATTGGTAATTAAAATTGCAAATTCATATAAATATTTCGAAGGAAAGCAAGATTATCAATATAAAATTTAATAATTATTTTATTTATTTTCATTTTTGGGTGAATGCATTATAATTGTACATGCAGCAACATTAGCAAAGAGACCCAATATACAGCAAATAGGGTAACCCGTTTTACCACCACCATTTTATTATATTTAAATAAATATTTGCAAATTAAAATATTATTTATATAAGATTTTAATTAAGAAATAAAAAACAATTTTTTTAGAAATTTATAAATGCCAGAAACTTAAAATGAAATCATTAATAAATTTGAAAATGATCAAAAGAGATTAATTTGAGATCTATAAATACTTGTGCTATAAATAATTATCATTAATGATTGAAAAAAGCTGCTTGAAAAGGCGTTAATCATTAATATGAGAAAATTAATGTTTATTTGATATTTTCACACCAGCAGCTTAATTTGCTCTCAAAGCTTTCTATAAATTTATTATAACTCCCCCCCCCATCCTTGATCGAACGACTCGCCATCGTTCGATCAAGGATGGGGGTTAAAAAAAAAATTTTCGAGAAAAAAAATTTATATATAAAATAAAAATATATAGATATTTTTTTTTATTTACTTTTAAATAAGAGGATTAAAGAATATTTAATAATTATTTTTACAGCAAAAAATTTAATTTATTTCATAAAATACCAATTTTTAATATTTTGATTTATTAGTTACCCCTTTAAACTGTATAAATTTTAATTTGCTCCTTATTAAATTAATTTTTTTTAAAAAAAATTTTAAAAAATCTGTATTTTATTAGATTATTGAGTTTTTAAGCATATGTTTAATGACTAAATCACTTCGGATGGTTGACTCCACAGCTTTCTGTCGTCTCAAAGCCTCTGAAAACAACTTCATTATGCACATCTTCCCAAGCTTTTGATAAATAATATATTTTTATATATATAAAAATTGTCATGATATGAAAATCGTTCGATCAAGGATGGGGGGTTAATTTCCCCAATTTTTAGGAATTTTTACAGTCAATCGTTCGATCAAGGATGGGGGGGGGAGTAAGAAGATATTAAAAATTGGTTCGAATTATTTAATTAATATGTAATAAGTTATTATAGGCATTTTCAAGAATGAGTGTTTCAGTAGCGAGGAAAATAAAATTACCGACTGTAAATTAGAATTAGGCAGACAAAATTCGAGAAAATTTAGCTAGAGAAAGGGCAATGAGATTACAGTGTAAAAATCCTGATTTCTCTGGAAATATTTCCAACAATATATCATTCAATATTGAGACAAGTTTTCAAAACACTGCTGCAAATGCTGCAACAGAAGAAAATGAAATAAAGGCTTCAAAGAACTCTTGCTTTGCCAGATTTTGTTGCTTTTTATGTAATTTAAAATCGGCTGACTCCCTCAGTAGGCAAGATTCTTTTGGTTCGTTAAAGGAGGATTAAATTTTTTTATTTAAAAAATTTCTAGAAATTGCAAATATCTGAAATGAAAAATTTTTTTAATTTTAAAAATGAATGCAAGTTACGTAAAATCTGATAGATTTCATTATATAAGCACATATTAGTTATACATAAAATATTTAAATCAAAAATTTAGCTCAGACAATTTTTTTTAAAGGAGAATCTTATCGATATATAGGTATTTTCCAATGATTTTTCTTGCTAATAAAAGGGGAAGTAAACGAAAAGAGACTCCCAAGAACGTTTCAAGCCTTGAAAAAGAAAAATCGTAATGTACTAAAATATATTAACAAAATTGAAGTTTATTGGAAATGATGCACAATTTTTTGAGTATTTTTATTTTATAAGTTTTAATTCGCATAAATATGAAAGCATTAACTTATAAACACCTTTAAGAGCTATATCACCAGAATATTTAAAATAATTTAAGAAGGTAAGCAGCTAGCAAGTAAAAGAGACAAATATTTGTAAAAAATTTATAAATTAATTATACGCTGAGTATTATCTAGATAATTTTTATAATTTTTAAAAATTTGTGATAATCTATCAAATTGCTTTTATATTAAATAAGAATACGATTAAATTTTCTTTAATCTTAATAAACTCTCTTTGCAGGTGGAATTGTATGCATTTCTTTCAGATCCAAAGTGTCTGTTATGACAGGCCTATACTTGATGGTGACATTATCATCCAACCCCTTTTGCCATGAAAGTGTATGTTTCATCCACTCCTTGTCATTTCTATCCTTAAAATCATCTCTTGCATGTGCTCCTCTGCTCTCCTTTCTATTTTCTGCACAAATAATAGTCTGTTTCGCACAAGTCAGCAAGTTTTCCAGCTCCAAAGTCTCAATCAAATCTGAATTCCAAGTCAAATCTCTATCAGTAGTCTTAACGTCTTTAAACAATTTGCAAACATCAGTCATTTTTTCGCATCCTTGCTTTAAGGTATCTTCAATTCTAAAGACTGCTGCATGAAGCTGCATGGTGCTTTGCATTTTATCACGGATTGAAGCAGTGCTTAAAGACCCCATCGCAGTTCTCAGTCGCTCGACCTTTTCTATTGATTCTTCACCTGCATGAGGAGGGAGATCAGGCTGAGTTTGGCCAGGCTGGAATTCTTCTTTGGTTGTTAAAGAAGCAGCTCTTCCAAAAATTACGATATCAAGCAATGAGTTGGCTCCAAGACGGTTAGCGCCATGAACTGATGCACAAGCGGCTTCTCCTGCTGCTAGAAGACCTGGGACGACTTTATCTTTGCCATCTTTATCAAGAGTGAGAACATGGGTTTTCCAGTCAGTCGGAATGCCTCCCATATTATAGTGCACTGTTGGGACAACAGGAATTGGCTCTTTAGTTACGTCAACTCCTGCAAAAATCTTAGCACTTTCACTGATACCTGGAAGTCTTGAATGCAAAATTTCAGGAGGAAGATGGCTTAAATATAGATGAACATGGTCTTTTTTCGGCCCAACTCCTCTTCCTTGGAAAATTTCTAGCGTCATAGCTCTGCTGACTACATCTCTTGAAGCCAAATCCTTAGCGGTTGGTGCATATCTGGTCCAGCACAAATAGGACCTCGGACCCCCCACCCCCACCCCATATACATAGCTTTTTATAGAATATTTAATAGTTTAAGCCTAAGTGAAGGAACTAAAGTTTTATACTCTAAACTATAGCTCACCCCCCTTTATAGATCCCTTTATCGAGCAAAGTGTATTTGACTATTGAAAGACCAAAACAGACTCTCTCAAAGAGATGAGCTCAACCTCTATATCAGAAAGTTCTAAAAAGTGGCATGCTAAAAAACAGTGGCAAGTGTGAAAAAAGTTGGTAAGCAAACACGCAAATTTTTAAAATGGCTTTATTAATAAAATAATTTAAAACTTAGCATACCCAATTAGACTGGAATTGATTAATAATTAAAAATCTTATTTTTTAGGCCTTAATTAATGATAATTATAATAATAAATGCTACATATAAATTTTAATAGATTTAATATTTTTGGTTATTTGTTTATGTAAAAAGTACTTGAGATAAATTTATAGAAATGAGTTTAAAAATGCAAGCGGGGAACTTCCCGAGTAAACGGTTGTATAGATCTTCAAGTGCTATAACCCCAGTAAGCATATCAATCAAAAAAACTCTAGTAGGATCCTGACTTAAGTGATTATAAAGATGGAGTCCATTATGAAATAAATTGTCAAAAGTGAAAATGCAAAGGGGAACTTCCCGAGTAAACGGTTGTATAGATCTCCAAGTGTTATAACTCCAGTAAGCATATCGTGCAAAAACTCCAGTAGGATTTTGATTTAACTCCCTCCCTTTAAATTGGACCAAATATTTTTTCCAATTTAAAAGAAGGGTTAAGAAAATTTTTTTAAAAAAAAAATCAATATAAAATTCTTATTATAAAAAAAAATAAAAAATGTGTCGAATTAGATTAATAAATTTCTAGAAAATTTATCGATCAAAGTGTTAATTTTGTTTAATTAAGTGGCTATTTATACTCTTTTGCTAAAATAAAGCAAAAAATAAAGTAAATTTTCAATTTTTGTAAAGAATTCGCATTAAATTTTTATCAAAATTATTTAAATAAAAAATATAATCCCTTGGCTTAATTTCTTATGGCAGTTATACACACTATTTTCATATGAAATTTAAATTATTAATTTGGCGCACTAAAATCTGCGCGTTTTGAAACGTATATTTGGTTTCTAAATAATAAATTATGCATGATAAGAAATAAATGCAATAAATTATATTTTTTGTTGAAAAATGTTTAAAAAATAAAAATTAAATTTTAAAAATATAGCAATTAAAGATAATAAATGTATTTAAATAAAAAGCTCTTTATGTTCTTTTCTTTGAAAAAGAGCAAGATATAACTAAATTTTTAATTTTAGTCAAGAAGAAACATTTAACTTATACCGAAACTTTTTACATAAAAATTATGATTTTTATCTATAAAATTTTTTATTATAAAATTGAATTTTGTTTCAATTTAAGCGATTATAAAGATATAGAGTCCAGTATGGAAGAAATTGCACCTGAACTTTTAAATTGAGAATGCAAAGGAGGAACTTCTTGAGTAAACGGTTGTATAGATCTCCAAGTGCTATAACTCCAGTAAGCATATCAATCAAAAACTCCAGTAGAATCTTGACTTATGTAAATCCAAAGATAATCCATAGTCAAATCTACATGTAGATATTATTTTATTAAATCAATTAACGAAAGAGATGAATAATTAATTATCTTAAGTCTAATCGTATTTGCTTACCAACTTTTTTCACACTTGCCACTATTTTTTTTGGCATGCCACTTTTTAGAACTTTCTGATATAGAGATTGAGCTCATCTCTTTGAGAGAGTCTGTTTTGGTCTTTCAATAGTCAAGTACACTTTGCTCGATAAAGGGATCTATAAAAGGGGTATGAGCTATAGTTTAGAGTATAAAACTTTAGTTCCTTCACTTAGGCTTAAACTATTAAATATTCTACAAAAAGCTATGTATATGGGGTGGGGTGGGGGGTCCCGAGGTCCGATTTGTGCTTGACCACATATCTTTCCATAAATCTTTCTCCTTCTGAATTCCTCAAAATTCCACCTTCTCCTCTGCAGCCTTCAGTGATCAAGCAGCCAGCTCCATAAATTCCAGTTGGATGGAATTGAACGAATTCCATATCTTCTAGAGGCAGCCCAGCCCTTGCAATCATCCCATGCCCATCTCCTGTACAAGTGTGTGCAGAAGTGCAAGACTGAAAAGCCCTTCCATACCCTCCAGTCGCCAAAATAGTTTGGTTAGCCCTCATCCTATGAATTGACCCATCAGCCATACTCATTGCCATAACTCCTCTGCAGACTCCTTCTACCATTATTAAATCCAGCGCAAAATACTCTACAAAGAACATGCAATTATACCCAAGAGCTCTTCCAAATAAAGTATGAAGCATGGAGTGCCCAGTTCTGTCAGCGACTGCTGCACATCGGTAAGCTTGGCCTCCTTTCCCGAATTCGAGACTTTGGCCTCCAAAAGCTCTCTGATAGATTTTGCCTTCTTCTGTACGGCTGAATGGCATTCCGTAACTTTCCAGCTCATAGACAGCTTCTATAGCTTCTTTGCACATATAGTGAATGGCGTTCTGATCGCCAAGCCAGTCACTTCCTTTTACAGTATCGTAGAAATGCCATCTTCAGTCATCTTTTGTCATATTTCCTAATGCTGCATTGATTCCTCCTTGGGCGGCAACGGTGTGAGATCTGGTTGGGAATAGCTTAGAGATACAAGCTGTTTTATATCCGAGTGAGGCAAGACCAAATGCTGCTCGAAGACCAGCACCTCCTGCGCCGACTACAATTGCATCGTAAGTATGATCGTAGACAGTGTATGATTTGGGGGTAGGCCCTTGAGATGGGCCGAGATCTGGAGTGACTTTTGATATCACTGAAAAAGGTCTTTTGAGCAGTCTCAACATATTTTTAGATTATGGTTAATACATCTTTGAATGATTTAAAGATAGAATTTTATTCGCTTTATATAAAATGTGAGCGAAAATTAGCATATGAGATGATAATATGTGATATTTTGTTTGCTAGGATATATTTAGGTATTTAAAAGCTTTTTTTAATAGATATTATTCTTGATAAATATTTCTGCAATACAAATTCTAGTAATTCAAAAGTTCGATAATTATTAAAACTCAAAAGCATATATATTTATGGCTGCATAGAATAAAAACTCGTTATTTAACTGGTATTTTAATAAATCTTGATTTCGATTTTTGGATAAATTAAATCCATTACTCCCCCCCCCCCCTCCGTGAGCGAACAAAAAAAATTTTGTTCGCTCACGGAGGGGGGTTAATTTTTTTTTTTTAAAAAAAAATTTATATATATAAATTTTATAAAAAATATTTTTTTCGAAAAATTAAAAAAATCCTAATTTGCAAAAATTGGGAAGCAAATATTAATTTAATTTGCAAAATTTATGTTTTAAAACGCAATTTGTTTAAAATTAAACAGAATTAGCTCTAGATTTCATTATACTAATTATCACTTATATATCAAAATTTTTTTCCATTTAAATTTTTTTTCTATTAAAAAAATTTTTGTTCACTCACGGAGGGTGGGTTTTTGGTCAAAAAATGGCGATTTTTCTAATGGTTTTGTTCGCTCACGGAGGGGGGGGGGGGGAGTTAGTAAAGATTTTTAATGAGATTAAAATTTTCAATCTATACTAAGGCAAAAATTATACCAATTTGCTGTATATAAATTTTATAATGGCCAATAAATTAAATTAATATGTTTATTCGACAGTTTTGTTTTGTTTATCATTGCCTCCTTCATTTTTTCTTTTTCTTATTGAAGCAATTGTTTTGCCTTTACTTTTATTTCTTGAGCTCATTTTATCGCGGTCTTCAAAAAATTTATTATTTCTCGTTTTCTTTTCTCCTCCAAATGAAATAGATGTATACATCTTTTCTCTGTTATCTCAACTGCTTGATTTGCCTTTTGTATACTCTCTTTTTCTAGGAAATTCTCCATTTTCTTTCCCTTCTTTTCTATAATTTGTTTTCTTGAATTCAGATTTAATTGTATTTTCATTAGTTTTTTTATCTTCAGAAGCCTTTTTGTCTTCAGGATTTATTTGTAGAGATCTCAAATTTGCTGTGCTTGCATTTTTTGTTTTGCTAGCCATATCTCGAAGCTCTTTTGGAATTAATTGGTTTGCCTTTTCAAGGACTTTAATTAAGTCTCTAGATAAATCATAGTCATCCTCTGTAATAAAAGAAATTGCGCTTCCTTTTTGTCCAGCTCTAGCTGTGCGCCCGATTCTGTGTATATAGTCATTTATAACTAGCGGCATATTGTAATTTATAATCAAATCAATGTCCTTGATGTCTAATCCTCTCTGAGCAACATCAGTAGCTACTAAAATTTTTATGATTCCTGAGCGAAAATTCCTCATTAAGCTGTCTCTGTGCTTTTGGTCCATATCTCCATGAATTGCAAAGGCTCTGAATTTCATTAAGGTTAAGGTTTTTGCTAAATTTTCTGTTTCAATTTTTGTTTTTGTAAAAATTAAAACCTTGTAGTCTTCATCTATGGTCCGCTTTAAAATTTCTTTGAGTTTTAAGATTTTTTGGTCCTCCTCTTCAATAAATATAAATCTCTGGCTAATATCAGGATTGGCAGACAAAATATTCGAGCCAATAGTAATTCTGCTTGGGCTTTTAAGAAATTCATTTGCTAATGCTTCTACTCCTTTTGGTCAGGTGGCAGTAAACATTAATGTTTGTCTCCTTTCACTTAGTTTTGAAATAATTTTTCTTAACTGATTTTCAAAGCCCATATCTAGCATTCTATCAGCTTCATCAAGAACAAAATAAGAGATATGTTCTAAACTAACAGAGCCTGAGTCAATAAAGTCAATTAATCGTCCTGGAGTAGCAATCAATGTATGCAGTTCTTTTTCTAAATTTCTGCTTTGCACATATCTGCTTGCTCCACCATATACACAAAGGCTAGATGTTCCTGATCCTCTGCTGAATTTTTTGTACTCTTCCCCAATTTGGATTGTTAATTCTCTAGTAGGAGCTAAAATAAGACCGTATGGACCTTTAAATTGTTCAAAGCCTACAGTTGATCTATCTCTTGTATGAAGAACTGCAGGAACTGTGAATGCTAAGGTTTTTCCAGACCCAGTCTGAGCAATCCCAATAAGATCTTTTCCTGACATGATTATAGGCCAACATTGGGACTGAATTGGTGTGGGCTCTGTAATTGCATTGTCTCGAAAGTTCTTTAGCATATAGCTTGGAAAATCAACTCCTCCAAATGTCCCAAAAAAGAATCTTGTTAAATAGCCTAGAGGAAGTTTTCGTTCAAATTTAGCGAGCATATATCTCTAAATTTTATCATTAAAATATTTTTGATTAAATGGAAAAGTCCAGATTGATATTGTAATTGCCCGAGGATGGCGCTATCTTGCGCCATCCTGGGGCAATTACTATATTCATTTAAGTAGAATAATATTATTCACCTGCAAAATACTAATGAATCTGAGTTATTTTGATTATTTAAATACAAAGAAAATTAAAATTTTGATCTAATTTCTAGAGATTTTGTAATTTATTTAATTAGAGAAACTCTTTGACCTGTAATGCTATTTTTTATTCGAATTTGGTTAAACTTTATTCTAATTGTAATCTTTGATGAATATAAACTGTCGCTTCACCCCAACTCATATTTTTTCTTATGCTTTCAAATATCCTCCACTTAGGCGAATTAAAATTCTTGGTTAATGTTAAAGCCCAAGTTCCAGGCTGCACAGGCGCATTGGCAATGGCTTCCATCATAGGAAGATCAAAGCAAGTAGAATTTGCAAAAATTAGAGAAGCATCAGCCCACCCCTGTGCAAACATATCATTTTTATAAAATTCCACTTCTGGTTTATTTTCAAATAATTCCGGGTTATTTTTCACCTCTTCAGGGAAAATCCTATCATATTCTTGTTTTTGTTGAACTGAAACATCATAAAGTCCTTCAAGAATCTCTATTCCTACACATTCAGTAAAATTATGAAGCAATGCTCCAGCTATAACTCCTTTGCCAGTGCCAGATCCAAGGTCATAAAAGACGCCACCTGATGGAATTGCCCCATATCTTGCTTTTATTGTTTCAAAAATTTCCCCAATTGAAACAAACTCGACTTCACCATAAGTTAATGTGCTGCTTGCGTTTCCGAGCTCTTCTCTGTCTTTTTTGCTAACATCTTTTCCAAGGGATACTGGGAAATTGCCTGTTATTTGTTGAAATATTGCGTATTTTCTGTTTAGGACTTCTCTTACATCAGGCGGGAGGAGGTAAGCGTCATCCACTCTGTAGCCATTATCCATTGCGCTGATTTATAAGGATTAATATTTAGTCATTTTTATTATGTTCGAAGAGGTGCTTTCTGAGACTGAATTGCACTGATCATCATTTGAGCAACGAAAAAAATAAATATCATTTTTGGAAATGAGTAGTTTTTTATATTTTTGGTAAAATTTAGAAAACATTAAGATTAAACTTATAGTTGTATTTTATTCAATAATTTGGATTTTTAATAATCCAGATTGTCTTGGTAAATAATTATGAGAATAACTTGATTTGCTTTAAGCTAATTTCGAATTTAGAAATTATTTGAGTATTTGAAACTTAAATTTAGAAGGTAATAATATTTTCTTAAATATCAATTGATTTTTCTTTGCAAAAATCAAATAAAGAATTTTTATTATATGAGATGACAAATAATGCATGGTCAAGTCAAAATATTAATCAAAATTTCTTTTAGATTTCAAAACTTTCATAATTAATTCAAATATTACTTTTCTAAAAGCTATTTTATGAAAATGCTAACTTTCCTCCCTTGCTTAAATGCTTAAAGTATAAACATAGAGAAATTCTTATTTTTGGCAAAATTAATCCCTTCATCAGTAAAACAAATAATTTTTAATATGCCATCAGTGATTATAGTTATACATTTACAAATTTGGGTTTTTTAAAATCTTAAATTATTTTATTAGAATTAACCACTAATCATTTAGCGAGCAAAAATATCTTGCTGTTAGCCAAGGGAAAGACTAAGAACTGTTAAAAATGCCCAAGAAAAAATATTTGATTCCTCACCCTCCTCCTGCGAAGTCTCCCACAAATGCCCCAGCAATATCTCTAATTTCCCTCATCTGTGAGTGAACCAAAAAAATTTATTTTCCCATAAGAGGCTTTTAAAAATATATAAAAATTTTTAATAAAATCTTTTTTTTAATTTAAAAAAATCCCAATTCCTAAAAATTAGAAAGTAAATAATCAAAATTTATTTTTTAAAATTGTTTTAAATTTCAAATAATAATTCTCACTTATATATCAAAATTTTTATATTAAAAAATTTTTGTCAATAAAAATAGGGATTTTCCAATGGTTTCGTTCGCTTACAAAGGAAGGGGGAGTAATAGGAAAAAACTCATCCCACTGAACGTTTGGGAAAGCATCTCGCTTTCGTTATTTAAAAAGATCAATAACCCCAGATTTTACAACACTCCCCTCTACCCTAGGAAAGCGTACTACAACCTTCGGATACGGCAAAAGATGAATTCCTCAGAACTCTAAAGGAAGAGACTCCCCGTCTCCTACAACTTATCATCCTCCTTCCTGTTTTGATCTGGAGAAAAAAGCCCCTAGTTTCGGTTTAAGGTGTCATACAGATCGTACAGTTGAAACAAAAAAAGCAATCCCAGGTCCTGGATCTTACAACCCTTATAGCCCTATGGGCCACCGAGGACCTAAGTTTACATTTAGTCCAAGAATAGAGCACCGAATGAAAGCATGTACCCCACCGCCTGATAATTATTGCCCAAATTTTAATCTTGTAGAAAAAGCAAACTATTCAGCAATTGGCTTTGGGATTGGTGATCGAAGCAAATCTCCTTTAAGTAGAAGAGAATCAAGTCCTGGGCCTGGAACTTATGAAATCCCGAGTGGATTTCGATCTAACAATTCACGTCCAGGAAGCCCTGGAAGATCGGTGACCCCGCTGCTATCAAGAAGGCATTCTACTAAAGCTAAATATTAAAAAATGTTATTAATACACATTAGAGTCCAAAGCAGATGTATTAAGTGACCGGTTAGAGTTCCTAGAAGTGCCGTCAGTGTTTAATGCAGATGCGTTAAGAGATGCGGTTCCTCGGCGCGAGGAGGAGTTGAACCCGATGTTAAAGCTGAACGAGCTGTTTGGGAACGGTTTTATGTCTTTTTTCATTGAAAATGAGTCACGGCTGCTATCAGATCTTCTTGACACATCTGTATTCGCTCTTATAAAATCTCTTGGTACTTTTCCGTTAAATTTGCTTAATAGCTGGTCTCTATCTTTGCTAACTTTTTCATATTCTCTATTCAGATTTTTTATTTCATTGTCTCTAAGCTTTATAAAATTTTGCATTCCAGCGATTTCGTCTTTTACTTCTTCCAGCTCAGTCCTCAAATTGGCTTGCGCAATTTTGTATTTGACTATTTGGTTTTCTAAGTCTATTCTATTTCCTTTGGATTTTCTAGTGATTTTTTTTATTTTTTTTTTTAAATGATAATTTAGGGGTGTCTCCCTGTACTTTTTCATCCTCCAATTTCTGGTACTGGTCAGATTCCTTGATTTTTACGATTTCATCAGATTTTAATTTGAGTGCTTCATCTCTTTCATTGACGGATATATCAATTTGCTGGCTTAGCTGAGAGATTTCTTTTTGAAGCTTCTTTACATTGCTGTTGAAGAGCTTTTCTTGATTGTTGTATGAAAATAATTGAGAATGGATTCGCATGAATTTGTCTTGGAGAAGATCGCTAAATAAAGAATACTTGTCAGTTGGCTTGTATAGATTATCTGAGGATGAAGAAGAGTCTTGCTCTAAAAAATATTCATAAGCTGCTTCTTGGAGAAACTCCTCGAAACTTGAGTCAGACATTTGATAAAAAAATAAGTATTTGAAAATTGTAAATATGACTGATATTATTGTAACTTTAAAAACAGAAAATTAAAATTGTTTTCGAAAGAATGGATTTCTAAATCAAGATGTAAAGTGCGTAAAGATGATTTTAAAAAAAATCCTATAAGCAGATGCAATAGCTACCAAAATTTTATAAGAAATATAGAGATTTCTTCATATTTAATTTAATGAAACGTGAACAATAAAGTTAATTAAATCCAAGCCCAGGAGACTTGCTTTTATCATAGTTTAAAAAATGTATTATGCAGACAAAAAAAGATTTATCTTCAAAATAAATAAAAAGAGTCTTTCTTAAAACGGCTATCTATTAAAATAAAGATTTTTTTATTGATTATGATTACTATTTTATATTGCTACTTAAAATCTATAATTAAAATATGGCTCGATACTGCTTGGCCTCTCGGCCAAGCAGTATCGAGCCATATTTTAATTATATCCGGCAAGGTTTTGCTAGCGAAGAAATGGACAGCTATGCTAGATAACTAGCCCTAGTCTATTTTCCGAGTTAGATTTTACCTCAAGGGAAGGGAGACTTGGAGTTGGAAAGGGGAAGCCCAGCAAAGCCCCTTTTTTAGGCCATTTGGGCAGCTCTTTAGCGAGAAACCAGGAGTTTCACCCTGGGCTACAAGTTTTACCCTTTTGCCGAAAGTCGGCCAGAAATTCCATTTTTTGAAATTTCTGTGCAGGCAACCTTTCGTTGGCGTACGGCATGAACCCAAACTTTCCGACTACGGGGTGTATGTGCAGGCCCATATCCGTAGGAGCGAAACTTTTGAAGGCCGTGAGACGATTGATGGCGAGCAGGCGAGTGGAGCATTATGGAAGGGAATAAGGGCTTTCGGGCCCCGACAGGGAGCTTTTCGATAATCTTAATTAACATTAACATTAACATTTATATTGCTACTTAAAATCTAAATAGTTTATTAGATCCATTTATAAGTTTAATGAAATCTTTAGATTATTCATTAATGCTGATTTTTTCTTGAAAACAGATTCCGATGCGTTCATAATCAAAATACTATAAAAATGGGCTGCACCGATAGCCGATCTGGCTTAAGTAAAGAAGAAAGAGCGATCGTTGACATGGAAGAGCTGCTTCACTACTACCAGAACAACTGCAAAGCTATTGATTTCTATATCCGCAAGTACTCATACGCAGGGGAGATTAATCCAGAACAGTGGCGAGATGTTGTAAATCATCTCAACCTCAAAGTAGAAAATACTGCTCAAAACCCAAAAGTCGTCGATTTTTACTCTTCATTTAAAGGAAACGAAGGCAGGCTGCCTCAAAAGCCAATGCTGATACTTGGAATTATGCTAGGATCTGGAGCTTCTAAGGATAAAGCCAGACTTTTATTTGAAACTCAGGATGTCAGAAACTCTAAAAGTCTTTTAAAAACTGATATTCATGAGCTCGTTGACCAAATGGTAGACATTGCAGTCAATAGGCTACCTAATCTAATAGTTACTAACCCTCAAATAAGTGAAGAAGATATCAGAAACTACGTTACTCAGCTGCACCAGTACATTGACAAAGCCAAAGCTTTAATATCAAAAAAATTCATCGGTGAAGAAACAAAGGCTGAAGAATCTACAGTTACATTGGCGGCTTTTGAAAAAAACTTTATTGATGAGTCCAACGCAACACTTTTAACTCCTTATGGGTTGAGAATGTTTATTTGGAGACTTAAGCCACTTGAAATTAAGTCTAAAAAAACGAAGGAAGAAACAAAACGTGAAGCAGCCACTAAAACTGGGGAACATAAAGAGAAAAAAGATAAAAGCTCGTCATCTTCGTCTTCATCTTCAAGCAGTAGTTCTTCGGATGAAGAAAAGCATAAGAAAAAAGTAGAAAAGGCTGAACCAAAAGCTGAGGCTGCACCAACAGTTGAAGTTGCACCAAAAGTCGAAGAAAAACCAGCAGAAGCCCCAATAATTGAGAGCGTAGCAGCTTAATTTAGTAGTTTATAACTAATATGGCTGGAGAAAGAGAATATGATTATATGTTTAAAGTAATCATCATAGGAGAAAGTGGAACTGGAAAATCCTGCTTACTTCATTATTTAATTGAAAACCGATTCAAAAAAAACACTAATCATACAATTGGAGTTGAGTTTGGCTGTAAAAGATTGAATATTGGTGGTAAACAGATAAAGCTGCAAGTATGAGATACGGCAGGCCAAGAAAGGTTCAGAAGTGTCACGAAAAGCTATTATAGAGGTGCTGCTGCAGCGCTCGTTGTTTATGATATTACTAATGCAGAGAGTTTTCAGAAGATCCATTCTTGAATTAATGATGTTCGAGCATTAGCAAAGCCAAATATTTCAATTATGGTTGTAGGAAATAAATCTGACTTAAAAAGCTCAAGAGCTGTGAATTTTGTAGAGGCTTCATGCTTCTGTCAGGAGCTAGAAGTCCTGCTAATTGAAGCGAGTGCAGCTACGGGTGAAAATGTGGAAGAAGCATTTAATAAACTTGCAAGCTCTGTATTAACTAAACTTGATGGTAAGCAGCTTGAGCATACACAAGGAATTCAGCCTGGTCCTGGAAGATTATCAACTATTCATGATAGATCTTGCAGCTGCTAATCTTAAATTTGGATTATCAAAAAAGATTTTGATATTTTCAAGATTGAAGACATATATAAAACACTAATTAATTGGCCATAAATTCCTGCAAATAATAAGATCTGTAGTTTTTTTTATAAAATAATTTAATGATCTCGAATAATTCCATTTCAAATAATGTCTTTTGATGCAACTTTCCTTTTAAATTTTCATTACAATTCTTTGAATTTTCTATGCGCATCTTTAAAGATTAATTTTTAGCTTAACAAATCTAAAAAATTAAAAAAAATTATAATTATCTGTTATTTTTTAGTTATACATTGTATTAAAGCAGCAACTAGCAGTCTCTCAAAAAACGCATAAGTTTTTTATCACACATATGCTTATATCTGTTTTTCAATATAAATGGTGGATTTCCGCAAAGTTATTGGAATTATCCTAGTTGTCAATGTAGCACTTCTTTTATTTTTCCACAGTTCTGGCACTGGATCTCCTATATCTTACCAACAAAATCTTGCTCCTTTATTTGAAGACAAAAAACCATGGCCAGTTTATCTATCACCTCAATGGGATGAGTACATTTCTAGCTTAAATCTTACAGGAACCTTCCAAAACATAATAAAAGACTCAACCTACTGCGACAAAGTCAAGGAATTCCAAGAAAAATATCCAATTCCCCTTGGTCCTGATAAAATGCCATCAAAAGAGAATCGAGTTGTTTATGCTGACTACACAAAAACAATGTTTGTCCACAAAGTCGTCCAGGAGAAATCAAGGACTGTTTTGACAAACCATTACTCAGGAATGAAAGACACCCCTGATAAAGAATACTTGAGGCCTGACATCACAATGTTTTATCATCTCACAAGTGGATATCACAGGAACTTCAAAATTGGCAGCCAATTTTTATGCCCTGGCCAGCTTTATAACCACATACCTGGGAATGCTTATTTAAATTTCAAAGATTTAACTGCTTTAGCATTCAGAGAGTATGGGAAATATTATGAAGGAAGAGAAGAATGCTTTAATCCTTGGGCCGTGACGCCTCACACATTGGTATTAAATGACAAAGAACAATGCGAAGAATTCGTTGAAACATTGAAAAACGACGCTAACCCAGACAAAATCAAATGGATTTATAAGAAAGCTAGATACAGTCATAATGGCAGTGGGCTACAAGTAGTCGACTCACAAATTGCAAAAGAACTTTTAGAACTCTACAGCAAGCCTCAAGGCTGTGACAACAAAGACGACAAATACCTTGCTCAAAAATACATCCCAAACCCTTTCCTTATAAATGGTAAAAAGTTTGATTTCAGGGCTTATATGTTTATTGCCAGCACAGACCCTCTTATGATTCTATACCACGATGGATTTCTCAGAGTCTCGATGGCAGACTATGACGAAGACTCCACAAACCCAGCTGCTTACCTTACGAACACCCACGTCACAGAAGACTATTTGAAATCCCAAAACATGACCCAAGAAGACTACAACCGGTTCATGGAAGACCAAGGCTGGGACTTTGACCACTTCGAAAGATACATGGTAAACAACGGTTTTGTTGACAAAAACTGGATGAATAACTACGTGAGGAGACACATCAAATGGGCAATGCTGCATATAGTCAGGATGAATTTAGACCATTTATTAATCCACCCTGGTGTCTTTGAGATATATGGCTTAGATTTCTTATTAGACGAAAATTTCAAACTGTGGTTCATTGAGCTGAACTTGACACCTTCAATACAAGGGACTTCTAAAGAAAAAGAAAAAGTCAATAAGAAGTTTGTAAGCGACCAAATCGACTTAGAGTACGCCAGAATGTATGGGGCTGATTTCGATGGGATTTTAAAGACCACAAATTTCCATTGGATTTTTGACGGCAGAAAAATTGGGATGGAGAGGTACCATGGACTGGTTACTCCAAACTGCGTTTAAGTAGCAGAATAAATTAATTTACTAATATTAGAGTTTAAGCAATTGAAGAGTTTTATTAAAAGCAATTCCTACCCAGTTCGGCTGGAGCGCTGACCAATTCAAGTTTACGATTTCTGCTTCTGAAACGTAAACCATCATTGGTTCCCTCACTTCTCCAAGATTCCTCTGTAGGTCCCAAATCAGAGCTTGCCGGTCATCTCCGGCTGTGCAGACATAGCAGCTTTGATTTGGAGACCAGGAAATGGTATTTACAAAATTCTGATGACTGTGTAGTTCTGCAATCGGCATGCCTGGCGACCTGATATCAATTATTGTTACGCTCAATGAATCCATCATGATCGTCGCAATAAAGTTCGGGTCCATTTTATTCCAAGCTAGCCTTAACAAAGGGTTGTATCCTTGGCTTTCAAACAAAATTGTACACTGTTCCAAGCTTCTTAAGTCAAACTTCCTGACTGAGCCATCAGCTCCTACACTGGCAAAAGTAAAAGGGTCATGGCCAAATGCAATATCATTCACTTCTTTTGTGTGGGTCAAGATCTGCTTCTTCATTGCCTGCTTTTCTAAGTCCCAGATAGTACAGGTAGAGTCAATGCTTGCGGTTCCTATCATGGAAAGGTCATGCTGATTTCAATCAAAACTTGTCAAAGGTCCACAATAATCACTATGCCGGTTATTTATGAGAGTTGATACCATTGTGGCTTGATTTTCTTCATATTTTCATAGGCGTAGATGATCACTAGAGGATGCCATTAGGTTAGGATGCTTGCCTTCTGTGTCAGGAACCCACATAATTTTGGTTGGAGAGTATGCATGCTGAATTGTCGTTTTCAAGTCAAATTTATTTTCTTCTGGATTCAATTGAACTATTTGTATTTCATTATTTGTGGGTTTCATAAAAAAATAATAATAAATTTATTATTTTTTTTAATTTTTAAAAAAAAATTTATTATTTGTATCTTCTATGAATGAGCCTAATCCAAGCAAAAAGGGGTATTGAGGATTACAACAGAAATTAAATGCATACACAAACCATGGTGCGACATACGAATAAACTTCACTTGAAGAATTTGTGTTATTTTCTGTATTGAGATCTCTGCTATCTCCTGAAGATCTTTGTGAGTTGTTTATCATAGATTATTATTATTCTGAGATATGAGTCTTAAATGATATTTATATGTCAGTAACTAAAATATAGATTACCTATTATTATGAAACTTTGATATTACCTCCTTCGTAACTAAATTTATTTAATAATCTAACTTGAAGAAAAAATGACTACGGCAGCATCCCCAGCGTGATCACTTACAGGCCGCCCACGCACAGAAAAATCAGCAGAAATCCCTGGACCTGGGACTTATGTTTCTTCAGCTGAGCTTAAAGAAAAAGCTCCAAGCTATAGCATAAGCAAGGCTGAAAGGATTTCATCAGGGAAAACTGCCACCATTGTTGGTCCTGGAGCTTATAATATTCCAAGCTCTCCTAAAGGACGAAAAGCTGTTTTTGGATCAGCTAGACGAATTACAGTTGAAATCACTAATAAAAATCCTGGGCCTGGCAACTATGAACAAAAATCGAAAATTCAAGAAGGCCCGCAATATTCAATATCAGGGAGAAAAGTTCAAGAAACAAAAGAAAGCCCTGGCCCAGGGAATTATGACGCTAAGGATACCGTGCTTGAAAAATCTCCTTCATATAAATTTGGAACAGATAAAAGAAATGTGGAATTTGATAAGAATAAGCCGAGCCCAGGGCCTGGAACATATGAGTTTAATCCAGAATTCACTAAAATGGGCTATAAATTTGGAAATGCCAACTCCTATTTAAATTGGGGCAAAGTATCGATAAAATTTCAATTTTTTGTACACTAAGCCCTAACGAACGAATTTATTTAGAGGTTGTGTAAGACCATTTATAGCGTAGCCAAAACCGCGAGTATCAATGATAATAAGTAGAATACTGTTTAAACTAATAAATAAATTTTAAAATTTAAAATAAAGCAAATATTTTATATCCTTCAAATGAAAACCCACCTTTTAAATTTCAAGAGGTTGCTTTGTTCCAATTTAAAGAGGGAGTAAAAGAGTTGTTCTTAGCAGAGAAAATGTTCCAGGTCCTGGGGCATATGAATTGCCATCAGATAGAGATAGAAGGGCGTATTCGTTGACAAGCAGGTCAGAAGCTAAGCCAAAAAATAACTCACCTGGGCCTGGAGCGTATGAAAGTGTATCAGGATTTGAAAAAAGATGCTATACAGTTAGTAGAGCAAAGAGATTTATGTCAATGACTCAAACAGAGCTTCCTGGTCCAGGGGCTTATGATGCTTTTCTTTATAAAACATATCAATATACGCCAGGTACAAGAACAGGAAATCGTCCATCTATTCATCCTATAATAGATACTCCTGCCCCGTGGGCATATAATGCGAATAAACAGGAATCTGGACCAGCTTTTAGTATTAAACCTCCTCTTTTTAAGCAAATAAAATGTTTTTTATATAACTATTCATAATAAGCAATAATTATTTAATACTAATTTAATTTATTTTAAACAGCTTCATTTTTAAATTTCGAAGTAAATTAACTCTTTTGCTTGTATGGAACATTTTTTGCTCGCTCAGAGAGGGTAAGCAAAAATATAAGATAAAATCAGAAGCGTACCCAGGACCTGGAGCTTATGAAGCGAAAAATAGTCATAAGTCACAGAACCCTATAATTGGGACCACCCAAAGATTTATGCTGAGTGATGAAGAAAAATTAAGGAGAAGCTTGCCAGGTCCAGGAATTTATAATCCAGCTACTAGATCAGCGGAGTCGCCAAGATGGGGTTTTGGAAGTTCTAAACGAAGCACTAGGAAAGAAAGCAATCTTCCAGGGCCTGGGCATTATGATTTTAAAAGCTTTATAGATGAAGGTCCTTTAGGAGCGCTGAATAGAACCCAATAATTTTAACTCTGATAAAATGCTATTAGTATTGCCTTTGTCCTTTAGATTTATCATACCAAATCCTGATTTCAAATAAAATATTAGACTTACGATTTCTGTGCCAAAAGCTAAAAAAAGACTACCATAATTTGGTCTGCATTGAAATGCTTAAAATACCCATGATATTTATACCAGTAGTCCTTAATTTTTAATTAAAAATCGATTTTTACTTGGATTTTTTCTAATTTTTCTGCTGTTTTGAATAATTATTACCTATTGAAATGCATTCCATAGACAAAATTGATGAGCGACTTTTCCTAGGGAATGAAGCAGTTGCAAACAGCCTTGAAATTCTCACAGAGCATGGAATAACACATATTCTCATTGCAGCAAAAGAACTTCAGCCCCACTTTGAAGGCTCATTTGTATACAAAAAAATTGATATCTATGATCAGTCAAATGCTGATATACGGAAGTATTTTGGAGAATGCAACCAATTCATTGATGAAGCGATTTCTAATAATGGTAAAGTTTTAGTTCACTGCTATCAAGGTATTTTATAATAATAAAAGGGGAATTATACGATGGAAGCTTTGGCCATTAGATTTTTGAAGATTTAGGAGTTTGCTGCTTGTAGCTCCTAGGAGGGAGACTATTAGGTGGAACACACGAAAGAGTCAAGTACAGAGCGAGACAGCACGCCCCGTGAGGCTTGGCAGTGCACGAGAGGCCTAGTTGTTAGAGCTTCATGACATCTGATAGTTGGTGAAAAAAAATGGCTTGCAATATCACCAAGCTCTGATTAAAGGGCGGTTGAATTATATCATACCTAAGAATCCAAAACACTAATTAATACATAAGTTATCAAGGCATTTCAAGAAGTTGCACTATAGTAGCTGCTTATTTGATTTATAAGAAAGGCTACAGTTGTATGTATACGCTGGACCTTATTAAGAAAAAGCATCATCAGTGCTGCCCAAATGATGGATTTATAAAACAGCTAGATGAGTACTCGCAAAATCTTAAACACATAAACCCAGGACTTGAAGAAATAAAATTTTCAAAGTGCCACTGCGTTGTATTTTAGACAGAAAAGAATATCTAATTATCAATCATGTAAGCAAGTTCATAATATATATGCTGCCCTATATTAAATACTGGAAAACCTACTATGCTATGGCTCCCATTAATAAATAAAAACTTGCTTAGATCCTAAATATGCAACTGCAATTATCTTAATAAATGAATATCTCCTGTCTACTTTCTTCAGTGAATGTAATGTCTTTAAATGATCGCAAAAGATGTATATATCAATATGATCTAAATGGCCAAATATGATGAAATTGCTGTCTCCAAATAATAATGAATTCAAATAATAATTAAAATCAATTAGTTTAATAACTTAGAGAGCTACTAGAATAACAATCAATAAAGCAATCAAAATGACTATGCAGCAAAACATGAACCCATCAGCTGATTTTATGATCAATTCTTTCATTCTAGCAGTAGAGTTGTTAATTTTCAATTGGTTGTGGTCGACGTTTTTGTCCACATCATCAAGCAGCTGTGCGTGGACGTCAAGCTCGTCTCCGATATTTTTTGCAGCCACCACAAGATTTTCGCTGGTACCCACAATTGCATCTTCTAGAGCACTTTGGTTTTTGATCATTTGTGACTGGGCTGATCTCAAGTCCTTGTTGCTGAGGTTTCTTGTGTCCGTAGTTTCCGAGCTGCCATCTCGTTTAAAATTTACGCCAACTCCTGCCTGGACTATTTTTGTGCCTTGCCTGGTTTTTTCGTCAATTTTGGCGAGCTCTCTTTCAAGTTCAGCGACTTGGGCTTTTCTTTTATCGATATCTGCGTTATTTAGCTTGTAACGGGAGGGTTCTGCTTTGTAAGCTTCAATCATGCGAATCAGGCCATCTATATCGACAGCGAGCTCCTGTAGGCCACCTCGTAGTTTTGCATCTAGCCTAGAAGTGACTTCTCCATTTAGAAGCTTGCGGTCTCTTTCTGCAAGGTCTATATTCAGCTGATTCTTTACACGAGTTGCTTTATCGAGGTCCTTTAAGAAATCATCCATTTATTCTCCCTATTACAATTTGATCAAAGCTTAAAGTCTTTATGCTACACATACATTTGAATTAATTTAAATTGATATTTGATATATTAGGATAATATTTTTAAAAGCGATTATTTAAAGGGTATTTGCATAGCTTTGCTAACACGATTTTGTAAGGAAAAAGAAGGAAATTGGAAAAGGTGTAATTGCAAAAGCTCAAGGTGATTTTAAGACTGAGAAAAGCCTTTTGAGGGCTCAAGTTTTGAGAAATCAGATTTCGATATATATCTCTGGTGATTAATTAAAAAAATTATTTCAAGAAATTGACTTGAAGAAATTTCCACATGCTGAAAATTATAATATATGCTTAAGTATTTTTCAATGAAAATAAGACAAATAATTATCATTTGAGGAATTTTGTCGCTTAATCCAAATAAAAATTAAATAGGAAATAATGGCGAATAATATTAATTGTCCCTTTATCAATAAATAAATGAATAAATATCATTAAGTCAGGGAAGTCGAATTAATAGCAAAAATATAAATGAATAAATATCATTAGCCAGGGAAGCCGCATTAATGGCAAAAATATTGTAAAGCGATAATGCTTTATTCAAATTATTGATAATTGAAATAAAAATATTAACAGTTGATATCTCTAAATAATTCTAATAAAATTATGAAAAATCGATCATAGTGTTATCTAAGTATTAAAATTGTCGAAAAAATGGTAAGATTTTGATTAGCAATTTTAATAAAATTCTCCACCTTTTAGAAGCATTAAATATGAAATTCTTCTCATTTTTCTTATTTTATGCAGCAGCTCAAGCAGCCTCATAGAATGCCAGAATGAATGGGAAATAGCTTTTAATAACCATAAAACTGATTCTTTATCAAAAAACTCAAAAAATGATAGCTTTTTCTGGTTTTGATATAGACAGCTTTGGAAATTATGGTGAATAAATATTCACGCCTGATCTTCAATATACAATAATTAGGCTTACTGAGACTCCAACAAAGCCCATTACCTTATGCAGCCCAAAGATCTGCGAAATTGAAGGCTATTATGGGATTTTGCAAAGTAACTCCGCAGTATCTGAGTACAAGATAAGCGAAGTTATTCATTCTCAAACTAGCAAATTCCACTTGCTAGCCCCAGATGTATGAATTTCAGAAGAATTTAATGATATAAGTATAAAAATTGTCGAAAAAATGTTAAGATTTTGATTAACAATGTTAATAAAATTCTCCATCTTTTAGAAGTAATAAATATGAAGCTTTACTCATTATTCTTATTTTATGTCGCAGCTCAAGCAGCCCTCATAGAATGCCAAAATGAATGGGAAATAGCTTTCAATAACCCTAAGAATGATTCTATATCAAAATACTCAAAAATGATAGCTTTTTCTGGTTTTGATATAGACAGCTTTGGAAATTATGGCGAATGCATATCCACGCCTGATCTTCAATATACAATAATTAGGCTTACTGAGACTCCAACAAAGCTCATTACCTTATGCAGCCCTAAGATCTGCGAAATTGAAGACTACTATACAATTTTGCAAAGTAACTCCACAGTATCTCAGTACAAAATAAGCGAAGTTATTCATTCTCAAAAGAACAAATTTCACTTGTTAGCCCCACTTGTATGAATTTCAAGAGAATTTAATGGTATTTACTCTGATATTCCTACAATTCTCATGATTATTTTCATAACTTCAATCATAGCCATAACTTTATATGCTTCTGTAAAAGACCATCAGTTAACTAATAAAGAAAAACCATCAGCTTTTCTGAAATATTTATTGTGTTTTTCTCTCCTTCGCAATTTAAAAATGCTTCTTAGAAGCAGAAGTAGAGATAAGTTGGGAAAAAAGGATCCTTTAGAGCTGCTTAATGGCTTGAGAGTATTAGCCAATGCATGGATTATCTTATATCATACCATACGCTATATGTGGGTAGGCGGCGTTATTTCAAATACCAAACAATTTGCAGGGAATGTCAGCCCCAAAACTATGATTGTTGTTGATGCACTGTTCGCTGTTGATATTTTCTTTTGGATTTCAGGCTTTTTATGCGCCTTTTTACTGCTTAGCGAACTTCACAAGACCAACAAATTGGACTGAAAAATGGTTTATGTCCATCGAGTCTTAAGATATCTCCCTTTAAACATTTTTATGATTTGGTTTATAATGTCACTTTGGAAGTACATGGGAGAAGGCCCCCTTTGGAGTCTTGGGGAATATACATTTGAAGGGTGCAAGGAAGTCTGGTGGTCCCATATTCTTTTTATCAGTAACTTTTATCCAAATGGATGGGGAAATTACTGTTCAGGTCCTTCTTGGTCAATTACTGTGGATATGCAATTCTTTATAGTGACTATCCCTATGATATATATTTATACAAAAAATAGAAAAATTGGATGGCTTTGCTTGATTTCCTATGTCCTGGTATCGGTTATAAGCTCAGGATACATAACTTATGCATTAGATATGAACGCAGTCAATGCAGCGCATGGGAACCATGATAAATGGTCCTATTATTATTACAACAAGCCATATTGCAGAATTGCGCCATATGCTATTGGCACTTTGACTGCTTTTATTGTTTTTTCTTATAGAAAGAATAGAGAAAACGGGACTTATTATGATAGATTCTCAGTTTCTATAGCAAAAGCAATAAATAATAATTTGTGTCGGTATACTCTTGCAACAGTTGGGATTTTGTTAAATGCTTTAGTGCTAATGGGTCTCTACGATACCTATAGATTTCCTGGAGAAAACAATGAATATCCATATTGGAGCAAGTGGCAAAATATTGCGTATGTAGCACTAGCTAAACCTTTATTTGGATTTGCGCTTAGCTGCATTTTTCTGCCTGCCTTTTTAGGATACTTTAGATTTTTAACGAAATTTCTTTCCCTAGATTTTTGGGCACCATTAGAGAGGTTGACATTCTCTGTCTATATGGTTCATTATTTAATTATGTTTTATTACTACAGACAGCAGACTGAAGCATATTTTATTAGCGATAAAACAATAAATGCAAACTTTTTGAGTTTTATGATGATTTCTTATATAGTTGCTGTGCCTCTTGCAACTTTGATTGAAATGCCTTTTAATTCATTGGAAAAGACATATTTCTCGAAAGAACCAGCCCAAGCTTTAAATAATAAAAAAACTGAATAATTTCATTTTATAAGTCTAATTAAAATTCTATTGAAAATTATGAATGAGAGCTAATAATTATTAGGAATGATCCCAACTCAAGCATGTGTATTCAAGGAGGCAGCGATAATTAATAATCTTCTAGCCAAATACAAATAATAATAAAATTCTTGAGTTTAAGTTTTGTTAGTGAATGAAAAAATGTTTATAGGCTAAATTTAATATTTATAATTATACCTTTATTTTAATTTTTTATTTTATTACAAAATGGTAACGGCTGTTGAGTAGGCAATTTAAATGGATTTGGAAATCTATTCTTTATATGAATTTCAGCTTTTTTGCGATTCCAAATCTCTGAATCCTTAAATTTTTGTATAATAAAGGAATTAAATATTGGCATCCTTCATGTGTTTAATTGGCAAATTCAATAATGCCCATTATTTTAAAATATTTAATTTTTCTATACATAAAGGTAAATTAAATTTATGCATTTAACATTATATTTTCCAATACAAAGTTTAATTACCAATTTTATCTTATAAATCTTAAATAGCTATCCTATTTTTATATTATTAAACATAATGTCGCACGATTACGATAAATGGTGGGAAGAAGAGGTCAATGAACGGTATGCAGTCTTCAGAAAATATTTGCTAGGAACATTTTGATTAATAGGCATTTTCTGGGTAACTTTTGTGATTCTGAGCCCAGAAAATTTTAGAATTTTCTGAGACATGATACCTCATGTTTTGGTCAATTGAGGAATGGTATGACTTTCAAGAATAATTGGTCGTAAAGGAACTTACTCCCCCTTGTGAGCAAACAAAAATGTTTTTAATATAAAAAAAAATTGATATGTAGATGTTAATAATTATAATGAAATCTCTAGCTAATTCTGTTTAATTTTAAATAGCTTGCATTTTAAAACATAAATTTCTCAAATTAAATTAATTTTTTGCTTCTCAATTTCTGTTATTCGATTTTTTTTAAATTTAAAAAAAAAAATTATATAAAATTTATATACAAAATTTTTAAAAAAAATTAACCCCCCTCTCAATAAATATTTTTGTCCGCTCACTGAGGGCGGGAGTTATGAAAAATCTGCTTATACAGTTTTTCACACAGAGTACTCGTGTGTGATTCTTTGGTATCTATCGCTAACCCAATTAAAGAATTATTTAGTCTTATGTGAGATTCTGTCAAGTATTTATATCAATGCATTCGAGCTTGCATTTATCCAAAGAGCATGGCTTAGAAACTTAATTATAGCGAAACATATGGTTATGTGGCATTACATCAAATACTTGACAGGGGAATTAATGTTAGATGCTGATATTACACCTCATACTATAGCAGCAATCTGTTTCCTGCTCTATAACTTTATTTCTTATTATCAGATATCAATATCATATGAGAGGTATCTGAACCGAGTACAGAAGAATTCTGCAGAGAGCCATTTAGAAGTAATAATAAGCGCTTTTCCTGATGGAATTTTAATCCTATCAGACACTTTTACAGTAGAATATGTGAACTCTAATTTGACTTCATTATTGAACTGTTCCTCTGAAGAAATTAAAGATACACTTGCAAATATAAAATATTGCGAAGGCAAAAAATATTCCAATATATCAGAGTCAAGCAATTTATTCAAGGACATAGAAATAATGCTGAAGCAAGATTTAAGAGAGCCAATAATGCTTGGCGTCTCATTATGTAATGGTAACAATATTGAGTGGAAAGGATGAAAAATAAGGTGAGGAGAGAAAAATGCTCTTTCCTTAACTGCAAGAAATATGAACCATATAATACAGCTTGAACAGTCCATTTCTGATAGCAAGCTCAAAACTGTTTTACTAAGATCAGTTTCTCATGAATTGAGAACACCTTTGAATGTTATTTCATTTATTGCTGAAGAGCTCTCTGAGAATCTTTACTCTTATCCGATAGAGATGTCTAAAGAAAAATTAAGAATGATATCAATTTCGACTAAACTTTTATTGACTCTTGTAAATGATTTACTGGATTATTCAAGAATGCTAGCAGGGGTTTTTTCAGTACATAAGTCAAGATTCTTATTGCAAGATTTGATTAAGAATGCTATGGATTTAATTAGCATTCAGGCTAACAGAAAAAATTTGTTTTTATCATTCCAGATTGATCCATTGCTGCCAAAGTATATATACTCAGATCCCTTCAGATTAAGCCAAGTCCTATTGAATTTCCTATCTAACGCTCTAAAATTTACTTTAAAAGGCTCAATTCAAGTAGTCTGTGTGTCAACCATCACAAATAAGTTAAAAGTCATTATAAAAGATACAGGCCTAGGTATTGCTAGTACAAAGCTCAGTACTTTATTTGAAGAATTCAATACTGTTTCAACCCCAAATCTTAATCCTCAAGGCTGTGGACTTGGCCTACATATTTCTAAAATGATTTTAAAAGAGCTTGGAAATGATATAATTTCAGTAGAATCCAAAATTAATGTTGGCTCAACCTTTTCTTTTACTATTGACATTGCAGAAAATACTGAAAACTCTTGATCTGATTCTTCTAATCCCATTATGAATATTTCTGAAGACTTTGAAAACTTAGGGAAAATTTTTTCAAATTATGATGTGAAAAAAGATTCCTCCCGACAAGTGCTTATAGTAGATGACAATGATTTTAACAGAATTGTGCTGGCAACTGTTTTAAGCAAAAATGGGATCACTTTTACAGAGGCTTGCACAGGAAGAGAAGCAATAGGCTTTATTGCTGCTCAAGATGCCAAAGGGACTCCATATAGTCTTGTTATTATGGATGGGGACATGCCTGAAATGACTGGCTGAGAAGCAACTCAGACAATTGTAAAAATGAAAAGTGATGGGAAACTTTCACATGTTCCAGTGGTTATTGGCTATACTGCGTACAGCGCAGAAGAGGACCTAAAGAAGTGTATAGATAGTGGGATGGTGGAGTGTTTGACAAAGCCATGTGATCCAGAGCTTTTATTATCAACGATTAATAAATATATTAGTTAATTTTGTATAAATCTTGCTAATTATTAGATTTATTATTTTATTGATGATTCAAAAATAGAATCTAAATAATTAATTATAAGCCGCATAAAAGGATTTTTGATAAAATATTGCATATGTTTAACCTCAATGTGTGCTTTCTTGAACTACTTTCAATATGCTAAAATATTTATAGTTAGCAGTATTGCTAAAGATAAATATTAAAAACAAATTTTAGCAAAAAAATATCAATCATTAATGGGCAACTACTTTATTTTAATTTGTATTTTATAAATTATAATTTCTCTAACTCCCCCCCCCCCTCCGTGAGCGAACAAAAAAATTTTGTTCGCTCACGGAGGGGGGTTAATTTTTTTTTTTAAAAAAAATTTATATATAAATTTTATAAAAAATATTTTTTTCGAAATTTAAAAAAAATCCTAATTTGCAAAAATTGGGAAGCAAATATTAATTTAATTTGCAAAATTTATGTTTTAAAACGCAATTTGTTTAAAATTAAACAGAATTAGCTCTAGATTTCATTATACTAATTATCACTTATATATCAAAATTTTTTTTCCATTAAAATTTTTTCTATTAAAAAAATTTTTGTTCACTCACGGAGGGTGGGTTTTTGGTCAAAAAAATGGCGATTTTTCTAATGGTTTTGTTCGCTCACGGAGGGGGGGGGGGGGGAGTAAGCTTATTACAATTAATGCTAATTAAATTTAATCAAATCTGAATTTTTTCTTATATTAAATCAAACCAATTAAAATTCATCTGTGGGGCTCATTGCTTCACAAAACGATCCATTTCTAGGCAGCCTTATTCTTCTGGCTAGCAAAGCTTCCCAATCTAATTTTCTAAAGAATGGGTGCCTTTTAATTTGTGAAATTTGGGGTCTCTTAGCTGGATCCCTGTTCATTACTTGAGTTATCAGGTCTCTGGCAGTTGAACTCACATGGGGCGGAAATGATAATCTCGCTTGCTTTATACTTTGAAACAGCACATCAATATCTTGAGAATAATAAGGCGGAGCTCCTGTTAAGAGCTCATACAATAATGGCCCAATTCCATAAATATCTGACGCTTTACTCGCTCCTTTTTTAGCTACAATTTCGGGTGGCAAATATGCAGGAGATCCTGCCATTGTCATTGCAGGGTTGTCTTTGCTTACATTTTCTTTTGCAAGTCCAAAATCTGCAAGCTTTGCATGCCCAGAACTGTCAATCAGCACATTGGCAGGCTTAAGGTCTCTATATATAATTTCAAGCGAATGCAAATATTCTAAAGCTAGAATGACCTCAGCTAAATAAAACTTGGCAATGTTTTCTTCAATTATTTTATTTGATTCTAGCAATCCTAATAAATCTCCATTAGGACAGTATTCTAGTATCAGGTATAAATATTGAGTCGTCTGAAAAGCATAATATAAAGTGACTATAAACGGGTGCTTTAATTGCTTCATAATTCTGCACTCACTGATGGCATATTTTAGTTGCTTTTGTCTTTGAAGGTTAGCTTTGCTTAAAGATTTCATCGCATATTCTTGCTGGTCCCCATTTCTCTTTTGGACTTTATAAACAGTGCCGAAAGACCCACTTCCTATTTGGTCAAGAATCGTAAAGCTATTGAAGTTTATTACTTCATCATTTACTAGGACAGAAGGATTTTCGCTACTTACCGTTTCATCTTCAGCAACTTCTGAAGCAATGCTTTCAGTGTTTTTCTTAAGCACTGAATCTTTAGATCGATGAACCAAACAATAGCTTACTCCTTGCTTAATCCTATTCACCCATTCTTTAGTCAAATCTTGATGCTTTGTATAGTATTTATAAGAGTTTCTTGCGGTCTCAATACTGAAAAAGAACTGCGTTTTGCTTCCTCCAATTACTCTGACGTCCTGAACGTCTGAAAGATTAATAATACACTCTGGCTCGACTTTATCTAAAAAGTCTTCTTTATTAGTGTACCTATCCAATGCGCCTTTGTCAAGATCCATATAAAGAAAAACAGGCCTGTCATGAATAAATAGTGACCCAGTCATCCAAATTTCTCCACAAAATGGAGGCGGCGTTTCAGACTCCTGCTGATATTTTCTTAATTGACACTCACCCAGATATACTGGGAGAAGCGTCAAAATTTCATGATCTTTTGCTAATTCAATAGGGGTTTTGCCTCTTGGGTCTTCAAGAGACATGCAAGCGTTGGCTTCTAATAAAGTCTTTGCAATATCAGCATGTCCTCTTTCACAAGCCAGATGTAGACCTGTTCCTCTAAATTTCGTCATTTTATCTAACTGTAAATTGGGGTGTTCCATTAATGCTTCTACACAATCAGCATGTCCTTGAAAGCAGCAGAGCTGAAGAGGAGTCCATTCGTCTATTGTTACCTTATTAGAGTTCACTCTTCTGCCTACTAAATATGAAATAATTGCACTGTGGCCATAACTGCAAGCATAATGAATCGGTGCTCATAGACATGGCTGTGCTTGGTTGAGCAAATCTTCATCATCGGGAGATTCAGACTCATATACCTCGACTGTTCTCATTAGATCTGCAAGATTTCCAGCCTTGCATGCATCAATGGCTTTTTCTAAAGGGCCATATTCTCTTGTAATTGGGAGATAGTTTTCAAAGCCTAAACTTTCCATATATGTAGATCCGCGGTTTAACTTGCGTTTGGTAGGCGATGGGCAACTGAATTCAAGCTGCTTTACTTCTATTTTAGAGTTTGGCTCAAGGTGATAGAAACTAATTGGCCAGTTATCGCTCATTAATATTTTTACTCCACAGATTTCTGTGATTAAATTGATTTTTACTTGTACAGGACCTATCAAGCTTATAATGGTTTTTTTTAGTTGTGAAATTTCTTGGTGAGGATCTACATCTATAACGAATTGGTTTCTTTTTGAATGTTTACTTGAATATTTCACCAATATTTTCATTTTGATAAAGGAACGTCATATTGAAATGCAAAATTAATTGTAATTTTTTAAAAGCTTAGCAGATTAAACTTAATTCGCATTATGCATTATGAATAAAATTTTAATTTTCATGTAGAAGATTTTATTATATTAATCTTAATAGGCTAATAATAATATTGATTAAATGGAATCCCCGAGGAAAATCAATTTGACGTAAAAAAAAACTGGCTATAATCATCACAAATTAAACTAAATTTTTCATTTTTGCAAGCATAATAGCCTTGCTAAATAATCATTATATTAAAATATATTGCTTTTCCACAAATACTTATTGCTTTATTAATGCCTTATAAAGTTTTTTTATATTGATACATTTCTTACCATAGCTACTTAAATTATGCATTTATAAATGGGAGAGAGTTCTTATAACCTCTGGTGGGAAGAAGAAGTCAACCAGAAATTCCCAATCTTCAAAAAATATTTGGAATCTGCCAGACGAGTTTATGCGATTTTTTGAATCACATACCTTATAATATCTCCTGAAAATTTATCTCTATTTATCAAAACTTTGCCTTACACAATAACTCACTATACAATTTCTTTTACTGTTAGCCTTCTAGAACATAAAAGCCCAGCCAAAAAATTTTGGTTCCCGGTGCTTTATGTTGAATATTGCCAAATCGCCTTATGGGTTTATTCTTTAAGTTTTTGCTCAAGCCATCCTATATTATTCGAAATGCTTGGAAGCTTGCTAATGGGATACTTTGAACTTCCATTCATAAAAAGTAAGCTGCTTACGAATTTAATATTGATCAAGCATGTAATATTATGGCACTATTACAAGTATTTTTCTGGAAATTATAACGATAGCGAATGTATGATTGGTCATGCTGTAGGATTTTTGCATATCCTTGCATATAATTATATTTTACACCAAACTGCCCAGGCAGCCCATGAGAAATACCTTTACAGGAAAGGAAAAGAAAAAGCTGAAAATCAGCTAGAAGTGATTATTAGCGCCTTTCCTGATGGATTTTTTGTTATTTCAGAAGACAATACTATTGAGTATGCAAATATAAAAATGCTTAATTTATTAGCATGCAGTCAACACGAACTACCGCAGATTCTCTCTTCAATTATTTTTTGTCCAGGTAAAAAGTACAGTAATCTTTCACAAAATGAATCTTTAGCTCATCACATGCATGCAATGTTTGATTTGGAATTCAACTTCGAAATAATGCTTGGAATATCGATATCCAGCAATATTAATCTTGAATGAAAAGGGTCCAAAATTTTGTGGGAAAGCAAGCCAGCTCTATTAATAACTGCAAGAAATGCAAATAGCATTATACAGCTTGAAAGGACCATTGCTGAAGATAAATTTAAAACTGTACTTTTAAGGACTGTTTCTCATGAACTTCGAACGCCGTTGAATGCAATTTCATTATTAACAGAAGAGCTAATCCAAGAGCCAAGTACTTCTGAAATTTGTAGAGATAAGTTGAGCATGATTTCTGTGTCTACAAGGCTGCTTTTAACCCTAGTCAGTGATTTACTTGATTTTTCAAGAATGCTGGCAGGAGTATTTTCAGTCCAAAAATCTTGGTTTTCTTTGCAAGAGGTAGTCAAAGGAGCGTGCGACCTTATACATATCCAAGCTAAAAAGAAAAACATTGCTTTAGTCATGAGGGTTGATCCTTCTCTCCCAAGAATCGTGTATTCTGATCCTCTCAGGCTTAGTCAAGTGTTATTGAATTTATTAAGCAATGCGCTTAAATTTACAATGAGCGGCTTTATTGAAATTATTTGTTTGCTTGACAGAAAAAACTATTTGAAAATAATAGTCCAAGATTCAGGGATTGGAATCGATAAAGCAAGCATTGTCCATCTATTTGATGAGTTTTATACTTCGTCTTTACAAGCAATCAACCCTCAAGGATGTGGCCTAGGGCTGCCAATTTCTAATAAAATAGTAAAAGAGCTGGGCAATAGTCACATAGAAGTGGAATCTGCTAACTCCCCATCCTCCATGAGCGAATAAAGTTCTTAAAATCTCTATTTTTTAGGTAAACCAACCCTCTGTAAGAAACAAAAAGTTTATTAATATAAAAATTTTAGGAAAAAATAATATTTTAATATATAAGTGATAATTAATATAAATGAAATGTCTAGTTAATCCTGCTAAATTTTAAACACTTGTATTTCAAAACATAAATTTTAAAACTAAATTAAAGTTATTTCGAATTGGGATTACTCTAAATTATATATATAATTTTTTTAAAAAAACAAAAAATCAATTTTTTTCGCACATGGCGGGGAGTAAAGGAAAAGGGTCAGCTTTTTCTTTTAGCGTCTCGATTTTTGAAGAAAATCAAAGCTTAGATGCTCATCTTTCTGATACAGAAAATAATACTTGTGAAGAAATTAATTTTCTACAGTTAAATACTTCGACAACTAATATTTCGAACCCTCAAGTCCTTATTGTAGATGATAATGATATGAATCGGGCTATTGTGTCATCGCTACTGAGCCATAATAAAATAAATATATTAGAGGCGTGCACTGGAAAGCAAGCAATTAATATGATAATTCAGCAAGATCGTAGCAAAAATCCTTTTAAGGTAATCATTATGGATGGAGAAATGCCCGAGCTAGATGGATGGGAAACGACTAAAATTATAGTTGATTTAAAAAGAACTGGCGAAATTAAATCCATGCCAAATATCATAGGATATACGGCATATAGTTCTGACGAAGATATAAAACAGTGCATTCAATGTGGCATGAAAGAATGCCTAACAAAGCCATGCACCTCTGAAGCCTTGATATCAACCATTCTTAAATATTTGTAAGTAATGCTATTTTAACATTAAACTTTTTACGGCTCAACTCTTTGACAAGAACTAAGGGATTTGCATAAAATAAGAATTTATTTAAAGAACGAGGAGCTTTTTTTTAATACAATAGGGATTTTAGAAGTTTTTTGTTGTTGTCTTCAACTTTAATAGAACAGATAACTCTAAAAGATTATTATATCTCGCTATTTATTTGGAATTACTCAAAAAATGTTCATATTTTTTCTATAATTTTAATTCTTATTTTAATGAGAAAATTGATTCTTTAATTTTAGTGATATGAGTTTCTTATTTATATATTAGTAAAATACGAAGGCTTATAGCTCAGAGCTGCATGAATATTCGGCTATTTTGTTGCGATTTGTGCCATATAATTATATATAAGTTATAGGTATCAAAATACTTATATGAGTACACTTTATACTGCTTTTTCTAAAGCATAATAAACGTTGTTTTTAGAAAAAGAATTTAATATTTATTTCAATGGCATCAGTGAGTATCTTATTTGCTGGCATGAGGGACCACATTGTATTGGGAGAACAGTTCATTCTATTTTCTTACTGAGAGCAGGAGTTTTCTTTTTAATGAAATCCCAACTTTGCTTTTATCTGAAAACTCGAGTTTTGTTCTTTTTTCTAACAAAAGAATGATTTCTCTTTTTGCTGAATAATTGGGTCTATCTTTATTATGAGTAAACAAAATTTTGTACTGCTTGATTTGACTGTAAATTTATATATAAAACGAAGATTTAATTGCAAGCTTATTCTTTTCTTAATGATAAAGCTGATTCTTTATCTTGATGAGTAAATAAATTCTTATTTTATTCAAATCCATAAGTTCTTATCATTAATAGGAGCCTTTTTTACTTTTTTACTTTTTCAATTTTATAATTTATATTAAAGCTATAAAAGCATGCCAATTATATTAGAAAGCAGTTACATTTTAAAAACCTCTTATACCCATAATTTTTTATATATTAATTTACATCTTTCAATTCATGAGAATCTCCTGAAAGATCCAGCCTATGCGCTTTTTTACTATGAAGCATCTCTGACTCATTATGCCTCATAAAGTTGAAACGCTCATCATTTTCTTCAGTTATATGTGACGGCCTCATATTATCTTCTTGTCTCGCATTATTATTATCTTTTGCCTCTGCAAGCTGTGAAAAGTCAATCATTTTCAGCGCTGTCAGCTGTGCTTTTTGCTGATTTTTCAAAAAAATGATGACTCTCAGAAACTGTAAAATGGTTCTCAAAATCATCGCGATTTCCCCACCAATCCCGCCGATGTCTTCATCAATGTCTGAATCCCACAAGCCAGCTCCAATCGCAATTATGCATAGAATAACAATAATCAAATCAAAAATATTTGAAAAAGACTTTCAATACGCATGACAGTTTTGAATATACATACGAACGAAAACTTCGAAGACTACGAGCACTGTAACTAAGCCTTCAAGCAGCCAAAACCACATATTGTCTGGAAATCGGCATTTTGAAAGTAAAGTTCAAACGATGCCGATTCCACAGAGAATGATAACAATTATGTATCCGATTCTGGTGTATTTTGAAAAGTAAGCTCTGTTCATACACAGCTTACAGTGGTTTTGGCTGGTTTTTAAGAGTTGGTTTGTAGACAAGACGTCACTGGGACTATAGAGACCTAGATCTTTTCCATTGTTCATTTTATAAGTGGAAACTCAACTGAGTCACTATATCCCACCAAAATGACAGCCGAAAGCCTTAGAAATAGCTAAGCTCTGCGCATTTGCCCATGAGAAGCCTGTGGCTTAGGCTTAGCCACACAATATAGAAATTATAAATTAAAGAATCAGACTACGAACATTCATCAGTGTGCAGATGACCGTCGTGATAGTTTCATCAGAAATAAATATAAAAATCAGTTTAACTATGACTCTTGAGTACTTCCATAGAGAAAACCTCTCAAGGCTCAGAAAATTCATCATGGAAATTTTTATTATGGTAATTATTTATCCATTTTACCCCTAACGTAATTTAATTTAAATTAATTTATGAGTTATTCAACCAAGCGAAGGGCTCAACGATCTACTATTGGCTTGCCTATAAACGACTTTTTAGAAAGTCTGGACACAAAATACGGCTCAGAAATGACGCTTGACGACGTTTTTGATGATTCCAGAGATTTCAGAGACCAATACCAAATGGGTTTTACGAAAAATTCAACCCCTATTAAAGAGCCTACCCCAGCAAAAATGTATAAAGAAAACTTATATGACACGTTAGGACTGACTCCATCTTGCACAGCCAAAGACCTGAAGGCTGCTTATAGAAACTTGATTATGAGGATGCATCCAGATAAAGGAGGAGATGGTGGTGTGTTTAATAAAATTCAGCTTGCTTATAAAGTATTGTCAGATGAAGAGTCAAGAATGCTTTATGATGAGTTTGGCGAGAGCGCGATTGATATTATACAATCATTTAGCCAAAGGCTGTATTAATTTATTTAAAAATAATATTTAATTACACATCTATCCAGCGGGCTCTTTTGCCATCTTTCCACTCGCCTTTTCGTCTTGCTCCATCTGGGGTCATTAGCCATCCTTCACCATGCTGTTTTCCGTTCTTTCAATACCCTTCGTATTTTCTTCCGTCAACCCACAAATAGACCCCATATCCATGTTTTTTATCATTTTGGTACTCGCCTTCATATTTTCTTCCATCTTTCCATGCATAAAACCCTCGTCCATGCATAGTCCCATTTAGTCAGTCACCTTCATACTGTCTGCCGTCATACCAAGTGTATGTCCCTTTGCCATTGATTTTATTATCGATCCATTGTCCAGTATACTTAGACCCTTCTTTCCAAATATAAGTCCCAAAGCCATGCTTTTTGCCTGCTTTATAGTATCCTTCATATTTGCTTCCGTCAACCCAAGATTCCTTTCCAAAGCCATCTTGGATATCATCTTTTCATTCTCCTTCATACATTGCTCCATTTGCTTGCTTATAAGTTCCTTTTCCATTTGCTTTGTCATCTTTTCATTCTCCGTCATATATGTCTCCATCTACATGCCAAAATTTGCCTTTCCCATGGGCTTTGTTGTCTTTTCATTGGCCTTCATATCTTGCTCCATCAGGCCAAGTCTGTATGCCGTAGCCGTCTCTAAAGCCTCCTTTCCATTGGCCGACATAGACAGCTCCGCTTTTAAATCTGTAAGGAGGTCTGTCTTCTCGTTCAGGAATTCCAGACTGTTTCCCTAAAATGGTTTCTCTTGATTCTTCAGCAGTAAAGTACTTGCCGTTCATTCTTTGTTTTTTGCGAAGGTGTGAGACTAATTTTCGGTCTTGGTGTCCTCGCCACATGGCTTGGATTTTTATGATCCTTGGGGTGTACTTTTTAAGTTTTTGCAGCAAATCATGTGGAATTTCTGATTTAGCTTTGCTTTTACTTCTGGCTGTTGCAGTGGTTTGGTTTTCTAATATTTCAAGCTCAGTTTTTAGCTCATTTTCTCTGTTTGCACATGAGCAACTAGAACAATTAACTCCCATTTACTAAATATAGCGGGTGGTTTTAAGAAATGGAATTCAAATGCTATTGAAAAAATCTTTTATTTTTAAGATTGAAAACTATATGTAGCAAATATTGAGTTTGCTTTTGAGTTTTTTTTATTCAATTTTAAGATAATTAAAGGGAAACAATAGATTAAAAATTGAATAATAGCATTTTATTCTTATATTAATGTGCTAAAACTCAAAATAAATGGAAATAATTTAAATAAGATGCTTAGATTTGTGAATATATAAATAGCTTGTGCTGAGCCTGTTTTTTTGGATATAGAAAAGCATTCAAGACTTGTTAACTCGAAAACATAAACATTATAAAGAATAGACCTATTGCAACAGCATCAGGTAACAAAATCGTGGTCAAGATACAAAAAAGCATAAATAATAAATCATTTTTTGTTTAAACTCTTTGAAAAACTTTAATGTCAATATAAAGTTAAAGTCTTATCGCATAAAATATTGAATAAAAATGCTTGGTGAATATAATTTGTATTTTGGGGAATAGCAAATTATAGGCTTCAATTCAAATATTAGGAAAATTCTGGAAATTATATAATAGCTCAATGCTTACTAGTAAAATTATTCTTGTAAAAAAGATTTAACATAGAGCTGTATTTGTATAGAGTGAATGATTACTAACCCGCTCCATGAGTAAGCCAAACCATTAAAAAAATCCCATTTTTTTTGGAAAAAGCAACCCTCTACGATTAAAGAAAAAATTGTGTAATATAAAAAATGTGTTTATAAAATTGCTTGATAAATAAAAAATGTGTTTATAAAATTACTTGATATATAATGAGATTTATTATAATAAAATCTCTATCTAATTCAATTCGTTTTTAAATATTTTGCATTTTAAAACACAAGTTTCCTAAATTAAATTAATTTTGCATTTCAATTTTAACAATAATTTTATTTTAACTTCGAAAAGATCATTTTAATATAAAGCATCAACATGAAATTTTAAAACAATTAACTCTCCTTTTCGTGAGCGAGTAAAATTTTCTTACTTATTTATTAGAGTAGCCTATTCATATCATCTAATATTCTTTGTTTGAACGATAACAATTTAAGACTGCTTTTGATTAGCCTTGCGATATTGAATGGTTTACATTCTTCAAAGATAAGCATTTGCAAGGTTAAGAAAATCAGAAAATAAATTAATCAATAATATAATACAGCCTTTTGTATGTTTTAAATTATTTTATAATTATAATAATGCTTAGTTTTTAGTTCTTACTCCCCCCCCCATCCTTGATCGAACGACTCGTCATCGTTCGATCAAGGATGGGGGTTTTAAAAAAAAAATTTTTTGGGTAAAAAAATTTATATATATATATAAAATAAAAAAAGTATGTTTTTTTTTTATACTTTTAATTAAGAGGGTTAAGAGTATTTAATAATTATTTTTACAGCAAAAAATTGAATTAATTTCATAAAATACCAATTTTAATATTTTTGATTTTTTGGTTACCCCTTTAAAACTTTATAAATTTTGATTTGTTCTTTATTGAATTTTTGATTTTTTTTTTTAAAATTTTAAAAAATCTCTATTTTATTTAGATTATTGAGTTTTTTTAAGCCTAGGTTGATGACTAAATCACTTCGAATGGTTGATTTCGTAGCTTTCTGTCGTCTCAAAGCCTCTGAAAACAATTTCATTAGGCACATTTCCCAAGCTTTTGATAACTATTATATTTTTATATATATAAAAATTTGCATGATATAAAATCGTTCGATCAAGGATGGGGGCTAATTTTCCCAATTTTTAGGAATTTTTACAGTCAATCGTTCAATCAAGGATGGGGGGGGAGTTAGTTAAGATTATTGATAAGCCCCTGCAGGAATGCTTCAGCCACTACTCGCCTTAATATCGCCCCACTGCTTGCTTACCAGTTAGAGCATGGTCTTTTACTGTGCTGCTCTCACGGACGACGAGTGCTTGCACTTGTACCTAGAGTAGAAGACTAGGCCGCTACACCGCACATTAAATGAAGTGTAGCTTCCAGAAAATTCAAATAATTGAAATTTCTGGTCAACAATCGCCAAGACATTAAATCAAAGCCAAAGACGCAACTCTTGATATCGCGCTAGGAAGAATTCCCGATTTACTAGAAGGCACCTAACTGGTCTTGCTGGGACTCCCTTTTCCAACTTTGGCCTTCTCCTCCTATGGGTAAAACCTTGGCCAAGATGTGAACTACGGACAGCCTAATCCGATATTGCATTCCACCAAGCCAAATAAAATCCTTCGAATACACCGTCCCGAACGCCATCCTCACTTCCACAAGGTTCCCTGCTTGCGCCGACTATAATATCTTTACTACAAAAATTAATTTTTCACTTTATTTTTTTTTAAACACTATATATTTTTTATTATTTAGCATAGTCTAATTATATATCTAGATAGAAAAAAGATTCGAACTGTGCACTTTTCCGGTAAAGTCTGGAAATAATCTGACAGGAGTTTTAGTTGTTGGACTGTGAGCAATTGTAATGCCTAAGATTCCCAGTTTGTTTTAACACATGCACTATCTTTGATTTTCCATGTAAATCATTTGACTTTAGCGAATTTCAAAAAAATGGTTACTATATATCAATACAAAATTCGAAATGTGCACTTTTCCGGTGAGGTGTGGAAATAATCTGATAGGAATTGAGTTGTTGGATATTGATTACTTGTAATGCTTTGCCACCCAGCTTATTTTTACATATGCACCATTATTCGATTTCACAATGGCATAGATTGCCTAAGACATTTTTACTTATAAATATATTATTATGAGTTTATAGAATTATTATTTTGCACAAAATGGCATTCGCACCAAAGTTGAAGTAATAATCCAAGGAACTTTGAAGCTTTGAACAGTTGTGGATGAGCATGAAGAGCATCTGGCGGCGCTAGAGTATCCTGAAGAATAACTGAAGGAAGAAGAAGGCACAGAATGAATTCTGAGAAGTAAACACAAAATTATATATGACACATTGGAGGAGCAAGCAGGTGGTGAATTGGATTTTGACTGCCACTTTAGTTTTACAAATTTGGACCAATGCTATTTTGCCACGAAATTCTCACTTTTAAGTTAAGGTAAGAAATAAGCTGTTTTAATTGTAAAATATACTTTGGCTTTATTTTGCCAAGCTTCATGCTAATTATCACCAATATTTTTATAATTAATTAAAATAAATTAAATAAACTCGATTAAGCTAATTTAAAATAAATGAGATTTTATTTTAGCCTGGATTATTCTCAAAATAAGGGGTCTGGTCTAGATATGAAGTCCATTATAACGGCTATTTCTTCGATGATGACGATTTATAAAATTTCATGAGCCATATATAATTATAATGATGCCTAAAGAGCTTCTAGAGGAATGGTGAGATGAGGAAATAAGTCAAAAATTTTCTATTTTACACTTTTTCGTTCGCAGAAATATAGCTATCTGCATGCTTATAATTCCAATTTTTGCTATATATGACCTAAATAGTTTGAGTCTCTGGCTTCAAATATTGATAGTCATGCTTTTTCAAGCAATATCTTGCATTTTAGCAGACTATATCAACACAAATGACACAAGTAAAAAAGCTTTATTCGCAGTATTTTACTCTGAGTTCTGCTGCTTTGGACTATTTTATCTTTCATATAACCAGATGAGAGCCCATGCAGCCCTTTTTGAAATGTTTTGTGCAATTCTTATGATGTCCTTTGAAATTCCTTTAATCCGATGCAGCTGAATAAAATATATAGTAGCAATCAAGCACGTGTTTATATGGCATTATATTGGCTATTTTAGAGATAGTATTGCTTATGATGGGAATATGATTCCTCTTTTTTTTGCTGTGATTTGTGTTTTTATGTACAATTACATGACAAATATGAGGTCAAAAAGTTCTATTGAAAGGTTTCTAAATAGAAAAGGAAAATCAAAAGCGAAGATGAGACTTAGTGTTATTGTTAATGCTTTTCCAGATGGGATCTTTATCATTTCTGATAATCTTGAAATTATGTATACAAATGACAATTTATTGAAACTACTTGATTGTGAGTCAGAAGAGTTTAGGCTTAGGATTATTAAATGTTAAGATCTCCTTACTTAGCTCTATGCCCATGGAAAGCCTTCGAATAATCATATTTAGCTGCGGGGTTTGTCAGCATTATTAATATATTGCTCAGCTCTATGATGGCTGCTGCTTCCAGTTAGAGATAAATTCTCTAGCTAGCATTGATACCAACTATACCCTCTTGGATGTACTTGTGGGAGTGCCTTTTGACACTTAATCTTCATTACCGGATGATAGAGGCAATTCCCAACCATAAAAGGTACAATAATAATGGTAGATCATGTTTTTGGCTTGGCTTTAGGCCCAGTCAAGGATTCCAAGCTCTAAGCATGTCCGGGAGAGAATTGATTGGTGATGTTGCCATTTTACTTGTGTGATGAGAAGAGTTAATTAGAATTATTTCTGAAATCACTTATTGTGATGGCAAAAAATATTCGACTTTATCAAACTCAAATTTATTGATCGAAGATTTACAAGCGATCTTCAGGCAAAACGATAGAAATGAATTTATGCTTGGCATTTCTTATTTTAAAGGCAACAATATTGAGTGAAAAGGACTAAAAATAATATGAGAAAACAAACAGGCATTAGCAATTATTGTAAGAGATGCAAATCATATAATTCAACTGGAGAGATCTATTTCTGATAGCAAGGTTAAAACGGTTATATTGAGATCAGTTTCTCATGAATTGAGAACTCCAATTAACGCCATTTCATTTCTTGTTGAGGATCTTCTGGAAAAGCAAAATGATAATATAAAGGAGGACTGAAAAGAAAAATTGAAAATTATTTCTATCTCTACAAAATTGCTGCTTACACTGGTTAATGATTTGCTTGATTATAGCAGGATGCTTTCTGGTGCGTTTTCAATTAGAAAATGTGAATGCGATTTAAGGAATATAATAGAAAATGCTTGAGAACTTATCAAATTGCAAGCACTGAAAAAAAATATTGATTTGATACTAAGAATTGATCCTACTCTTCCTGTTTATATATACAGTGATCCGTTGAGATTAAGCCAAGTTCTATTAAATCTTCTTACTCCCAGCGATAGATGACAAACAAAATACTCATGAATTTTTATAAATTAAAAATTATAAAATGCTTTTAAATGAACTAGGGCCTAAATAAAATATTGGACATAATCGTTTATTTCTTTCTAAATCTTTAAAATTATTCTAATTTATTAAAAATCATTAAGTTATTTCTTAATTGAGGAGGCGATATTAGTAATGCACTTAAATTCACATTGTGCGGATCAATAGAAGTTATATGTATCTCTACAATGTCAAACCAATTAAAAATTACAGTTAGAGACACTGGCATCGGAATCGACGAAAACCAAAAAAATAAATTATTCCAAGAATTCTGCTCAGAAGTCCTGCCTATTTTAAATCCCAACGGATGCGGCTTAGGCTTGCACATATCAAATAAAATCGTAAAAGAGCTTGGAGGAAATATTATCGAAGTCGAATCCAAAATTGGTCATGGATCTGCTTTTTCTTTCAATATAAACATGTTTCACAACAGCTTGCCTTATGAAATAGCATCAAATGACTACGATGATCTCTTAATGAGTGAAATGCCTAACCTTGAAATAGCGCTTACTCCCCCCCTCCGTGAGTGAACAAAAAAATTTTGTTAATTTTTTTTTTTAAAAAAATTTATATATAAATTATAAAAATAATTTTTTTTCGAAATTTAAAAAAAATCCTAATTCGCAAAAATTGGAAAGCAAATATTAATTTAATTTATAAAATTTATGTTTTAAAAAGCAACTTGTTTTAAAATTAAACAGAATTAGCTCTAGATTTCATTATAATAATTATCACTTATATATCCATAAAAAAATTTTTCTATTAAAAAAAATTTTTGTTCACTCTCTCGGAGGGTGGGTTTTTGGGCAAAAAAAAGCGATTTTTCTAATGGTTTTGTTTCACTCACGGAGGGGGGGAGTTAGTAAGTGTTTAATTATCAACAAAATTAATCTGCCTCAAATCCTGATCGCTGACGACAATGACTTCAATCGACTCATTCTCATATCATTATTATTGAAAAACGGAATCCCTGCGCTAGAAGCTTGCACAGGTAAACAAGCTGTTGACATAATTTTAAAACATAACGTAAAAGAGCATACCTCAATAAAAGTAATTATTATGGACGTAGAAATGCCACAGATGAATGGCTGGGTAGCTGCTCAAAAAATCCATGACATGCATTCTAAAGAAGAAATCAGATTTCTTCCAAATATAATTGGATATACTGCATATAATACAGATGAAGATATTTCTAATTGTTATAAAAGTGGCATGAAAGAATGCTTGATTAAGCCTTGCAGTTCAGAAAAAATAATTTCGACAATTTTGAAATACTCTTAAATTATGGTACTTTTAATAGCTTTGTAAAAAACTGTATATTATGCCTTATTGCAGCAACAAACTTACAATGCCAGCACATTTCTCTGAGCTGAGCATGAACGAGCTGCATTTAATATAATTTCTTTGTATTCAGAAGGAAGTTTCCATTGCTGTAGAGTTTCATTTGTATGTGCGATGATAAAACTATTTGTGGTATCTTCTTCGACTTTGGTTAATCTTGAAAGAGGAATTCTGCTTTCTAGTATGGATTTAGGTCCGAGAGTGTATATAGCTGCGTCTGTAAGAAGAAAGAAACAGCTTGATTTCTGGAAAAAGCCTGGATCTTTTGCTGTTGGCTCGAATATCAAAATTTGTTCACCTATATCCCCATTTTTCACAATCGCTTCTATAATTTTAGGGTTTTTTTCAAAGTTTTTTAGTGTAAAAAGCTCCTCATCTTTTCCCTTTTTCAGTAACTTCAGAGTTTTTTTTCATTCACCAATAATATTTCACGGTAAATATTCATTTTTCATCTCTAAAGCAAGCTGTTGGATCCCTTTAAGCAGATCTCCCATTCTTTCGCATTTTAAACATAAATAGCTTTTATCTTGTATTTTTCTCAAAAATTTAATGATGAGAACCTCTTTGCTTTTTGTCAGATGAAACGATTTTAAAATTTCAATAGGAATCCTCTGAATAAGTTTCAGATGGTTCTTGAGATCTAAGACATACACAGCACAGGTGGTAAACATCAATAGCCTCTCGAATTCATCTTTATGAGTAACCTCAATAATATGCAAAAACCCATCAAGCTCTTCAGCTCTTTCCCCGTTGCACATAGGTTTGCAACTATCTAGGATATCAGCTACTGCTGATTTCTGGTCACGGTTAAGATCAGCTACTGAGTCAAACTCGTATTCTAAGCATTCCTCAAAATTTTCTGGTGATTTTGATTCAACGCTTTTTGGCTCATAATCTGTGGTTTTCGCTTCAGATTTTTCTTCATGTTTTGGCCAGTTTAAAGGGCCTACATATCGGTCCCAAAATGATTTTGGTTCATCATGTGAGATATCTATTTTCTTCTCGTCTTTATTGATCTCATAAGATGACCCATGCGAGTCTTTAGAGTGAGTTCTTCCACTGCAACAGACGTTTCCCATTAAAATTAATTTAAATTCCTAAATTGTCTATCTAAAGAATTGGCGAGTTGGGCTTGAAATTGTGCACTCATCACATCGTTTTGCCCTGCCTGGAATTAGAGGACCTCGGGGTGTATATTTTTTGCCGCATTGAATGCATGGAACCATGTCACTGTATCCTGCAAAGCCGAGATTCCAAGGCATTGGATCTATCCAGAGTGTATGAAGGGTGATGTATTGGCTTGAAACTGCGCTTTTAAATTCTTCAAAAGACATTTTCCCATCTTTATCTCTATCAAATATATCAAAAATTCCTCGAACTTGACTAGCAATTTCATCATCTGTAAGAGCCAGACTTTTTGAGGCACTTGCTGATTTAAGTAAATTAAAAAGTTCATCTCTTTCAATAGCACTGTTACCATTTAAATCATGAGCTCTAAATGCAAACCAAAGCCTTTGCTCAATTGTTCCATTTCTAAGCACATTTAGTCCTATTATGAAATTTTTATAGTCTACGTATCCAGTCCTTTCCAAGTCTAGCGCATTGAAAATTTCTGCTGTGATCCCAATAGCCCTAGGGAATATTTTTCTTATTATTTCTGAAAAGTCCTGAAAAGTAACTTTGCATTCCTGTCCTCCTTTTTTTATTGAATAATTGAAAAACTCATTGTAAATAGATTCGAGGTCTTGAATTGAAATATTGAATTTATTTTGAAGATCTCTAATGACAGCTTCTTTTCCATACTGCACAGAAGTGCGATCTAGCTGTGAGATCCAATCGTATCTTCCAGGACATAAATAGAAACTTACTGGTTATCCCTGAAAAATTGGGGAGTTGATAGTTGTAGCCTGAAACAATTAGCTTGATTTCTGCATAAGGTAAGATAAGAGGAGATGGTATTGGCTTTTGTAGAGACTGTAAAGACTTAAGATATTCTTCAAAGCTTTGCTGGACTGATAAGAAAACTGCGTGTTGGAGGACTTCTTGGTTGTTGATAGTAATTTTGTCACCTCTTGAGTCAATAAATTCAAGGTTTTTGTCAAATCCATAAGCATTGCTGATCTAAATATAATTTACCATGCGTTTTAGTGTGAAGTAGTTTAGGTCATCTTTTTTGAGATTCTGCAGAAGACGGTTATCACCGTTAGGATATCCGTCAGCTTCCATACATTTTATGTGCTAAATAAGCTATACATAGGTTTGAACACAATTCAATATAGTTTCTGCAGTTATTTGGTTTTGAACAAGAAGAAAATAGTTGGCTTGGTGAAGATGAGTTTTAAAGAACGTTAGCACATTGGTCAAATAGTCAACTATAAGTCTGCTGCGGTCATCTCTGTATGCTTGATATATCTTGATGAACTTTTCGAGAAGTCCAGATAAGCTTGCTTCAAGCTAATTTGAAATTACATTCACTTCTCCATGATTTACTTGATATAGGTCGTGGCTTCCTTTTTTTACTTCTTCAATCAAGATTTTCACAACCTCAAAAAGCTTTGTCGCTTCATCCTGTGTAAAATATTGAGCAAAAATGTTCGACATGTTTAGATCACCTGTCGGCCAGCCCAAAATCAAAAATTTTTCAAGGACTTGGACACAGTCATGGAGGAACGCAAAGTTGTAGGTGACACAATTGACTCCATATATATTATAGATAATTGGAGAAATCTCTCTAAAGCACATAAGATGCTGAAATATTGTGCGGATAACTCCTGTCCGAGCCATATCTCTAATTATTGGTTACTCTACTGCCATTCTTGAGTTTGATTCTATCATCATCTTAATGATCCTCACAGCTTCCCATCTGACTTCAGGGTCTGACGCTATTAAATACTGGAGATGTGAGCTGAGTCTTGAAAGATTGACGATTTCCCATGTATAGCCTTTTTGTATCAGATATCTCATCACATTACAAGTATCAAGCTTTACCAACGAATCTCCAGAATTAAATAATAAGTCACTTAGTCTCGCAAATAGACCAGCTTCAGCTAACAATTGGCACTGTCCTGCATTAACCCATATAATGTTTCTAATTGTTTGCAAAGCTGCTCTTTTTACACTTATTTTTGGATTCGATAACAAAGCAACTAATCGGTCTAAAAATCTTCTATTAAATTCATCAATAGCAAGAAACGGCAAAACAAATGAGAGTGCAATTAAGCTGTTCGTCAAAAGATTTTCTTCTTCTTGGACTTGGAAAAGCTGTACAATAACATCTGCAATTTCTACAAGCTCCTGTTGACGGAATGAAGGCTTTGCATATTCTCGAGGCATGGTAGCGCCACATAGGATGGAAAGAACCCAAGCAGCCCTTACAATTGTGGTCAAGTCAACTGTGAACATTGAAGTCCCTCTCATTAGGATTCTTAATATCAAAGGCAAAGCTCCTAACGACAAAATATAATCTCTTATATCGAAATCATGCCTAGACATAAAGCCAATTGCTAAAAGAGCTTGGTCTCTTACCTCTATGCACTCACTCTCACATAATTCAAGGATTTTAGGAACACTTCCAGTCTGCATTATAAGCTTCTTTGTAAATTTTTGGCATGGATGCAGATAAAATGCTTCAGGGAGTTCTGGGATTCTTGGACCTGGGGCAAAAAAGGTAATAATTTTTAAGGCTTCCCATTGGATATTTTTGGAGGTATCAAAATTCAAGCATTGTAAGCATCTTATTATCACATTGTGGTTTATAAGCTGCTCAAATAGCTTCAAAAGATATGGGCTGATTTTCATCCTATCATTTGGGGTTTGGTAAACTGCGAGAACTCCAAGCATATCTCTGATGTTCTGCAGCCCAGAAAGAATAATATCTACATCTGTATGAAAGATCTGCTCAACCAGCTTCAAGAATTGCATGTCATCTATTAATTTCTGAGAAACCTCGTTATAATAAGTCTGCTTTTCAATTTCTGTGAAAACTTGCCCTTCTCCTAAATAATCCCACGTTTCAGTGCGATTTTCCAAACTATCAGTAGGCAATAAATTAAACTCAAAGGTTTTATGATTTAGTGAGAATAACTGAGCCATTGCTTTGTGAAGAGCTTCTCTTTCAGAAATGGTATTTGGGAGATCGGTTCTCAGCTTTGATCTGACAGCTCCATGCTCGTGCAGCCACTTGCAAACGTATTCTAAAAAGTCATCCCAAGTGACCTGGCCGTCACGGTTTGAATCGAGCTGAGTATGTAAAAAATAGGCTTCTTCAGCTGTGATGTTTATATCATGGGTAAGGGCTGTAGCTATTTGTCTTATTTTGTCCATAGTTAGGAAGCCTGAGCCATCAGTGTCAACCATTACGAAAACTCGATGAATTTCTTCAATCTCTTCTTGAGATAAAAGACCTTGATGCAATATTGATTGCTCGACCATTTTATTTTAGTCATTTCGTTAATGATCTCGTTTGTATAAACTCCACAGTGATTAATTCTTACAAATTTTTATCATTTCATGACATTAGTTTTGAACTGTTTTTGATAATATTAATTTCTCCTTAATTTCATGTGAAAATATTTCAAGGCGCATGCTAAATCTTTTTAGTCAGTAAATAGTGGATTTATTATCAAAATTGTTTTTCTAATTATTTTGAAGATGCTTTTTAAGAAAAAATTAAGTCAAAATTTTCTATTTTTTAAAAAAATAGCAAAAACATCTTACAATTAATTTAAATTTCCTTTAATTTTATCTTTAATTACTTACTATTTTCAGCTCTAGAACTCTCTCAATTTTCATAGTCATTTAAAATAACTCTCTATTCGGCGACACTTCATCTGCAAATACTCCTTTAGCAAGCTGCAGCTGCAATGCATAATTCTTAATCTTCTCCTGTCTCAGCTGCTCTCTCAGCTCTTCACACGCTTTTTCCTTTTCAGCAGCTAATTTCAATTTTTTATGCAGCTTGAGCACAGTCTTTTTCAATGTGGCTGCATCTCGCTTTTGGCTTTCAAACTGGCTTTCAAGCTGATTGTGTTCTTGCCTCAGCGCGGATAGATACATATTTGAAGTGTGTTCAGTGTGGCGCTTTAAATACATGAACGCTGTTTGAATTGCTGCGTTCTCAGATCCACTCTGGATTAGATCGTTAATTAGACCTGCAGAATGGGTAGAAGTAGCTTGCTCAATTGATTTTTCTAACTCGAGCTTCTGAATGAAGGAAATGCTGGCTTCAAAACAGTTTGAAGTCTGGTCTAAAACATAGGAAAGGTCCTCTCTTCTTCTATTGGGGAAAAGATTGTGAAGACGGGTGAGGTTTTCGCTCTTGGAGGGAGTGACGAGCTCTACTACTTGTGGAATTTGACCATTTGTAGACCTGCAAATTCGTTTAGCGGAGAGGTCTTCAGCGTCTTGTTCGATTCTCAGTCTTTTTCCGATTTCAATAGCCATATTATAAACTTTTGAATAGGAATTAATTATATGATGCTAGGCTAGTTAAACAGCCTGACGCTGCCGAATGAGCCTTATGACTAACTTTTTCCTGTGCTTCCATAATTTCTCTTTTTTCCCCTTAATTTTCGTCGATTCCTTTCGCCTCAGTCTTCAATTCCATTAGCTTTGCTAAGGTATTTAAATAAAAATCACTATTTAAATAAATTGATAATTTATTAAATCCAAACTTTTATCAAAATTAATCATAAATTAATTTTTTATTTAAGATAAAAACATCTATTGGGTTACTCTCATGGCTTTATATCCATATATCTATATTAAATTTATTAGTTAAACCTATTGCATACATTAACCAGGAATAGCTATCTTATAACTGGTGATTGCAATATGAAATAATGAAAATTTGTTGTATATATTAATTTATTTAAATTCAATCAAGAAATTATTAAACCCAATTTTTAAGCTATTTTTTTAGCTTTATTTAGCCGTCTATGAGGTTCTGATCTTTCTTTCCTTTATAAGTCTATACTTCTTCGCGAGTCTCTCAAGTTGGCCAGATTTTTTGATGTAATCATAGAATTCAGGTTCAGAATCAGGGTCATACAATAAATTCTTAATGACAGCTCGACGTCTTAGATGCAACTCCATGAATGTCTCTCCAACATAAAGAACGTGATCAACCCCTCTTCTATAGCCACGATATACGGAAAGGGAGAATGGGATCAATCCAACAAAAATTCTTGCTCCAATAGGATATCCACGCCATGCTGGCAAAAGTGCAAATAAAGAGCCCCATGCAGCTCCAGCAACAAGTCCAAGTTTCATCTCGTCGTCTCTGACAATGAAAGATTTTTTGAGTTTGTCATCTACAACTGGATCACCTGACAAGAAGAAATATGAGAAAGCTTCAAGCATTTTGGTTTGCTTCCAATTAGAAATAAATTTCCCAATAATTGGGAGGTCATTTCCCTCCCTAAGTTCTGTGGTTTCCAGAATATTACCATACTTTTCCACTAAAGGTTCTCTTTCTTGCCGTAGCTTCTCTAGCTGCTTTGGTGTAAATTGATTGACTGCCATTTATTAGCACCATAATCAATAATTTTAGAATGAACGAATCTATTTAAAGAAGAATCATAGCATCCGCTATAAATTATTGCTAGATTTAAATTGTTATGAAATTTAAAAATCATTTTAATCTCTAAATTTTAATTATTAAAATCTTCATCTATTGATAATCAAATCTTCATTTTGGTTTAGCAGCCGCTTTCTCTGTACGCCTATTTCTTTTAAACCCTCCTGCAAGCCTCTCTAATTTCCTGCTGCCCATCTGGCATTTATTCAGTCTCCTATATTAAATTAATATCAATTTTCTTTCATCTGTCTTCTGAAATAGGACAAAAAGCATGATTAAGAGGAATGCATTAAGTTACATCAGAAAAAATCTTCCTTTTTATTATTCTAACATTGACTTCCTATCAATAGGACACCTTGCATTTTGCTTAAGCCAAATATCGATGCACGCTTTATGATAAACGTGGCCGCACGTCAGTGTTCTCACCATTTCTTCTCTCTTGATGTCAATCATACAAATGGGGCAAGTTATACGGCTTTTCCTCAACAATAAATAAGTAGGACTGCTGTCTTCAATCTCATATTCAAATTCTCTTGCTCTGTGCTGGGTAAATGAATTAATCCGATGTGTTGAAATCCCACTTGGCCACTTCTCATTACGTTCAAAATCTTCATGGAATCGCAGGTACATTTTTACTTTGCTTTCGTAGGTCTCGTTCTGGTCAGGGATATATCGTTGGGGACAACTCAATTGAAATTCATTTTGATTGTTGGCTCGGCTCAGAATAGCATTCAAAATATTTGGCTGACTCATAATATTCACCCAAAAAATTATAAAATTAATAAAAAATGAGATTTTATGATAGCAATATTAGCCCCTGATAGTAGTTGAAAGAAGCGCAGAAAACTGAAATGCTAACTCCCCGCCCACTGTGAACAAACAAAACAATTTTATTCGCTCACGGAGGGTGTTAGAAAAATTATATATAAATTTATAATAAATTATTTTTTCAAAATTCTAAAAATCCGTATTCGAAATAATTGTAAAACAAATGTTAGTTTAATTTGTGAAATTTTTGTTTTAAAATGCACACTATTTAAAATTAAACAGAATTAGTTTAGAAATTTCGTTATATTATATATAATCCCTTGGCTAAATTTCTTATTACCGTTATACGTGCCATTTTCATATGAAATTTCAATTATGAATTTGCCGCACTGAAATGTGCGTTTTGAAACTTATATTTGATTTCCACATACCAAATTCAAAATGGCATGCATATGAATGATGAGAAATAAATGCAACGAACTATATCACTTATATATCGATTAAAATATTTTATATTAAAAAAATTTTTTGCTCTGGATTTTACCCAAAAAATAGGGATTTTCTGATGCATTTGCTCACTTAAGGAGGGGTAAGTAGATCTAGCTAATTTTGATTGCTATTACGGTTTTATGAAATCTATTATTAATATTTAGCTTATTATCATATAAAAAAGCAAGTAGCAGCTGCAATATTCTTAAATACTTTACTGTCAAATTTAATTACTAATTATAAGCCAATTGTATTTCTATATTTATATGCATCTCGATTTAAAGCACTTATTCCTCGATTCTATGAAGAGCTTATATCTTAGCATTGCTGCGTTTAATTTTCTATTAAGGACTTTATCTAAATCTATACTCTAAAGTTAAATTATAGTTTAGGAGATGGGCTTCTAAGCGCTCTTCTTAAGTTTTCTTCGATAGCAGTAATGAAATCTTGTGTGTTAAGCCAATGCTCTCTTCTCATGTTGCTGCCATGAATGCACAAAGCCAGATCCTTCGTCATCTTTCCGCCCTCAACTGTCTGTATCACTACTCTCTCAAGCATGTCACAGAAATGCTTCAATTGCAAATTATTATCAAGCTGCGCCCTATATGCCAAGCCTCTAGTCCAAGCAAAAATACTAGCAATTGGGTTTGTCGAGGTTTCTCTTCCTTTTTGATGTTCTCTATAATGTCTCGTTATAGTTCCATGTGCTGCCTCAGATTCCAAAGCCCCTGTAGGTGACGTCAAAACACTTGTCATTAATCCAAGCGAACCATACCCTTGCGCTACAATGTCGCTTTGAACATCTCCATCATAATTCTTGCAAGCCCACAAAAAGCCTCCAGAGCTTTTAATAGTTTGTGCAACCATATCGTCAATAAGTCTATGCTCATATATCAGTCCTGCAGAGTCAAATCTTGCCTTGTATTCTTGCAGATAAATTCTTTCAAAGATGTCTTTAAATCTGCCATCATATTTCTTAAGAATTGTATTTTTGCTGCTGAAATAAAGCGGATATTTCCTTTCAAGGGCGTAATCAAAGCAAGCTCTGGCAAATTCTTGTATTGACTCGTCTGTGTTGTACATTCCCATTACAATACCAGGAGACTTAAAATCGAAAATTTCATGGGTTTGAGCAGGGCCATTTTTAGGGGTGACTACAAGTTGGACCTTGGCAGGGCTTGCAATTACAAGATCAGTCGCTCTGTATTGGTCAGCATGTGCATGCCTGCCAATTACAATGGGTTTTGTCCAGCCTGGGACCAATCTCGGGATGTTTTTCATGATGATTGGCTCTCTGAAGACTGTGCCTCTAAGTTCATTTCTGATGGTGCCATTTGGGGACTTCCACATCTTTTTCAGCTTGAACTCTTCAACTCTTTGTTCGTCAGGGGTTATCGTTGCACATTTGATTCCGACTTTGCATTGAAGTATTGCCCTTGCAGATTCTAATGTCACATTATCATCTGTCGCGTCTCTGTTTTCCATACCTAAGTCAAAATATAAAATTGGTAGGTCAACGAAAGGAAGAATAAGTTTTTCTTTGATCAGATGCCAGATGATTCGTGCCATTTCATCTCCATCGAGCTCAGCAACAGGATTCCTGACTTGAATTTTCTGGACCTCCATTTTATCAACAAGGATCAGGAATATTTTTTTAGGAATTAGAAAGGATTTAGCTTGCTGCAACAATAGAAAGCTGAAAAATGCTTTTAATTGGAAAAAATTAGTTGGCAAATTATAATTTGAGCAAATAGTCAAGCCTTTTAGCATTTTTATAAATAATAATTAAGGTTAGCTTGATTAATTTAATAAAAGTCGAGATTTAGAGGTATAGGGTTAATTAAATATTTAAAACATCAGCAGATTTAACCGAATAAATCAAAGCCAAAATCATCAACTTCCTCCTGTGCTGGATTTTCAATTCTTACTTCTTCCAACCTATTTTCCTCTTCATTAGCATCTTCTTCGTTAGCATCAAATAAGTTTGCGAAAAATACTTCTTCATGAGCTTCCTCATTTTCAGCAAGAATTTCATCCCCTTCTTCAGCAAACATATTTGGAACATAGAACACCTCAGGATTGTGATTATGTACATGGTTAACTCTAGGTCGAGGTCTGTTAACTCTTTGAGGTGCAGCTTGTGGAGCTTGCTGTGGAACTTGCTGTGGAACTTGCTGCGGAACTTGAGCTGGCTCTGGCTGAACAAGATCTTCTCCTTCTTCTTTGAACCAGTCTGGATTAAAAGGCTCAATATCTACGTCGCCTTCTACACCTGGTCTTTTAATTAAATGCTTATGTCTTGCATCATTATAATGTGGCCAGTGGTTGTAAGGAACATAAGGGTCAGGAATACCCTGAAGAGTATTGCAAGTATTTCCAAAAGGACCCTCAGTCTTATAGTGATTCCAGTGCAAATCTTCGCATAAAATCTTACCACACTGATAACAAAACGGAAATTGGCCTTGGCACATTGGAGATTCGCATGGAATAAAGTTGCAGCCATCAATTCTCTCAACAGGGACACCACAGCATGGGCACTGTTTCCATTCCATGCTGCCAAGCACATCTTGAAGCTCATTATCTTTTTCATGGTTTTCACATTCGACGCCAGGATGAACATCACCTTTGCATTTTAAGCAAAAAACTCTCTTGCAAGCATTACAAGCCCCATTAGGCACATTTTCAATAATGTGTGCAAAACCTACGCAGTCTGGCTTAACACACCAAACAGCCAAATTCTGGCTGACAAGGTCAAGACCGATTTTTCTTTGCTTAAATTTGTTGTATCGTGCAATTTCTTCTTCTGCTAATAGTGACAAGACAAAATCTTCTTTTAAATCGATATTGCAGTCTGGGCATTTATTTTCCAAAACGGATGAATTTAGGTTATTTGTGATGATTGCAATGACACAAGCTTTGCAAAACTTGTGGGTGCATTCTAGTGTAAGTGGGTCTTGTTCTTCACAGTAGCAGACTCTGCATAGGTTTTCTATTGGGACGACTGGAACTGGAATTGGCTCTTGATGAGCCTTGACTTCAGTGAGGATTTCAGAAATCTCGGCCAAAAGCTTTGGAAGTTCTGCACTGAAACCTTTCTGTAACATTGGAAGCTGAAACTCAGCTTCGTTGAAATCTGAAAATTGTTCATAAACAAGATCGATTTTTGGTATGTAATTGCTATGCACTAACATATTTCTGATACCATATTGACTACTATTAATTTTTTAAAACTGAACAGCCAATAAGATTTAAGATAGGAGACAAATTCTGATGAAGAAAATGGCAGCTTGGGACCCTATGATTTCTGAATTTTTTTACGCGCTAAAACTGTTTCATTTCTAATAAAATTTTTCGAATATTATTATATTTTGCATTTGTTTTAGTATAGTCTATCACTTTTGTACATTATAAATATTTAGAAATCTTATATGATTAAATTTATGGTTTTTTGTTGGATAATTTAAAATATAGTTAAAGCTTATCAAATAAGATAGAAATAATTTGTAGTTTTAATAATCTTATACAGAATGTTTCATATAGATTAAAAAGAAAGCTATCAAGGATATTATTGATTATCTATATAACTTCTAACTCCCCCCCCTCCGTGAGTGAACAAAAAATTTTTGTTCACTCACGGAGGGGGTTAATTTTTTTATTTTAAAAAAATTTATATATAAATTTTCTAAAAATTTTTTTTTTCGAAATTTAAAAAAATCCTAATTCGCAAAAATTGGAAAGCAAATATTAATTTAATTTATAGAATTTATGTTTTAAAAAGCAATTCGTTCAAAATTAAATAGAATTAGCTCTAGATTTCATCATCCTAATTATCATTTATATATCACAATTTTTTTCCATAAAAAATTTGTTCTATTAAAAAAATTTTTGTTCACTCACGGAGGGTGGGTTTTTGGGCAAAAAATAGGGATTTTTCTAATGGTTTTGTTCACTCACGGAGGGGGGAGTAAAAGATAAAAGAAAATTTAATAATAAATGTGCAAAGCATTGAGTTTTAAATTTTGAAGTGATATTATAATTTCTGGTTCTAAATCTTCTAAAATTTACCCTATTATAAAATTAAACTTCATCATAATTATTTTAATTTAAGTCTTATTTCATTAATTATCGATATATCGATTAGCAAGACAAATAATATATATAGCCCAGGAGCGATTTTTGATCGCCCTGGGCTATGATAAAGCTCAGAAACTCCCCGAGTTGGTTTTTTTTTCAACTCAAGTTGACAAACCAACTCGGGGATTTGGCAAATACCTTTTATGAGAGGCCCTTTGTCAGCACCCCGAGCTGGTTTGTCAACTTGAGTTGAAAAACCAATTCGGGAGTTCCTGAGCCTTATCATAGTCCAGGGCGATCAAAAATCGCTCCTGGGCTATATCTGAGCTCAATATTATCAATCTTTTCTAGATTTTGCCGATTTAAAAGTTTTAAAATTTTATAATAAAGACATCAATATAATATTTATTCAATATTTCTACTTTTCCTCGATGCTGCACTTTGCGTTCGTTTCCCTTTAAGTCCTCTTCCAAGTTTTTCCGTTCTAATTAATTGTTCTCTTTTAGCTTTATCTTTGTCTCCCAGCTTATCCTCAATCTCTTCATCAATTCCTTCATCTGAGAGCTCCTCTTCTTCACGGGTTTGCATCTTAACCCTACAATTATTAGTATTCCCTCTTTCTAAAAATCCTTTTGAACTGCTGAGCTCAGGAATTGAATAAATCGCTTGCAAAACTGACACATTTCTTTGCGCGGTATCAGTGAGTTTCGAAATCAGGCTACCTTCCTTTTCAAAGAGCCTGAAAACATCAGAAGTCTTCACCTGTCCATAAATTCTTTTATACATTAAAACGATGGCGAACCAACCTCTTAAAACATATAGATGGCATTATCGTTGGGAGAATCGGAAGCTTGTAAGAGGTAAGATGATTCTCGGGAATGTGCCTATAAGTTTTTTATGGAATCAAGGAGTGAAGTGTCAGATTAAACCAGTTTTTAACCGATTGGAGATAAAGCTAAAGCGGACCCAGCAGTGCTGATACCAGCGTTGCTTCCTGGGCTTTGAGTCTTCAGGTGGCCAGAAAATTTGATTTGTAAATTTTCTGGAAGCTAACCCCTTTTTGACTCTCGGGCAGAGAATTAAGCCCTCATCGTGAGAAACAAAAAAGTAGAAAGTGGTTTCCAGGCTGGCAAGCAAACAGTAGAGTAATAATGAACGAAAGTAGTGGCTCTTAGGCCTGCAGGGATCTCTCTATTACTAATTAACTAACCCATAAATAGTTATCATCTTCTGCTTGATCTGCACCAGAGCTTCTATCAAATTATCATCGGTAACAGGTATATTAGCTTGCCCTTCTATTTTTACTCCTTCTACTAGGTCAAAAATATGTTCAACACCTGCTTTAACATTGGTTAGAATGCTCATTAGCCTTTGAAACTTGGCTTTATTTTTATCATATTTCCCTGATGCTTTATTTACATCTTCTTCAAGATCATCAAAATGTTTTCTGCTTTCAGTTTCACTGACAGCTGAATACTTTAAAGAGTCAACAAGCTTTTTAAGCTCTTGTTTTTGCTTGCTTAAATGTTCCAGTTTCTTCTGGTGCTCACTTCTTAAGCTTTCAAGGTTCGCTGCAGTGTCTTCTTGGGTCATGAATTTTTGGATGACTTCGTTCACGTCAGTGACTCCAGTTGATTCTTTTATCCTTCTAAAAGCATCTTCATAGTCTTTAATTTTTTGCTTTTCTTCACGAGCTTGCTGATGGTGAAATGCCTCGTTGGCGATTCCTGCTGAAAGCCTACTCATGAACCCTTTAGATTCCTGCTCATCTTTTCCAGCTTTCTTGCGCTCTGCGATTTCTAGCTTTTGCGTCATTTCAATTCTTTGAGTGACTTCGTCTTTTTTTTCTTCAACGTTTTTTTCTCTTGTCATTCTTTCAACAGTTATTTGGGCTTCAAATCTGCAAAGCTCAGCTTCTGAAGTTTCTTTGGCGTGGTCTGCATCATGGCTTAGCAGTAAAAGCTCTTCAAAATCGTGCTCTTTTCCTTTTAGTGATCTTTCAATAGCTGCCAGCTGATTGTCATAAGCAACTCTTTCTTCTTTTAGTTGTTTAACGATTTGCTCATAGGTTTTTCTGATACTTTGGGCTTCATTGTATTTTATCATTGCTTTGTCTAAGCGGTTTTCTAAAATTCTGATTTGCCTCATTTGAGGGGCATCTTCATTTAGCATATTTCCTTTTTGGTCAGAGTTCATTTCTTTAAGCTTATCTTGTAGGATTTTAAGTTGGCTTTCTTTATCAGTTCCAAATCCTTTAAGCTGATCAAGCCTTCGTCGCATTTTTATGCCTTCAACAGTTTCATCTGACTGAAGTAAAGTTCCAGCAGATGTGGGCTGCTTTGCTGAAGCTTTAAGCTGAGCACGGAGTTCTTTATGCTCTTTTTGAAGCTGAATGATAGTTTCTTCATTTTGTTTTCGAGTCAAATTGAGATTTTCTATTGCTTTTTTGCGCTCGGCTTCCAAGTAACTTAGTCCGTTCCCATCAAAGAATTTGACAAATTTTCATTTTTGGATAAATTGATCCTCTTTTAATTAAAACTTTTCTAATTTTTTATATGCAAAATAATTATTTTTATGTAAATAGCTTTGCTCTAATTTGACTATAAATTACTCTATGTTTAATATAAGGAAATAGAAAAAAAGTTAGCAATTGAAATTGATAAAATTTATATAAATATTTTACTTACTACTCCCCCCCCCCCCTCCGTGAGCGAACAAAACCATTAGAAAAATCGCCCATTTTTTGACCAAAAACCCACCCTCCGTGAGTGAACAAAATTTTTTTTAATAGAAAAAATTTTAATGGAAAAAATTTTGATATATAAGTGATAATTAGTATAATGAAATCTAGAGCTAATTCTGTTTAATTTTAAACAAATTGCGTTTTTAAAACATAAATTTTGCAAATTAAATTAATATTTGCTTCCCAATTTTTGCAAATTAGGATTTTTTTAAATTTCGAAAAAAATATTTTTTATAAAAATTTATATATAAATTTTTTTGTTCGCTCACGGAGGGGGGGGGGGAGTTAAAATATTTTGTTTTGCTAAAGAAAAAGATTTTTGTTCGAATTAAATGAAAATTTAAAAATTAAATTAAATTGTTAAATTAGCCATAAGCGGGAAACCCACTAGCCTTTGCACCATCTCAGCTCCAGAAATAACAGCTCTATAGACTTCTAAGCTCACATGAGGAAAAGGAAGGACACTATTTTAGATTTCCGACCTGAACCACCTTTCCAAGGGATCAGCTTCCTTGGGCAGAGCCACCATCTGTAGAGTGCCCCTATTGCCCCAACAGAGAAGGCTATGTGGTAGGCAAAGGCTATGTGGTAGGCAAAAGGCTATGTGGTAGGCAAAGCCTATCAAGCCCATCTGGCAGGGGACAGGAAAATCTCCCTGTAGAAAAAAAAACACTCTGTTTCTGCAGGCTTCACTTTGAGATGGCCTACTTCCCCCACGAAGAGCATCTTTCTCCACCTATCGCGCCGGTCTACCGCTCTATCAGGAGGTGTCGCCTCTGAGTCTTATTTCTGCCAATGCCATTATTTATTTCTTAAATTTAATGAGGGGGTTACTCTTTTTTGCAATTCTTCGAGCTCATCTTCTGGAGCTCCTGATTTTTCGTTTCTTGAAGGGGATCGATCCATTAAAGTATTTATATTAGAGTTTCATAAAGTTTAAATTCTTTTATTAACTAAATACTCTTAATATTTAATAAAATGCTATTAAATTACTAATAAGCATTGATAAATCATATTAATGCCTTATTTAAACTCTATTTTCAAGCCCTTCCACATTTGTCGATGTTATAAGAATAGAAGCATCTTCAATATCATTAGGTTCTATATAAAAATTACTATCAAAAATCATGCAAAAGGCTTCAAAATTGATTGGTTCATTTTCGCTTAGCCCGAGGTCACAAAACATATTTTTGATATCTTTATCAGTAAGCTTCCACCCAGCCCTACTCATGGCTACTTTCAGCTTTTCTTTTGTAATCGCTCCTTCATCATGAATATCAAAACTTTTAAACGCTAGTCACAAAGCATCCTTATTTTGAAGGAGTTTTTTGTCCATCGTCGCAGCAAGGAAATCCGAGTAATTTAGCATCCCTGCTTCAGTCTGATCCAACCCCTTAATCAGATCTACATAAAGTTTACCCTCAACGTCCTCATCACTCAAATTAATCCCAACTTTTTTCAACCCTGCTTGCAAATCATTAGCTGTAATACGTCCTGTGTGCTGTGTGTCAAGCTCTCTAAAAATCTCATTCAATTCTTCAATTTCATTGATTTTTAAATAACGAATACAGACATGCATTGTTTCTCGTATCAGCTGGTTTGCTTTGTTCCTTTGCCTTAAGCGCTGCATCACCTTTCGATGTATTTTTTGAGTTGTATGGCTAGTCCTCAGTTCAAATCACGAATGGTTAAGGGCTTCTTTTGAAGTGATTCTCAGTCTTGTCCTTGGCTCCAGCAGCCTTTTCAAAAGATCTTTGGCTTCACTTGAAAGCGTATCCCAATCTTCTCCTTCATGAGGGTACTTACAGCTTGCAATTTTTTTATAAATAGACGCATCTGAGTTTCCTTCAAAAGGAGCTCTTCCTAACAGCAGCATATACATGATAACCCCAATGCTCCATTCGTCGCACTCAGCTCCGTACTTATCATTCAAAACTTCAGGTGCCACATAGTAGGTACTCCCAACAATAGTGTTCTGCCCAGCTTTATCACTCTCTAGCTTTTTGGCAAGGCCAAAGTCTATAATCTTGATTTCAGCGTCTTCACTTTTGGAGCTCAGCATGATATTTTCAGGCTTCAAATCTCTATGAATTATATTAAGACTATGCAGATGGCTAATTGCGCTCATTATGCAATAAATAATTTTCGCTGCATCTGCTTCTTTATACCTATGCCTCTTCATCAGCTGCTCAAACAGCTCTCCTCCTGCACAATGCTCCATAACCATATAGATATACTTGTCATCTTCATAGACTTCGTATAATTTTACTATATTTGGGTGGTTAACTGTCATTAGTAAAGAAAGCTCTCTCTGCAAAAGATGATTTTGGTGGAAAATCGTGCGCTTTTCAATGCACTTTATAGCATACTCTTGCGAATCTTTAGTGTCTTTTCTTACAGCTCTGTTAACGGACCCAAAATGCCCTGTACCTAGTATTCTAATTTCCCATGGATGGCGCTATTTTGACCTTGATTTTCCCACTGGAAAAATTTTTTGGTTTGACCAACCATATGGTACTTGTCGAACCAAAAAATTTCCCAGTGGGAAAATCAAGGCCAAAACAGCGCCATCCACGGAAATTGCAATAACTCTTGAATGTCATAGAATTTATGAATGTCTAAAATTAGGGTTACTCTCGTTAATTATTTTGATGCCAGCTTCTTCGCCAACTGTTTTCTTGCTAGGCAAGGTCTTTCTGATTGGTTTCTTTTTTTTATCTTCTGAAATGCAGCATCCCATTTTAGTATAAAGCTAGTTATTCTAATAAATTACTCAGGCACGAAATTAGGGTTTTTCTTTAAAATGATGAAGTTTTCTAACACCTCTGCATAAGGGATGTACTCTTCGGTGGCTAGTTCTGCACGCTCACCATATGCAAGGAGGACAGGAGTTGTGTGTGTCTGGAAACCTGTAATTGTGCGGGGGTTTCCGGCCTGTCCTACAGTATCAACAGCTTGGCCGACTCGAACTTGGACTGAAAGAGGCTGGAGGTTTTCATCAAGGGTTACCAGCATTCTTGGGTAAATTGCGCAGGCTAAGTAAAAGAGAAGATATTGCCCATGACCCTGGATTAGCTGATCTGTGTTTAACATTGTGTGGAGGACTGTCAAAATTCCTCCTAACGCAACTGGAGATAATAAATATCTTTCAGAATGATAAGGATCGAGCGTCATAAGTCCTTTCCCCATATGTAAAAGCCCTTGAGCAATTCTAACCATGAAAAGCTGGTTATCTTCATTAGCATAAAACCCTGCAAGCTGTCTCAAAGTTCCTGCAAGTCTTGAATTATTTGTCCCAGCCCCGACCATTCCAATTGCAAATATTGCAGCTTGAGCCACTTGGGAGTCTACGTCGTGTGAAAGTTTTACAAGAAGATCAATAACGTTGACCTTAGGGTTGCTAATGCACAATAGAGCAATAGCCAAAGGAGTGGCACGTCTGATATTTAAATCCCCATATTGTAGCAAGTGGTCAAATGACCGGAGAGCCATTTCTATACCTACATTTTCTCCCATTGCTATAAGGGAAAACCCAAGGACAGCTACCATTTGATGCATCCATTCTTTTTCATCTAGATGTTCGGCACAAACTTGCAGCATTTCTTGGACCTTAAGGACGTTTCCTGAGCCAGCATAGGCACAGCTTTCAGCAGTCAATAGTGCGTATTTTTTCATAGGAGCAGGAACGAATTCTTCTATGATTGATAAAGTTGTTTGAATCCTATCTTGCTGTCCTAAGAACACTAATCCTATACCTAAAGCAAAGAAGCGGGCGTAAGGACTTGACAGCTCAGTTTCACTTCTTTCCATAAGGGTTTGCAAAATGACTTGGGCGACGTCATCGTTGCAAGTCCCAGCAAATACTAGGCCAAGACCTAAAGCTGCAAGAGCTGAGGACTCTAAAGACACCGAAGTATCAATTACAAGTGGGCTTAGCACTTCTAACACATCTTCTCTTCCTGATCCAGCATATGCCATTGACAGCCCAGCTATAATTCCTACTCTAAGCTTATCGTTTGCAGCATCTAAGCCTTCAGTCAGCAAAGCAAATGCTGGGTCGCATTCATTTTTGATCCCTGCATTTACCATGCCAAAAGCCATGAGCGCTCCAGACCTAATAAAATCATCTCTTGAGTACTGATACTTATCAATTCTGGTCATTCCTTCATCCACATTCCACAATAAAATAAGTCCTAAAGACGCAGCTGCAGTCATGAGACCCCATTCTTTGTGTCTAAAAACCCATTTTTTTTCTTCGTTAAAAACAAGGGCATCATTACAATACCCAGCATTGACAAAGGCATTCACAATTGTCGATGCCAAATTCTGTTTGTGGGAGTCAAGCTGGCCTCCTTGAGCTCCTCTTCCTCTTTCTTCTAACTTCCCCTCTGCTATCAAATAAAAGTTTTTGTTCGCTCATTAAAGAAGATTAATTGTTTTTTATTGGTATATAGATTTTATAATAAAATTTTGTTTTTGAAATTTAAAATACCCCAAATTTGCAAAAATTGGAAAGTAAAATTAATTTTATTTTGTAAAATATTTTTAAAATGCAAGCTGTTCAAAATTTAACAGAATTAGAGATTTCATTATACTATTTATCACTTAATCAAATATTTTGTCATTACAACTTTTTAATTCACTTCAATGGTTTTTTTTGCTCGCTCACGAAGGGAAGGGAGCAAGTGGGATTTATAAATATCTTCAGGGATTTTAGGCTCTAGGACTTCAAGATCAGTGGCTAACTTAATAAACGCTTCATTCATAAACTCATTTGAAATAATTTTTGTTAAATCGTCGTCTTCTATCTGATAGTTCACCCTTTGTCTGGCCAGCTGATAACACATTTGTTTCTTTGCAATGGGATCTGTGCAAGACTCCATTGCTTCATTTATTACTTCTGGTCTGTTTATTTTCAAAGCAATTCTTAATGCTTCAGGGAATTTCCCAGCTTTTATATAGCACTTAAAGCAGACGTAAAGGGTTTTGTACATTTCATCAGGATCAGCTGCATAGAGAGCCATACCTTGGTTGTACTGACAAATTCGCTTATAGTTGTCTATTTCTATATATTCTGGTAGCTTTTCAAGGCAGTCAACTTCAGATAAAAGGTCAATTGCTTCAAACTCAGAACTATGCTTTACTAAGAACGGGACAATGATATCGACGATCCTTAATAAATCTGCTCTGTCCTTTTCTTGGCTCATTCTTGATAAATATTCATCTCTGATCTCCCCACACAAATTCCTGACATATTCTTGACCCCATTTAGTGGCGGCATCTTGATTGCCCTGAAGAAGGAATTGGAGACTTTCTTTTTCATCTGGGGCACTCATAGTGACTGCAAGAATGGAAAGGAAGTTGGCAAGGTCTTTTTTGAAAGGAGAATTGGATAAGCTGGAATAGAAAGTTTTTATAGAAGAATAATGCGGTTTCAGGAATTTCAAAGGCTTTGGAATTGATGTCATAGAAGTTGTTGCGCTCTGGACTTCTGTTTCGAGAGCTTTTAGTGAAGATTCTGCTGATGAAAGGTCCTGGAGTTTTTGAACAAGCAAATCAAGCTTGTCTTTTAGTGCTTGGTCCTCTTCTGAGAGATCAGAAGTGATTTTATCTTTTGAGTCAGCCATTTTTATAAGAAAGTTTATGTGAAAGTTTAGATGAAAATTTTGGACTGATTTCGATAAAATTAGGAAAATAATTTGGTTTTATGTGGTTAGAATAAGTAAATAGCTACTAATCAAAGATTAATGATTATTAAAAAGATAAATAAATCAATGAAAACTTGTGTCTGAAAATCTTATAAAAGCAGCTGAAGAAATGCATGCTAAGTTTATGGATCAGAACTAAATTCCTCAATAATCAGATCAGGTCTGTGGGGTTCATCATAAAACATTTCCAGCATTTTAATTATTATAGCCATTTTATCAAATATCTATCATACAAATTTTTATCAAGATAACTTAAAAGTTCTCTTTTTATTAGCATGTTTAATAATTATAGTTTTGGCTAGGTTTTTTTTTATTGAGCAAGAATCTGTTAAGATTATATTATTAATAGAATTTCATCTTTTAGATCATTTAATAAAAAATAAAAGTTATTTGCAGGCGAACAAAATATTCCTCTCTATAATTTGCTAGTTAAGACAAATACCTTGATAATAAAAAGGCGGGAAATTACTTATTTTCATACAGAATAATTACTGGAATTTTGCTTTTTCATTATTTATTAATATGAAGAAAAATCTAACACTATCGCCGCCCAAGAAAATGATTCAAATATTGCAAAGGCACACTCCTGAGCCAGCAATATTAAAGGAAGATGGAGAAATCGAGCATATTAAGCAGCTGGATACCAGAAGATATTCAAATCGATTAATGTAAAAGTTATTAATAGACGTTATCGATCGAAAAAGCAAGAAAATCTAGTAAGGCAAAAACGCTTGAAAGCTGAAAAGACGAATTTTTTGAATGTTCCACCTCTTAAAAAGCTGCAAGATTCAGAGGCCAACACAAATGCTGTATTTTTAGAAAACGATTATTCATATAATAATTCATTGGACGATTCTTTTACTTATATTCCAAGAACAAATATAATTAAGGCTATTAAAGATAGAGAAAAAGAATATGAAGCAGAAATAATCCAATTCCTTGGAAAATTAAAAGAACCTCCAAAATTACTTGATATCTCAAGAACCCGAACAGAAGCATCACCGTCAATGATGTTAAAAAAAGAAATCGCACCAAAGATCAAAACGAGTAAAACCCCATCGCCAATATCAAAAATTGTCACAACTTCTCCATCGCCACCACCTATAGAAAAACTCAAGCCTAAAAAGCAGCCTTATAAGAAAAAGAGATCTAAATCTTCAATGGACTTCAGAAACAAAAACAAAAGCAAGCATTCTTGAGCAGAAGATCTGGTAAAAATTGACAAAGAAGAGCTAAAATTAAAGAGAACTATAAAGCAGCTCAATAATAAATGCAAAATGATAATAGAAAAGACAAAACACCACACCCCTCCGCCACTTTCTAGTACAATTATTGATAAAAAGCAGGATTTACTTGACAAATCTATTTTAAATATTAGTCGAACTATCAGAAATCTTTCAAATAAATGCAAACTTAAATTCGATAAGCTCTCTCACATCATAAAGAGCCCAAAGCACAACATCGTTCGGCTTCGAAAATAATTAGCTAATTAAATAACGCTAACTTTACATTATTCTCTGCTGCTGTCACTCTTACTCATTTCAATTTCTATTGAATTTGGGCTCAAATGTTTAGCCTGCTCAGAACTGAGAAGTGCTCTTAGATTGAATCTGCTTTTTTTATTCCTTCAAAACATACATTTTTTTGACCCTTTATTTCCTCTAATTCTTTCTTTTGTTGTTTCTCCTGTCAAGCACAAGGAAAAATGAAAAATGCATAAAATGCCAATTAATATTGTCAGTATAGACAACGCCAAACTTAAAATTACAGTAATTATAAGAACGACTTCTGTTTGGTTTATAACTATATAGAATTTTACTTGTGTCGTCGTAGTCGCCTGGCTTATAAAAGAGAAAAGCCAAGAACCCTGAAATATCAATGAGCCCCAGCATCATTAAGTGAGTTACAAAAACAAAAAAATAAAAATAGTTTCTAGCACCTATACAATTGTTCAGATAGGGACAATGGTGATCAAACAGTTCTACACAGTTATTGCACTTCGTACAGTGATGAGATCTAGGGGGTCTATAAATTTCGCATGTTTGGCAGAATTTATACAAAGGCCCATCTTCGGTAAAAATCACATCTGCTGTAAATTCCTTTGGAACTCCTCCAAGAGCCTCGAAAACATTTCGCCGTGGGATTATGCCTGGCTCTGTAAATACTGTGAGGAAATAAAAGCATATGCAGGCAACATATGTGTAGCCTGAAAGAATTGGTATTACAATGCTAACATTTTCTCAGAGATAATTTGCGATTAATAGAAAAAAACCTGATGGGATTACAATCAGGACAGCTATTGTGCAGTAAAAGTGGAGATTATCACAGTGAGGTCCGAGCATAAATTTTCCCTTACTCCCCCCCCCCCCTCCGTGAGCGAACAAAAAAATTTTGTTCACTCACGGAGGGGGGTTAATTTTTTTTTTTAAAAACAATTTATATATAAATTTTATAAAAAATATTTTTTTCGAAATTTAAAAAAAATCCTAATTTGCAAAAATTGGGAAGCAAATACTAATTTAATTTGCAAAATTTATGTTTTAAAACGCAATTTGTTTAAAATTAAACAGAATTAGCTCTAGATTTCATTATACTAATTATCACTTATATAGCAAAATTTTTTTCTATTAAAATTTTTTCTATTAAAAATATTTTTGTTCACTCACGGAGGGTGGGTTTTTGGTCAAAAAATGGCGATTTTTCTAATGGTTTTGTTCGCTCACGGAGGGGGGGGGGAGTTAAAGAGAAATCGATTGTTTCCAGGCCAAAGTTCTCATAAATACTTATTGAACAATTCTGGAGGAAGTGATGGAAAGTCAAATGTTTTATTTGTATTTGGCTCTCTTTGTTCAAGATTATCATCCTTGCTTATGCTCATATGATTATATTGTAATTTAATATAAAAATTATTTACTCCTTTCCAAGCAAGAAGAGGGTAGGTTAATTTTATTTTTAAAAATTTTATATATAATTTTTTTCAAAAAATCCAATTGGATATTATATGAATTTAATTTACAAGATTTATGCAACTATTTGGCATTTAATAAAATTAGCTACATATATTTCATTATAAGAATTTTATAATAATTTTTTTTTTTCTCACTCAAAGAAGATCAGGTTTTGGTAAAAATTAAAGAACTCTTAATGATTTGCCCACTCACGGAGAGGTGAAGAGCTAGCAACTTATATGGCATTTATTAAGTACAAAAAATCCATAGAAATTGGGCAACATATGCTTTTTAATTAAATTAATTCATTTATAATTGATAAAAAAACCTAAATGATATTAGCGATTTTGGGCTGATTCAAAAATAAGCAAAGAAGCTTTAAGTTTAACTTTATAAATAAAATCTATTCTGGAGAAATTGGCAATTTATTAATGTTTATTCTCTAATGGAATATTTTTGCGATTAATAAAAAATGAAGATAAAGTAAAGCTAATATAATCATCCATATTTAGAACTGATGAAAATAGCCCATAAGAGAACTAACTCACTTAATGAAACTACATTTTCTATTATACAGCCAATAAAAAAGCAAGATATATCAATTTTGACCCAAAATGAAATACTCACACAGCATAAAAACGGAAAAATTGTAAAAAATGGTACAAAAATCCCAAAAATGCAAAAACATCCTTTTTTGCAAAAACTTGTGCAAAAAATTAACTGTAATTTTGCAAAATTTTTATGGGTTTTTTGCAAAAAAGCATTTGTCTTTGCATTTTTGCAAGTTCTTCGCATAAAAACCAATCTCCAAGAAATTCTTCCAAAAGTTCTCTTCCTTTTCTTCATAATATCCCAAGAGAAAAAGAAGAAATGCGAAACAGAGAAAAATCAATCAGAAAGCATATTTTAAAAGAAATGAGCAAGCTGCAAACAATTGACAAAGAAACTATTTCAAGTCGTTTTATGCATATTTCCAGTAATTCAATGACAAATATTACTCTTCCTCGAGTAAATTCCATAATTTCACCAATTAAATGTCTAGGCCTAGAAAAGCCTTTTGAATCGATTGCTACAGAAAAAAAAAATCGAAAGTTTAAACTTTCATTAAGTCCTAAAAAAGCAATAAATTCAATTAAAAGGTTTGAAATAAAGCCGATTTCCCTTTTAAATAAACTTGATAAAACGATTGAGGATTTTAGTTATAAATCAAGTAATATCAATACGGAGCTGAATCTAATTGACAAAATTGGGAAAAGATTGTCTCTTCCTGATTTAGATGAAGTAGATAAATATGAAGTCCCGATTAAATACTTAAAAGATATTGAAAAAACTATGAAAGGTGATTTTCTGCAACTGATTTTTGAAGAAAAAGATGCGAGCTATTCAGCAAAGATGGCGAAAAAGAAAAATATTTGAAGACAGGACATAAAGCTGCTCAAAAAAGATACAGACGCAGTTTTGAACTCAGTAATGAATAGAAATTAATAAACTCGCAATTTTATTATTTTTTATTTTCAGTAAGGAATATTTCAAATATTTTTATTAACCAAGTGATTTAATAAAGAACTAAGAATTTATTAAAAGATTAGAGCTTTCGGTTAAATATCTATGCAATTGCAATATAACAGATCAGCTTTATTCATTTCATTCACATATCAAGTATAGTGATTTAAGAGCAGACATATTGCGCTGGATTTAATTTGACTAAATAAATCTCTAACCTTAACTATTAAATTAATAACAATTTTCTGCAACAAATATTTTATTATTAAAAATTATATTTTACTAGTAACTATGATATTTTTATCTTACTCCCCCCCCATCCTTGATCGAACGATTGACTGTAAAAATTCCTAAAAATTGGGAAAATTAACCCCCATCCTTGATCGAACGATTTTCATATCATGCAAATTTTTATATATATAAAAATATATTAGTTATCAAAAGCTTGGGGAAATGTGCCTAATGAAGTTGTTTTCAGAGGCTTTGAGACGACAGAAAGCTACGAAATCAACCATTCGAAGTGATTTAATCATCAACCTAGCTTAAAAACTCAATAATCTAATAAAATAGAGATTCTTTAAAATTTTTAAAAAAAAATCAAAAATTCAAAGAAAAGAACAAATCAAAATTTATAAAGTTTAAAGGGTAACAAAAAGTCAAAATATTAAAATTGGTATTCTTATGAAATTAATTCAATTTTTTGCTGTAAAAATAATTATTAAATACTCTTTAACCCTCTTAATTAAAAGTATAAAAAAAAAAAAACATATTTTTTTTATTTTATATATATATATAAATTTTTTTACCCAAAAAATTGTTTTTTAAACCCCCATTCTTGATCGAACGATGGCGAGTCGTTCGATCAAGGATGGGGGGGGAGTCAACATAATTTTGAGTAAGCCAATGAAAAATGCCTTAATCCATTAATTATTGATATTATGAAACATTTTCAATATATTCCGATAGCATAAATCAATCAATTTGAATTTTTTTTAAATAATAAATATGCGAAGAGTCTATTCCCCTTCTCCTCGAGAACGACTGCAATCAGGCAATACAGAAGCATCTGAGCTTCAAAAAGAAAATGGTACAAAGCTGTCTTTGGACCAGTTTCAAATACTTCGAACAATAGGAACAGGATCGTACGCAAGAGTTCGGCTTGGCCTCCACTTGAGTACAAATGAACTGGTCGTTATCAAAATGATAAAAAAATCTTTTGCAGCCACAGAAAAACATTTAAGACACGTTAAGAACGAAAGGCAAATTCTCCAGCAGTTGAGATGCCCATTTGTAGTAAAGCTATTAGGAACTTTTCAAGATGCAACTTATTTATATATGGTTCTTGAATTTGTCCAAGGAGGAGAGCTCTACAGAGCCCTTAAGCTTGAGCGCTTTTTTACAGTTGATAAAACAAGGTTTTTCGCAGCTGAAATCACATCAACTTTCTCTCATTTGCATACAAGGTCAATTATTTATAGAGATTTGAAACCAGAAAACATTCTTTTCACAGCAGAAGGGCATATTAAATTAGTGGATTTTGGCTTCGCAAAGCATTTGAAGGATGGAGAATTTGCATATACAATGTGTGGAACTCCTGACTATTTAGCACCTGAAATGATTAGACAGACAGGCCACGAATTTTCTTTGGACTGGTGGACTTTGGGGATTCTTATATTTGAGCTGCAGACTGGTAAAACTCCTTTTTACCATGACAATCCATATGCTATGTACGATAAAATTTTGCAAGAAAATGTTCAGTTCGCTGAAGACTTCGATGGGGAATCAAAAGATTTGATTGAAAAACTTTTAATAAAAGATTATAGAGAAAGGATCAAATTGAATGATATTAAAAGGCATGGATTTTTCAAAAATATTAATTGGCGACATGTAGAAAAACTTACTCTACCCCCAGTTTATATTCCTTGTATCACTTCGAAAATCGATTCATCAAATTTTGGTAGATATGAAGAAGAAAAACAAAATGAGCTTTTGGTGCCAGAAGATGTGCCTGATCTATTTCCTGAGTTTTAAGGCAGCAGTAAGTCCCTTTTTTGACAAAATTATAATAAGCTTACTTATGAATTTTCACAGCAGTTAAAATTTTTATTAATAATTTCTTTTAATCTTAGCTTAATTACTATTAAAAATTGAAATATTTTAGTAAAAATAATGTCAAGGGAAAATACTGCAGAACGATGCGTGTTTGGTATTCCTCTATATAGTTGGAAACATTCCTTATGATGCCAAAGAAGAAGATTTGAAAACATTTTTTGAAAGAATTGGCCCAGTACTTAGCTTTCGGCTGATCAGAGATCGAGAATCAAATAAGCCTAGGGGATATGGATTTTGTGAATTTAAAGAAAAAGAATATGCTCGATCCGCAATCAGAAACATGAATCAAATTGAGTTTTCTGGGAGATCTCTAAGGGTGGATTATTCTGAAAAGCACAGAAATGCCCTCTCCTTACCTGAAGGTCCTAAAATGCAAAACTCTTTGCAAGATTTATTTTCAAGACTAACATCTCAAGAGTCTCTATATCTCTTTTCACTATTACAGCAATATGCTTATCACGATGAAGAAGAATTATACACGATACTCAAATCTAGACCCTACTTGCTTTTTGCTTTATTAAAGCTCATGTATAGAATGAATAGTGATTATTCATCATACATAATTAAAATATGGCGTCTTCGTCTAGGCATGGCCTCCCGGCCATGCAGCCTCGACTCATATTTTAATTATATCCGGCAAGGTTTTACCATTTCAGAGATGGACAGCAATGCTAGGTAAGCAATTCTGGTAGCTTTCAGAGCCTAGCCCTAGTCTATTCTCAGGGGTGGATTTTTCCTCGTGGGGAAGGAAGGTGCAGGGTTGGAAAGGGGAAGCCCAGCAAAGTCCTCTGGACCATTCGGGCAACTCCCTAGCGTGAAACTGGGCGTTACGTCCCAGGCTTTGCATTTTTCCTTTTTGCCGATAGCCGACCAGAAAAATCCATTTTTTGGGTTTTTCGGAAAAGCAACCCATGTACAAGCAAGTAGCTCATCCATGAGCCGTCGAAGACGTGGACATTTGCCCTAGAAGCACCTTGGCGATCGAAGCGAGTTTGTCTCCAGCAGGCTGGTGGGCCCGATGCGACGAAAGGCGAGTGATAAACCTGGAGTTGTAACCCCGTAGTGGACGTTAAGCGATATAAATTCTATAAGATAAGATTATTCATCATACAGATCTCACTCTCAAGAAGGATTGCTTCCGTTACCAATTGACGATATGATGATTTACCCATACTTCCAAAATAGACCATTCTAATATAATATAAAGCAATTGACCTATAAACCACTATTTTTTAATTTATTTTGCCGTTTATAATTTTCTTATAGCTAAATTTCTACTTTCTGTTATTATGCCAACTACCAGAATTTTATTATTGACGGACAGAATGAATGGTAACTTAATTTATAATTCGTCCCCTGAATAATCGTCAGGGATCTCCGAAATCTCGATTTTCTTGTCAAATAGACCGGCAAATATTTCTTTTTTCAGCATTAATCTTCTTTGTGCTCTATACTTCTCGTCTATTTCAAAAGGGACATTTGGCAAGCAATAAGATTTTTTAGAGCAAAAATCGGGTTGAATTATTTTTGAATCCTTCGTAATAACGTTAATTGATTGGTTAGTGTCGTAATTTCTCTGTGCAAATTCTAAATTATTTTTTCTTTTGTCAACGTCACGTGAATTATTTCCACAAGTTGTTTTCTTTGCAATTTTTGGTTTTGACATAAAAAAACACCTACTCTTCTTTTCTGTGATAGCTTTTTGTGGCTTTTCGATAAGAAGCTGCTTATTAGCTCCTGATGAATTCCCCATTACTTGATTTATATTTTCCATCTTTTGAAAGAAAAATGAACATGAATTATTATCAGTAAAATAAGTGATTAATAACAAATGATAATCTTATTCATTTTTTTCTTCTATAGTGACCCAAGCATCCTCGCCTTCTTGAATTTCGAATTTCGGCAATTCTATTTTTATCCAATCTCCGTCCTCTTCAAAAGTAGCTGAATCTGCAATATATTGGTCTTCATCAAATTCCTGCTGAAAAACTGCTCCTGGCTGAGTTTTATGAACGAGGACCTCATTTAAATGTTCACTAAGCTCTATTTGAGCCTTTTCTTTATCACTGACAGTTTGAGCTATGAAACAGTTTGCAATCAGATTTTTGCTTTCTTCGTTTCTTTGCATTAGATCTCCAAGCATCACTTCAAAATGGTTTTTAAGTTCATTGATATGGTACATGATTTGAGCTGACGTCAATCTATGGCTGATTCTATTTCCAATTCTTGTCACCATCCATGCAGACAGCATCCAGCTCAGCTGCGTTCCTAAAAGGGCTAAAATAGGCCAAGGAAAGCAGCCACTAAAATAAGCGTAAATAATTCCAGATAAAATTTGTCCTTTTGAATTTACCAGGTTTGCTGAAATAATCCCAGTAATTGAATGCTTAACTGAATTTGAAATTCGTCCAGCTCCATAGCTCAGAACTTTTAAAAAAAAGCGATAAACTTTATCACTGAAAGGCTCATGCTTTTTCCCCCACTCAGCTTGAAGCTCCGAATAAATGTTCTGCAGGCCTTCTGGGATTTGATATAAATTGTAGAGCTTGGCTCTTTCTATAATATCAACTGCAAGCTCGACTTCTGTGCTCCACCGAGCTAAGACGGCAGCTAGTTCTGATATATCAGTTTTATACTCTGCTGATTTTATGGCTTCTTCTTCTAAGTCAATGTCTAAATTGCTTCTGATATAGTCCAAATAATACCTTTCAGTAACTTTTTTCAAAAATTGAGGCATCATTTCTGAGTCTACAACTTGAACAAATGTCAAAGGATCAATTGAGTTGCTTTTCCAAAGGGATTCCCTCCACTTGGTATATGAGGAGCCTATCAGAGGTGGCTTGGCTCTATCAAAATTTGCTTCTCTAATTTCTCGTTCTAAATGTGCAGATAATTCTTCCATTTTATAAATTGGCTAAATTTATTTTTGCTTATTATTAACTTAGATGTTAATGTGTTATGCCTTCTTCAGCAGTATTTTTTAGACTGCTACTTATTCTTTTAATTCCCAATAGTGGCATCAGCAGCCTTCTTGTCCCAAGCATTCCAGAAGACCGACAAAAAGGGACAGAAAGCCTTCACTGGTAGCACTTGACCTCGCCCAAGCGTATGCTCCATCTAGGGGTCACCTCCTCTGATGTGTCAGGCAGTAAAATCCGCATGCCTCCTATCTCCCTTAGGCCACCAAATTCCTTTGTGCGATAATTTCGCATTGGTATTGTGGATGAAGGTCCACGTGGAAAACTGAACTCTATAAAAATAAATATAGAGGTTTCCTCTATATAGCGCTAAAAGCGCAGACATTTTCCCAGGAGCTTTCCAAGTTCGTCGGACCAAATCGCTTTTTTGGTCCGACCAAGGCATTGATTTGGTGCAACCTACCGATAAATTCCGATCAGAATTTATCGGCCTTACAGCGCCAAACATAGGAAACTTCTATATCTCAGAGGAGGGTTTTTGGAGACAACCTTCTGTGCCTAGCCAATTTATTATTATGTCTAATTTAATTCAGAACTTTGTTAGGGCAACAATAATAATATTCAAAATATAAATTATTTATACTTGACTTTGCTATATAGTCCAAACAAATCAATTTAAGCACATAAATTTGGCTTGCTTTATCAATTAAATATAGATATTAAATAATGAAAAATATCATAGCCCAGGATAGTTTTTTCAAGTATTGTGTCTAAAAACTCCAGTGTTGGATAAGAGTACCATCGAACTGGCGTCCTCATTCCCGTGAACCAGCCTACATGCCCACCACTTCTTGTTAAGGCTAAAATCAAATTCGGATTTGAATTGAACGAGCTAAAAGGAATGCACTCACTTGCCACTACAGGGTCATCTCGTGAGCTAAGCGCTAATACAGGAACAGTGATATTATGCAACACATTGTGGCAGCTAAATTCATCATAATACTCTTCTGGGTTCTGATACCCCAGAACCTTAACTGTAAAAGTTTTATCAAACTCAAAAGTCCTTGTAGCTTCCATTGTTGAGTTTATATCAATTCCTAACTTTTCCCAATGGTCATGGAAATTTGTATGGCTTCGAACTAGGTCAGTCAAACCTTTAGTCAGATAACGATCTGATATTGATGCAAGTGAATAGTTCGCTCTCAAATGCCTGCTGCAAGACACAACATCAAAAGGGGCTGATATTACTGAAATCCCTTTTAATAAGCACTCATTCCCTAGCTCACCAGCATACTTCAATATTAAATTTGCACCCATTGAAGTTCCTAATCCTACAAGATGTGCCTCAGGGTATCGAGAATGAATGGTGTTAACTGCAAAGTCTAAATCACTAGGAAGTCCCAAATGATTTGCCCTTGGAGTCTAAATAGAAGTTACTGTAAGAGGGGTTCCACTTATTCCTCTCCCATGGAAAACTGCAACTCGAAAGCCTTTAGATTGAGCTAAATGGACTAAATCTTGAATATAATAAGCTTCACTACCTCCAGTAAGCCCAGGCACAATAATCAAAACTTTGCTGTCAGGTTTCAAATTTTCTGAATGCACCCAATCAATGGAGATAGTGCCGCCGCATTCAAGTGTCAGTATTTCTCTGTCATAATTAGGCCCGCTTAGTACTTCTAGCTTTTCATTTAAAATTTTAGCTCCAATTCCATATATCGTTTGAAGTGAACCTGACGATAGTCAAGGTGTTGGATAAAATGCACCTTGTGAAAGGCTCGGCACTGATTGTATTAAATCTCGGTTTTCAGGAGTGTCTGCATGATGAATTGTGATTTTATTGTCATATAAAGGATATACCATATATGCTCCAGCTCCTGCAAATGCTACCCTTACTCCCTCCCATGATTGATCAAATGGCATAGTTTTAAATTTTTCATCCTGTATCAAACCTAATTCCCTGCCCTGCCTATGAATATTAAAGATTATATCGTAAATTGCTCTTGCAGAAATTATAATATGATTTCTAGCATATTTACTTATATATTCATAATCAATTTCTTGTGGTTGCGTATAAAATATTTTATTTGGAAAAAAATAATATCAAGTTAATAAAAATTTATATATAATTTTTTCAGGAGGTTTTTAATCCATCTTTGATCGAATTAGTGAGATTGGTTCGATCAATAATGGGAAGAATTAGCATTTTTTTAATTATATTTAGTAAAATAATTTAGTTAAAATACTGTGATTATCATAAGAATAAAGCTAAAAATTAAATATCATTTTTCAATTGATTTTCAGAAATATGATTTTATTAATATAATTCAATGCTGTTTTAGTGATTTTATACAATATTTGTTTTTCTAAAATATTCGATTGTAATAATATTTTGAATTAAAATTTAACTTATTGCATTTTTAAGGATCTTGAGCCAAAATAACTACTATTTTATAGCAAGGCACTATATATTTTAGAGCAAATTATC